CTGAGTCGCCTTTGTCCGATCACTTGTCTCTACCAGTTACAACATCGGACTCGAACTCCTCTGCTGGTTCATTACCAGGCCCTCATTTTTCCCTAACGATTACTGCGCCGTCTGGGATCAGTTATGAGCCAACATATTCAGATGAAGAAGGCGACCATATGCGTGAGGACGACACTGGCAAGAAGAGCTTCGACTTCACCGGTGAACTTAACCGTCTGAATCAAGGTGGTGTGCGACTCAGCTTCGTAGAGCAGTTGGAAGAGGCTTTCAAGACACCGCAAGTATTCCTTTCTGATTCTGGCTCTGCGTCAGAGTCGCACGCAATTTCCCCTGTCTCACTGGACTGGGAGCTCCCCGTGGAACCTAAGGCCAACCTCGTGAGTCCTTGTTTAGACATGCGTTTTGGTTTGGGATGGTATTTGATGCATAATTTTCGATGCAGAATCGAACTGGGGAGCTGAATGGAGGCTTCCAGTTTGGCAAGCCAACAACGCCGTTAAACATCACCGTTCCCCCAATGAAGGTATTTTCACTCAACCATGCATCAAACATTTCATCTGTAATGCATTTTTAGGGACTTCACTCTCGCACAAACACTGAGACGAGTAACTTAAGTGCTCACGAAATTGAGCTTCTCGAAGATTTGGATGCTTCAATGTGTGCCTTGGTGACATTAAACCTTTCCCTCGTCCACCCTCGTCCTCCCAAAATAAAGGGAGCGCTGTATCTCATTGGAATCTGATACGGAGTCCAAGCAGGAGGCTAGATTCTCAGTCACATACTGTGCCCCATCCCATAGTGGCCACAGTCGTGGAGAATCCGTAATGAGCATTTCATCTCTTGGATCCATTATCGATTCAGGTGTATCTGATCCGTTCGGATACTGGGATGAAATAGCTGGTCCTCAAATCCCATTGCCCCCTGCTCCGTCGTTAGGTCATTCCCACAGCGACTCACTAGCAAGCATCCCTTCAATGTCCAGTCTCGGCCGAATCATCAAGCCTGCAGACGCAATCCCTTTGGCTACACGACCACTGATAACGGTCATTCATGAAGCATCTCTCAAGCTACCGACTTCTCTCTGAACGTTGATGACTCCAATCCCAGGGAGCGAAAGGCAAAGGGCAGAAAATCGACGGATTCTGAGAAATCGCAATTCTATTTTCAGAGCAGGCCTCCTCCGCTGTCGTTACTGGTGCAGTGGCAGAAGGTTTAAACACGATGAATACAAAGTCTTCATCCACCGCCGAGCCCATGTTTGTCGGAAGATGGAAGGGTAGTTTCTCTGCTCAACGATGATGTTAATAATGCTGCTGTCGTTCATTTGGGTCTGGCCCCGACGACCGCTAATGGTACTCCTTCGGCTACACCTACATCTGGCGCCCCTCATCACCATCAAGTATCCCTTAAATCACCCTTGTTCACTCAGCGATGGGCACTCCAACCACGACGTCTTCTGCGGCAGCTGCCGCAGGACATACACTGCCTCTGCGCCTGCACAATCATCCATTCAACATCAGCAACTCCTCTCCCCTGCCACCCCAACCACAAACCAAACTTCCCTTGTTCCACAACCACCACAACCACACGCTTTACCAAATGGAGGAACCGGTCATGCCACTGCGACCGAGACGAAGCGTAATCATGTTTGCACGACGTGCTCCAAGGCGTTTACCACCAGTGGACATCTTGCCGTCACACCTGCGTCCACACGGGCGAAAGGAATCACAAATGCCCTTTCCCAGGTTGTGAAACAAGATGTTCGAGGCAAAATAACTTGCAGCAACAGTGAGTATGACCTTTCCACTTGTGTGTGTGCGCTTGTACTGGGGCATTTCTGACCAATGTGTTTTTCTTTATCCCACTAGATCTCAACGACCAATCTCGTGACTATGACTACTTCTCTTCCCTGACGATCCATCGACCTACATATCTGCGGCCTGGTCTTGCTTCCGTTTACCCACGCATGCCACTCTCCATCAAACCAAAAAAAACTCACTCTCATCCTGACATCCCTATTCCGTGCCAAACACGTTTGTCTCTGCATCAATCTGTTCATCGATCGTTCTCATACGAAATACTTCTTTCCCTTTTCCCTCTTCATTTACCTTTCACCCACACCCATTCGACTATCAGTCTGGCCCCCATAACCACATACACACCACCTGGATATTAAATGGAGTGATACCCTTTCCTCTAAAATAGTTTCCGCATTCATCTTTCTCCTCGATCCCGACGAACTTCCCACAACAAACGAGCTCAAATGGCAGTTGCTAATGCCGCATTAGCAACCTATGATGAACAATGATGCCAACTTGATGAATCGGGGTGCCAATGGGAGTGTGATTCGAGCAACGACGAAGAGGGATAGGGAGATTTATACCCCTACCCCTCCCGCTAGTCCTGATGGTGCTACGGGGTTGGGTGGTTCGTATGGAACTGGAGGCGCTGGAAATGGGGGGAGTATAACACTTCATCTGGTTTCTGAAAGGGCTGGGGGTGATCCGTATCCGGGACATGGAGCAACATATGGTGCAATGTCTTCTCTCATGGTGTTGGTGCCACCACTACCACTGGTGTCAGTGTTGGAGTTGCCGTAGGCGGATATGGTGTCCCTATGAGCAATGGGAAGGGAATGAATGGGTATGGCATCTATGGCGGGCAGACGGAGGGGCCTGTGGTATTGTTTTCACCAACAGATTACCCTCAACCTCCCCAACCGCATTCGCATTCACATCCCCATTCAAGTGGAAGTGAGGGCCATAGAGAAGCTGGTAACCCTTCCTCGAGCTACCCTTCTCCTTTGAGTCATTCTGGAACTGGTGCCGGTGGGAACGGTGTGAATGGGACCAGTGGAACTACCGGCGGCGCACACCCTGGAATACATCATTCTAATTCTTATGCTTCTCATCATTTGAGCACGCATGATTCGCCATATCACTCTGCTGTTAACATTAATTCTGGATCTCACGTAAGTCACTTCATTTTCTACGATTTTCCCTCTTCTTCGATGCGCTGGCTTTGCTTCTCTTTCCGAACCATGGTTCCATTGTATTGACAACCATCGCTCCAGACACTCCCCCCTGGCTCCGCATCAGAGTCGCCCACGGAGGTTCGCACCCAGACTCACTCTGCCGGCTATCCGGACAGTTTGGCATATGCCATTCCATCGTCGGGCCATTCCCACAGCAGCTCACTAGCAAGTATCCCTTCAATGTCCAGTCTCGGCCGGATCATCAAGCCCAGCAGACGTAATCCCTTTGGTTACGCAGCCACTGTTCCACCTCCACCTCCACTTCCTCCTCGACTCATCATCCCCATGTGCGAATGGTGTGCCTCAGCGACTGCCTTCGAGCGACATCTCATGTATTCATGGACTCAACCCCATCTAATGATGAACTCGGTTTTGACGTGATGCCGGACCCCTCCAACATCATAAGTGCTACTGTATGTGTCCGTTTTGGATATTCCGCAGGCGGACGGATGGACTGTAGAGCAACATGACGACCCTCACATTCTCCCGCAAGCTCGCTCGCCAGATCTCACTGATCCTTCCCTCTCACCACCCATTCCCTATTTCGGTGCTAAACTGGACACATCCATTCTTCACCCTCTCCTGCCCTATCCCTCGTCACCTCCTCATGTCGCTCTCGACTCTATCAAGGTGACTGCATGAACGGCACAAAGGCACTGCAAAAGAATGATAGGGAGACAAAACCCCGCGCCAGCATTGATTCCGAAAAGGAGTGCGAGAAAAAGAAGTGGACTATAGGCTTAGGAAAGGACAGCAAAGACAAAGAGAAGCAAGGCCGAGGCAGTAAGTGCTATTTGGGCACTCGCATGTTAATCCACCCTTTCGTTAACCCCCCATATTAGCCACTGTCGCTGGTACACAGACATCGAGCATCTTGCAAGGGTCGTCTCAACCGGCTTCGATCTCATCCGCGTCCATACTCAGTCCGACCACCCCATATCTTTCCCCCGACTCAGCTCATGCCGCCTGCGCCTCGTCTTGCTTCGCTGACGGAGTACTTGCGGCAGCCCAGCCTAGCGGTGCTGCATGAGAGTACAGTGAGTGTGGCGCGCTCTTTCTCCATCTCTTTCTTTTTTGTCTTTTCTCTTGCTGACAATTGATCTCTGCCGTTCCCCAGGACTGTGGCCATCCCGGACATGCTGTATCTCCCTCGCCCATAACATCCCATCCTCGCCATTTCAGATGAAGCTGATGGCATTGGATTCGCTTGTGGGCTTTCAAACGCCGTCCCATCCCATTTGGAAGAGTGGTTGGGGGAACATGCAAATCACACGCACGGCCACGGCAGCTCCGCTCACCAGCTTTGTCCCCCACTGGGACTGCACAATTCCTTCTTAAGGGACCCAAGCAAAACCGTGGTGGATCTCTTGCTGTGCAACCGATGCACTCAGTTCGCTCCATGGCCAGAATAGGTGGTTGGGGTCGCAATTCTCCTGCAACTTCATGGAGTCCAAGTGGGAGGCTAGATTCTTGGTGATGGACTGTGCCCCAGTCATGGAGAATCTGTAATGAGCATGTCATCTCTTGGATTCATTATTGACTCAGGTGTATCTGATCCGTTCGGATACAAGGATGAAATATCTGGTCCTCAAATCCCATTTCCCCCTGCTCCGTTGTCAGGCCATTCCATAGTCTTCATGTAGATAGTAACATAACTGTGTGTGGTGTGTGCGACTCGTTCAAGGATGCCCACCCTATCGCCAACCTGTCAATGTCAACCCGCTTCAGGCAATTGATGCATCTTTGATGGATAGTGAAATCCTCGTTGGACTCCGGCTGCCCCAATGGTATGAAAGGATTAAGGGATGCAATCCCTGGGTGCTGTGTCCCTCACTATCAGCCTGTGCTTTGATGTGACACGTGAAACTCGGTGCCGACGCTGGCTCATAACTGCCCATCCATCCTAGTACTTTCACCCACTATGCCCAAAGTTAAGAAGGGATGTCATCTGCTGAAGCATGCAACTTCAAATGTGCGGAAGAAGCTGGCTCCGCACTCTGAGCTGGGGTCAGGCCCCACTTCTGCACTGGAATTGATAGATACACACCTCCAGTCCACTTCCACGCAACGGAACTATAGCTCAGCAATAACCAATGCCAAGAAGTGGTTGGAAGAGAATTGCCTCAAGTACAGTAACCCACTGTTGTCATCCCCTGAGGATCCAAATCCGGAGGCATATCTCTTTCAACACAAGGATGCTCTCCTTGCCTTCGACAAACCTGTGGAAATTACTGCCAAACTACTGGCTGCATACATCACATTCCGCGCTACTGATCAGAACAAGTCTGTCTCAACTGTAGACATACTCCGCTCCGCATTCAAGTGGCACTTCAGGAAACTGTGAGTAGCAACATAAAATTTACGAAGTGAAGTGATCATTTCTGATTCCCCTCTAGAGGATTTGAGGGCACTTGGCATCCGCACCCTTATCCTGAAAAGTGCCAGGGAAACCCATGTGAATCCAGTCTGATCATTGACCTTGTCAAATCTGTGAAGAATTTGCGCGCATCTGAGGGAACTATCCGGAATCATGCAAGGGCAATCCAGATTAGCGACATTAAGGCTATTCAGGCTGTCACTGCTACTCAATGTCCTCCAGACCTGATTAGCAAGGCTCTTGACCCTAGTATTCCCAGCAAGTCCTTCACCCTTAAACAACGTGACAACATCCGCTCCCACCTCATGTTGTGTACACTAACATCTTTGGGCTGGACTCTATGGACAAGGTACCTACATCTCTGCTGTACCAACCCTTTATTCATATTTCAACTTTCAACATAGGAATGAAGAGCTCACTTCAATCCTTATTCAGCATCTTGATTGGGGACACGAGGAAGTCAGTCACAACCTTCCACACCTGCGCATCACCCTGGTTAACCGCAAGGGCTGGCAAAAACAGAACCATAGTGATGAGTCTGGCTGCCAAGGTAAACTAAATCCAGTGGCCATCAGTCTATTGCTGGTCTGAGTCCGAGTTTATAGGGACACGGTATAATATCTATCCCCTCTATGGCATGGACACATTTTCCCAGCATGACGGACCCAATGTGACTCCGGAGCTTGATGCATATTGCCATGTGAGGCACTGGACTCAGTTTCTTTCTCTGCGATATTGCAGTGGAAAACCCTTGAAGCCTCACTATCCCCTCTTTCCCTCCTGCTCCCACCGTTCTCATGACATTCACTGGAATTCAACGCTCTCAACCACCACCGTTAATGATCTTCTTGCCTATTATGGAAGGCAAGCGCAACTGGAAACTGACAGACTGACATCACACTGCTTCAGGCATGGTGGTCTTCAGTACTGGTTTGCTCTTGCACCGGTTTTCAGAAGGTGGCCACTTCATCAGTGCCAGTGGTGGGGTGGGTGGGCACCTGGAGAAAATGTGAGTCTACACCGTTATCTCATCCACATTCCCAAGGCTCTCACAATATTCCAGCCATCTACACTCCTCAAATATGCTATGGATATGCTGATCACCACAGAAACAAACTATGGCGACTCACTTGCCCCGGTTCACATTGACAACTTAGAGTCTCAAAATGGAGCGATGTCGCAACTCAAAGCAATGACTGCAGAAGAAGCCCGCTCTCAGTTTGGCCACCTGGGTGAATACATGGGCCGTTTTGAGGAACGCATGGGCCGGTATGAGGAACACATGCACCACTTCAGGCATGGGCTCCGAAGCATTGATGACAGATTTGCTTCATTCCAAGTCTCACTGGATCAACTCAGGCACACGATAGGCTATCTTATTCCTCCTCACCCTGTTGCCTTCCACCACCATGTTACTGGTATGTCTGCTCAGTAATGGATCATACGTCCCTAACAGTTCAGCCAGGAGGACCCACTCAGTCAATGTGGCCACAGCCAACCTTACCCAGTGCTGCTCCCCCCCTTCCCCCCCCGGCCCCGTCGCTTCCTCTCCACTTGCCCAGTCTCTATCCCACCCTCCATCAGGCTCCAGTCGGCCCCAGGAGCACCACGATGATGATGGCCGACCCGCTCCGGGTGCTGAGCACACCACCATTCCCCCAGTCCGCACACTTAAGGATGCCATTAAACAATGGCTGCATGGGGATGAGAATGAGCTCCGAGTGCCACTGAAGAACTGGAAGCGGGAATGGTACACTGGCAAGCACTCGAGCACACATGGAGTGACATATGGCAAGCACCGTCGTGTTGGCCAGAAATATGATGAGTCTGTAGTCTCTTCCTTCTCTTCTCCTTTTGGTGACTAAATATCCACTAACACTAACACTTCCCCACTGTACAGAATGGGTGAGGCGGAGTTCCTGAAACACTATGGACTGAAGATGAGCGACAATTTCGGTACTGCACTTGAAAAGATTGGAGTGGAAGGGAAAAGAGACGGCACCATCAAGAGTCGTAAGAGTGGAAAATTACACCACTGAATGTACCTAAGTGTCATTTCACAATGATTATATTGCTCTTCCCAGTCAGATCACACATACCATTCGCGAGAGATCAGCGAAGAGATCTGTGCATGGCTAGAAAACCTCACGGCCCATACATCCTCTGAAAACCATCCGTTGGAGACGGGACCGACAGTGTCCGAAAGCGCTCGAGTAGGAAAACCCAGGGGATATTTTTGCTGATTTTTGTATCGTTTTCTCCCGGGGCCGACAAAGACATTCGCGAAATATCAGCGAGAGAATTCGGGCACGGCCAGGGAATCTCACGGCCCATGCCTCTCTCAAAACTCATCCGTTGGGGACGTGACCGGTGGCGTCCGAAAGCCCTCGAGTAGGGGATTCCAATGAATATTTTCGTCGATTTTTATCGTCGGTTTTCCTTCCTCAATGGTGGACAAAGACATTCGCGAAAAATCAGCGAGAAAATCCGGGCATGGCTAGGAAATCTCACGGCGCGTACCTGGCTCAAAAACCATCTGTTGGGGACGTGACTGATGGCATCCGAAAGCACTCCAGTAGGGGATTCCAATAGATATTTTCGTCGATTTCCATCGTCGGTTTGCTCCCATGGTGGACAAAGACATTCGCGAAAAATCAGTGAGAAAATCCGGGAATGGCTAGGAAATCTCATGGCGCGTACCTGGCTCAAAAACCAACCGTTGGGGACGGGACCGATGGTATCTGAAAGCGTTCGAGCAGGGTAACCCAGTGGGAAATTTCACCGAATTTTTGTCATCGCTTTCTACTGGACTGGAGGTCGACAAAGACGCTCACGGAAAATGAGCAAAAAAAAAAATCCAGGCACGGATAGTAACATCTCACCGTATGACTCAAAAACCATCCATTCGAGAGCGGGGCTCGAGTCGAGCAGAATGGGATCGACGACGACGGCGGCGGCGAAGCGTCAGAAAGGGGCCGTGCGCGCAATTTGCATGTTCTCCCAACCGCTCCTCCAAATGGGACGGCACGGCCCACGAGCGAATCCAACGCCATCAGCTTTGTCCGAAACCGCGAGGATGGGATGTTGTGGGCGAGGGAGATACAGCACGTTCGGGGAGCGGGGGAGGGGATGGCTACAGCCCAGCCCTGGGGAACGGCAGAGATCGATCGTCAGTGAGAGAAAAAACAAAAAAAAAAAAAAGGTAATGGAGAAAGGGAAAGAAAGAGTGCACCGCACTCACTTGTCTTCACTCTCGTGCTGCCGCAAGTACTTACTCCGTCAGTGAGGCGAGGCCAGGCGCAGGCGGCATGAGCTGGTGAGCGGAGCTGGCCGTGGCCGTGCATTCTGCAACGAGAACGTGACTGCAACGTGACCGTGAAGATTGAATATTGGTTGGTGGGGGGCCTCGACGATGGATGTCAGTCGAGGGGGAGTTCTGCTACCACAGCGAACACCCGGCACGGGCCTAAACCTTCACGCGGTGCCCCTGTTTAAAACTAATTAGGCCTCTAACATCTGAAGGGAGGATGACGTGGCCACCGTGGTAATGCCAATCAACCGCAACCCCATAAGCCCAGAGCCGCACTGGCTGGAGAGATGCAAGAGCATGGGTGCATGTCCCGCCGTCAAGCCAACCCTTCCTTTTTCTTCTCACCACTACCTTTTTGGGATGACGAGCGCGACAGTGGCAACGCCAATGGTGACCTCCGTAAGCCCAGACGGGACTGGCCAGAGGACTGTGGGTTCAAGTCCCACCGTCACCCCAACCCTTCCTTCTTTTTCTCTTCTCCACTACCTTTTGGGTTGGTGAGGTGCAATAGTAGTAGCGCCAATGGTAGCCTCCATAAGTCCATGGGCAGGCCGGAGGAGTGCAGGTTCAAGTCCTGCCATCACCCCAACACCCTTCCGATTCATCTTTCTCTCCACTACCTCTTAGTGATGAGGCGCGATAGTGGTAGCGCCAACGATAGCCCCATATGCCGACAAAAAGTTGACTGCAAGGAATGCAGGTTCAAGTCCTGCTGTCACCCCAACACTTTCATTTCTCTCCACTACCCTTTCTACCAAAGGCCTATCTGCCACATGCCTTTATTCAACAAGCATGAGCAAGATGCCACCAACACCCATCGCCTTTCGCTGCCACTGGAACATTCACCAGCCTACCGTGACATAAACCCGTGAAAGCACCCTCCAACTCACCCACCCGCAAGAACCGCGCACTCAAACATTGACTTAACCATAGGCACACAGCAGCAAAACATGCGACCCCAACACTGGGGGTCGCGTGTCCTTTTCTTTGGCTCTATACAACCTCTTCCCACCTCCATTCTCCCTCACCCGTTGTTCAATCTCAGTGCAGGGGTCGCATGCCCCTTTATGTGTTATTGTTTCATCTCACTTTATTCTCCTTCACACCATTGATTACTCGATGTCTCATACTTCCTAGGTCACACAAATTCCTTTCTTCACATCCTTATGTTCTCCAAACTTTTTTCACCCGAGTCACTATAGTACGGCATATGCCGATAGGCACGGTTACGTACTTTAAAATGAATACATCCATCCATCCATTGGTTGGTGGGGGGGGAGGGAGAGAGCAAGGAAGGGGAGAAAGCCGAAATCGAACCAAACGAAGAAACGTGACAGGAGCTGGCAGGTGATTTGAATTTTGGGGATGCGAAATAATGAATGGCGGAAAGGGCCGGGTTACATGGGTCCATATGGGGAAACACCCAAAAAAAAAATCCCAACGGAAGCAAACCAGCCCACCACGGCACGGACCGAATGAATCCATCCATCCGTTTCGGGCTCAGGTTTGGATCCGGATCCTTAAATTCCGAGATACAAGTTTTGATGATAAAATCCTCATGCAGGATTTTAGATAACCTGGGACCCTAATCCTGTCACGGAAAATCTTACCCCTTGCCAAGATTTTCCACGAAATCCTCACATCTGCATGATTTTGTCATGGAATCTTTTCCCTCAGTGTGATGTTGGGTTTATTGTACTTAGGTGTCATCTTTCGCTCGCTAGTTTAACGACGTTGCGGTCGGGCCATACTACATTTTGCCCCAGTCTGAGGAGCGAAGTAAATCCTCGCTTTTCATGGTACTCTGAAGATCAATCCATGTAAGCATGCCTCCTGCATCGTGACAAGCTCAGCCTTTCTGTTATAGACTCCCCATTGGCGTCGCACGTACCCTTCCAAAGCTCAGGACCTTCTGCAACCCAAGTTAGCGTCTAATGCTGCCCCACCACTGACAGTATATATACATCGGTCAAGTCATCTCCTTCAATCCCTACTGTGCTCTCGCCTTGTACCACCTCACTTATCCTGACTGCGTCTGGGAGCGGGGACTCTACACCCCTGACTGTTGAAGTATCAGGTGGCCAGCCTCAGGATGAATCCATGATAGATGCAACTCAAGAGGGTCAGATGAAAACGAAATCACTGGGGCTTCCTTTGCACGCCGTGACTTCGAGCGATATTCCTCAATCAAGTACTTGGACTCCATTTGTGTCTGCAAGTCCCGAATGCGCACACTATGTACCAATCACAGATACAGATTCCTTGCAGAAGGGAGTCGCGAAATTTCTCTCAACCGCTGCGGGCATTTCATCGAATCCCACCTCACTCCAAGACTCACTGATCCCTTCAATAGCTGTGATCAGGGATTTGCACCTTCCCCTCTTCTGATGCAGTGCCCTCCCAGTCATCTGATTTAGGCGTCATCTGCATCCCTGGAGTGGGTCCACTCACCTCTGCGAAGTTAACTGCTGGGATGGGACCGTCGGTAGAGCCATCGTCCGACTTGGCTCATCCCTGTGAACCAAGTCAAGAGCATCCTACCCAAGCCGTAACATCTACTGTGCCCGGGGAGAACAGTGACACTATAGCGCACGCAGACGTCATCATTGGAGTCAAATGCAAGTAATGTGCGACCACCAATAGAAATGCCATCCATCACATCAGAATTCCAAGATCCTTCAGCTGAGGATCAGTCGAATTCTGTCGTTCGTGGTGAATCAATCCCACACGGGAAGGACGTAGCAATTACTGAGGCTGACAACCAATCCCTCCTGAAGGTGACGGAGCGTTCTGAAGCTGGGGTACAGACGATCGAAAAAACTGTCTCCCATCTATCCGTTCAGACGGCCGCGAGTGCACGATTTACAGGGGATGCTTGTATTCAAACGGAGCCTGGGCCAATCAAGGAGAATCCCATCGATGTCGCCGCGCTAATGGAAGAACTCCGCCAAGTTAAATCGGATCATGAAGCAGCATTGGGCCAACTAAGAAGAACTCACTTGAACGAGCTAGCAGAGAGGGATGCGGAGCTTGAACATCAGAGACTCGGCGATGAAGAGAAACTTGCAGCGGTCACAATGGAGCTCGAACAACTTCGACCTGCTTTGAAAGGGAAAGATGACGAACTTGGACAACAACGAAAGGAGCACGCAGAACGTATTGCGAAGCTTGAGGAGATCGAAACGCGGAAGATCGAAGCTTTGGCAGCCCAATTCCCTACTGCGTCAAAGTTGCTCATCACTGCTTATATTCGTCTGGAGTGTCTTGGGAAGCGCAAGCGTGAGGACCTGGATGGCGGCAAAGTGGTTCGGCTGAAGGATCGACCAACTCTTTAACTATATGTTCGTACATTAGTCGCATACTATTTATTCTTTATTTCCTACAGTATGGGGTATAATTCTTATCCCACAATCGATCAAGCACGTATTCCCGTCACATTATCAGTGCCACTCATCCGACTATCCTACCGTACTCGTCTTGGTCCCGTTCAGCGTGGGTGAATCATTCCACCATTGTCCCACCTCCAGCATTTACACGAGCCTGAAACGCGTCACTTCGCTCAACCCTCCTCCATGCACCAACCTCCCTTCCCAAATCAACCAACATCTTCCAAATAGCATTACCCACATCTCCGCCCTCCTTCCCGCATCCAATCTCAAGTTCCTTCCGAGCACGCGTGAGGACTTGAACGGCTAGATGAATCCTGTCTATACCCCTAGGTATCCGTGACCAGCTATCACCCGACCCAAATTCAGAACTGTCCTCAACTTGGTCTTCGCTTCCAGACGAGCTCGAAGGTGGCATATCAGGAGAGACATCCACACAAAGCAATTTCCCCAACTCAGCAAGCGCCACACCCCTAACAGGATGTCCGAGCGCAAACACCCTGTCATCACAAACGCCGCTGACAACACAAGCAGCCGCACGACACGTTTCATCTACTTTTGTATCACGAGATGCCTGTTCTTTCAAAGATTTGGGTTCTGGGAGAGATGCAAGCTCGTGGATTAGCAAAGCTACGTGAAGTCGAGAGAGTTCTAGGAGGGGGTGCGAAGACTTGTGAAGTGGGTATGGTGCGAGGGCAGCTTGGGAACTTGCAGTGTACCTGATAGCTTTCGGAGGGTCTTGTGTGATCGAAGATAGCCTCGTCAACAAGATGGCTATCTAATGAGGGGATGGCGTACCTGAGAACTCGAATCTTCTCGCTTTCTGGAGAGCTTCGTGTGAGACGTCCAGAGCGTCATAAAACTTGGTTGAGTCAACGACAAGACTGGTTCCACACGCTCCGCACGAAACGACACCCTTCAATAACCGACTCTCACTCCCTGTAAAAAGCCCGAACGTAAAACAAAGCATCATTCACCAGGACAATATGACTTACCATAAGCAAACCCTGTGAGTGTGTTGCATCGGGAACAATGCAAGCTTTCCCTTGGATCCGGGGGACTCGAATCGCTCAAGTACCCGACGCACGCTTCACAGGTGCAATCGAACAAGTAACCTTCTTTCAATTCACGTAATCTTACGGGTGTAGGTTGCGAAATGTCAATGTAAGAGGCAAGAATCTGCGAGCGACAATGATGGCGAAATCAGATTCTGAGATGATCAGCGGCAGGGATCGTGTGCGAACCTGTTCCCCAGGAGCAATAGGTCGAAGGGCGATGACCTCGGCCTTCTTAACTGCGTTTGATCTCGATTCCGTCGGAAATACAATAACGGCGTTCGGCCGGCACGAATGATTGATCAACGCAATGAGTGGCGATACGAATACTCCGATCGGAGAAAGCGTCGGCGTTGTCAGCGTCACGGAGTTCGTTGTGAACTACCGTATTGATCACGTAGCAGGTGCGTGTAAATTTTTTTCAATGACCAAAAGTACGGAATACAGGAATACAGGAAACGGCGCACCTTTGACAAGATGTCCACAAAATCGCGAGGAGAATCAATTCCGAAGCGCCTCAGGGTCCCACTTGAGCCAAATGCCTCTTCTTCATCAGTGCCGAGGTAGACAGCCAGTGCATGACCAAAATTTGTGAGGGTCTTATGAGCTGGAGAAGTCGGCGAAAATTTGGTCCGATCTACCAAATCATCGACGTAAGGATTTTCTTCCAAGAGAACACAGCTTTGGACGCACTTGATTGCATTTGAAACACTTCTTGAGACTTCACATTGAGTCAGTATCATCGATAGAGATGGAGCGTGGAGCACGCACCCATGCGCTCAATAACCCTGCTTTCCCCATCAGCCAAAGTAACCTGGCCAGTCCCCGTACAGCGTCGTTGGGCAAAGGCAAAGAGTCCGGGCGCTCTTCATCCGCGGAGTCATTTGCCGAGGCTCTCCACCTCCGGATGGCTTGACATTCTTCTTTGTGGAGTTTCCAATCATTTTTTTGACAAAACTAGAAGAAGTACCAAAAAAAAAACAACGCCATGATGACATACGATCTGAGTAATCTAGTAATTTAATTTAGTGGAAAATGTGTATTGACGCACTGCACTATCGTACCAAATGACTTTACAGTCGCTACACCGTTTGAGTTTGCTCGGATCTGACTCATTGCTGCAGTATGTGCAACAAGCTGATAGATAATTCGTCGAAATGGAATGAACGTGTGGAGCCGCCGAGAATAGCACGGATCCTACATGAATCCGTCAGTGGCGTCATTGTAATGTTCTCCACGTCGCATGTAATCTTCGACTCACCTGGGGCGTAACCTATCGCTGCATTTCTGGACACGTACAGACCCCTTCCAACGTTCTTGGCTGCACGTATCTCTACGTTGGGTGGAAGATCTTTGAACATCCCAGGATTGATCTTCACCAGATTGGCTTCGTTGAGCTTGACATCCTCAGTTGGTGACAGCGCCCCCGACGATTGCACATCCACCACCGAGGACGCCCGCTGGGGTTCATCGGACCATCCGGGTGATCCATGGGCAGGACGAGAAGGACTGGGCTTCAGTCGTTGCTGTCGAGCCCTCTGTAAATCTGAGAAACTCATGAGGCGTCAAAGACGAATTCTTTCCTCTCTCTCAAGCCAAAATTCCCACGGGGTGATGTTTAAGATCGAACGATATTCCCACGCCTTAGCACCTAAATAAAGCTACAATGGACTTAGGCAGGTTACCCTCTATCAGAATAACTTGACGGAAACTGCACTACAATGGGTGAGAGAAAAGGGTCTGGGATCATGGCTGTGAAAGGTTTCGGTCATCAAGTTTTAAGAGATGGGCCAGTTGTGAGGAACAAGCTGGACCCATTCCTTGTTCATGCATGGTCTGGCTCGTGATCATGATGTTACAGCCTGTTCGAACACCATGCATGATGTCGCCAAAGGGCTGGATCGGAAAGCTTGCTCCGGCATTCATTGTGCTTCCTGCCACTGAAACCTCCGTGTACGGTTGGACTGACCAAGAGTGGATAACGTACCCTATCGTACCGTTTCTGGTTCCTTGCTGCTTCTTTGAGTCTTCTGGGGGTTGACGCTTCCAGACGACCAAGTATTGACCTTCTTCTACATAATAGACTCAGAGCTCCATGGAAGAAACCCGTTTCTTCCCGGACACCATCAGAACGCGTCCAAGTGGCAGGAGAACCAAGAGGCATATTAAAATTTTCAACTTTGCGTTGTTCCTGCATCCATCCATTATATCGCGGAACACAGAGCAGAATTACCCTTTGGTTCTTCTCTAGCTTTGACTAGGAATCTGTTGAGGAAGAAAGGTCCGTTCTGTGACGTAAATTCTAGCTGAGGAAACGAAGCTTACACAAAAGAAGGTTTCTTGGCAGAATGCTCACCAACTGGGCAGGACTCCAGCCTCTCTATGACTTCGTAATAATCACACCAACGTCCGATAGATGATTCATCAGGGTCCTTTTTGATTTGATGATTGCACGTTTTCATTTGACGCTGGAACGTGGCATGAGCTACCTATACCTACACACGCTCACACCTCATGCGCACACCCGATTTCTGAATTTCCAATATCATCAGGCCGAACGGCATTCCATGATTATATGCGAGGAATTATCGGGGATGTATGTATACAACTCGGCCGTTACATGTAAGTTTCTCATATGTAAGGATTGGAATATACATAAAGCAGCGGCGTGCACGCATTGCCATGTGTGAATTTGAGCTTTCGGGCATGAGAAGTCCGTCGTTGATCGATCGCCTTGCCGCCCTTCCGAAAGACGGGCGACAATTCATTGCCTGCAAGAACACCCTCTGTTTCGGTTTGGCCCGTTTTATATATCATCCAAAAGCCATTCGCACCCTCGGCCGATGCCAACAGGTAAACGTCCAAATCTCATATTGTGACATGAAGGTCGTAATGAAGTGGGAAAGGGATAAAACAGCACATGGAACGAGATGATACTAAGAACAGATAAGGGGGGCCATTAAACTAGGCAGGCTGAACGGGCGATACTACAAAACTGACGCTCGGGAAGCAACATGAAGGCGAAAAGCAATCGCACGCCAAAGACATCCCAGACTGAAAAAGAAAAATAGGAAGATGATACAGATTCGTCAACTAAGTAAGCAAGCTATCGTAGTTCCCCCATGGATATACAATGCCACGCCACCTGGTGGTGCTGATGCTGGCGTAAAACCCGGCTCCAAGCAGAAAAAAAAAAGCCCAAAAGACGTGAACCCAACCGAGCGGACTTCACAGTGCACGCGGGAAGAGGGACAAAGAAGAAAGAAGAAAAAGCTCCCAGTCCGATTACTCGTACTTCATGCACTCATTCACATATCGACACCACCTTTCGATAACGGGTACGATGGTTCCTTCCCACGATTGGTCACCTAATTCTGGGGTTTCTTCAAAAATGTACATGTTGCAATGTGTTTTCTGGCCTGAAACCGAGGAGAAGATAAATGATCAATAGAACTCCCGCCATGTGGATTTACAATCCATTGTGAGAATGAGACACACAAAGAAGGGTTGTCTCAAAAAGCACAAGGAAAAAAAAAGAGAACTTACAATCTGTACATTCCTTCGACAGGGTCTCCAAAGGCGACAACTCAATTTGGATCAATCCTGTCCATCAAGCACCAAGTGATGAAAAGCACAAACCATCAACAAAAAGCATCGAATATGCAACAAGAAATAAGTAACAAAACAACAACAAAACTCACTGGCAAGTTTTGCTGAAAATCGGCACTTTTTAGACTTGGTGATATCCTCCTTAAGCGTAAGACCATCCATTCGATCAGCATCTAACACTAATCCACCAGGCCAACATCCTCTAAGTGTAACCTTCTTCGAACGATGTGTCTTTTGCCAATTTACAACAATATTGGTATACACGTTCGTTGAGTAACCAATTTTGATTGTGTATGTCGTCGTAGGTGTGGACGTAGGCTCTGGTTAGAAAGAGCATAGAGGCGCAACGGGAATGGGTGTGAGTTTGAGTGGGGAACAAGATAAGATTGTCAAACACGTACCTCGAATTTCGACGGCGTAAACGTACCCCCGGTAATCCGAATCGAAAGGTGGTCTCGTCGCTTCCCGTGTGAGGCGTCTTCTCGTCTCACAATCCAACGTCGCAGGGAGCCATCCACTCAAAGCTGCCAAAAGTGGGTGATGCCATATACGGAAGCAAAATGATAAGCAAAAATCTTAAGCCGATAATCATATCATAGACCAGGGACTTCAGAAGGAAAGGGAGCGAGGTTGGTAGGTTGGTCGGGGATGGGGGCGTCGTGCGTCTTGGATAGGTACAAAAGGGACGCAAAAAAGGGACAAGGAGGGAAGGCAAGGAGGGAGGGAAGCGAAGAAGCACAGTACCTGGGCAATGCCGCAGGTGGCAGGCGGCAAGTGTCAAGGGTGGAATAGGGTAGGGATTGTGGCGGGGACAGGCGATATGTAAAACTGGACCTCATCCACGCACCATCAGACACAGCCTTGGCATGATTACATTCCGTTATCGTGAGATGTTCCGAACATTTCCTTATGAGGGTTTCTGGGGGCAAATACCCTTTTGCTCGTGCATGTTGGAAACAATGTAATGGCCATGGCAATAATGATGATGACGAAGGGATCTGAGCTTGTTCTACTTCCGTCTTGACGACATTAGGATCGACAAGATCGGGAGAAGTACCGGTCTGTCGTCGGAGTTCAGAGCCGATATCTCCTTGATTTTCTATCTTATACGAGGAAGGATTGGCACCGGGAGGGCGGGACCGCCCAAATTGAGACCAAGAGCATTTGATGAAGAAACCGGAGGTTGCGGAGGCACGGGGAACTTGCCTGGGCACCGGCAAGGGTTGCCCAGTTTTGTCAATGCTGAACAAGGCACAAAAGCAACGGAACCAGATGACGATGACGATGGGGGGGGCGATCGCCTCAACGCCTCATTTGAATCAAGATTGTTCTTCGTGGTCTCCTGCCCCTCAAGTACGTTCACATCAACAGGGTCAGTTGGAATAGCCTGACCAATAGAGGGAGATGATGCATTAGCGGCCCTATTAGAAGTAGACACGGGTGAGACGCGAGGCAAGTCATTCAGATTCACATTGTTGACTGTATTAGATGTCAATGTGATTGAGGCGTGGTCTTGTTCTTGTCCAACTACTGGTACCGGTAGTTCAAGGCGGTGAGAAGGCCGTTCCGGTTCTTTCCCTTTTGAGTTAGAGTGAATCGTACGACTCGGTGAAGAATAAATGGACGGAAGATTAGGGTATTCGGAGATGATTGAACCGGTTTCTTTTGTGATGGTATGATGGACAATATCCAAATGAAATGGTTTTTTCGATGGTTCTTCATTGCATACGGGTGAGGTGACTTTCACGAATATTACTGGCTTTGCCTGAGCGCTGGTCGTGATAGCGATCGTTGGTGAGCCGGATGCAGCACGGCCAGCACTGGTTTGGGAGACACTATGGGCGCCCGCGGCGAGAGCTTTTGCCCTCCGACGTGCTTCACGCAACGCATGGAACTGACGAAGGAACTCTGCTTCTGAGTGCTGCGCAGCGGCCTTGCGCTCGTCGTCGGAAAGGAGTGGCACAGTTTCCCGGCGGTCTAATGAGAATACATAGGAGGAAGGTATGTTGTGGTGCTGCTTCAGCATCGGCTTTCAACAAACGGTAATGCGGTAAATAATGAGATATTTTGATGCGGTATTTAGATGGAGGTAAGAGAGAGCTTTCTGAGCTGAGCAGCCGTAGCGGAGCCAGGGTCAACGAACAGGTTGTCAAAGTGATCGTGGGAGTGTGGGAGCAAGGGCTGCTGCGCTTCTGCAGAGTCACACACAGGGTGTATAAATAACCAATGAGGTGTATCCCAACCTGAGGAAGAATGTTGGTGAGCGATAGACGCGGCCGGCAAGCGCGCGCGGACTGACCAAAACGAGCCAAATCACCGCGTCTGGAAAGAAAAAGCAAAGAAATTATATTCATATCATGCGATGAGCGACTTTCCATAGCAGGCAGTGAACAGTGGTTTTCCCTTCGCATTAGGCAGGTTCGGTTCTGTTACCCAAAAGTGTTTGAATGCCATATTGGGGTTGTATTATCCAATCCAATCTCCCACTACATAAGTGCTGACTCCTTCGGGGCTGCGAGTCCCTTTCCCCTCCTCATCCGTCGCATCACTCTCCCGACGATCAGACGCGCCCGCGTCAACCGCGGGGCTGCAATCGCCCTCAACAAGGCACTGTCACCTTGAACATCGCCACTCTCCCGCGGCCTATTCTCCAAGCTAGTTCATCCTAACTAGTAGATTTAGATAGGAGTAGGCGTTCATTCCTTGCGGACTTCTTTCTCCTGCTCGACCGTGACGGTGCGATTCGTTATCGCACCGGGGTAGCACAGGCACAACACGCCTATACAACTTGAAACATCCGAATCGAGTCTGAACCCCCCATCCTAATTTAGGACGGGTTGGAACACAGACACCAATCCAACACAACAAACACACACAGCACACTACCAACTAGCAAGTTCTAGTCTCATATAGCGTACTTTAGTCTACGCTCATCTCCCGCATCCTGTTAGACCTGAGTTGGATTCAAAGTGAGTCCAACTGATCTCGGGGAATGAACTCTTCCCACTTCATTTATCACGTCCATGTTCGGGCAACCCCCATTTTTCGCAGGCTGGCCTCCCCTTCCCTCGTGTCCATCTAGCTATCATGCCGGGGCCTTACCCAAGAGCAGCTTCCCCATTTAGCGCCCGGTCGCGAGTAGCCACACCCACCCAATTCAACAACGCCACCTCCGCGTCTATTTCCATTAGCGCCGAGGAAGAGTACCCATTTGCATCTCATCTGGTCACATCCCCTGACTCTCCTCGCTCTTCTCTGTATGGTCACCCCCGCCAGTCGTCTCTGAGCAAGGAACGGCCACAATATAAGGGGAGCTACGTATCCGCTGAGGAACCTAACAGTACAGCCAGCGTCCTCAGAAAACAACAGCGAAATGCCCTTGTATCGAATCACCAGAAGTATGTCACATCGTCTTACTCCCATCCCTCATCATTAGCGCACTCCCGGAACTTCGCAGTAGCCTCGAACTGGGGGATCTCGTCATCACGGTCACTGGGGGGTGAACATCTCATGGATTACCCCTCCCGCTCCCATCGATCAATGTCCCCTTCCCCTTCCCGTCTCTCCATGCACAGCAATCGACCGGGTCGAGACCCTTCCTCGTATTACCCTACTCCACCTCACGACGTAATCCCGAATGATCGTGGCTTTGACACGTATTTACCGCCATTGCCTCTCCGTGCCACCGCCACGAGCGTCGCCCCACGGTCGTTCTCTGCTCCAAGTCGAGGAATTGTTGGTGGACGCCGTGGCATTGGTATCCGAGGGCCAAGTCACCTTAATAACAAATTTGTTGCTGTGGATAAGGGACGAAGTTATAGTTCAATGGATTATAATAACGTCCCTTTCGATGGCGGCGGCGGCGACATTGATTCGGACGAGTATGCAGAAGGGGATCCGTATGATTCAGATGAAGGTGTAGCGAGAAGAGCTCATCCCTTACCTACACCAAGCCCAGGACCCATAACGCGGTTTTCTCCAACGAGATCGTTGATGAATGATTTGGGGGTTGGTGCAGGGACACTCGCCCCCTCTTCACCCCCTGAACACGACGAGCAGCCTACCGCATCATACCTCACTGCTTCACCACTGATGGACACCGCCAACGAAGAGACGAATCAACAAACCACTTCACTTCTACAATCAAGACCACCTCCGAGTCGCGAACTCTCAAGAGGAACGCTTTTCCCTCGAACACCAGCCAACCGACCATTCCCACCAGGTCAATATCCCCGCGTCCCCGTTGCTCATCTTCCCGTGCCTCCATCACCATCGAGTACATCTCACAGCACTGATTCAGAACAAGGAATACGGGGGCCGATGTTCAATATGCCTGGATTAGACATTCGAGAGAAGGATGATCCGTTCAAGGAGATCATTCTTGAGGATGAAGATCAGCGTGGTAGACCAAAGCATGCCAGGAAGGGAGGACAGTCTTCTTCAAGGAAGAAGAAAGGAGGTAGTTATGATAAAGGGCTAAAATCGGAAAAGATAGGGGCCAATCGGGAAAAGAGTACGGTTAGACAAGGAAGGGTGTGGCACGAAGAAATTGTCGAGGCGGACTCGACTATGCCCAACACGCCCTTATCCACTATGACGAGAGCGAGAGCGGGGTTGTCGTTTGTCGGTGAAGACGGATCATACATACCGAGTCATCATGGGAAGAACAAGTCGCTGCGACTCGGAGCGGCTCCGTTTGGTCATGATGAGTATACGTAAGTCTGCTTTCCCCTCGGTTAGTTCATGTAGGTGTTGATTAGTTGTCCCGGGTGATCCCTCTAGCCCATCATGTACGGATGGTCTGCGGAGGTCATGGCAATCATTCAAGATCAGCCTGCGATTTGGTATGTTCCGGACAAGAAAGCGACTTAAGAAATCCGCGGGACTTTCTTGATCGCTAGTACCTCCATGATATGATTCCCCCCTATCCTCGCTTTACATTCCTCCGTTCCAATAGTGTTATCGTAAGTCTCAATCGTGCGCTTGCGCCGGTTGGTTCTTGGGGGCTTGTCCTTTCGTCTCTCCGTTCGTTGGTTGCCTGCCCCAGTCCTCTTCCCTCCCTGATTGTTTGTGCTTCGATTTCGATCCATCCATCTACCCCCCAACCCACTCTGATTCCACGAATTTACATTCCCCTCTTTCCCTGATTCACGTCTTCCTTCGCATATGTATCTCTCCCCCTGATATGATTACTCTCCTGTTCTCATCTTCCCTCCTCCAAAAAAGGACAATTCCCTTTCACCTTCTCATTCTCCCTTCATGAACTTGATGACTTTGTCCCGGAAACGACTTCTCTTTCTTGTTCCAATCACCTTCGGTTCTACCCCACTGTTTTGCCTTTCGTACATGTTAAAGGCCTTTTTTTGCTACCCTCATCTGTCTCTTTGTACCTTGTTCATTCTTTCCATGACATTTACCACCTTTCTTCCCTGGGATTGTTTCATTGTGACTTTTTCTTTCCCTTTTCATTCCAACCATAACCACCATCCACGCGCACACACATTACACACATACAGATACACAGCAGCATGGCAATGGCAGTGTTCGCTTGAACTTCCATCTTTCTTTCTATACACTTTTTCGACTTTCTTTCCCGTGTGCGATTTTTTTTTTACTTCCCCAATTTCCATTTTTCCCTCTCCGCCTTCTTCATCCCCACAACCTGACGCACTGACTTTTTTCTTATGACGAGCAGCGCGATGTGTATCATACGTGTTGTAGCATACCCCCCAACTCTTGTTTCTCGTGTTTCACTTTCATTCCTCCTCGTTCTTTGTCCTTTTCCCCCATTTGGTGCTCCATGCGTGTCTAGTTGAGTCTGGATTTTGAACGACTTGCTGTACGTTCAAACAATACTATGGTACTTTTTGAGGAGGTCATGAATTGCAAGGGAAAGGCGTGGCATTCGTGGGGAGTCCGGAAGTTGAGCCGGTGTGATATGCATGAGCCTTTGGATAAGGCGTGAGGCAGGTTCATGTTTCAAATTCCCAGCCTATCTATGTGGATGTCAACTCTTTCCACCGCTTTGCCGATAAGAACGGAGTGAAATCCCGGCCGGGCTCACACCGGACCCAACCCTCTGAGATATATATTCTTCAACTAGATCCTCAAAGAAACACTCATTAAGGTACGGTGTGTCTGGAATAATGAACCTACAAGATATGCATCATGATGATGGATTGTTCCAGGGACGATGTGTTGCCGCGCCAGGACTTCATGTCCTGCCGAAATTGCTCAAAGAAGCTCGGATGCGGAACAGAGGTGTCCCCCCCTCCTGTCCGAACCCCCGTTCCGGGATCCGGCACCCGGCACATGCGCAAGTGACCGCCTGGGGGTTCCGTGTACAAATAGGAGCGATTGTCCAGTCCACTCGATCTGGGGGGAACGGAACGATGAAAATATGAAAAAAGACCAATCACATGTCTCAAGCTCAGTGAACAAAGCTCCTAGCCTGGATGAAGTGTGTGAGATCGTCCAGAATGTTTGAAAGGTCCAGGCCAGTCAGTGCCAGAGGGGCAGGTCACCATTAAGGAGCGCACGTAGGACGAATGGTTTCGGAGTATGCCCTGAGAGCACGTACGCCCAGCGGTTCAACTATGTAGCAGTGTGGGGAACTGGATTTGAGGATAGGAGGAATCGAAGACGGTCGGACACGCTCCGAGACAAAGATCAATAGTGCTCTAAAGCAGGGAAGATGGGACCATGCGGGTATCAGGGCTCTTAGAAGCAAGTGCACGGAGCACATGAGAAGAGAACGCGAGGCAAGCAGACGAGAACCCAATTGAAAGAGATGACACCGGCAACACAAATTCCGTATATCCGTAAGTGATGACTCTATGGTTTTCCTTGACGGAGGAAGCTAGAACGAGTATCCCCTCACTTGGCGCTCTCACAAAGTTCGAATCTCTATCATTATAAACAAGTAAATGAAACCGCCCAGGCATACAGCTTTAACTTCGACTCGCACTTTCCCACCATATTGCTGCGCAATCAGGCGGTATGTCCTCCTAGTGAGAACAGCCGGAATCGATCGGGCGCAATTCCAATCTGCGCGCGGGACCCATACAACAAAAGAGCCTGAGACACAAAGACAGAAACACACAAACGGAGTAAGAAAGCAGGGACAAAGACATTGGGAAAGCGATGTGACGGAGCCCTCCCTGGTGACAAAACATCAACTGGGAAAAAATAATATTCTGTCCGATAGGCGGTGGAATCAGTGATCCGCTACGTCAAGCTCCTCACGAGTGCCTATCCAGCAACCTTCGATCCATGCTTTACAGCTTTTGCTCGTTCCAGTCATGGATAGTACCGATCTTGTGAGGGGTCGGACGCTATGATCTTATTAGTATCTGTACTGTATCAATAGAAGAATGAAGGTGTACCTCTCCTTCTAAGGTCATCCTGACCTTGTAATTTCTCGGGCACGAACAGCTTTTTGATGTGCAGCCTCCCAGATGGCAGTCGACGGTCTAGTATACTAGAAACCAACGATGATGCACGCAGTGGAGTACTACGTAATCCATGATCCGTCGGGCCCTTGGTAGTAGTAGCACGTACAATTGCTCCAGCTGCCCTGACTCTGAAAGAGGAACTGACACCTGAGCACTAAAAATAATCGGTCGTGTACAATAGGTGAACTCCTCACATCAATATCCTCTCCCTTGCGAGATTTGCCTGCCATTGCTTCAAGGTGGTCAAGAAAACCGTCCAAAATTATGGAGAAAATTCTTTCCACCACTACAGTAGTACGCAATCAGAACGAGATCCATATAGAGAAATGTTATGTCACTCGCCAGGCATCATACCTGAGAGGAACTTTGACCTGTAGATTTTTCGCCATCATATTTGAAAAACTGGAAACTTTCTAGGTCCGTCAAGAGGTGGTTGCGGATTAAGGCCAAAATTTGCGATAATAAACGAACGCGGCTGATTTTCAGCATGCTGTTGTTAGTATAGATGAGGGCAGCTGAGCTCACCCTCCAGACTTGTGCCTCATCCGCGTTATTGCGACCACCTAAAGAACTCCACCATATAGGGGGGAAAGCTTTTGCTTTATCTCTCCACTGCAACTTATGGAAGTTCCATCTATGTGAGCTTCTGGTTTGTCAATGAGGTGGCCTTAGAATAGTTGACGAATAGGAATGTGCCACTATAATGAACAAAACCGCCACACTGAAACGAACAAATAATCATTAGAGAACAACTTACCGCGCGTTGACATTCTACGTGGAAGGTCCCACCTCATGTCCTTGCGCTTTCATGGCGTTCGCGTCATCCGTCTGCAATTGCATCATGAACAAATCGCCCAGGTGCTCTATTGTGCTCGATAGCGATGGGGAGTTTGGAGATATGAAGTTGTTGCCATTGTCAGGTATGTAGGGGGCTCGGCACTACCTGGCTCCTAGCTCGTGTTCTGCGTGTTACTGCACGGGTACGGCACCTGACTCGCTGTGCCGAACGTCGCTTCGTTCCAGGAGTTGTGGTGGGGCCTGGGCACCGAGTGAGTTGACTCCACCGCGACTCCTGGAACGAAGCGACATTCAGCGTGGCGAGTCAGGCACCATACCCGTTCAGTAACACACAGAACACGAACCAGGAGCCAGGCAATGCCGAGCCCCCCTACATACTTGACAACGGCAACAACTTCACGGAGAACAACTTCATATCTCCAAGCTCCCCATCGCTGTCAAGCACGATAGACCACCTAAGCGATCTATCCATGATGCAATTGCAGACGGACTACGCGAACGCTGTGAAAGCGCAAGGACATGAGGCGGGACCATCCGCGTAGAATGTCAAGTTGTTCTCTAATGATTATTTGTTCATTTCACGCACATACTTGCTTCAAGACATCAGAAACGAGATGCGTCAGTATTCTGAGGCACCCTATAGACGTCTAGCATTATAGCAGCAAGTCCCTCAATATAGCGATGTCCGGGGTCGTTTTCTGCTGGACATTGGTGTGGTTTGAATTGTGCGGGACCGAGTCGCATTCAAGGACGCGATTTCGCGCAGAGTTAGCCGAATCAATGAGGGTCGCAACGACAACCGTGATCAAGTTCAATTGGAACCTGCCCCATGACTTGCATTCGGGCGAAAAGAATTGAATTTGGCCAAAACCGGATCGGCTTCCTTAAGAGAAAATGCCCAAGTTCTAAGAGTTGGCAACCTGCTGGAATGATGCCGTCGATAAACAAATCGGTCGGCCATCTGGCAACTACCTGAAGGAAAGGAGAGAGCCAAATAAATGTATGTATTTCTTTACATGGATCACAATTTCGATTCGGTTCATAAAACTGACATTGGTTTTTCCCCTGCATCGAATTGGTCAAAATGATGGCGAGGATGGCATGGATAGTCGGATCAGGAAAAGCGCACGGGAGCTTATTTCCAATTGATATCGGAGCGAAACCTGCTGACTGGACACATCCTCCTCAATCAAAGCGGACTGCAATGACAAACCATCATCGGCCATCGACAAGAATATCACTAAGCCAGTAGGATAAGACGCCCCACTTGCCTTCTATCTGGAAAGTGTAAACATATCCTTTACCCGAGTCCTCGGGCTTAAGAGGCCTCCTCATCAATTCACCTAATTCGTGGTATATCTTGCTGTCTAGATCCACTCGCCGAATCGGGTGGAATCCACGTTGAGTTTCGTAATCAGAACCCAAGTCCGAGCTCCCGTCTTCCACATCCGATTCTTCCAGATAACTGGGGGTTGGGGACTTGCTGACTGTGTGGGTGACCACTGGGTACTACTGACGGTGCACGAATGGCATGTCTGTTTGTTAGGTCAGGCTGGATGGCCGCAAGGGGGAGACGGGTAAAGGAGGCACTTGTCTTCAAGGAGGACAGGCTGTATCCCATAGTGCTGGTGGTTGAACTGGAGAGGCTGCTTGGTGAGGGCATCAGGGGCCCATGACGGTAATCGCTATCCCATGGTGTGCTTCTCAACGTCGTTACTCTCGCTCTAAGATCGTGATCTTGGGGGTCCGAAACGAAGAGCTCTACGAAACGTTCCAGCATTAAGAGCATCTGAAGAGCAAATGCGCGAGCCTTTTCTCTGGTGCCACAGCTGCCTCGGACGTAAGCGACAAACCTGGACATGTCTGTAAAATGTGGGGTGTGTGAAAAGGTGTCGCAGAAGTGGGTAGGGTGAGAGGAGATGCCTGGTTGTGGGACCGTCATCGGGACGCTGTTTGTACTCCTTTGGCCCTGCATGGCCGTTGAGTTCAAGCGATGCCACCCCAGACCTCGGTCCCCCAATGATGCCTATTTGGTTTGTGATCTACCACCGGTCTCATTACGCAGTGAAGTCCCTCGATCTATCTTCGTAACGCACATTGTGCAGGTCACTGCCAGTGAGCGCTGCTGCAGATTCAAAAAATACATAATTAGCACAGCACTGAACGACTGGCCAAGAGAATGACTAGCAAAGGAAATTACTACGTAGCAAAGGAAATAACTTCACATGGCAATGAAAAGTCCAGACCCGTTACAGACAATTGCCAACAAGCACAGGGAATCGCAACAGAGCATCTGAAAACATAGCAACAGAGGGAGTTATTACATACATTCATTGACGTAATCTCCCCATTTCTGAACGACTGGGATAACAACTTCAACCCAGGTCGAAACTCCGCCATGCGGAAACGCATACAATCCGACATGCTTCGTCTTTGCGATGCCTTATTCACAGCAAGGGTGCAATAAGTTACACGAATTAAACGTTGGAAATACTTACAATAATCACACCGCGTCAAATGTTTGTATTGGCTCAGCTCTATCTCTATCAGTTCTGGTCGGGGAAGCGATTAATACCCGGCGGAAAGGGGCGGTGAGCCACTTACTTGAAAGGTGCTGGTAACACTTAATCCGCTCTGTGATCTCTTGCAGATGCTGCCTTAGTCTCGGTCCATCTGAAGAGATGACCGCTTCGATAATGCCGCCTGGCCAGATGGCCCTTAATTCGGCCTTATTTCGTTGATGCGTTTTGTTCCAGCGATCCATCGTCTGTAGCATGTTTTTTGTGTAGCCCAGACTCACAAGAGTATGACCAGAGATGTTATGGTCTAATGATAATTAACTTCAAAGTGGATCGGAGAAATAAATGGAATATTGGTGTGGATTCACCTACTATTTCCATCGCATATATGGAACCGAAGCCGGAATTCGAGGGCGCAGTGGCCATCATCCGTCGCAATTGATCCTGGATACCGTGAGATAAGTGAGAGGGTATCCACTTGTCGATATCTGAACAGCATTAAGTCGGATATGACAGAGGCACCAATAAAAAGGCTAACCATTCGAAACATCGACTCGGAGTGAAGACTTCGGGAGCTGCGTAGCTTCCGTAGAGAACACTCTGCGGCGGTAGAACTTTCCGGGACTACCCTGAACGATGAGGTTGGGTAAGTGAGGGAAGTCTACCGAACTCGCTATGGTGGCTGGACTCGTGCGGGATGGCTTCTCAGGCGAAGCCGTGGTGAACGACTTCAATGGATCCCTCCAAGTGGTCAAGTTAGTGATGGTGTTGGGATCGCCGGAGGTAGTTCCTTTGATGGATGCTGATAGACTAGGTGCCGCAGTTGCCCGGGTAGAGGACTCGGGGGGTGTGATCTCCCGCACCGTTGAGCCATCAATAATGGATCTTACACGCGTCAATCGATCCATTAAAGCAAGTTCGTCCTCCCCTATGGATATGCGAGGTTGAACGCCATCGTCACTGGCTCTGCATGATGTAGCGCTTCCCTCGTTTGGCTCAGCGACAAACAAGGCGAAGAAACGCTCGAACATGTCAAGCATTTCAGTGGCAAATTCCCTTGCCTGCTCTCTTGACACTTGGCTGAACATACAGGATATCAGGGGTACGGTTGTTGATAAAGCAGAGGCACTCACCCTGGCTGTTTCGGCATGGCTTTGTGCTAAGGAGGGATCCTATCCTCTTTTCTCGCTAATCACGATTGACAGACTGAGAACGAACAGCACTGCGTGCTGTGCGTCGCGGGTTTGGTTGGAGTTTAAACAGCTCAGATGCGTGAGGTTGCCTTAATTCAAGACGCCGTATTCTCATGTGCAACCCCGCCAGGATGGAGGGGCTAAATTTAAGAAGTGTTTGGACGGTCGCACCGAACAAGGATGTTGTGGCAGTGCTGCCATGACAATCTCTTGGCCAATTCAATTCCAAACCATGACTCACAAAATGAGTCTCCTTGCTGGAAGCCGACCAAAACAGCACCATCAGAAGGAATAGGATAGCAGCGTGGCCGGTTTGTTCTTCGACTCAAAACTCTTGTTCATCGGACTAGATGTCATCGCTCGATCGTTCCCAAGTTTACAGACACATCGCAATGTGGAGTGACAATTATGTCCCCAGCTCACGAAAACATTGATTGAGTTTTTCATTGCCAGTGCATGTAAGACATCTGGGAGTTGCGATGGAAGATTTGCGAAGGTCGCATCCCACATGAGTCATGGCATGTAATTACTAATTACAGTAGTGCGTCGATAAAGAATCCTGGGGTTGGATAGCGCTGCCAGCATTGTCACGCGGAGAGGAGCTCGTTTCCAGCATATAAGTGATGCTTCTAGACAGCTTGGACTATTGTAAGAATGCTGGACACTCCTCAACTTTAACGATGGTTCGGATAAATTGAGAAGCGGATTCGGCAATGGCCACCTTATCAGGCTTGACACAGCCTCGAAGTGTCAGTTATGGATGAACCTGGGTTTCATGCACGTCGACGAGCGGCGAAGGTGCGTAAAGCAATACCTTTTTTCTGAAATGGCTTCACCGCAGGGGCATAGCTCACATGCCCGAACCTTTAGGAAGACGCATACTATGCGACGGTTGGGAGGGCCGCTTCACACATCAACATCCAACCCCTGAGTAACTACGAGGAGGCTGGAAGCCATAAGCCCATCGGCTATGGTTATGAAGTGCCCTCTTATCGACCGCCTATAAATTTGGGCCCCTCGCAAATCCCTAGCCCAGCCAAAGAAGATGGTGCTAGCCTCAGCCCGCCTCTATCTGCCATTGAACGGACTCTTAAATTCCCATCTCCAACACGTATGAGCCCCCACCTTCAGTTCATGTGCGGTCCTCTACTTCGATATGATACTGTCATTGACGGTGTCTGGCATGGGGCTGTGATGATTGTCACTGCAGACCAAGGCTCTGTGTATTCCCCTTCACCCTACCTTTCCCTGGAGTGGGATCCCAGTAGCCCACTCGTTCCTCCTGCCCTTCGGAAGGACAGGAGGCCCAGGTTATCGAGTGAACCAGCCCCATATGATCCTACCAATATTGGGAGTCTCTCTCCGATGCAACCTGAAGAGTTTTCCAACGGTGCTGACACTCCTAAGTCCCCAAAAACTGTCTATTATTCGAAACAAATCACTGGTGAAGAGATTTGGGTTTATTACGGCACAGCAGGGACATTCACATTCTGGCGATTCATGATTGAAATTCCACTCTCCAGGTATGAGATGGGAGTTTCTTACCAAATCAACAACGGTGCTCGCCTCGAATTCTTTGTGCCAGCAATTGGCCAGAATCTTCGCTGGGCTGTGCATTCGGTCAGTTCACTCTTCCTCGATGCCGACGGATATGTCGTCATTACACGTGACTGGTGCAATGTGAAACTGACCTTCTCATTCTCAGTGCAATGGATTTAGCGCTGGAATCAACCCGGATGATTTCAAAGGTCCTGGGTTTGTCAGTGGCTATGACCCTCTCTGGGTCGATCTCTTAAACAAACATTACGAGAAACCCTTTCATGCTTTGGTCGGAGGCGGTGATCAAATATATTGTGACAAGTAAGCTGTCATCGTTGATAGCTGTGCTACTGCTAAATGCGTTGTTAGAGTGACTCAGGAGCCCGAGATACAAGACTGGATCAACAAGAAACTTGTCACCGATAAAATTAATTACCAATTGACGGACGAAATGCGTTTTGCAATCGATCGATTTTATTTCAGCCATTATTGCCTCATGTTTAGGAGTGGCGCTTTTGCTAGATGTACGAGAACAATGTGAGGGACAAATCCATGTAGGTTCTGACGCACGATATTGATTATTTTCACGCTCGTAGCCCAATGGTAAGTAATTGTGTCGCCAGTTCCGAGGGAATGCACTCCGAGCCGTTTGTCATCTTGGTTGCCATAGGTGAATATGGTAAGCCTGAATCTCGTCACGTTTCGACTTGCTGACCTTAGGTGACCTTCTAGTTGGACGATCACGATCTCATTGATGGTTTTGGAAGTTGTACGTCTTCATATTTTCTATGGGCCCCATCATCGACGTCGCTGCACATTTTCGAAAAGATCCGGCTGATCTACAGTCATCTCCCGTCTTCAACGCAATCGGAGCACGAGGATACTTCTTTTTTCTACTCTTCCAGCAATTTACTGTGGACGCAGTGGACGGATCGTTGGATATGCACCCACATCCTAACAGAGCCCTCATCATGGGCGAGCTTGGCCCCTGGATTCCATCGTGCTCCCATTCGCTGCTGACATATTTGGGACCTCAGGCCCAATTACTTTTGTTGGATTGCCGGTAATGGGTTTTTTGAATCCTTTATAGCGTACTCCGTGTGTTGACAGTCACCTATGGCCAGCGCGGAGCGACGGAAGGAGCGTATTGTGTCCGAGAAGACATATAAGGTTATCCTTGATCGAATAAGAGCTTTACCAACAAGCGTCGAACATTTAGTTCTTTTGCTTGGCGTGCCGATTGCCTATCCCAGAATGAACTTTTTAGAGTAAGTGGCAAATTGATCACCTCGTCGTGCGTTGTGCTCATGACATCGCCCTACTAGGTCTGCCCTAGAATCCAAGCTAAATCCTTTCATTGCTTTAGCTCGCTCAGGATTCGGAATGAGTGGGTTCGTAAACAAGTTCAATAAAGAAGGTGCGTAGTCTCCTGCATCATGTTACCTTAATCTGACCTACTGTTTCAGCTGAGCTTCTGGACGATCTGGTATGTGGACGCTTCGTGTAATGTTTTGAATGATTTATTTGGGGGGCAGAATGACCATTGGACAGCCACGCATCATAAAGTATGGTGTTATATTGAGCTGTATGGCTTCTCATCTGCTGCTGCTCATTGTATTGAAAATAGGCTGAGCGCAATTGGCTGGTTCAAGAACTCCAGAAGGTCGCTTTGTCTCAGAAATTGCGCATCACCTTCCTCAGCGGTGATGTGCATTGTGCTGCCGTTGGATTGTTCAAAAGTCTCGTCAAAAGCAAGAAAGGTCCTGGGGTGGATCCTTACCAAGATCACCGCTATATGCTGAATGTGAGCATCGTTGATCTGCGAAGACGCGCACAGAGCCCCTGACTCTTCCTTCAGGTTGTCACAAGTGCCATTGTCAACACACCTCCACCCGCTGGGGTGTTGAAGATGGTAGGGCTTTTAGGGAAGAAAACCCACAAAACTTTACATTCCGCTCAAACAGATGAAGTGATGGTGCGCATTCTGCTGCTGCCGCTTCCGCACGCAGTGGAGGCTGACATCTGGCTTTCAGGTGCCGTTATTTAAGCAGGACACGGATGGAACTCCATTGAAAGCTAATTTGGTGATGGGAAGACGAAACTGGTGTCAGGTTGATTGGGATGAATCGAGCGGTGATTTGATCTTTGATATTCGTGTAGAGAAGGAGAAAGGTTATGGAACCAGCGTGAGGTGCGTGCTCGCGGATGGCATTAGCATTGGCAATTGATTTATTGGCCAGTTATCCTATTCATGCACCCGCTCCTCGATGGTCCAACACTTAGACCGTGGCTAACGCCATTTGATGTTGATGACTAAGTTATGCGTTCACTCGACATTCGGACTGTTTCCGTAGTACCCATGATACCCAAATTTTCCGCCGAGATGCTCTATCACATCCGCAGCAACCTAAGCGAAAACGATATACTAATACATGATAGCAATGATAATGCGTTATTTTGTTTTTGCTTTTTTCCGCTTAGGTTCATCCTTCCCCTTGACATGAGCCTTTCCCTCGTCTTTGGGAGGTTCGTCTGCCTCTGCTTTGCGCTTTGATTCAACGCTTCCGTTGTTCTTCGACACCCGCGGGACAGCAGCATCATGTATCTTCTGAAAGGTTTTCGTCAATTTTCCGGCGTGCGGACTGGATTCCAGCAGCTCTTCAAGGGAGTGAAGCGAGTCAGGCTCCCAAATAGCGGCCAGCTCATCCTGGAACTTAACGTGGCGCCCGGAGATAACCAACGCCTGTTGCCCGAATTTCAACAGGTCCCTAATCTGTCCGGAATTTTTTGTTTTTGCGCCGCCATCCTGAACCGCTTTTGTGATGTTGGAGTAAAGCAATTGACGGTAGGACTTCATGAACGAAACGAACTCGTTTTTATGAGTGTCTCCGTGCTGTGCGCGGCGTTTAGCGACGTTTCGAGCAGCACGGGTCAAACTCACCAAATTTTGTCCATTCACGAGTAACTCCTGCAGTATTTGAAACACCAGGAGTCGGCGGAAAGCGGTGTGAATCTTGCTGCTACCACAAAGTTCCAATATGTTATCACGGAGACCCCAAGCAACTAGATATTGCCGTTGGACCCATTGCTTGAAGAAATTGAGAACGTTATTTGACCCTGAACGAGTTGCGAAATCGTTCAATGACTCAAGATACAACGAGGTCACTTCTTCTGTTTGCCCCAGATGGCTGAGGACTCTTGCCAAATAAATTGCAGGGTTTGCAAACAAAGCCAAAGAGTCGCGAGACGCTTTCCGTGCTGAGCTGTGCAGTTGGCGGAAAACCCCCAGCGTCCTTTCCACATCTAGGCTCGGATCGGGGGGTGAGTTGATCTTGGAGAGCCTGGATTGAAGAATATTGAGGACTTTCTTGGAAAAGTGGCCTTCATCTGAGCGACTGGTCTGTACAACTTCCAGCAAAGCCGGAATCATGTGGGGAACAAGGGGGCTGGAGGGTTGCTTGCGTATGAAGATATCAATCAAATCTAGGACGCGAGTCTTGAAGTTCGTGGCGTCAAGCCGAAGATCTACAAGGACAGATGAGCAAGGCTCGGCTATGATTATTATAGGCGCCTACTTTGCACATGCTTCTTGGCCGGCTTGGGGCCGCGTTGCAGACGGAAAGCCTCGACAAGTTTGCCGTCCAGCTTCAGCATCTGCTCGTCGTTCATCTCTCCCTCCTCGCCGTCTTGCTCCGGGTCATCAGTTTGGAGGGCTTCGGCTACTTTGCGTCGCAATTCCTCCAATTGCTCATCGTCCCCCTCAGGAGAAGATTCATTTGCACTCTCGCTGTCATTTCCGTCGGCATCATCATCTTCCTTCTCATCGCCATCGGTGTCTTCATCCGACTCCGAGGATGCACTACTGCCTTCGCTCTCGGCCTCCGCTTCATCGTCTTCACGTAAATCACTCGACGATACATCACGCTGCTCAAGTTGCTGTAGTTACGGGATGGGAGTAGTTAGGGAAACGCTGTGGGAAGGGATACACAATTCCTTACTGCCAATATTAGATCCATCGTGCCCTGCCGCATCTCTGGAGTAAGGGCTTCGAAACAAACATTTGCAACTACACGCGAGTACGCGGTACCAGTTTCAAGCAATCCGATCAGAATGTCAACAATCTCGTCAATTGGTAGTGGGGCATTCGGCAATACTTCTGCGACATTGCCCCTCTTCTTAGGCGACGATTCTTTGGGAGGCAAAAGTCTAGCTACACTCGAGATGCAGCTCTGAATACAATGTATAAGACGTGAGCCACTGCATTTATCTGGGTCACTTGAGGTACTCACTTGAAGAAGCTCCTGAACATCAGCATCAGGATCGTAGGTATTCAGTAGAAGTGCACTGAGTAAAACGTCTATGCCATGTGCCATCTCCTGATTGTCCTCCTACAACCGGAAAGCTCAAGCAATGACCTAATGCCATAAACACCACACCATGGACGTACCGAGGCGCGAAGGCGCGACCGAAGTTTCTTAGTCTGCTTTCTTAGAGCAGCTAAAGTTTCGGATGGCTGTACAAGAGGGGTGGCAGCCTTTGTAGTATCTGAATCCCGCTCCAACTCCGAAATGACCCCAAAGACTTTCGACAGCCATGATTTACCATCCAATGCGAATGCAGTAGGGGTCTTAGCAGTTCTGAGGCTGGCATCTGGTCATCGGATCTCTTAGGCTCGAAGCGAACAGAAAACAGTGTTAAGCGAACCTTTGACGATAGTTGACATTAAGCCTGCCAAAGTAGCAAAAAGCCGCATCCGACAATGTTTCCTCGCCACCACAGAGAATGGAACTTTCGGCGCCTTACGAATCTGAAAAAATCATGAAGTTAATCGCGCCAAAAGTTACAATACTCGGCGTACACTGGTAATTGCATTATGGTCGAGTTTCTCTTGTACATCAAAGAAACCCTCAACGATAAAGAACTCCAGAATTGGCATGATGCATTCGTCATTTTTTCGAATCGAGGGATTCCGAGACTTGGCCCAGAGCTGGTCAATGGCCCAGAGTCGGAAGGATTCAGAGCTTAGAGGACTTTAGAGATCAGGCCACGTAATGAGAGAGTGAAACTCGCCTGTTTTCCTCCCCGCCGTCTCGCAGCAACTGGATAATATGCTGAATATACTTCATCACAATATCCTCGTCAGTAGCTATTAAAATATTTTCCATGGTATTAACATTCGGGATATATAATTGATGGCTCTTGTACGACCCAAGCCATTGAGTGAAAACATTGAACCCGGTGATAGGATGCTGTGCCACTATTGACCGAACTTTTGTGGCCTTGGAGAAATCAAAGTGAGCTGTTAGAAGAAAACATGGGAAAGCACAAATGGTGTGGTTACCAGTTGTTGTGCCATCGGATGCAAGTTACGATCCCTGTCTGACAAATACTTGATCCAGGTGGACATGAAATTCCAGGTGAATAATTGAGGTATATCAGAGGAAGGTATAGTGTTGAGGGCCAAATTAACAACTGAAAGACCCCAGAACTGGTACTCTTGCGAGGGAGCCTCAGGCGAAAGTAAGGATTCTACAATCAAATTTGGTTGGGCTGTGACTACAGTACATGCTTGCCTACTCACCGTCCACCACGATGCGGAAAAAGTCGGAAAAAGACGAATTGTGCGGGGGCTCAGTGCCATCTGTTGGGTAATACTGTTGGATGATCAATTGCCAAGCGTAATGCAACTGAGGTTTCCATTCAGTGTCCTTGGGGTGGATGGACGTATTAGTTCCCTCGTCGGGGAGTCCCTGACAGACACAATGCATCACTTATTTCTGCCGAATAGTATCGCTCGCGCATACCTTTAAAATTCTTGCGACGCTGGCAAGATTGTTGAGAGTCAATGGATGCCCGTTTTTAAATGTTGGGGCCAACAAAGACTTCCAATTCGCTGATGGGGCCAAGGGCATCAACTGAAGGGTGATAGCAAGCTTCTCGGGTGTCCAGGCTGTTGAGTGGGGGCTATGCTTCTTAACTTCATATACTGTATTAAGGATCCATTGCTTCGCCTCGCTCATCCATGGAACAGAACCACACTCTCGAAGACGGTCAATACTCAGGCCAATGGCCCACCAACAGCTTTCTCGGAGCCGTGATTCCTCTTTGCCTACGGCAATAAGCTCCCTGCAGACAGTTTGAAAGTTTGAGAGTGAAGAAGGCGTCGTCAGAGGGGAACATTCGGTCTGTGGGGCGGCAACCTGATACAAAACCCTCGACTGGATGACAGAAATCAAGCCGAACAAGCGAGCAAAATATTGGTCCGTGACTTCAGAACCTCGCATATCTGCCGATATCTTGCTGGAACTAAGCACCAATGAGATGATTTGAGAAGAAGAGATTGTATTTAGCCTCGACAATAGCTATAGCTTGGTGTGTGAATCCCGGTGAGAGCTAGCTATCAGGAAATTAAACACCTACTTCAGTCAAAACCACTGCAAAACCCAGTCTGCTGCTTTCACGGGAGCTCGCGAGACCGCGAGATAGTCGACGAACAGCATAGCTAACGTCTTCAGCATGTAGACCTTTGATTGCCTCAAGGGGATCCACAGGAATTTTGTTCTTGAGGGGCCTTGATTCTTCATGGTCATCTTCTGCCGCATCTACCAGCATCTTGTGTGGCCCTTTTGCTTCATACTGAGATTGGGATTCAAGTAGAGTATGAACGAGGTTGACAGATGCATCCAAGCGCTCCTCCCTGGCTGGTAAAGACAGATGCTGAAACAAGTCGAGCGTCTTAGAACTCGCCATTAGGACTGAAAGACAAATGAGGGCGCTTGAAAAGGAACTGAATTGACGCTTCAGTGATAACTCGGCTAGCTCCGTTTGAATTCAGGCAAGGCGCCATTAATATATTGAATAGGGGTCACGCGGGGGCTAAGTAACTCGGCAATTCATTGAACACGCCTTTGTGCAATGGGTCTCCGGGTCGGTGTCATCGTCTGCGCGACGAGCTTTCTACTAGGTGAGTCCTTCGACCCGGTAATACATCTAATCGTGCATCATATCCACTCTCGTCCTAAAGGGTGCTTCCTCTCGCATTGGATTGCCGATTCAGTGACCTTGTGGCAGGTGCCCCTGACGGATGAGCACCTCCAGGTAGCAGCAGATTACTATGCAATTTTATCAACTATGCCTATATACATGAGACTTGTATTCGTTATGATCGGCTTCGTTTCTGCCATCGCATTGTCGTTGAACCTCCTCGATGGTCGGGCCGGGAACATCATGTTTGATGGAGGAAGCGTGTGTAAGCGATGTGAAGATCATGGTGAACTCTGATTGTGCTGATATGCCATTATTCAAATAGTTTTGTGCTTCTGTACTCTTGTGGTGTGGTTCTGGTCATGTCTCCCTAGTGAGTGTGCATCAAGTGACGACATCCACGGCTTTTCCAACGTTTTGGTTCCTAAGATATCGAAAAACTCGTACCGAGGCGACAGTTCGAAACCCCCTTTCCTGCAGAGTATCGCGAGGACATCCTTGAAATCGCGTCGAAGAATCTCGTCTGTAGTGTCGCCCTAACGGGCGTCATGCTACTTCAAGCCGGCCGAGAGTGGGCTGAGGTCAAAGCTCCACAACCGACACCCTCTTCCCTTTCTGGCGCCGAGGATCCGTCGACAGAAATTCAAATATCCGAACAAAGCAGAGGAGATTCTGCTGTCGTTGACGAGGTGCATCTCCATCCACTGGATGCTGGCAAATTGCAACTCAAAAACGCGTGGCGGGGCCGTCGACGAAGCCACCATGATCATTTGGACCAGGATGTTGATGACTCTGCATCCAATGCGTCTGGATCAAGCAACACGCGCCGATCTCGGAGCCCCCGCAAACGGGAAGCCAGCAGCCGTCAAAAGCGGTCTGGCATGCAATTGCGGAAACGTGTATCTGGACCTGATCAAGCGAGCAGCTCCACTTAACGGTGACCTTCATCGCATACCGATGAACGCTTTCGGGGACGAGTAAAGAAGATGTCATCTCCCCAGTGCTTGTTATTTGCATTTCATTGGCATTCTTGGGCATTGGAGCATTTTTTGTCTGTATAATTGGCCTCGACTTTCATAATTGTTGGCAGTGTAAACAGCTCAACTTGTACCTTAAATGCATCACCGCTGGAAACTATGAATATTATTCCATACCCACGGCTAGAGCCTAATTAACACGATGCAATGTACAGTATCCAGCAAGTCTCTTTCTACCCTGAGTGTTCTACAACGTTGGTCACTAACTGCCCCCCTTTGATGATAGTCTTGAGCATTTCTGGAACAGCACGTTCAACAAATACGCCATCATCTTCTCCTTCCACCGGTAAGCTGACGTTGATCGCACTGCACTTGGCGGACGTGATCTCCACATCTAAACATTCCCGCGACAGATAAATCTGGCCAGAATCAGTGGTGTCCAACTGGATTGTAGGTGCTTTGCCAGTAATTTGAATTGCGAAGGAAGGGGATGATGTTATAGAAATTCCGGATACGACAGAATCAACGAGCACGGATGTCTTCTTGCATTGGACTTTTGGGAGCTAATCTTAGCAAGGGTCACACATAGGACAAAGAAAGCAGAACTAACCCAAAGTCACTGCATTAACCTTTCCTTTCACTTGAATTGTTGAATTCTTACACCCGTAAATACTAACCACTTGATTAATAGAAGTATTTTCAATGGCCAAGTTCCTATTATCCTCAAAAAATTCCTACAAGGTCAAATCAATGGAAAAATACAAGTCAACAAAAGAAAAGACTTGCCACAACCCATTTATTAGCCTCCAACGCGAACTTCGACGGTTTCTTCCCCGCTAAAGCAACTGGCTTGGCAGGCCGAGCGGGTTTCTTGCCAGGCGGTCCTGGAAATAGTACTCCGTGAACATGAGCGACATGTGAATGAAAGAAAAACAAACCTGGCGACGTGGCTCTTGTGGGTGATGAGCCGGAAGGTACAACACTGCCTACTCTCAACGACGGGTTCTTATGTGTCATTTCCTCCTTCGGGACTTTACGTAGCCCTTTAGTGATATCGCTGCCTTGGTTAATCTGCGCAAAGACAGCGGTTGCACCGTTCGCCCCTGTGGTTGGGCCCGACCCCGGGGGTACGGAAATGGCTGGAGGCAAGGGTGGCGGCGGCGGCGGCGGCGGCGGCGGTGGTGATGGCGCCCCTGTAGGTTTCGTGGCGGGTGCATTATACGATGCAATGTCTTGGCCCTGCAAGAGTCAACGGATACAAGCTTCTTACAAGACAACTGCTTATTACCTTTGGATTCCAGGCGAGTCCGGTTGTGTGGTGCTCCTTGACGTAACTCTGTAATGTATCAAGAAGCGCATCGAAGCTCTTCACCCATTCAACGTGTTTTTTGTCCCTTGGAAGAGAATTAGACACAAGGCATATCAGTGGCTTGGCATCACATACTTGTCCTTAAACTCTTTGATCACTCGGTTCGCGTAGAACTGGGCCGCATTCTTCATTTCTGTCACATACGGAGCGGGCTTTGGCGACTGAAAGAGATGGAGCCAATTGAAGATGCACAATCATGACATGTCTTGAGATACTTACGACCGTAACCCAACCGACGGCAGGTATTCCATCGGCAATGGTGGAAAGATGATTGAAGAACTCGCGATTTGACCGATTCGAATCCTTGATCTCCCCAACGAGTGCGATCTCCTTCGAAAAGGGCTCGAGTAGGACACCAAATGCCGCGTCAGCAGGCTTCTTGCATTGGGCAGCCTGTAGGATCAATCCCCTCTGTAACTCAAATAGTCTTGCTACATGGCTAACCTGGATACCAACATGAGTATCAAACCATGTCTCTGGACACAGCACCCCATCATACAGAAAGGGAAACTCACTTGATCCTTCAAAACGGGACTCAATTCCCCGCTTAATTGAAGGAAAGGTGCTAGTTTAACGACAACAGTCTCATCGAATGCAGTTATGATTGGTGGATCCTCCACGATTACAGGAGCAGAAGGCGGGGGAGGTGCTGATGGGGCGGCTGGAGCAGCGTGGGGAGCTTGCAAGACTGACGTTTGGGTGTGTGTCTGTGCATTCAATGATTGTGAAGCCGCTAGATCTTCGAGACGCGATGTAGCCGCCTCCAGCCTTACGGATCACAGTCAGTGCACGAGAATCGGCCTTGAGACAATCGTACCTTTTGATAATGGTGGTCAAGGTGTTCAATTTCTGAGGAGGAGTTGTCATATGGGTGCCGCAGACGTTGAGGGCGGCAATTGTCGGACTTACGATGTTAAGCCCGGTTGCACAATTGACAATTGACATCGACTTTGAATCTTTTTTTTTGGTGACAAAGATTAGCGTTTCCAGTGCACTTGAAAATAAAAATACACGATCCCGAGAGCTGCCGAAGTGCCGTATCTGTGTTGTTAGGTGTCAAGATGAGTGCTTTCAAATAGCCAAGGAACGAGTAAAATTAGGTTGCACGGAGCAGATGAGAATCTCAGCTTTGAACGTTGCTTTCACTAACATCAAGCTAGGATATCCCAAAATCATGCCCCCTGTGCTACCTCCATACCACCTTTCGAGTTTTTTTTTTTCAAGAATGCGCCGAAACCGGGGTATGTACTTCGAGCTATATCACTAGATTCCAAGGTTGTTGTGGAGGGAGATAAATTGTCTAACCGACACAACCACATCTCTCAGCCTGTGCGTTGTCAACCCTCACTCAGCAATCCATCAACTAGACATAAAGGAGCGTGGGGTGCTTCGTTGAGATTCATTGAAGGCTATGTGCAAGCGAAACGTTATAATAGGAATTAGAAACATGAATAGAAAAAGTGAGAGGGAATGGGCACGGGGAAACCCAAGACGGTGCTTGCGAGAAGAAGTTTCACCCCAACATGTGCAGATGGCTGCGTATACAAGTACGATGGAAACAGGTCGACGTGATCTGTCATCCCCCAATGACCCGATGACAATGAGGGAATCGTTCGCAATGCGACGGGGAGGATTGGCAAATGCACCCGACCTTAAAATGGGGAAAGTACGTGATCATGACAATAATAACATGGCGCGAACGACGCAGAGGAAGAAAATAGTCTCAAGAAAACGTGAGTGGTCCATGGGAAATGGGAAGAAGAGAAACATACGCATCAATCCAAGAATGTTCTTAAAATGTGGTCGAAAGACAGGGTGAACGCTGGCATAGAGGGGGTAACCAGGACAAAAACGAGGACGTGTTAGCCTGTTGAATTGAAGTCGACTTCGACCTGTGTTTTTGCTTCAAGGGGACGTCAGATGCGTGAAACGGCATGCGGATGGAGGTCATTGTATGGGAAATCGTAACGAGAACATCGACATAGTGGATGGATGAATGGATGGATTGACACCGCTAAATCAGCGGCAACGCGTCATCGGTGCAGCTGGCTAGTTGATTGGTGAGTAGGGCAAGTGAGCGTGAACGAATGAATGGCGCAACAGGCGTTTCGAGGCGGGTGCCCCGATCAGATAATAAGAGGAAAAATGGCTCTAGACGGTGAGATGAACTCAATTACGAGCGCTGATGAGGGCGGTAGTCAAAGCTCGCTGCATTCCGCGCGGCTTCTGTCCGGCGGCCATTACAGTGAACTTGACACGATTGGAAGGAGGACAAGGGCTGTCCGCCGGATCAGGCTCACTCGTACAACTCGAGTCTCCATCCTCCTGCAATGTGGACAAAGTCCCTGTACCATTAGATGTAAGATGACCCCCGCGACGTCCATATGCTGCATTAGCCGCTGCGAATGAAAGATTGTACCCCTTGCCTAATCCAATAACACTGCCAGCATCGGTGTCAATAGGCCGTGTCGGCTGGGAGGCGGACTGCTGCTGTTGCTGTTGCCCTGTGAGGCGCTGCTGCTCTCCATATGTGAATGATCGGGCACGAATCCCACGACGGAAATCATTCAACTCTGTCGCGCGAGCTCGTTGATAGGCTGGATCATCCATGCGCACATAAGCACTTGGAAAGCAGTAGTCCTGAAGTCAGAATGAAGGAGTGATGAACCATTCACAAAACTTCAGTCAAAAAAATTCATACTCACAGAAAACCTGTTGAAATAGGAGGAGTAACCTCCTTCAAGGATGTATAATTCAGGATAATGGATGTTTGGATAAACATGACCATTCATCGAACGGTCCTTAGAACGTAAATGCTTTGCACTGGACGAGAACAATGGACGCCTGCAACAAGACGCGAGAGGAAAATCACTCACAAGGTAGGCGCTCGCTTCACGCTAAATTCGCAATGGAAGACCAGGATTGTCTTCTTGCCATTCTTATCTCCACTCCGACTTGGTGCAGGTTTGCGTTCGCCAAGGAGATACTCATCAATCGCATCGTTCGTGTTCAAGTTGATGGACCCAGATACATGCCCCCCATTATGCTCATAATCGAAACGGCAATCGATCACGATGTATGATCCGATTTGCATCGAGTAATGACCTTGTATTAGGTCATGAAGCTGGAGACACAATTTCAATAAGCAGAAGGGCAAAGTTGAAAACACAAGACAGACCGTTTTAGGGGTAATGCGCATGAGGCCATCTTCTCTCACTTTGTGACACGGAAGGATCTTCCCATCGGCCTCGCAATCCCCAAAACCAGGAAGACCGGGAACAGGTTTCCCAGTAACCAAAGGACTTGGCATGTGGTGGCCCAATCGGCCAACATTCTCCTTGCGAGCAATGAGTGATCGGTGAGCGGGAGAGTTCATATCGAAGCTGGCATCGGCTTCCTCTTCAGTCAGCTCAAAGCTATCCTCTCCAAGATTATGAGCCGGAGATGATGAAGCACAAGCACGACTGGTAAGAACCTGAGAGAATGCGCGGCGAGTAGGAGGTGCCGAGATGAGAGGCTTCTCTATTGGCACACTGGAGGCAGAAGAAGCGCGGTTATTGAGGGGAAGGACAGCTGATAGGGTGGGTCGCTTTGGGACGCCTTTTTTAACGAGTGGTTGAGGCGCGTCCAATTGTTGTTGATATTTTGTACTGAACAAAGTGCCTTGGCCCCCGAGACTCACTGTGCGACCAAAGGACATTGGCTTGGGGCGTTTGTGAGAGGGCGACGGTGGTGGAGACGATGAAAGGATGTTGTTAGTTAACCCAACACCGGCGTGTTGTGTGTCATCTTCACTTGGTTCCGGATCAGCACTTCTCCTTTTGCGCCTTGGAACACCGTCAACGGACTGGCGGGCGCCCAAAGGAGAAGAATAATTCTCTGGAGAGCTGGGGTGGAAGAACAGAGCCGAGAAGTCGCTTTTGCCTGCTGACTGCGGAACAAACGGAGAGCTCGGCACTAGTGATGACAAGCCGGATTGGCCAGGGGACTTCATCTCGACGTCGCTATATATCGGACCCGAAGGAACAGGGTCCGGAGATTGCTGATGTTGGGAGGAAGAGTGAGCAAAACATGAATCAGTTGACCACAGACGGTCTCACCGAGAAGATAGCCCCGTTCCGTTTGACCCGTGTATTCGTCCTACTTGACGGCGTAGGCACATGAAGCCAGGAGCCAGGGAGAGGCGCTCTCGCGCGGAGGTTTACAGCTTGACTGGATGACTTCTGGGTCGCAAATAACGGTCGCTGAATGGGCGGAAGCGCTGTTTTACTTCTTGGTCGCGTTGAGTCCTTCAAGTTCAGGGAGGGTGACGAGCTCAAGAGCGTATTCGACAAGTCTTGACCGAATGGACGAGTCGGAGACGAAGGAGGCCCAAAGACATTATTTGAACGTTTTGTTGGGGGAGCGCGTTGCGTGATATTCGTTGACGACGTCTCCATCTTACAGGTGCTGTCAAGAAAGAGATCGCATCCGGCAGTGGCTGTCGGGGACGCAGGAGCAGAGTTGATGGACATAGTCGAAGCAAACGAGATATCCAAATCGGACGACAGAAAGTCATCCACATCATCGAATGTAGCTGGCTGGGCTGGTGAGCTGGGCTGGGAGACGATGAAACGCTCTGAAGGGGGTGAGGAAGAGTACTGAGTAAAGTAAGCCATCGTGGAGAGTTGCCAATTAGTCGTGATGCACGTTGCAAGGTCTTGAGCTATGTCGGTAGCTACTGCAGACGGTGTAGGAGTTGAAAATGCCCCAAAGGTAAGAGGCGAGAAGAAAAAATGGTGAGAGAGTGGCGGGTTGTCTGTCAACCCCCGTTGTTATTGTCCAGCGTGGCAGAAACTCACCGAAGCCCTGAATTGGGCAATACGAAAAGGAAATACATAATATTAGTTGGAATGATCGCCCCAGACGTGCCATCGGTGAACTCACAGTGTTGGATTTGAAGAGAACGATTTATGCGGAGGAGGCCGTGCCTGTAGGACGCGAAAGATGGACAACAAGATCAGAAACGACCGCGACGAGCCAGAACACGTTCAGGAAACGCAACGCGATGGCATGTGTTGAAATTGAATACTGACAACAACGCTCAACAGAGGCAAACGGAAGCACTGCCTAAGGTAGGTAAATAAAGCACTTGGACCTCTGATGGCCTAGGCGCTTGCCACAATATCCTCGACACAGACGAAGAGCGTGGCTCGACAGGAGAAATGGATTGAAAAGGCGTTCCAAGGAGTGAAGGGGACGTCTTGTACACGAGTCGAACAAAGGGACGCTTGTTTACACGAATTTGGTGATTCAACAATTCACGCGTCTTTCCCAGTCCAATGCCAATGACCGCATTCCCGTTCTAGCACCGTCAGTCAAATCTCCTAGGAGTTATGGTTCCTGAAGCATGCCTTCCCTGATTTGGAAGTTGCTAAATGACGCATCTGTTACCCTTTTGTTCGGACTCCGCTCCTCGTTGGCATACAAACCTGGTTCTCTCCTTGTTCGACGCGTTCTTCCCTCCCAAAGCCGAGTCCTTTTGTCTCCAACGTCCCATCACTGACAATCAAGGCACCCTCGCGTGATCTGACCTCCGATCCTGAATGGACAAGACGGATTTTCTCCGCCGCCGCCTAAGCGCTCAACACTTCGTGGGTAGGGATTCCCGTTCGGTACCCCTAATAATCTGCATCATCCACGTATTTGTTGCACGCGCTGAGAGTGAGGTACTGCTTCTACTATCGTCAACAGTGAATCCACGGTCTGCATCAACAAATCGGACCACTATCACGCGATTATTCCCCATCCTCACTTTGTGACTAGTACCAGCATCAACGGCAGAATCATTCTCCCGGGGATTGACGATCAGTCTCCTGTTTTGACCCGTTAGTGCGAACGATTGCCACTTTCGTTCATAACATTCTTCACACCTGCACGCCTACCCATGGCCGACCCACACATGATCAACCATTTGTTTTGCGCGATATATATATATGGAAATGAATGGGATATGAACAAAGGCGAACTCTGGCCAAAGCACAAACAAATGATTCCATTGTATTATAAATACACACACCTCTAATCAAGCTTCTTGCCCCTCACTCTTGTATGCAGTGCAATGGGCCTAAGACCCGGTGCGGCATTCCCTTGAACATCGTAAATTCCAAAATTAAACCCATTTCTCCCCACTGCCGATGAGGGACTCCCAGCCCCACGTCGTATCCCAATCCATCCACCTGTCCCTTCCTCCATCAAAATTCCTCCATCACCATCATCTACAATATCCACCTCTCTTCCAATAATGCCCATCTTCTTCCCACCTCTCGTACCGCGGGCGCCTACTAAACTAAGGAAGAAGTCGTTCAGAAGCACCGGTCCAGTCAGGACAGGCAAACGGATGGGTATAAGTGGATTCGGCTTCAGTGAACGCTCCTCAGTTGTGGCATAGTTTGTGATGGGTGGTGCAGGTGCTTGTGGGTATGTCGGCAAGGGCCGTGCGTGAATGGCCATGATCACGTACTGGATGGTAAAGTTCTTGAGGGCTTAGAATACAAGGCACGAAAGCTGAACGACATACAAGAGGGAACAAAAGGGCGAAAAGAGTAGCATTTGCTATGCTTGAGCCCCACATACATAGTGCCGAGAGTGCAAAACCTGGAAAGGCATGGTCATCGATGTGAAGTCAACAAAGACGTCACGTATGCGCTGCATATTTTTCCAAGAACTCACCAAACCCAAAAAAGTACGACCAGCGTTCTTCTTGGAATCGAACTCTACGAGATAAAGAGAAGCCTTGTGCTACCCAGACATACCTAAAATATGTATCAGCACCCCGTTCACTAGATCAGCACAGCAGAATTAGGCTCACTCGAAACAATAGTAGCTATTGACAGAACAGAGGACGAATGAGGTTTAAATGGTGTTGGGGGTCGGAAAATTGAGAAATAAACGTACGCGTCCACCCAGCACATAAGGACGAAACTCTGGAAAGGACCCAGAACGGGTAGGTACGAGAGCAAAATGGTGACGAGAATCGTTGACAGTATGAGAATCCCACGGAATGACTGGGCAGCCAAGTTACCCATGATCCTAAGAATGAGGGATGTTAATCTAGACTCAACGACAGACAGGTCTAGTCAGTCTCACCCTGAGGATGATGGAGATGGCTCAACAGCCGCTCTTCCATACTGAAGAGCATACACTCTCTTGGCTACGACGCTGCCCCACGTACTCTGCAGGCATTCATCGTTAAAGATTCACATGTTGAAATAGCTGCGGATCTGAGGGACTTACATTGAGATACAATGACATGCCCACAACAGGAAGTTGAAATAAAACCTGGTAGAGTGAACCAATGTTCCGATGAAGCCACCGCTCTTGTGTTGACCGGCCAAGAATTGGCAGGAAAAGAATATCGAATGTGTATATCACGACAAGCGAGAGTGTATTGAGCACAGCGGACTTCAGAACTATCACAAAAGATTAATCCCCGTTCAAATAGACAATGGAACCACTGACCGTTGGCCCGGATCTCCGCATCGCTCACTACTACCCGATATACAACCTATAATGGACAAGATAGCGCATTGGCACCATCCCACCCCATACGTGGACACAAGAGCCAATGGAAGGAAAAACTCACGCACATCCCATCTCGAAGAATCAATCAACCCATTGGAAGCCCACTTTGCGTGCAGCTTCGCTGTCTCAGTAAACGAAAGTACACTATCGCCTCCAAAAAAGTTGGCATAAGAGACGGAGAGGTACGTTCCTGCGCTTGGCTGAAAAGCCATCTGTCAGTTTGGAAAGAACAACTTATAGACCTGTCAATGCCATTCCCACGTGGCCAGGCGTGGGAAAGTTTCGGGACCATCCGGGGTGTCCGCTCTCGACTCCTGATTTGGCAGTGTCTAGCAAGTAATTGATCGCAACATCATTGCTGATGTTAAATAAACCACCTCAGCCTAACAAGGGTGTATGGTATATTGGCCGTGCACACTGAGTTCGCCTCTGGAGTTCGATTCCCGTTAGAAAAGCCCACGTGAAATTCTAACTAGTGCCCTAGCAATTTCATTAGCTCTCTCAGGCGACACCCCACCGGCTCCATATCGTGAATATTCCTGCCTAGTACCATTCGAAGCTTGTGCATCTGGCATCGTCTCTAGAACTGACAATTGCATTGGAAAACTTGTTAACTCGATCCTCACGGGTGCCATAACAAGTTTGGTCGCTATCCTCACGATGATTGCAGTGCGTTCATTTGACATTTATGCTGTCCATGATTCTGATGCAGCGTTCGGTTTTAAGTTTGATGCACTTGGGTTTGAGCTACAGTCGGTTCCCCACTCCTCTCAACAGCGGGCCGCGGTAGTGACCCTACGATTGGCAGCGTAATCAGGGGTTTATTGGAATTGCCTCGTGGGGAGTCGTGGCGATGTTTCAGCAAATCATGCTTTAGAAGTGCACAATAGAATGACTTCGCGTGGTACCTGGACCTGTTCTAGAAAGGGAGATTAAGGAAGCTGCACCTCCACTGGCACGACATGACTTTCTCCCAAGGCTTTCCCAACCTCCGGCCTTGCTGCTTCACCCCTGCCAGTTTGATTGTCACCTGATTTTCCGCCAGATCCTTATAGGTAATCCTGACTCTTCAGATTACAAACTCCATTCCGACCCGACACCAGGAATCAATGGCACACAAAAATCGTTCATCCTGAGTTAATTCAGGTGGTTCGTTCGGAGTCAAAGCCAAGCTCAGAGATCCGCTACACAAAACAGCCTCTCGCTAATCTTCGAGGTCTATATTATTTATCAACCGTGGATTTCTTGTCATAGGCCCATCATGTTGATCATGGATGACGTGAGCTATGTGATGCTCTGATCAGCGGGTTCGACAAACCAATGTCTACGGCAATGCATGTTGGATTTCCAATCAAAGTCATTTAAAATAGTTGGAATGTAAGCAATTGAATCCGATGACGTAATGATGCTTAGGATGTGCTTCGTATATATTGCGTTGGGTGCTCATGCTCTGCAGAATCCCTCAATCCTTTTCGATTGTGCATCTTCTCGCAGTTCTCGCAGTATCGATTGGATTCTTTCTTGCCAACCAGCCGGACATTCTCCTGGGTATCATTCCGTATCCGAAAATCCCTCTGAATTTGTCGATCACTTCTTCAGCCGGAATGGCTTCTGCTCAACAAATCTCTCGATCTGTGAAGTTTTTTCCCCAGGAGAGGAGCTACATTGGCTTATCCGTCTATACGTAGGTTATCAAGAAAGTGCTTGCTGTTGAGACTCCCGAAGGTGTCGGGGCAATGGTCAGGCGCACCATTGGAACGCCAGCACTGAGAAACTTGTCCCCGTTTCTAATGCGAGTGCCATAGCTATATGATATCCCTTTTTAACTTACATTGGTGGATCGTTCCTATACTGCTATGGGTAGGCTGGATCATTTTAAGTGAGATAACAGTTTTCTCCGCATCTGCATTCATTGACATGACGACTCAGGGTCCAACAAGGTGGTTTTCCGGACCACCCGCACCGTGGACAGACAACTGTAACATACATGCTTGAGGGGTGAGTTGCTTATCAGTCTCCATTCGATCTGGTCGTCTCCAACTGCCGAATTTGCGCTTAACATTGCAGCGCATCCCTTCACGAGGATTCAGCCGGCCACAAAGGTAGACTTGGCCCCGGAGACATCCAATGGATGACAGCGTGAGTGATAGGTCTTTTCATTATGGTGTGTAGACTGGCTGACGTCATTTTAGTGGACGTGGAAGTAAGCCAACACCAGTAAATGCCATGATGCGGGAGATCGCTAAATAGTTTCTGGATTTTCCAACAACCAGTCGTCCATGCTGAAAGTGAGCGCACCTCCTGTGTAATGAACTCGGCTGACGGCCAGAGTATCCAGTGCCTGTTAAGGAGCCCGGCCTTCCGTATCCCCAGGGTGTGTAATGTTTTTCTTTTGGGACTTCCCAACTAAGAAAACGCTCCGGGCGGTAGGTATGCAACTCTGGATAGATCTGCCGAAAGAACACAAATTAGTGGAACCAAGTTATCAAGAACTGAGTCACCGAGAGTACGTTTGACCTACGATGTCCGCCCCTGAGCCATGTTGCTGACTTCCGTTCTTGCATTTCCAGCATTCCCTCTGCTTATCCACAGGGTGAAGATGGGCCAGTCATCAAAATCATCAGTGGAAAGAGTCACGGCGTCGAGTCACCTGTCCGGCCGCTGGGGGATGTTGGTATTTTGATATCACATTAGAGAAAGAGCAGCAGAGTATTTTCCAAGATATACGTGAGTATCGTGATCCGACGTCCCGCTTCGATCACGATGTCCAAACTCACCCACATTAACAGCGCAAGGATGGACGGCATTCATTTATAGTTAGTAACCTCTAACGCTGAATATTGTCATAGTCACTGAGGTTCCGCCACTGGAGCGTATACTGGAAAGCTCCTTGTCAACTCAACTAATAAGACGGGCGAGTCAGCACATGATCAGTTCCATACGCTTGTGCTCTCGTCTGGGAGTGACGAGAATGGCGTCCGACTCACTGCGGCCGAGGAAAATACGAGAGCATTCCTAGTGCGTAATCTAAGTTGTGCAACGGGATATCAAATTCTTACACCGAATCTAGATCGCCGGTGAACCACTTGACCAGCCTGTCGTGCAGCATGGGCCATTCGGCACGTTCCCAATTTCCTTGATTAATGAGCAGTCTGGCCTAACCCTTCGGATAGTCATGACCTCCCAGTCAGAAATATATCAGGCAATCAATGATTGTATGTGTTCTCATGTTTGCATCCTTGCCGTTGCATTTATCTCACCGTTTGTGCATTGGCCACAGACCGCACCGGAAGGAATGGTTTTGAGAAAGCCCATTCATGGAAGAGCGAAATTGGGGGTTTGTAAATCTGTGCTGAAATGAAAATTCTGCTTCATTCCCACTCTATCTAATATTACGGAGTCATAGAGGCTGGAGTCCTGCCTACGTTTCCACTAGGTACTGAGGATTACTGTCCCGCGTGCTGAGCCATAGAGTTGGACCAGTGATTCGGACCGTGGGAAAGTTGTTTGGATGTCGGACCATGTGACCCCTTGGGATCATCGACATGTTGCCCAACATACGGTGAACGTAAATTCGCAGCCCTGTATTCCATCGGAGAAAGCGCCTGTACACAAACTGTTCCCCAGGCTATGGACTACATTGTGGATCTCAATCAGTTTTTTAATTTCCACGGGTCGTACTGTCGTGGTCTGCTCCCGACCTTGTACTTCTCACGTCCGTCCAGCGAAACGAACCGACCGCAATCATCTCAGGTATATTTTTGTCTCACAACAGGAAGGCAACCGCAGCAGTGTATTTTTTACTCGCTCAGCCTCCCGAAAGTTGACCTCCTTCCGTTAAGCCATTTCTGTGGATCATCGTAGGTTTCCCTGCGCGATCCGTACAACCTAGGCCGTCTCAGGGGTGGTCTTCAAATCCCAGTACGATGGAGAGCGAAGTAGACACCCAATAACCAACTCTTTATCCAGCTATAGTCGTGTCATTGTTTAGGAGACAATCGGAGGTATACATGGTCATTTCAATCCAGAACAACACAGACGCAGGCTGTTTCATCTTCTGAGTCTCTGTGTTGGATTGAATCTATCTTCATGGCACGTTACACTGCATGAAAATGCTGACTTGGCCACATATATTCCTGAAGGATGACTAATTTTGAGCTTAACGACAATGGTTGGCTCAAGTGGCGCCTGTGTAGTTATATAACCACTCTCAAGCCCGAAATTCTTCATCTACATCTCATCGCCAATATGTCGTCCACGATCATGGGACTCTGAGAGATCACCGTAGTTAGGGGGAGTAGCGCTCGACTGCGCCGTCAGTAGGATTGTGTGGAATTCTTGTATGCTGTCATTTATTCGTTTGGAGCTTGTACATCGGCCAGCCACGTCTTGTTCTCGTTGCCATTCACGACCATCCGTGTCTCGGCCAGCTCGGATCATTACTACGATGATACTTCCTCCCAGCGACATTCTGAAGCCTCTAGAATGGGATATAGGAATCCAAGACGATTCAACATCCACCTTCAATGATGCGGCCATAGAATATATTCTGGCTACTCAAGCAAGGAATTAATATCACTGTTCACGACAGTTTGTCTGTGCGTTGGGATCATATTATTGGCAAATTGTTCGATTTTCAGCCACTTGATCGTCTGCTTTCTGTGCTTGCCGAAGACGAGCCACGCTCATGTGTCGCAACTGTTGCAGCTCTTCTAGGCCCCTACATCAGGATGAGCAGAGTCACAGGTCATCGAGTGTCTTGTCGAGCATATAGCGGAGATTGTGGATTTAGAAGCATAGCTGCACCCGTACTATACGGATTGACATGGGTGATTCACTTCAAGGCCAGTGACGAACTCAGAACATGACAGTGACCACCGTTGGGTGAACACGTCTGAGAGTAAGAAGAGTGGAGTTGACGATATTTGGACTTCGGCAATCTTCTGATGGAGCGACCGCTCGGGCCAAACAAACAAAGCCAAACCAACAATAGTTTTCCCATCAATCCTCGTTCCTCACCCATAAACTAGTCATAGAATGGCGTCCCAAGGGCATCAGCAAAAAATTGTTATGCTCCTGAGTGCTCCGGAGTATGGGGAGCACTGGGAGAATCAGGAGGAGGTTGGCCGGTCCAGGAACAGCTCATTTCCTCCAGAGTTGGTCAGGTACTCCAGGGCACTCCCAGGAGGGCATGGAGCATTGCTTTGTGCACAAACATATCCAGTAAATACAATTTAATGCTTCAAAATGTATAGGGGTGAGAAGCTTCTGGGAGCTCCTGGAGCATTTGAAAATGAAAAGGAAAAAAAAGAGGGAAGACTCCCCATGAATACCTCCTACCACAAGACTAACGCAACAAGACACTACTTAACATTTAGATCAAACACTATACTATACATCAAGGACACTGAGACTCACCAATACACAGTCAAAATTTATGGCCTGATATATGATTAATCTGGCAACTTAATCACTTTCGGACTTGCAGAATATGGAGGAGGGGGAAATGGGGGAGAATGAGGGGGGAGAATGAGGGGGGAAATGAGGGGGAAATGAGGGGGAGAATGAGGGGGAGAATGAGGGGGAGAATGAGGGGGAAATGAGGGGGAGAATGAGGGGGAATATAGAGGGAAATGAGGAAAATTTGAACAATAGGGACTTCTAAAAAGTTGAAAAAATAATTAGGGAAAAAATCAAAAAAAATTCAGGAACTGTAGTCCCTTTGAAGTGCTTTCAGGATATATAATTATTTGCGAAATTGAGGAAGAAATGATGGAGAAAAATGGAAAATACTTTCGGAGACCCGAGAACTGAATTGATGGGAAAGTCTGAAAATTGAATAGGAAAGTGAGGGGAAGCCTTGTAGCATTGTTATTTTCTGCTGTTCTAATTTTTCCTGATTCTTCTTGGTCTCACTCCCAGCTGCTCCTGGATACTCCTGGATACTCCTGGAAGCTCCTGGGAGGGTCCAGGAGCAGCTGGGAGTGAGACCAAGAACAATCAGGAAGAATCACAACAGCAGAAAATAACAATGCTACAAGGCTTCTTCCCCTCACTTTCCTATTCAATTTTCAGACTTTCCCATCAATTCAGTTCTCATTACTTCTCGGGTCTCCGAAAGTATTTTCCATTTTTCTCCATCATTTCTTCCTCAATTTCGCAAATAATTATATGTCCTGAAATTTCTGCTTACGTTGGACGCCCGGAGTAACTCAGAACTGATCAAAAACACGGTAGAGGCCATCGGTGCTTCGGTCCCCTTCAACCAGGCACACAAGTGCTTTGTCTCAGCTCTCGCCAATGAGAACCTTGCAGAACTGAAAAATAACTTTGGCGACATCATGCACCTGATTCATGAAAGATGCCGAGAGTTCGTCTTGGGCCAGGGAACCACCAATGAACACTTGCCTGGCACCAGAAAACGGTGGGATCTGGAAAGCTCGCCAGTTGTACTGCAAGTGCAGTGTAATACAACGACACCCCCCAACCATCCCGGACACACCGTTGCCTACCAAGACGATGTCGAGACTAGCCTTGATGAAGGATGCTCTGAAGAATCTCAGTCGCTGATAAGACCTGACAAGACTATACTCCAATTCCCCATTCCGCAATGGGCCCACTACCTACATGCGAAAGCAAAGGATACAATGGCAACACGAGAGAACAGGAGACACGTCCTTGGCATCCTGGCAAATCTTTCGAATATCACTTTCTGGTATTTCGATCGTGGTGGCGGCTTCTATTCAGCGCCTATTGACATCACCAGCCAGCCACATGAAATCATTTCTACCCTTGTTCAGCTTGCTTTGAGCACTGCATTTTCCCTTGGCCTTGAGCCAATCATGCAGTCTTCCGACCCCTGGGACTCCCTAGACACCATGGAGACGACAACAATCACAGTCAAAAACATTCCCTTTCTAATACACGATACCCTGCATGTCTCGCATGACATTGAGGGTCGTGGATTGGTCCTGTTTTCGGCCAGGAAAGAGGCCGACTGTGAGCCAGGGACCATTCCGAACGACGTAGTTATCAAATTGTCGTGGGAGGATCCATCATCGCCCACATCCGACTCCCTCTACTGTCGTGCGGAGCAACATGGCGTGCGAGGGGTATTGTATTGCTCCTCAGCCCTGGGACGCTTTCAGAAGGTCCCAGAAAACAACTTGGGCTAAAATCCGGAATACACTATCGGGATCGGGAGTTGCGCATGCAAATCCTGGGCCCATCGTGCATTCCACTCTACCGTGTCCTTTGTGATCAAAACTTCGAAACAGCATTTCGATCTTTGATTCAAGGTACTCTCATACCCTTTGTTTTCACTCACCCTCTAAACTTGTCATCGGTTGTAGTCCATCACATGCTGTACAAAAGTGCTGGGATCCTCCATTGCAACCTCAACACAAGTAGTTTGATGGTTTCCAAAGACTCGCTGACTTGTGGGATCCTATTGGATCTTGACTTTGCGCTCCAGGTTCAGGATGGAGATGAAGCATTGTTACCCGAGCCCACCCTTTCTGGCACCCTACCCTTCCTTTCCATGGACCTTTTGACAACCACAGGACCCCCCCCTCCAAGGTTGTATAGGCATGATCTTGAATCCTTCTTCTACATCCTTGGTTGGATGCTTTGCCGCTACGATGCAAGTGGAGAATGTAAGCTACAGCATCAGTTTGCGGTGTGGCATAGAGGGCCTCTGGACGACATCATTTCGGCAAAATGGAGGTTTATGAGAGTACCCAGCCATATCCCATCAGAGAGATCTTCGCCTTCGCTACAGAAGTGGTTACGAAACTTGTGTAGGATTTTCAACACCGGCTATCAAGAGAAGGATCGTGACTTGCAAAACCCACTCTTCAATCATGAAACGTTGGGGGGTTATGTCACGTTTGACAGATTCATGGGTGCCGCTCGACAGATGACCTCGTGAATGTGCGCACCGATATCCTCCCACATACTGATGGACAATACGCTCGAGTGTTATACTCATGATATTTCTCTCCGATGTACAGTGGCATGTAACTAGGTTTGCTGCGAGAAACCAAAGGAAAGTCTCAACGCGAGCAGTTGGGAAGGTCATGCTTTAAGGCCGGAAGAATGCGAGGAAATCGCTGAATGAGGTCACCGCTGCGTAGGGAAAAGTGTCATTCTATGGAACAGCCCAAACGGGAATACGGGATGAGTTCAGCGATGCGGGAAAGCCAGATCCAGTTACGAGCACATAAACAACTAGATGCGTGTGGAATGCAACACAGTGTATTGCTTGTGTTACCTCCAAAAGCGACGCTAGCCCTTAGTTGGGCCTGCCGAGAAGTCTTACTCAGCTCACTTCAGCCTAGGATAGGTCGCAGCAAGCCAGGTTCGGAGTACGGCACCTGACGGTAGAAGAGATCGAGGGCGAACCGCGTTGACAAGGAGACAAAGTGCCCAGTGGGGAAAAGGATGGAGCGCATATATCTAGAGGGCGATCCCGATCGATCGCGGCGGTATACTCCGTAAGCGGATCAGCACGCGTACAAACAGCTCAGTATGTACAATTCTCCAGATGGTACTAGCTGTGTGTATCATCTGCTCTGGTAGAGAATACATCTATCCAGAATAACACTATGCATAAGAACTAGGTTCAATGAATACATCTGCTCATAAAGGTGCGACGTCATCTGTTGGAGCAAATGCCTCTACGAAAAAAAGCATCCCTTGACATTTGGCTGCCTGTGCCGGATCGACCCTTGAGACCAGTAGAAGCATGGCCGATCGGTCGAAAAAAGCCACCGATCACGCTCGAGTGCTCGTTCGCTTTTCGCTTTCTTATGTCGGGGCCCTTCAAGTAACATACGGACGAAAGCGATAAAATCGCTACTGTGTATCGTGGCTGCGGGGCATTCAGCCTGATGGGAAGCGCCACCGTATTGGCGTCAGGCTAACCGATCTCGAATCTTTGAACGGCCGAGAATCGTGCGAGGGGATCCTTGCCGGTCGCGGGAGTTAGTGTGGACACACGTCTTGCTGAGTGCTATCAAGCACCGAGTTTGATGCTATGGATAATCGAGATAGCTCACATACGCACCTACATTCCAGCCTTGGTTCGCCCTTTCCACGATATTTGACACCGTCTCGCTCCTGCCCTGAACACATTCCTCGCGCCGTACTTGCGAATCCCATTTCTCCCCGTACTGAAAGGATCGAAATAATGATGTCCGATCCGAGTCGTTCCTTGGAGACCATAGTACAGAATAGTGACTATTGGGACCAATAAGTTCCTAAGCACCATGCCAACCCATCCAGCACTCCCATTTCTCTTAACAAGTCGTTGATTCCCCTATTTCGGATCGTGGACGAGGGCAGCAGAGGGAGTAACGTCTGTCCGAATGATCCTAGATGCAGGGAGAAAACTATCGAACCAGTCGCACGAGTTCCCCTGGGACCCTTCACTGTGCATAATTCATTGTCAACCCGGGCCAGCCATACCTCCAGTGACAGCAGTGACAGAAACTCTAAAATCATCGCTTGAAGGTTTCTGTTGAACCGGACCCACGGCGCTATATCAGTCCATATACATAGCAGCCTTAAGCGTCGATATGCTTACGCAAAAATTGTGATGGACACGAGCCCTGTTATAATTGATGGAGTGATAACGAAACGACATGATCGCTTTAATGTGCCAATCCTCCCGGGACGAATGGTATGAGTTGCGAGCTATTTGGACGGCACAAGCTCCACTTTATGTATACCCGCCGCAGTTTTTTGCCTTTGACAAGCGCGTGCAAAACCTTCTCATTGACCGCTGGTGTTCACACATGCACGGTTCTGTCCCATCAAGTCTCGTGCACGGCCCCTTCATCACATTTGCGTGTGAACAGTTCCATCTAAATCCATCAAACAGGTTGAGAGCTCTCATCAGCCGAGGCAAAGCTCTTCGATTACTATCCCCATCTAGCTATTCGGGATTCGATGGGACCTCGCGAACAACAGGGAAGCGGACATTGTCCCCGCAACATATGTCGAGGCTCTACGGAACGAATTGGCGCAAGATGGCGCAATAAGGCAGTTATGTCGTCTCCAAACTCGCGATGAATTCGCTGATGAAGGTGAAGGGCAGTTCGAGATGCATGAGACCAGGGTTCGGGTTGTCGAAAGCGACGGATTGGAAGCCCCGTGGCATTGAATCCGAATGCATGCGGGGCGCCCAAAATTCTGAGTGCATGCAATGGGCACCCATTGGTTATGCTAGCCAGATTCCAGATAGGGACTGCTAAGTTTTCCAAGTGAGGAAGAGTGTGAAATGGGAGCGGCGGCATCTCCACCGTGTCGGTGTTTATGAACTCTTTCGGATGAGTGAGTAGGGGATGACGGATGGATGGTTGGCATGTGAGTGCAGGGAGCCGGTACGGCCAGCACCCGGATGGCACACCGGGGAAGGAAAGTTGCGGAGACCAAAGGTGGCGTAATTGCGTCCGCAAGTTGATCAGAAGGGAGACAAGTAAAGGTCCAAATGACTCGGACGAATCGCTTGTGACAGTGCTTCAAGAAGCAATAATGAAATTTCGACTTTATCCTTATCGCGATCCGAGCGACCTAATTCAGTCCGAGTTGATCGCTTTCGTGCGGGTGAAGATGTTGCTGGAGTGTTGTCCCGGAAGAAACGTATCCATCTAGTCCGATTTGGGTCTCAAATAATGTTTTGCAACCCAACACAAATCCGAAAGCGTCAAATCGACAGGACGCGGCCACAGCCATAATGATAACAGGCGTTTGGCCTCATGGAAGGGTCGCACAACAATATGATTCTATAAATATTGGTGCGTTGCCGCATAACAATCACGATTGAGAAGTGCGATGGCTCGCTGCCACAGTGTTGCAAAAGGCGGTATACGATGTCGAAAGGAAATGTTTGAGCCCCTTCAATGGGTCTCTACGTCTTGTGCTGAGCCCCTTCAAGGTAAGCGACAATATCCCTTTCTAAGAGGCGATGAAAATGACAGAAAGACGACATCCACATCACACACTGGTGAGTCTGTTGGGAACAAGGATCAAACAGAGAGAAAGCACCTCGTCGCTATCGCCGCTTGCACACGCCCACGCCCACGAAGAGAGCAGCATGATGGTGCAGGTGGTAACACAGGGGGCGCAATTTATATTATTCCACCAAGAGAGCCGATGAAAGTCGTGGGAGTTGATACCATAATGAAACGACTATTCCTAGGGCGGGAATAGTATTCTCAGCACATGTGTTCATCCAGAGACCATGAAGACTGCTCCCAAATTCGACATGACGCTGCCAAATACCTCGAACGCCTTAGCCAGTTGGGGTAGAGAGCTTTCTTTTCCGCATTGTCCACAGGTCCGACGCGCCACAAGCAGCCGCCAGCGGCGGCGACATAATGAGAAATCAGATGTGCTGATGTGGTCCAACTCCAACTCGAATTCCGGAGTGTCGGAGGATCTGGAAGCTGAAATCGCGTTCGACTTGAATTTTTTTGATCTGGAGCTTACACGTGTTACCCTTCCACCTGTGCTAACAATTCAGCATACCAGGCAATAAATTTACGAGCGGCTTGACATGGAAGGGAGGGTGGTACGTTGATGAAACAACTGATTGGGCTGTGGGAGAGGCACAATAGCTGCAGTAATATATTCAGCCAGCTCCGCTAGACTTGGCCGGATTTGTTAACTTAAACCCTTTCTGGATCTCACATAGCGACCATCCAGGCACGATCTCCAACTGCCGCAACTGGGGAATAAGTTAAACAAGAATGCCTGTCTGCGGGGATAATAGTATGCATTGTAGTTAGTCGGGTGAGGCCCAGGTTGGACATGATTGGTCCCCCTTTTGTCACACGACCAAGTGCTCGCGCTAAAGGTAGCTAACGGGTTGCTGGTTGGGAAGCAGATGAGTTGGGAATTCGATGCATCTGGTTCCTTAGTTCAACATCGTGATGGCTTTGATATAATAGAAAGTCTGTTCACGGACGAGCGGAGAATATTCGATGGGAATTGCGGGGGGCGGCGAAAGACAGTGGAAATGGAGGTAGCCGTTGGCCGGACGGATTAAAGCATGGTTCTTAGTTTGGCCTGCCATGGATGTTACCACTGGCCAGTTCAGCAGCCTGAGCATCCGCAGCCCAGACAATCAAAAAACAAAGCATGACAGGCGGTTGACGGAACGAGATAAGGTATATATCCTTAGGCTCCAGAGTGTACGTTCTGTGAGGCAGTCTGATCCACATCTGGGTAGAGCACCTTACGAAAGCGTACTTGCTTGCCCACGACCCATGGTGCAGTCCTCGTAACCCACCTGAATACATTCAGAGCAAGTTCAGCGACCCTGCCGTGTTTTTTTTTGGTATTGGCCAACTACCACAGACTTGCTTCCCGTTACCCCAGGAGATGAAGGGCTAAAACTCCATGTCGCCCAGCAATGTATAACTGGGATGGTGCGAGCAGAGGCAAGACCGTGGGAAGGAAGATCACGCTCGGTCACAGCCATTCTGTTTATTGTTGTTTATCTTATCAGATCTCAACGAGTGAACGGAAAGTAAAATGCCTCCTGCCAGACGCACTTCCATTGACCCCGATCGCCTTGTGCGAATGGTACGAGCTGCTTCATGTTGGCGATTTCCACGTGTGTCTTAACGGCCATCATTTTTTAGGATCAGCTCAAGCTGACTCCGGTGAACAGCAATGAGCCATTCAATGTCGTCTACATTGGTGCTGGAAATATCATGTTCGGTAATTCTACTGATTCTTGTAGTTCAGGATCGAAATCTTTACCTAATCGCCGTCTTTGGTCGGCCAGGATCTGACGAAGGCCCATGGAACCATAGTTTCCGTTTTGAACAGTAATTTTCATCTTCGACTCTTTTTCTTTCTTCCCCTAACGCGCGACATTCGATTTCAGTAAGCTTGGGCCCCGCCTCAAGGTGGTTGCACTGATTGACCCTAATTTTGCGCGTTGCGAAGCTGTTCTGGAGGCAAAGAGACTCTCATTCGTTGAGTCGGCTTATAAGAACACCAGAGTGTATAAAACAATCGACGATTTTTATGCCGATATGACGGACGCTGTGAAGCCAAGGCAAGCACTATAGCCCGCTTTTTGTTGTGCCTAGAAACCAAAATTCATATATTTCCCCCATCCAGAGCAATTGTTGTTGGCTCCCCTCCTGCGTTCCGAGGTTCGGATATCCCTGGAGCCGATCTAGAACTTACACTACTCAAGTACTTTCCCGGAGTGGCTCTTTTTATCGAAAAACCAGTATCCATACATGCCGTGGAGAAGGCTATGCTTGTCTCTAATAAGATCCAGGATGCGGAAATCGTTTGCTCTGTGGGGTATGCTCGTTCCATCTTCTACGAACTAGACAAAGTCGATTGATTATACACCCAAGCTACATGTTGAGGTACCTCAAAGCCATCCAGATGATCAAGGCAATCATCGAGGAGAACGATCTAGTGAGCCCATTCGAAATTTGTCCCTGATTCCAGTATTCTGATGTGTCGTAGCGCGTCATGGCGACGACGGCACGGTACGTTTGTGCGTATGAGAAGATTGCAAAGCCAGATTGGTGGAACAAGGCCTTGACTTGCGGGCCAATCGTCGAGCAAGCTACTCACTTTTGTATGTTTTCCGAACTTTTTGGTAAATACATATCTCGACGGACTGATCAGCCACTCACAGGCGACCTTTCGAGATATTTCGGCGGCGATGTCGTGGTTTCATCTGTGCAGGCACACTCCCTCGAGTTCTACGAAGAGGCGGGCCAGCTTTCCAAGATTTCGGTTGACGAGTCTAAAATTCCGGAAGCGCAAAGGATCCCTCGGGTTACTAGCGCTACTTGGTGTGTGTGTGTGTGTTGCACACTATTAGAATGGGAATGCTCAGTTGCAATTGTTCTCTTACAGGAAATACGAGAATGGCGCTGTCGGCACTTTAACGCATCTTGTGTCACTACAGGGAACGAACTATGCCTGTGAGCTGGAGATCTACTGTGATGGATACTTGTTCAAGTGAGTGTTACTAGTGTGAAGACGGATTATTAACTAATTATCGGTCTATTTATCAAACCGATATTTTTCGATTAGACTGATCGATGTAAGCAATTAATTGCCAACGATTCCCTCTGCTCTGACCACCTCACAGCCTTATAATGCCCCACAACTCCGCATCCGGCGTCCCGGAGACGATCACGAGGAGGTGCACCATTTCCCGAACGACGATCCGTTCTTCTCCGAGGTCAGCAACCTTATCGATGTGATCGAGGGTGGCCCCAACGCAGATGGGAGCCTGATCCTTTCGACGTACGAAGGTAGGCCCCTTACATTCTTCATCCAGCGGTTCGGAGAAACTCACGAGCAATCGATCAGATGCCGTCAAGTCCTACGAATTGACATGGGCCATTCGCAATGCGAGCGAGAGGAATCGGCGTTTGCCCAAGCGGGGGCTCAAGGAAACGGCCTAAGGCCTTGATGAGGAACGGATGACTGGTGTCAGATGAATAATTTGTAAAAACTCCAGGTTCGACAAACGGGTAGGTTAAAACGATCTATACATGAGGCATATACGTGCTGTGTCATCGGAATATACAATGATGGGAAAAAAGGCCGCAAGGACATGGGAAAGGTGAAGAGTAGACAAATACAATTTCAAATGAGAGTGTGTGAAACAATTGAATTCGGCTCCGAAGCTGCAGTGAGGCTATGGAAAGATCGCCAAGGAACTTGGACGAATGGGGAAATTCTCAAATCTTGTTCGCTTGATATTGGCGAGGAGCCCCTGCCTGACTGCCCTGACGTTCATGCAAGCCACAACATCCGGACAAGTACTCATTCGAGACCCTTGAAGTCGGCTGAATCCCTCGGGAGCCAGATGATGTCGAACGTGTTGATTCCACTGATGGTCGCGAAGTGGATGTTGTCGGTAAGTGATCCCTGGGAAGTTCCGGGGCCAAGGACGTCGCGGTTGCTCGTGAGTGTTGGCAGTCTAGAGCGTTGGTCCGCTTTTCAGCTCTCTCCAAACGTTCCGTGAGCTCGCGAAGTTGCTGCTTTAACTTGTCGTGCTCGGCGGCAAGCTGAAGGAAATTGCTTGCGCGCTTAGCAGTGCGTGATGACGCCCCTGCTCCTTCACTAAGGAACGGAAAGAGGGTGTGATCAGAGAGAGAGCGCAAGAGCAAGGAACTGGGTAATGACCATCACACAACTCACTTTGAGAGGAAGACAGCATTGATGGAGTCAGTCAATGACTCTGGACCTTCCTCGTTCAGACCCAAACCAAGGGAGAATGGGTCAGGCAACTTGGGCGCTTCGTCCGATATCTTTGGCACAGGCTTGAAAATGTCACTGTCGATCTCTTCATAGTTGTCGCTAGGGGCCCCCGCCTTCAGACTTTCCCATTCGTCGCGATTCCAACTGCGTCGCACACACAGTCCACATTAATGCGCTTGTAGGCTGGGGAAGCAAATAAATCGTATTTCCCGTACTTTTGGTGACTTCCATCATCCATGGGGAGCTCTCGGTCGTGGTTACGGTGGGAAGAGTGTGTATTGCGGTTGTTTCGACTGATCTGTGGCTGTAATTGGGAAGTTGTGTGACCGTGACTGTGACCGCTAATGGGCGGTTGATTCGCGGATCTTTCAGTCCTCACTAAAGTTCGTGCGCGGCTACGCCTAGACCTGCATAAGCACACATGGGTAACTGCAAAGACTGAACTGATACATTTAATTTCAAGCCCAATCCCCCCCTTTGTTCCTAGCATTGTTGTTAAGCCTGATATGGACGTAGCGCTTCAGCGGCTCAGTACACTCGAACAATTACGAGAGACGAAAGGTAAGACAAAAAGTTGAGTTGTTGTTATGGCTGGCTACTGTACATCGGGACTTTGCTACAGATTGGGGGACGCACAGACGCGTCAAAGAGGTGGCGCGCAAGTCGCCGGGCCGGCGCCATGGCCTGTACCCCAAAATAGCACGTAGCTATGACGAGCCCCTGTCTCAATAGAGGCTGGCCGCTTGCCGATGACGGATCCCAGATTCCTAGAGGCTGCCCTGCCCTTACCACAACACCACATACTTCAGCGACGTGTTCAGAATCGCTGACTCAATGGAAGACTGCTAGCTGGATACGAACTGATCTCCACGAAGTTGTTTTTGCGCACAAGTCAAATGAAGAATAAAACTGAAATTCGATGTTGTACATGATGTGACAATTGCAGCGAAAGGCCCACAGAGTGGCCAGCACCGGTCCTGGCAGGTGAGTACCCAAGCGCCTGAAGACCCGGTGTTTCCCCGATCTGACTACGAAGGCTGTGAACCCCGACCAGAGAGAAAGGCTTCATCCCATTGCATATGTGTTCGGGCAAAGAGCTAGCTCAGTGTACGGGCTTGAAACGCAAGTCCAACTTCCAAGTAGTGTGGCGCAACCTAAATACCAGGAAGCTCAAGGTGAAAGAGTTGAGGCCTTACGCCTCAATGAAAAGCTCAATTCGACAATGCAAGAGGTCACCTTTAAAGGAGCTAAGGCCTCCGGCCTAAGTGCCCCTGCCAACAACGAGCCCACGCAAAGTTCTGAGTCACAGGAAGCCCAGTCAAATGCAAAGGAAGCTGTGTCGCCATTGACGATGGCGATACAATGTCAAGTACCAACCATAGTATGTAAGATTGCTGTGAGTGACGAACGCCCAGGGCACTGGACCAGGGCCTGGGCGCTCAGTCGACGATCCGTAAAGTCAACAGCGCTAAATGTCCTTTGGAGTGATCACAAGTCGGTGATCAGGCTAAGTGCCCCGCTCTTTGAAGAGATAGAGTCCAGCATTCCAGACTCGACCAAGCTGCGGCATTTCCCTCTATGCTCTTCCATATGCTTGATGACATGCAACTATCAGTGCAGGAAGTTCTGCCTAATTGTGGATCTGAGATTAGTTCCATCGACCCTTTTTACCTGTCCTGGTCTGTTCCAATAGAGGCTGGTCACCTGCCTACTGTCCTGGCAGAGTGAAGCGTCACGTACCGGTACGTGCAACATCTCACACTGCCGCTCCGACGCGTCTGTGCGTCCATCGATCCTGTAGCATAGCCCCATCAGTTAGGCATAATGATGATTAGCTTTTGTGTCATCTTAAGTCCCTCGTGTAGCCGCCGAGCGCTACGTCTACATCGGGCCAGTCATAACAACACGTTGTCTCCGTGCAGTGACCAGTAGCCAAGCCTCTGAGGACATGAAGACAGGTGTTACTGAGCAAATCCCAGTGACGTGGATGACGATCCCTGCCAGGGTGTTGTTTGACCGATTCTGAGTATTTCCAATGAGCAATATGACAACGAACAGTGATTGGCAGCGAGTGCCTGTGTCCAGACCTATCGATTCGTGTGAGGTCTTGAAAACTAAACCACATGCAAAAGATTGTGTCATTTTCGGCATCAGTTTTTATGTAATTTCAGACCTGCCTCTCTTTAACGGGAAGAGCGCACTCTGCAGGCAGCGAGCTAGGCTGAAGCAGCCTCTATAGTAGCGAGCCCCAGCGAGGCCCCCTTTGCCATGGGTGGTGACAACCGCAGATCGAATGCATGGACACAACTTGCCGGACTGTTTCATGCTAGGCAGGATTCCAGGCCAGCCTCTACTAAGTTTTGTGCCAACCATACGCTGTTCAGAGGCCCGGCAGCGAATGACCTCAGGTTAGGGGTGGTACAATCATTATATACATAAGGGAGCATCTAGCATGTTTCGGCTGCATAGACGCCCGGGCCTTCGAGGGAAACAACGCCCAGCTTTCTCCGACTGATTGCCGGGTGCGCGATGACATACAGCCGTCCAATCCCCTCAAACTCACATTTCCTCATGAACATGAACATGATTTGAACGGACTCATGTAACTGCATCATTTGTGAGGATACATATGTGCACAAAGGGCCTCATGCAGCAACTGCTGTTGTCGATGCAGTTGGTAGGACAGGATCATCAGAGGCACTGAGACCCTGGGTCCGTACATTATATCCATACCCACCGCCTGGCGCTCCAGGTACCTGCCCAGGTCCCTCATAGTGTAGTTTAGTGACATCATAATTTCCTGAGACATGAAATTGTCAACAAGGCAGGAAGACGTGCAAACATAACATTCATACCGATAAACTCCCAACCAGTTTCCCTCACATGATACAAATTGACAGTGTTTCCTGAAAAGGCATCACGGTGACCAGCTGCATATATGCTTCGCCGCCCGAGTTCCTGAGCGTCCTCGTCTGAGAGATCCCAATGATACCCCTGATCGAGGACACCATATGCAAAGGTGCTACCCGAACCAACAGAGAATACGTCGCCTTTGAGACGTGTTCCGTCAGAGTCGACGTAGTACAATGCGGGGCCCTTCATTTGGTAGGTTTTAGAGTGGTGTCATACTTAAGGTAACGCCTGGCCTACTGTTTTGTCCCATCCACATATCATCGTTCCCTACGATAGATCCAGTTTAGTAACCAATAATGATGCCGTAAAGTACAGCTCATACCATGCTGAGACCCGTGCCCTTATAACTGTAGACAAGGTTACTGAGATACTTGCTGGCAGCAGCTACTGATATGCGTTCGCGGTTCCGAAGCTCATGAAGCCTGCACTGAATCCCGAGATAAGTCTCCCAGAACTGGCAATCGGCTGCAATGAATAAGTGCTCAACCAGCGAACATTACATGACGTATTGATTAGGAATAACGCACCGGCACCACCAGCCATTGTACCCAATAAATATCTGTCAATTTCAATGACCTTCTTCACAGTTCCCGAGGCTGGGTTCCATTGTGAAGAATTCCTCTCAAGGATGGGATAGAATGCTACTGACCAATATAGCTCCCAGCTGTTGCACGAGAATCTACTGCAACAATTATGCCGCCCTTGAAGCGGAATGCCAAAGTTGTAGTGCCGTGCTGGATTTTGATACGACATGAAGGGTCTGCGTGGTCATCAGTGTGAGTCTGAAGGAATGCGGTTGGCTGGAAAATATAAATGAGCCCAAATCACTCTGAGGCGTGGAGAGTGTTCACGCCTCACATTAGCAATCTCTGGCACGTCGAATGACGGGATGCCAGTAGTACCCAAGTTCCCGAACCCCGCCATCGAACCCCACATAGCAGGATTCACATGATTATTTTCATCATGTTCGGGAATAGCTCTGGACGAGCTCGATCCCGAGAATCGAGATGCAAAAGCGTTCATTTGTGGCCAACGGAATGTTGTACGCGTAAGGTCACTAGTGAGGACGCGTCAACACCAGTCACCTGACTAGATCCTTATCTGTTGGTCAAGTTTCTTGGTGCTCATATGTGGGGAGTTCAATGACTCCGGTAATGCGGAGTATTCTTCCGCTTATTTTCTCGCTATTTGTCGTCGTTTTTGGGGGCTGGGCCGATCCGGACATCGGGAAACGCGACCTTCTCCAACTCACTTCAGCAGAACTTAACGCACTTGTATCAATACAAGATCCAACTAGGCATCTGGATCCCGCTGATTCGTCGTCTCATCTGTCGAAAATTCTTATCCCGCGTGTTCGTGAGTGCATTAGATACTCTGCTGTTCCCTTAGACTTAGGCACCTTGGGTCAGCAAATACCCCCAACAGCACACTTGTCCGTCGCCATATTGTATCTACATTTCGCGCATTGAAATGGGATGTTGAGGAAGACGCGTTTACGGGACGGACGCCTTACGGCTCTACTAAGTTCACGAATATCATTGCAACAAAGGACCCTAAAGCCGCAACCAAGCTTGTGCTGTCTGTTCATTACGACAGCAAATTCTATCCTAATTACCCTGATAATCAGGTATGCAAGCTGATGAACCATGTCTTTCAGCGCGCATGCTCTTACTTCAGCTTCAGTTCGTTGGTGCAACAGATTCTGCTGCGGCATGTGCTATGCTTCTAGATCTTGCTCAATCTCTCGACCCATTATTAGAACGCCGGAAGAGGCTACTAGAATCACAAGACTCAGATGAGATCGAAAACCCCGCAGCTCATACCACTCTCCAAATTATTTTCTTTGACGGTGAAGAGGCTTTCAGGGATTGGACGAGTGTTGATTCAACGTACGGTTCCCGGTGCGTGCCCTCAGCCTTTTCAATCGGACCATCTCCCTGATTGCCACCTTCAGACATTTAGCGGAAAAATGGGAGAATAAGTACGTTGAGCCACACCCCGCCCGGCGTTTGAATCCACCGCGGACAGTCCTTTCAACAATTGAACATCTGATCTTGCTTGATTTGCTTGGGGCTCCTAACCCCATTGTTCCATCCTTTTACCCATCCACGGGTTGGATCTTCGACGCTCTTATTTCAGCGGAAACTCGATTGGAACAATCTGGCCACCTGATATCTCGCGCTGCAAAAAAGTCCTCTCCCAAGGATGTCTCAGCGCATCCTCAAGACGAACAGACTCGTGCATCTCGTAGTTTCTTTAAGCCTCGACGAGGCGCTGTTGAATGGAATGGGTGGATTGACGATGACCACATGCCGTTTCTCCAACGTGGCGTCAGCATTCTGCACGTCATTCCTAACCCATTTCCTAGAGTTTGGCATACATTGAAGGTAAACACGAATACTTTGTCACTCTTCTTCTTTTGACGTGTTCGTACCAGGATGATGCATCTGCCCTACATGTTCCTACAATGCGAAAATGGAATCTCGTCTTCAGAGTGTTTGTTGCTGAATATCTTGGTCTCCACCCTGATACTGCAAGAAGGTTTGGCCCACTGCGCAAGGAGGACCTCGTTCGTAATCCCTGTGGTATCCTCGTATTGTCCACTGACATGCACCCATACTAGTAGATACAATCTATCTAAACATGTGCCGGCGTTCACAACATTAACAAGTAGATTATGGTGACAGTGAAATAATAATACACAGAGGGGAAGGCGTTATAGTCGGGAATGTGTTCAATCTCCAGATTTTTCTAATTGTTGGCGTTTGCGAGCGCCGCCACTGTAGAACGGAGTCAGGTGTAAATTTATTTTGCGAAAGGCCAGACACTCACGCCCCAGTATCTAGTCCTCGCTTTGTCCCGCGCTTGGCCTCATCCAAAAATTGATTGACACCGAAAAGATCACCAGTATCCTTCTCAAACTGAACCGGCCCTTCACGGACTTCCTGTTCGTTCGCACCCTCAAATCCTTTTGAAGCACGCCCCAATTCGAACCGATCATTAGCAAGCGCCTTCGCAATACCCTCCTCCGTCCCACCACCGAATGTTTCGTCATTGCCCTCATCAATGTTACCACGCGCCTTGTAGATGGCTGCGGCAGCAGATGAGCCATGGAACAGGGGTCGATCATAGAGTTTATATGCGTCCTCAGATGCGAATGAGCTGGAGAGCGTCTCACGGTTGAAGAGGCGGGAGTCAAGCATCGATTCCTTGGACATAGTGGGCTTAGCAAGGCCAAGGGCAATCTTTTCAGAGATATCTCTGTTTTCTTGCCTGTGGGTGTTGTGGTCAGATTAGAGGTCATCCACCTATCAATATGTAATGCGTACCTGGCGAGATATTTCGCTCTCTGCTCTGTCCCCATATTGTTCATGCGCATCTCGCGCTCACGCTCACGTCGCTTCTCAGCGCGCATTTCATCTCGTACTTTTCTGGCTTCCTCATCCTCGCTGTCCTCACCCTCACCCTCACTAGCGCCCTCGCTCTCGGAATCGCTACCGTAAGCACCCAATGCTGACTTGACAGCTGCGCCGCCTTCAGCTGTCACTGGCGGTTTGGCAGGTGCAGGTGCCACACCGCCGCGCTCCTCGCGGGCACGTTGGGCGAGTGCCCTGAGATGTTCTTCCTTGGCAGCTTTTTCCTTCTCAACGAGTCGCTGCTGCATGAGTGCTCGTTCACGGACTTCCTCGCGCGCATGGCGATCGGCTACGAAGAGTGCTTCCGAGAATTTAGCGAAGTTATCGTTGATGTGTATCTATAGTTATCTTGTAAGATGACAATTCAAATCAATATTACGAGTTGTACTCACATCCTGCAAACCTCGACCATCGGCTGCCAACCGCTTATCAAGTGGAATTGTGAAACCTTTGTTGTTCTTCCAGTTAGAAATACATGGAGGGATCATCCACTCCTTCTGCTCTTGCGCAGTTGCCTTCCTCGGAGGACTGCGCAGAACGGGGGCCGGAGGACTGGGTGGTCCTTTGGGAATCTTTTTGTGCTTAAACCGTGGCGGCTCCAGGGGATCCTCAACAGCCTCTGACATCTTGATAATGCGCTGCTTAAGACCATCTTTCCCATTCCCTTGCCCTTGCTGCCCAGGGGTATACCGCACGTACGTTGTTTTACCCTGAGTGCTACCAACATTGCTTGGTTGGGCCGCCTTAATGCGCACGTTTACAAGCTTCTCGAGTGCTACGCGGGTACGTTCGGCAGTTGACTGGACTTCCTCTTCAGGTGGCCTTTCCATTAACCGGGCCTTCTCGTCCAAGTCAGTGCGATTCGTGAGGGGTACTAGGTCCTTGAACTGCGAAAACACCCTACGTCCTTCTCGGTGTCCCTGCTGTGCGATGGCGTCGTAACGAACATTCCCATCCGCATCAACCTGGAGAGCTAACGTGTTCCCAGATGAGGCCTGAGGCCAAATGCTGATTAGTCAAATAGACAAAGCAAGGAAGCCAAATTGGCAAACCTTCTTTCGGCCCATCTCAAGGGGATACTGTGCAAGATGACATTCTGGGTAAGCCCCACCATCCCCAAAGTGTTCTTGACTCATGGGCTTCCAACCCTTCCTGCTTCCATACTGAGGTAGTGATGCTTTAACGGTCAAGGAAGAAATTGCAGTAGCTTCAATCTGTTCATCTTCATCGTCGGAGACTGAGGATGCATGGATTGGTCTTGGAAGTAGTCTGTAAAAATATGAGAACTGTTAAATAGCTACCGGAGATGTCTGGACGTACCCAAACAGAGCTGCAGATGCCATGGAGGAGGATGGGTTCGTAAAGTGGCTGAGTGAATTCAAAGCTCACGTGGCGCTTCCGCGGATATTACTTGAAGTACTCTTGAGGCGCCAACGAACGTCTGTCTTAGAACCACCAGTCCTGACGAGTTCGCACTAATTCAGACTTGCTGATGGAGGAATTCGACACTTATGACTCAGCCTCGCAATATGGCCAAGGTCTTGATGACACAGCGTCGATGATTAGTGGCTACACTGTGAGGACCCAAAAGACGGCGGAAACCGTATCTCAGCTGGAGACAGATCTTCGCCTTGATGATGCGGGCATTTCGGATGTAAAAACCGTGGATGACGACTTTGACGGCGTGTTGGATGATGTGAAGGACGATCCGGTTGCAGATCTGCCTCCCCATGCATGCAGGTGAGGCTCTCCTAGTCGTTATACTGATGTTATTGAAGCTAATATGGTGGAAAGCTATTGTGGTATACATTCTCCAGCATCAGTAGTGAAGTGTCTCATCTGCAATAAGTGGTTTTGTAATTCGCGTGGCAACACGTCGGCTTCCCATATCGTCAACCACCTTGTGCGCGCTAAGCACAAGGAAGTCACCCTTCATTCCGAGAGCCCCCTTGGAGAGACCACACCGGAATGCTATAATTGCGGGAGCAAGAACGTGTTTATGCTTGGCTTTATCCCGGCAAAAAGTGACACAGTGGTCGTACTCCTCTGCAGGTTGGGGTTCTGGCGTTGTTTGAATCTGTTTCTTGCTCAGAAATTCCGTTACAGACAGCCATGCGCATCTATAACCAAAGACATAAGCTGGAATGCCTCTCTGTGGGCTCCCCTTATAGATGATAGACAGTTCCTCTCCTGGCTTGTGAAGATTCCCAGCGAAGCGGAGCAACTCCGATCCCGTCAATTATCCTTCTCTCAGATAAATAAGCTAGAAGACTTGTGGCGAGAAAATACAGACGCCACTCTCGAGGATCTCGAAAAGCCCGGGGTGGACGACGAACCACAGCCTATTCTGCTAAAGTAAGCGCTCAACTACACGACCCCTTGGCCCTAACAATAACTACACTCTCAACTTCAGATATGATGACGCTTACCATTACCAAAACATCTTCGGACCTCTTGTTAAGATTGAGGCTGACTACGACAAACGTCTCAAGGAGTCACAAACTCAAACTGACATCGCCGTTCGGTGGGATATTGGCTTGAACCAGAAGCGTATTGCCTGGTTCTCAATGCCAAAACTCGAAAGTGGCGAGGTCAGACTCGCTGTTGGAGACGAGCTGAGGTTACGCTATTCTGGAGAACTTCACGTGGCGTGGGAGGGCGTCGGGCATGTCATAAAGGTTCCCAACAGTGAGCTTTGGTTATATTTTTATTTTGTCTAGCATTGATTGCTTTATGTTCAGACATCTCCGATGAGATTGCTTTAGAACTCAGAAGATCAGAAGGGGTGCCAGTTGAAGTCACTCAAGGTTTTGTCGCTGATTTTGTTTGGAAGCCGACGAGCTTCGATCGGATGCAAGCCGCTATGAAAACTTTTGCGGTCGACGAAAAAAGTGTTAGCGGTTACATTGTACGCCAAATCTTACCGAGCAGGTTGTCCCGTTGCTCACCATTCCTCTGCTTAGTACCACAAGCTATTAGGTCATGATGTTGAGCCCCAAATGTTGAGGACTCAGGTCAGTCTTGCCATTGTTTTTGTTTCATCTCTATTTTGACGACACTACCAGATGCCGAAACGGTTCGTAATCACACTTTCTGTAAGGAAGTACTCGCAAATCTTCTTGTAGTTTTTCTGCCCCAGGTCTCCCCGAACTTAACCACTCACAAATGTATGCTGTGAAAAGTGTGCTTCAGAAGCCAGTAAGCCTTATTCAGGTCCGTTGTGCCACCATCTCGCGACTAGCTGCGTAGTTAACTTCTTGATAGGGTCCTCCTGGTACTGGGAAAACAGTCACCTCCGCGTCCATCGTGTACCATTTAGCCAAAATGAATCCAGGCCAAGTCCTGGTATGCGCTCCGTCCAACGTCGCGGTCGACCAGTTGACGGAGAAGATCCATGCGACTGGGCTGAAAGTAGTCCGAATCACGGCGAAATCACGGGAAGCTCTGGATTCATCAGTTGCAAGGCTCACACTTCACTCTCAAGTGGCTAATAACACGATGCATGTTGAGCTCCAGAAGCTCATTCAGCTGAAGAACGAACAAGGGGAACTTAGTTCTAGTGATGAAAGGAAATACAAGAGCCTGATGAGAATATGCGAAAAGGAGATTTTGGGTGCAGCCGAGGTCATATGTTGTACTTGTGTTGGCGCAGGTGACCCAAGGTTGAGTAAGCTTAAGTTCAGGACCGTGTTGATTGATGAGGCCACACAAGCGGCCGAACCAGGTAAGGATCATTTCCTATTGCTTCAGTTATGGTCGGGCTGAGCCTAACCCATATCAGAATGCATGATTCCACTCATCTTGGGCTGTAAGCAAGTGGTCCTTGTCGGTGATCACCAACAACTTGGGCCAGTCATTATGAATAAGAAGGCTGCTCGCGCTGGGCTCACTCAATCTCTTTTCGAGCGCCTTGTCGTTCTAGGAAATAGACCAATCCGTTTACAAGTTCAATACCGCATGCATCCATGTTTGTCGGAGTTCCCTTCCAACATGTTTTATGAAGGAACTCTTCAAAATGGTGTCACGGCGCCCGAGCGGATCAGAAAGAATATTGACTTTCCTTGGCCGGTTCCCGATGCGCCAATGATCTTCTATCAAAATCTGGGTCAAGAAGAAATTTCTTCTAGCGGCACATCTTTTTTAAACAGGTATGCTCTGCAAATGCACCGTTTGTTAGTATATGACCGAGTTTGGGTTTAGGACCGAAGCATCAAATGTTGAGAAGATTGTCACCAAATTCTTTAAATCTGGAGTCGTACCGAGCCAAATTGGCGTCATTACTCCATATGAAGGGCAACGATCTTATATCGTCAATTACATGCAATTTAGCGGTTCCCTCAAAAAAGATCTTTACAAGGACATCGAGGTTGCGAGCGTTGACGCGTTTCAGGGGCGTGAAAAGGATTACATCATTCTCAGCTGTGTACGGAGCAACGAGCATCAAGGAATTGGGTTTTTGAGCGATCCTCGTCGTCTCAACGTAGCACTGACCCGAGCGAAATATGGCGTGGTGATTCTTGGGAATCCGAAGGTTCTAAGCAAGGTGAAAGTTTCGGGACTTGACAAAATCTGACATCTAACCTCGATCTGTAGCACCCACTTTGGCACTTCCTGCTAACCCACTACAAAGAGAAGCAGGCTCTCGTTGAGGGTCCGCTCAGTAACCTTCAGTTAAGCATGATTCAGTTCAGCAAGCCTCGCCGTACATTCTCCAAGGCGATGGATCAGTATCGTCGCCATGAGTTCAACGCGAAAGAAGCGATGACGAACCAATCGATAATGAGTGACAGTGAGTACTCGTGGTGATTGGAAACATCGCCTTGCTCACAGGCTCCGTAGTCGCTCGCCGTTCTGGCACACCAAGTCGCTTTGATGCCAACTTCTTCCGGAGTCACGATCCACTCAGCTACATACCTTCTGACCCCCAGGCTCTCAAATCCCACTCAAGTTATACTTCTGGCCTGCCCACCTTTGCCGCCGCTTCGGGATCCTTCAGCCAGACCGTTCAGCGGCCGAATGGGAATGGGAAGCATGCACAATACCCAAATCCAGGTTATGCAAGTTCCGTCATCTCCCAGGATCCCGGAGCTGCGAGCACCATCGAGACGAGCAGTGTGCTCAGTGCGAGCGTAGCGCCTTCCGAGCGAAGTGGACATGCGAACAACATTGCATACTCGCAGTCGGACCGCCTTCGACGTCGTTTATCATTTTCATCTGTGGCTGGAGTGTCAGACCTTGGCAGCATCTCTGCGGCTGATTACAAGAGCCAAGATGATGCAGCTGATCTGGATGAACTGAGATCCCAATATTCGCAGAGTCAGTCTGGGTTCACCGAGTTTTAGGCCAGCTGCCGCCGCGTCGCTAGCGCGAATGCGCTCTCCAGAGTGACGCTTCTCCACGAATGAGAGATCGCGTCTGAGCGCGTGTTCCAGTTGCCGGTAGGCCAGGTTAAGGCATTAGCGAACCTGCGGTGCGCATTTAGTACCGCCAGACGCAATCCTGCTTGTCGCCATACTGTCGCAAAGCGACGGGGACGAGATGCTGAACACTAAGTCGCACCGCAGGTTACGAGGGCGATCAGCGGTGTATTGATATTATTTCATTCCGAGCATGGCGACATTCTTTGGGATTTCAACCTCGATTACACATTAGGCGTCTTGTATCCCAATCTCTGACTCGAACGCACACGCGTACCCATTATACCATAATAAAAAGCCATAACATTGCTCAGCATCATTAGAGCATCCTAAACTCAGCAGACATCTCCAAAGTTTGTTGCCTGTTCAATCGAATGTCGGACAATGAGATCGTGAAGGCTGTTAACTAATGACCCCGCCTTTTCGCAGTCCTGGTATGATCCAAAGTGATCCGGCTTCAGTGCACAGCAATGAGAAGGGAAGAAACGGATGACATACGCTCACAACCGTGTAGTACACGTAAAGAGTCCGACGCGGATTCACCTTTAGGCAGAGTTTCTGGAGCCTCGGCTTGATGTCTGTACGGGGAGGGGGAATGCAAGAAAATTGTAAATATCAAAGGGATTCAAATGTCTAATCCAGGCAACACGCTTACAGTCCACAAGACCGTCGAAGGTATTTGGGCCCTAAGGGGCGGGGGCTGAGCGTGAGTTCACAGAAGAAAATAAAGTAATGGGCGCACTTGATACGATGTGATATACGTCCGAATGTCGACGCCTTCAGCAAGTTTAGCTTTTGCTAGATCACATTTGTTGATCAGCAGACTGTTACAAAAAGTTCAGCCAAAGGTCCTACTAGGGCCATAAATGGGGGAGTACTCACGCAATAGGTACATTAAGGATGGCGGGATTCGTCTGTACCGAGGCATAGGATTACTCAGGCCGGAGACCATAGCTTCGCTTAGCCAAAAAAAAACTTACCACGATGCTCTTCCAAAGATCAAGGGAATCCTTGAGCCGATTGACATGTGGATCCTCCTCCAGGAATTGGTCAAAAGCAGACAAAGGCAGGAGGAAGACGATTAGGTTTAGATTTTCGAAATACCTTGTGTGTAAAAGAGAAAAGAGCTTCGTTTTAGCTATCAGAACCCCATGCAAGGTGTCGAATGGCTCACGGGACCCAGGCCGCTCTTTGACTCCGTGATCCTCCAACGTCGTCTGTGTTGCGATGAGATCAGCATACACAAAAAAAAAACAAATGATATTGGAGGGATACGAACAAATTCTGAATGTCTTTGGTTTGATTAGCGGGTTTTTTGATTTCGCTGGTATGTAATGGGCGGATGCTCCTAGTGTCTTTATCCGGCATCGTATTATATCGTCATTAGTGGGTAAATACCTAAAATTGTAAATAACCATTGAGAATAGCCGTCAATTACAGGATGTGATCCACTTACTCTGGTTGGGCGATCCTGTCTATATCATTGAGGAAACTGTGATCCGATAGTTTCGTCAGTAATTCCGTCCATGAGCTGCGGCAAAGCCAACAGGGAAAGGGGATAGAAGCTGAATGGAAGAGCACATACAACCCTCCATATTCCTCTAACCGGACGCGACAGTAAGCCAAAGCCTCCTTCACGACAGGCATCTCCCAGACCTCCTTTACGTCTTGCGCAAGCGCGACGACATAATCCGAAGGATCTTCATAGGGCACAGTCCTCCCCTCAGAACCCCCCGTAGCACCACCATGTTGTCCTAGGGGTTTCTTCATCCAGTTCTTCGAAAAGAAATAATACTCCGGTTGTGGATCCACTTTCATGAACTCAGGTCCGATGGAAGATGGGATGAAGTTATCGTCAGGAAATCCCATAGCACGGACGATTTCCTTCTCCACCCGAAGTAAGGGGGAGAGACGTAGTTTAAGTTCCTTGAAACGGACGGACGTTTGACGGAATCCGTCGACGAGATTGTACTTTTCCCTTGTCTGTTCAGAGCTAAGATAGCGGGCCGTGAGGGCGAGCAGGATTCGCGTGCTGCGAATGAAGTTGAGATAGACGATAGCCTTCCATGCTTGACGTTCAGAGTCGAAGTAATTTGGGTCGGCAAGGGTTTGGAATTGTTTCAGGGTCGTGCTATGGGGTAGAAATTGGAATCAAGGGGGCAAGATAGAGTGGGAGAGAAAAGGATCGTGTGCCATCAAGGGTTGCGAGTTCATGGAGAGCGTAACGCCACAAAATTAGTGTTGGTCCACATGTGAGAGATCAAACCACACAAAGATCATTGCGGGCGCATTACCTTTTGCCGGATTCGCTCTGACCTGGGCGTTTGACAGAACGATGAATACCATGGCAAGCCATAGAAGTGGAGGTACTCACCGAGCAAAAGGATATTAAGGTAATCGCCCGATGCGAGCTTTTTACGCTCCTCTTCGAGTTCAGCATCTATTTGCTCACTGGAATAAGGGTAAACAAGAGATGTGAGTGGTGTTGGTGCCCACACACTGAGTTGTCCAGCAAAAAGTTAGGTTTGGGGGCATACCTCCGCTGGCGTGCAAGTTCCTCGCGTTCAAGACGCGCCTGGCGCTGCTCCGGAGTTTCATTCGCTTGCTCTTCCACCAAAGCGCGGGTAAGAGGATCATCACTATTATCGCTAAAAGATATGTGAGACATTGTGGCGACTGGTGTTGAGCTTGAGTTTGAGAAAGATCAGGTTGTATATGCAGCCTAGCGTATAAGGACAAGAAAATCAAGTCTGCCAACGGAAAGAGGCGTTGAGAAGAAGAATAACTGTGATCATGGAACGAGTTGGGGTGCCCCCCCTTATATAAGTACGAGACACGGGTTACGCTTTTTGTCCTGACCGGTAAGGAAATAATGAAACGAGGATGGACAGTTTACAGTTGGAAGTAATAGATTAGCTGGCAGCGGGGTCGGGATTGGAGACTCCAAGACGTGCTGGCATGCTTCCTCTGCTGCTTCCGACAGATCCGTAACTTTGGGTAATCTGTGTCGTTTCACATCTATTGGAAGTTTGGGTGCCATGAGAGCCATCAATGGGATTGGATTTCCGGGCCACGTTGGCCAAATTAAGCAACAACTGTACAATGAGTTAAAACACATATTGCTGACTATCACCACGACTCCGACACAAACCAGAGTGATCGCAACATCCGAAACACATCCAAGAAAGTTGACTACTGGCATGCATGGACAAAGTGTCAGGACCCCCCCCCGCAGTGCCGTTGTGTCAACCCCACCCCTGCTCACTCGGATTTCAACTTCTCCAGCCAACTATCAACGAATTTGGTGTGGGCGCTAGTGTAATTGCGGAACCAACGGAACGGGATCAGATTGGATAAATTAGGCCTGTCAATTATCTTCCCATCAACACGAGGCGTGTCCAACTGACCTGGCACTTAAAGTGGAATCTTCCACGCCTCTCACGATCCCTTTGCTATCAACGATGAACGTGTAGCGGCCTGAACACACCATGAGGTTGTCGGGTAAGTTATCGTCAATCTGAAGGAGCAGCTTGGACAGATGAATCATCCTCTGCACTTACCATCAATCAAGCCTAGGAGAGCGCTACCGACGTTGTATTCCTTTCTGGTCTTTCGGTCAGGATCGGACAGCACAGGATACTGAAACAGAGAAACCGAATAACAAATGATACAAAATTAGTGACGTTACAGTGAGAACTTGGCACGCGACAACTCCATTCATAAGATACGTACCGTCAAATTGTGTTGTTTAACCCACGCCTTCTGCTTCTCGGTTGAGTCCGCAGAGATACCAACAATTTGCACCCCTGTTCCAGTGTACAAATCATTAGCCGAGAGGGAATCGCGGAAAGCGCACGCCTCCTTGGTGCAGACGGGCGTTCCAGCCTGGGGGAAGAAAAAAATGCTAGGGTTGAAACTGGATTAGCACTGCGATCCCACCCCCAATACTTCATTCATCAGGCTGGGGAGTGAGGGGACACTTACGCCAGAGGTTTACCGTCTGTTTGACCAGGGGTGATTGTAATGGTTTCGCCGCTGGTAGAGGGGAGTGTGAAAGCAGGAGCAGGTTTCCCGATCAATGAGTGAGGAGCCATGATAATCGCGGTACTTGAAGACGAGTGGATCGCTGTTAGATGTCGAGTGGGAGAAATGAAGGCCAAAGGCTCCAGGTGTGGGTATTTATACAAGTCGGTCTCTATGCTGCGTCAGCAGCCCCACAACTTCGCCAGAATGGTCTGAGATCTCGCAATTTGAACAAGAGAAGACGAGGAGAAAGTATACAGCAAACTTCTAAGTGCCTTCCGAGTTCCTTCCTCCTTTCAGCAAACTAGACCCCAATTCAACGTCAAAGCGTTTATGATGGAAGACCCAATAAGAAAACACCAATGTTGGGTATAGGGGAATTTCCATCCGGCACGCTCTAGGCAACTGCGTTTGACGGTTTTAAAGTGCGGATGCGGAAGTCAGATCAGCGAGCCCAGATAGGAATCATTAAAGCCATTATGAGCGAAGTGGCCATTATTCCATATCTTGTTGAATCGAACACGCAGTATTCGGCCGTTCAGCAGTGACAACCCCATAGGGCTAAATAATGTGGTTGCTCAGCGATTCCTGATATGTATAAGACTCTCGGACATTGGATGCTCGGAAAGCTGAAGGCGTCATCAGGCAAAAACGGGGTTGGAATGAGATGCAGATCGTCATAAAATAAACATAGACATTGGATCCCAGACGAAAACGGACGGGCAGTCCAATAGAGGCTGGCAACCTGCCTAGACTTGCCAGTTCACTCAACTTGAAGAACACGGCGTTAGGGGTCGCTTACACCCGCTAATCTCCGCCTCGCTCTCATCATCTTTCTCGCCATTGAGCTTCTCTTCCTCACTCTTTTGATACCCAGTCCATTCCTTTTTTGACAACACAATATGAAGCTCCAATCACTTTCTCTATCTTCTCGCTCGCCAGCATCGCTTTGGTATGAAAATAGTTCGATTTTTGTTCCTCAGAGTACTGATTCACAGACATGACAACTGCACCAATAACCAAATTCTGCACAGGCCAATAGTCCACTTATTCCAGCAGGCATATCAGTGTCTTGCAATAACTTTTTGGATAACCTCGATACGGACACCAACCTCCAGACATGCACGAATTCGCTGCTTTCCATCACAAAAGCATTCGCGCCTGGTGGGAGTCCCACCTCCACGGATCTGACAAGCACCCTACAAGGGCTTTGTCACTCGAACGATGCATGCTCCGATAGCATGCTTCGCAATCTTCTCACGGAGTTTAACAAGTACTGCCGTGATGAGCTCGTCAGCTCATCGGACCCAGACTTGAAGAATATTTACGATATTCTTTACATGTTCTCGCCTTTCCAATCAACCATCTGTTCCACCGATCCGTCCACGAACCAGTATTGTGTGACTAACATCAAGTCCCATCTCACACACCGAAGCACTTCGGGGGATTTCGAACCAAGGTCATCCAACCCCCTAACCGGCTCCTTGACCGGACGCGATGGTGGTGGTGCGACTACTACGAACACCACCACTTGGCGTGCCCTGAATATCCCCTTCCAGTGCCTCGATACTTCTGTTCCCGCTTCCCAACTCTGCACCGCGTGCACCAAGTCTATCCTCCAGGCATACTCCTCGTTCGAAATGCTTATCCCCTACGCCAATGGTCTCGCCAATTCACCTCTCCTCGGTGAGCAGCTGAGTATTTGGAACACCGTAAAGGACAAGTGTGGGGATCAGTATATGAACACCCTCTTTAAGAACCTTCCTGCTGGATCATTAGCAATGAAAGGAGGAGCAGTTTCGGTGAAGGTCGGTATGACTAGTTTGTCGGTTGTGGGTGCGTTTGTTTCGGGACTATTCCTTGTCGCTTAAGAATGCGCGTCCGTTTTTCCGCTTTTTTTTGTCCGTGTATTGCCTCAACTTATTCCACTTTTTATATTTTTATACCTATGAGGGTGCTCAGAAGAGAGATTTTGTATGGTTGCTCTTCCGATTCGTAGGTGCCAGTTTCATCCTTCCCTTTACTATTCTATTTAGAACTTGGACCATACTCTACCTTTGTCAATTGTTACGCCGTGTTTTTCTGATCTTCAGAGCTTATCGCCATGTTTTGTCACATAGTGGTTTTCACAAGAGAAAAGCCTTGCTGGCCAAAGCGATATCAGATGTCCCCGCCAAATCGGGTCAAAATGTAGTGTTCTACTGTTACATTGTTGAAGTTCAAACAAATCATGAGTTCCCCTGTTTTTGGGAGAGTGATCCTTTCCCAATCAGGCTTGAAAGCAGAACCTCAATCGCAATATGCACCTTCACTAGCTGGCTGCATTAATCCAATCCTTATCAGAATGCTTTTCCACCCGAATGGTGTGCTATTGGCTACTCACTGCGACGTCGCGGGCGTATCGGAAAAGAACGCCACGCCTAACTTTCAATTCGTTCTTCTTACGGCCTTCCCATGCCTTCTTGCGTGCAGCGGCATCCTCATCAGAGACATGCCAAGTAATGGCGCGAGTCTCCGCATCGACCGTGATCTTGTCACCATCTGAAATTCACATTAATTCGCCAATGAATTTGCAACTTTGAGTCGGTTGTACCTTGTACGAGTGCGATAGGCCCTCCAAGGATGGCTTCAGGAACGACATGACCTGATGCGGAAGGAGGTGAATCAAAACCGCAAGCTGGCGGATCTCCAAGTAAGGAACCAACCAATGATGAATCCACGGCTGGCACCCGAGAACCGTCCGTCCGTGATCAAACATGTGATTTTCCCAGACCTGCTCCCATAATGGCACCAGTAGGGCCTAAAGATTATGCCGATCCGTCAGTCAGATAAGCAGCGTTCCTCGTTCATCATGCTAACCGAGCATCTGGAGAATATAAGTCCGTTAAAGGCTAACATTATCACCGCGGTCGCGGACGTACTTCAGGCATCCCTGGAGCTCCTTTAGGCCCCTGGTAGCGGAAAATTACCACCATTCCGGGCTTAATGTCCCCCCGCTCTAATACTGGATAAAAGTCGGCTTCTCTGGAAGGTGTAATTCTCAGAGTATGCGATTTCAGGACAAATTTCTACGTACACGTCAAAGCATTTTGCCACGCCCTGCATAGACAGTAAAGATTCAGTGGTTGCGCTGTTCAATTAGCTGTGAATAGTCATTCATACCTCAAAGTGTAGCCCTTCCTTCCCGGTTAGCTTCGCTACTGCAGAGCCAGGGCACAAGTTCCCCCTCAAGATTGTTAGATGACCACTCGTCTTGATGGGGTTCTCGAATGGTCGAACAACATTCTGTCCCTCTGGGCCAAACTGCAGAGGCTTCACATCCTTCAAGTTCTCTCTCATTGTCTTGCCTGTCACAGTGATTCGGTCGGGATCAACGAGATGGCCGTACTGTGGATGTTCGATGATGTACTTGAGCAGAGCCGGGATTCCTCCTGCTTTGTGGAGGTCTTCCATTACGTAGGCGCCAGAAGGTTTTAGGTCAGCAAGATACGGAGTACGGTCACGGATGACCTGGAAGTCATCAATAGTAAGTGGCACGTCAGCTGCTCTTGCCATCGCAAGGAGGTGGAGAACGGCGTTAGTGGAGCCGCCAATGATGTTGACGATGGCGATGGCATCCTCAAAAGCCTTGCGAGTCAAGATGTCCCTATATCGGTGTCATCAGGATGTGAACGTCTCATTGCTAGATGCCCCCACGCTCTCACCTGGGCTTGATGTCTTTCGCGAGTAGAATCTTCAAGTACCCCGCCGCCCTCCGACATTCCTCCTTCTTCTCTGTTTAGGCACAATATAGGCAGACTATACTCATCTGAAACTTAGGACGGACCTTCATAGTCAGCGGGAGTACTAGCAGAATAGGGCAACGAGATGCCCAGAACCTCGAGCGCAGAGCTCATGGTGTTGGCAGTGAACATGCCGCCACACGCACCCGATCCGGGGCATGCGTTCCTGACAGCATCGTGACACTGGGCTTCATTGATTATGCCAGTTGAAAACGCCCCTAGAACGTGATGCATTACAACAGTATTTTACCAAGCGAAGTCGGAAATTCGCACCCCATGTTTCGAACATGTCGCCGAGATTAACGGGATCTCCTGCCTTGAGGCCAAGTGGTGGACAATCGATCTGACGGGAACCCGGTTGCATCGTCCCACCATAAACAATGATTGTTGGTCGATTGTGGCGAGCGGCCGCCATCACACACCCGGGCACTAAAGAAGCTTGAGTTGCTTCGCGTAATCATTAGTAAAGAGACTAGATACGAACTGTTCTTGTCACACCCCGGAAGCGAGATGTTGCCATCATAGAATTGGCCCTAAGGACGGATGTGCGTCTATCATCAACCTGGATGTCTGGAGACCGGTGGCCAATAATGTCTCACAAGTGTCACCTTCAAACGTAGTCGTGCTTCAGCCAGAGGTGCTAACTGTGAGAACGTAAATTGCGCTTACAGCTTCGATCGAATCGGCGATCAAGTCACGACTAGGCAGACTAAAGTCCACAAGCTTCACATCAGATCGGGAATTTCTCACGACTGCCAGAGTACCTATAGCGCATTCCCGATGTGCCCATAGTGATCGCATCACTAAACTTGCCTTTCAGACCGGTAGACCCCATCCTGGTTAGTGCAAGGAACACGAACCTGATACCGATAGTATTGAATATGAGCCCAATGAGACCAGCTGCTTCACAGCCCTTTTTGACTTCGTAACCAAGTTTGAGCTTTAAGAGTGGGAACGTTAAACCAAACTTGGAATGGAACATGAGAACCCACTAAATGAGCATTGCACCCGTTTCCTGGCAAAACCGAAGGATTCGTATCACATATTGACATGAAGCCCACTGAAGCGTACCTTCCCACCAGACCGGAGAGATACCGATCTGAGGTTTATCAAAGTCTTCGTCCTTTAAACCAACGCCATAATCTGCACGAAGCAACTGTGAACAGCGAACACGACTGAAAATGATGCTATGGCTAACACATCGCATGTGCTGCAGTAAACATTTTGTTTCCCGTCACCACACGCGATACTTTGTTCAGAATAGGATCGGCTAGGTCGCCATTCTTGGGCACAGAATGACTTGTGGTTGCGTTAGCGTCGAAGAAGCGACAAATACTTGATATGAACGCACATTTCGACGCCTCCCTCGCTGGCCATGTTAGAAAGTTGGAAGGGATAGTGTACGGATTAGAGGTTTGCACGGCCCGTCTGTCCGAAACCAACCAACCGGTTCGTGCATATGACCTGTTATGCAAATGGGGCAAAAGTCGAAAGAACCCAAGAGGTCCCTTGGTCTATCATATGGCGAAACAAAGGAAGCACCAAGCCGAACAGCTAGCACGACTGATATTGCTAACAAAATATCAAGGTCATTTACATAGAAGCCACCTGGGGAAATGTTTGGCATTATGTGTGTCGAGCCAAAATTCGCTTTCATTGCCAAATAAAGCTTCCCCGCGATTTTGGGCGTGCACATCCGACAGGTCGCTCGTCGGGCTGCCAACTTGGCATCGGCGCTCGAACTGCTACCTGGACTAGGCTCCACTAGATGTGGGCACCGATTCAGCCTGTTGTGTCGTTGTACTCTCAGCTGCAAGAGCTATGTCCCCGGATGACATGGGGAGTCATGGGGGTTGCCTGTTCATTGAATAGTCCTCACCACGCGTTATTCCATTATTCGCCCGCTAATTCTTGGAGAAGCTGTCATCGAGGCTGAAACTAGCATCCAGCGTGGTTTGATCAAGCCTCGGCGGCGTCTGCAGTCCTGGTATTGCCCCTTCCCTCCAAGGCCAAAATGTCTGCGACCTTTCTGCATAACGAACATGCTTCTTTCGCGTGCCCAGATAATTATACAGATAGGAAAACTGCAGCCTCAGCGTAATCTCTTGCCTGCTCCTGATATCGCACCGTCATGATGGGTGAAGAGGGTAGGGTAAGTGAGGGCAGTGCGGCACGGCACTCATATTACGAGGCAGCCTCGTGGCCAGGTATCCGGTAATGTTATTCCTCTCTGCTGGTTTTATTCGCCGAAATGTTGCATCAGTCTTGAACCGGATTGTGCTCAGGTGCCTGAACGACCCCCCAAGTCTGTGTCAGACTGAGCAAGCCTGCTAACGTCTCATGGAGCCCTCTGCCCACCGTCCTATATCCTCGGTGCGGGAATCTTGGTCTTCTCCACAGAGCGTTTCGTTGCCTACACTAGTATTTGTCTATCTTTTGCCTTGATAGATAATCCTGAGACTTGAAGGGACCAATGGATGGACCCCTATGCTCTCACTGTTCATGATAGATATGCAACCCTGCCTCCCCGCATGTGGACAGTTACCTACACAGCAGAATAGCCGCATTTCTCCGATAATGCCTGTGTTCGGCGTCAGTATCTCTTCGACGGCGAAATCGTACAATTTGTTTCCGAGGGCGTTCCGACATCTAGCTTTGGTGCTACTAAACTGGCTGGCTCACCAGCGAGGGAATGTCGATCGTCCTGCGTCCTGCGGTGTTAGAGTGCGAACAAGTGTGAGTGTCTGGAACGCAACTCATGGTGCCTGCCCACGTGCTGTGGTGCTAGCGTGCAGCATCCTCCTAATAAGTTTCATACACTGTCATTACATCGTTAAGATCTTGTGGACGTTCAAGGCGAGCACTCGGAATATTGATGCGGGAGTAACGGTGGGAAGAATATATCATTGACGGGGCCAGAGGAGAGCTACGCAGGAGATGAAATGTACTTGGTTGGCCCTGGTCCTTGGTGATGAGCAATATTGGATGCAGTGATGGGGTAGGATCTGCAGTCAGAGATGCGGGGCTACAACGGTAGCAAACTCAAGGTCATCGGCATTGAGCCCCGATTATTCTTTTGATCCGGCATGCTCTCGGACTCCTCAAATTTGTCTCGGGTTCCAAATGGGTCGGTTTTACTGTCGGTGACGACCAAAAAAGCGCATCGTTCATTGCAATCATCAGGTGGGTGAATCCGATGCTAAAATAGAGTAATCGATTCACAGTGATGCAACAGAATCCTGGCTTGGGGTAAAGATTGTGAGCGTGGCACCACTGCAGGACTTTGTCCTGTGTGACTTTATAACCACCGAGAAGGTAGACCATCTTACATAGGACAAAATGTGGGTTAGCATTCACAACGAGTAGGGGCACACAAACCTGTAGGGAAGGCAAAGCAGACATCCCGATGCAATTTGTCATTGGGCATGACTATCATGCATGCTGTGCAGGTGACCATTCAATTGTGCAATATGTCCATATCGTGCTTACGTAGGATGCCAAGCGGCAGCTTTCCTGTATCGACAGTGGTCGTCTACAGTGGTCGTTGCTCTCAGTGGATCGGAAGGAAGAGAAAAAACTAGTTTTTTGGTACCAGGATTGGAACTGCCCTTACACAACCCAACCCCCAAAATACGCGGACCGCTCTGTCATGTCTGTCATCGGCTTCGCGGGCCGGCACCTTTCCGGTGGGTTCTCAAATCTTTGCCTAGCGTGTTACGCGAGCATTCTTGGGTTTCGGCCATTCTTCGCCATTTACATAGCTACCCCCTTGTTGTACCATTCCATCACGAGCCCCTAGCATTTTATGTCATTTCCCTGCACTGCGCTTTCGTTTCTGCCTCTCGCTTTTGCGCGACTTTTGCCCATCAAGCGATCACAATTCTGTGACTGAAGTATGGATGGGGACAAAGGGCTGGAATAATGATATCCAACCCAACCCAACCCAGCAAGTGAGTGTAACTGCCTTGTCCTGCACGCGAGCACCGCATCGGGGACTGTCCACGCTCGCTCCTGACCTAGCCCTCCTTCCCCATATCAGCGTCACATTGCGGGTGTTGTCAGTAATGACTCGTGGAGAAGACAGATGCAGCTTTTGTTCTTCCGACACGCATGATATGATCACCCGCGGATCTCAGGAATTCCGTCGCAGGGGCCTTTCCGCCCGTAGTCAAACACATTGAGGTTGCAACTTGCAGATCAACCCACAAGTATCTTCATTGTTCCTCCTGACCCACGCGAACCCGATCGTGAGGAACAAGAAGCTCCATGGGAGCCGGAGATTCTTCAACATTGTTGCTTTCACCGTTCCACGAAAGAGCCATGGCCGGTTCCGAACGATGAACTATCTCACACTTTATTCAGTTCTCCTCCCCAAGATACACCAATCAATGGCGCCGTCCCAATCAAAAGCAGAAGCACTGGTACAGCTCTAGTATGAGGTACACGGGATCCTGCGCGTGCGTGGAGAGCCATGCGGTGGGAATCGTGACACAGCGGTGAACCCACACCGCTCGTCCCTGGATATGAATGCGACAACAGATCCGTGAAACTCACATCATCCGGCCCAAATGTTTACACAATAAGAAACGATCGATCGTGCCATTGCTGAACGTTGGCATACAGTTTTAATTGGGAGGGGGGGGATTAGTTCATTGCATAATGGCGCCTGTGAGCGCGCGGAACTCAATATCATTCGAAGCCCGTTACAGCCCTTTGCGGTGCTACGGTGAGAAGCACCAACCTCCGGCGTCAATCATTGGACCAGCGTCTATCTGTGCAAGGCCCCTGAGGCACAGGAAGGAGAATTAATTAATTAGGAACTACTCAAGGAACTCACCAAATTGATCACCTGTGAAACCGTTCTGCCCCGACAGGCCACGAAGAAGCGAAACTAACCCCGATCCGAAAACTCAGCCCTGCGGAACAACAGCAACCAGTGGTTGGAATATTGGACTTTGCATGTTTCATGTTTGGCTCCCGATTTCATAAGAGAGTAATCACCTTGAACGTTTTGAGTTGAATAGTTGCAGGCAATTGCTGCCTGAGGATTACCATTGCGGGGAATGATTCCAAATCTACGCACTGCACCACTAGGACATATTGAATATCACTTCCGCTCGTTTGTTCATGTGTACCCAAGGGATTTGGTGAAGAGAGCTAGGAGCGTAGCTGATGTACGAGTATGAGCATTACCGAGTACTTGCGACCTGCAGTTGCAGCGCACACAACATCGATCCATGCGGTCATGGCAGTAGCGTGTATGTGTACATGCGCAGCAGGTATGCGGAACCCTGACCGGGGACCGCAGCTAGTATGAACTTCGAAGCCAAAGCAGTACAATCGGATGAAACAACCAGACACCATAGGAACTGGCAATGGAGATAGAGATGCCCTCCAGAGAAGACGAAATCGACCCTAGATAGCTTCCCTCGTCATTCGTCATCTTAATAATATTGCATACGATGTTTCTGGATCGTGAGGCGCCCTTGTTATATAGCGCAGGTCAATTCGCGCGGGGAAGCATTGAAAAAATGCATAGGTGAGCTATCGAATGTGTACGCTGGGAGAAGCAAACAAACAAGCCAATGGATACACAAGGAGGTTTCAGATCGGTTGATAGAATTGGGAGAACTGAAACCCAAACTGGAACTGGAAGCAGATCAGCAGATGGGGGGTGGAGTGGAACTGAAAACGACTAACTAAAACAAGGGACAGCAAGAGACGAGCAGTCAGGTTCGGTTTTACAGCGAGGAGAGTATGAGGAAGGGAGGAGAGAGGTGCGGTGTAAAGTTGCAAAAGTGTGGGGTATAATATAAGTGAGCTGTAGGGTAATGTGGCAGATAAAAGCTCAGAAGTCAATCGAACAGAAGAGCAGAAAGTGAGTCTAAACCCAATTCCAAACGAAGGCCTTGGTAGTGTGATAAACCAGAAAGCGGGAGACAGAAAAGCAAGGCCATCGTGGGCAAGGGAGGGGAGAGAAAATAAGTGAAAGTCAAGTTTGCCAAAATGTCAATAAACATTTCCAAGATCGTGTTGAGCAATAGCCCGCTTCAGCCGACGCTCAACGTTTCGTTCGTGACGTGATTCGTTCTGCATATGCGCCGCCTTCCATCTTTCAACGAACACCTAGATTTCAAACCTTGGCTGGAACGACCTTGATCGCACTCGCTACGCCGTTCCTAGGGACTCCGAGCATAACTGCCCCGCCAAGTACTCCAACTTTTCCGCACTCATACTCCGTCACGTCACGCCGGCTTTTGTCAATGTAGCATACCGCAGCGGAGTTCCCCTCTTCCTCATCCTCATAATAGCAGCAAGTGTCGTCAACGGGGCTCGACGAGCGTGTTGATGGAACGACCGACGATGGAGAAGTCGCGCTTGTCGAGGAAGAATGCAAAGACAGCTGGGACATCGAGAGAGAAAGAGTACCATAAACGCTGGAGGGGGCACCGGTAGCGCCAGTTCCAGTGGACGAAGTGGAGTTCGTGCGTGAATGAGAAGCGAAGCGTCCAGGGTTGAGGAACTGGGACTGAGGCGCGGTACCGGTGCGGGGAAGATCCATGGTAATGGAGAGGGGTGAGTCTGTGGAGGACGATGCCACGGACGAAGGTCTAGCGCTGACACCGCGCGATGGACGAGAGATGGGGGTCCCAGAACGTGGCGTCTCAGGGAACAGCGAAAGGACGCTGGCCAACCAATTGTCGTCACCGGTCGTTTGTAATCGTCGACCCACTGATGTCGAGGAGACAGTGCCCTTCTCCCACGGAGACGAAACGGTTTTGCGGTTGACAATTCCTTGCCAATAAACCTTGGGCGTGTCTTCACCCACCCGATAGGAGACCATGCCGGGGTCAACACAAATCTCGCATTCCTCACCCCCAGTCAAGAGGTGGACCCACTCCGCAGCGTTTATGCCAGTCGACTGGGCGGCAACACGCAGAGGGCGAGGCGGTTGGGCGGAAGGAGTGAGGCGGAGTGCACGCGAAGAGGCACCCAGAGTGGGGCGTTCAGTGTTCCATGTGGGCGCTAAATGTGCGGAGAGTGAAGACATGAGAACAACATGTAGTGCATCGAGGGTCGACGCAGAGCAGTTGTCCTTCAGGCAGTTGGTGAGAAGTGGGATGGTAGCGTTAATGGCAGAGTTCATCGATGTATCCATGATTGCGTTAGGTGTGAGTGCGAGGAAACGAAGTTTGCTGCCTGTGCAAGAAGCTTTTGAAGGGTGAAGTTGTTCTTAAAAGGGCAAGTGGAGGGCGTTATAAGATATCGACCAGCGAAGAAGGGCGTTGAAAATATCAAATAAGATGAAAAGTGCGAAGAGATAGAGGCTAAGAGGTCCGTTTGGGGCAGTGAGTAGTGGATATTGAACTGTTCGATATGAGGCAATTGCGATGATGATGGAAGGGCTAAGTCAGTTCAGAATGCGCATGCTTTTATAACGAAACTGAAGAGCAACTGACACAGATAGTGTGAAAAAAAGCGTTAAGATAGAACGTCTGTAGAAGAGATGAACGAGATGAACCGAGTGTATTAGCGAATGTGTCGGAAATGCTTTACGCAAAAATGAACAATCGTGGGACTGTCTCGTTCACTCACCAGGGGATGTTGTGTCACGTCAGGGAACCGAGGTTAGTGGAAACCTGGGTAGGCGAGACTGGAGGGTCGTGTATCGGAAGTGAGACGAGTCGGGGTTTTACGAAGATACGAACGAGAAAGACGAAAGGTAGTTGCAAGGGCGGCTATCAAGGTTGAGGGTGCGGGGGACAGCAAGTTATATACGAGAACTAGGGAGCGCAATGTTTCCTAGTCGGGCATAAAGCGGATGGTTGTGTGGATGAGATTGAAGAGGGCGTCTTGAGATGGGTGAAGAACAACAAAAAGGCGAGTGAGCAGGAAAAGATTATGAACAACGACGAGTAGTTCAACACAACACAATCAATGTTTAATTGTCCTCCGCGGATGAGAAAATAACATGTTTCCTCATCGCATATCACTGTCCCTAATCGGGTCTTTCAACAATGCACAAAGGGGCTTCACTCATACCATCTCGGCTCTTATCGGCTATCCCCGGACTCCATCAAGGTTTCCAAATCACAGCCTTCGTTCCCAACCACCGCCAACTCCCAAAAAGGCCTTTGTATTCCCGCTCTAACGACGCCCAAACATCCAGATTGCCAACACAGTTCTAGGTACTTGCACACCAAGGCCTATTCATTCGCAAAGCCAAACCCACGCTTCCCCCGCGACGACGAGGCCCTTCCGCGCTTCATCCCTCCCCGAGACCGAGGCACAGCACTGTTGTTGATGCCGCGGCTCCTGCCCCTGCTTAACCCCCCTCCTTCATTAGGGCATGCTGAACCGAGGTCGCATTCAGTCGCTTGCCATGTGAACGAAGATGACTAGGAAAGCAGCCGACGTACCGTTGCTGCTGTGTCCTGCTTTGTGACATCTAGATTCAACAGTTCATTATTGAAAGCTCATCGTATTCAGCGCAAGTAGAAAGGCAAACGTGCATCCGCCTCCTACGGCTTCTATTCTTGAATTAGAAAGCAGATCGCAACTCACTTGAAGCATGTACCACCACCTCTTCCTCGGGAGCCGCTTATTGATCTCCCACCGCGTGATGCGTGATTAGGAGCACCCGCGCTGCGGCATGCTGTGAAAGGAACGTAACACATGTCGTAAGTCGCCCGCACCAAATAAATCAATACCACTCCTTTCTCTGTCCCCATTCTGCCTGCCAAATGGTCCAAACGCGGACTTACCGTTGCTGAAATGACCTTCTTCTCCGCACTAGAACGTGCATGTAAGTTGTATTGGGAATGTGGTAGAAGTGAGAGTTCAGGAGGCGCCGTTTCAAAGAAAGGGGAGAAACATCAGATAGTGATTATGTTCTTATTGAACGGCTTACCTTGAAGCAGGCCAGAGTTCCGGCTCCGCCGCTTGAAATTCCACTCTTCACTCGTTTACTCGCTCTCGCATCACCATTAGGGCATGCTATATAAATTAGCGGTTAACACAGAGAAGTTCGGGGGGTCGTGTCAGCATCAATTCCAAGGCGCAAGTCAGCAACCCCATTTCCGAAGAGCCGTCAATTGGGTGGATAAAGTTCATTCCAGCGGAGTTGGTAAGTGGAATGCAATATGGTTACATCAAAAGACCCCTATGTGAGCGATTTCTAATCAGCAAGGGAGGGGGCTTCTTGCGTACCTGAGCTCCAATGTCCTTCTTGACCACTTGATAGCGGTTACACGAAGCACGATGTGAGAAAAACCCGAAAGCAGTAAGATTGAGTCAGCTTCTCCAACCAAGTCATCTTCACCTGTATCGCCTTATTATCGGCTAGACGTACCACTTGAAACACTCTTTCCCCGCATCCGTACTACCCCCTCCTGCAGCGGGACCCGAAGAATTTGACGCTGACCCTGGCGTGTGATGATGATCGACATCATTCCCATCAACCCACGCAAAGAACTTGCATTGAGTCCCCTGAGGCTGAGGACACGTCCAGAATTGTTTGCCTTTATTAGGACCCTCCTTGGTCACAGTCCGTTGAACGGCTTCAAGATTGCATTGGCATTTTGGTAGATCACTCTTCGCACCTGAATTAGTTGACTTTTCGAGTTCGCCCGGCGAATGGCAAATGAACCCCCCTTCAGGGACCAGTTGTGGTGATAGAAAGAACCTGCTTACGTGCTGTCGTTTAGAGGCCCCAGTCGCAGTAGATCCGCTGGCGCCGCTCATAGACGATGAGAGACCTTGCGCAGCCCACTCAAAGAATCCGCATTTCTTATCCGTTCCACAGGTCCAAAATTGTCTCCCTTTATTCTCATTATCCTTGGTGACAGTGCGTTCGGCAGCGACGGTGCCACAGTTACAGTTTGGCGGTGTTATGTTCCCAGTGTTTGAGGCGCTTTTAGGTTCTGATCGTGTTCGTCGGTTTGAAGGCGGCGGTGGACCTGTGAACCGGATGGGCTGTAGACCACTTCCACAAAACCCGATGATTAACATACCTGAGTCTTTGTCGTCAGAGGGACCAGGAGGATGACCCCTGTCCGTACCTGATGAGCCCCCGCCTCCACCTCTAGGGAACCCGCGACCGCTCCCTCTACCTCCACCGCGCCCTCCACCGCGTCCTCCCCTGCCACCGCCACCGCCACCGCCGTCCCCCGGTCCGCCGCCAGGATTCCCACCGTTAGCATTAACATGACCCCCTTCTCCACGTATAAACGCAGCGACGGTCTCAGTGACCCTCGCAAAATTGGTTCGTGCACGGAGAAATACTTCCCGGTATTGATCAAGGCTCTGTTGTATCATGTTCTCTTTCGTTCGTCTACTTTCGCACACCTGGACCATCATCTGTTCGGTCTGTCGACGAATAAGTGGCAAGCAGATAGATAATTGATGATAGGGGCATACGAACCTCTCGCCGTAGTTGAGGCTTGGATAAACTTTTGTCAAATCCGATCCTGTTGTATGCTTCCACAAGACCGACACCCAGCTTCGACGGGAGTAAGTATTTTGTTCCTCCAATTTTTTGTTCTAGAACATATTCTCTGTCAATTACGGTCTGAATGTGCTGTGCCATAGTGGCATCAGTCCCTGTGTCATTCATCAGAAATGTGGCAATAGTGCCCCAATAGGCACTCACCAATCCCATTTTTATTCATGAGTGTGACGAGTTGAGCTTCTGTTAAGTAGGGAGGTGCAGATGTCTCGCCTTCCTTGAGTTCGCACACGGTGGGCATGAATTCCTCGCCTTCTCTGTATTCTGGGAGTGCCTTATCGGCCCATTTGTCGTATGGATATACGTCCAGGTAGTTGCGTTCCAGTACCACTAGCCCTATTGTAATGGACAATTAGCGGAGCACACGAAAAGTTTAAATAACACTAAACCCACCAGTGGCACTGAATTCTTCCCCAGCGCATTCCACATCAACTGTGGTCTCAAATCCTCTTGCGTCTTTTGAACAACATGCGAGGAACCGTCGAGTAATATATTCATAGACCCGTTTCTCATCTCCATTGAGATTACCAGCATGAGCGGTCGGATGGATTGGAGGATGCGCATTGTCATTGTTCCTCCCCTTCCGTGGCACCTCGTACCCGGGACCGGGTCCCGCGAGACTACGCGGGAACTGTCTTAGTATGGAGAAGGAAATAAGAGACAGAACGCACTTTGTGGCGAACGTTCCCCAGTTAGGATCCACAGTTTGTTTCTGAATCAATGTGTTGAAGTCAAACTTGTCGTCGTACTGGTCGGTTTCGGTTCTTGGATACGAAAGAAAGCCTCTTTGGTAAAGCGCCTCAGCGATCTGATGTTGAGGTCTCAGATGCTCTTCACTGAACACAGAATCGGATACTCACATCCAAAGTTTTTTTTGGTGAGAGTTTCAAGAGTCGAGATCCCGCTTTCTGCAGCTCTACAGTAGTCAATGGAAATGGTTTGCTAAAGGGAAGCAAAATATCATTGGTGGCCCTCTTGCAAATCTTGACCTTGATATGCATACAATTTTTTCGTTTCTTTCCTTGAAACCTTCACCACATGTGCCATCGGGTCCTCGAGCACCAATTCATACAACATGAATGCCGTCTCGAATTCAAAGAGCCTGTGCCTCTTCCACTTAAACTCTGTGACACCTTCGCCATTAGGGCCCGCCCGTTTAAGGTCCATGTATATGTACCAGAATGTTTCTGGAACGAAGGACTGGACCTGCTCATATCTAGAGACCACGAATCCAAGAGTCGGAAACTGACAGGGTCCTTCGACACAATTCAATTGACCGGACGACTTGCAGCGGGAGAGGTACTTGCCATATGATACAAGTGCCTCGCGCAGTTCAGCAATGTCGTTTTGAAGCGCAACGGTCTGCATGCGAGTGAATGCGGCACCCAGCCTCAAGTCCAGGATTGTTCGTGCTTCAACGGCGTCTGATTGTGCCTGATCAAGTTGAACGGGGTGCTGAGCCGCATGATGTATTTGGCTGCAGATTTCCTGGGAAATAAGTCGGAAGAATGAGAGTACAAACGCGGAGAACTGACGTAGCAATGATCGCGCTGAAACGCGCTCGAACTACTCGAATACCACGGTTCGATCTTTGGCAGATCACTTTGACCTCGTTTCCAATATTCTCTCCTTCCCGATCGCAGTCCGTCCATATCATAAGGATTCCAACATGGCGAGATTCCTGTTTTAGATTTGTTTCAATTGGTTTCGCGTCCTGAGAAACTCGGTCAGATGTGCTTGTCACCTATGCTCGTTCGAAAGCTCACAGCCTGGACTTTGGCTTCGATAGGTACATCGAAAAGTGTGAATGGGTCACATGAGTGCCACTTCCTGTGCGTCTCAGGGAAGTCATAGGACATGATGTGACCCGAAACGGATGTTACGGTATATTGCGAGTTCGTTGGGTGATACGGGAAGTCGAAATTTTTATTGAATTTGCTTGGACCATCGCGCTGAACAGTGGTATGCGGTTGTTGTGGGATCCAATCCAATGCCTGTCGAGGCGTGATGAGAACTCACAGTTGTGAACGTTCCTCCCGACAGGATCTGTGTTATCGACCGAGCTATTGAGGGTTTCTCGGCTACACAGAGCACTTTGTCGGCTGGCATGGCATAGGGTGTTGGTTAGAATAGAAGGACGCGTTATTTAGTGAGAATAAGACGCGAAGTTGCGGCGCCAGAGGTCGTTTCCGCATTTGCTTCTTGTGTTTTGGGCTGTTGACATCGCGCATCCAAACGGCCTTCAGCTTCCAGAACACTTCAAAGCCCCACTGGGGGTCCAGCCTAGCCTAACTTATGGCTAAAGATGTGATACGGAGGGCCCTCAACAACATAGAATTTGAGCCCCCACGGTCATCTACTCCTTCAAGTAAAGCGAAGGGCCCCGGAAGCACATCCGCCAAACACGGAAACTCCACGTTCTCATCTGCTGCTTCATCAATCACTCCGCTTCCTGAACTTACCCCAGAGCAGATTGATATTATTGACGCGATAATCAAGCGCGCACCCGAGAATACGACGACATTTTTAGCTGTCTACAAAGCGTACGAAGAAGTCCTGGAACAACGGGGTATAGAGTCTACGCCTGATGTAAACTACTACAAAATCCTACTTCAAATTGGTGTCATCAAGGCGCAGTACTGGAAAGACCGGTGGCGCATAGCGAAAGAAATGCTCGGAAGTCGTTCAATGGGCGAACACTCATATTCTGTTGCTGCACCCAACAGTCAGGGGTCGTCATTCCTCTCGGACTCACTTATCTCGCACTCAGAACCCCATCCAGCTATTTCTGGCACACCCGGTGTCAGGACTTCCCGGAAATCCGTTTACCACACTCCTAGACCTGTTACATCTATGTCTGCTCCTCTGTTCCAATACAGAGCGAGCACCCCTACTAAAAGCGACAAATTTTCAGGGGGCTCGACTCCATTAACAGCACCTAGCGTTTTAAAGCCTTCTAGGAATGCTCCTTTAAAGCTCTCACCCCTCATTGCAGGGGATGTGGAGAGCGATGTGTCATACCGCGCTCATGCACCACAAAGTAATCACGCCTCCGAAGAGGATGACTCCCACAATGTCCCAGGCCCTTCACGTCCTTTCAATCCCAGGCCTGTCTCAATGGATGCTATCCCACGGCAGCATTCGAACAGCTTACTTGCCACAAAACCCTTTCAGGATCGCCCAACATCCTCCAAAGGACGTTTGGAGCAACAGCCCAGCCTCCCCCTCGTCGGTACGGCCGAGAAAGGCGCCAACGGGCATGATTTTTGGGAGGTTGAAGAAATGGAACAAACTGCGGATGACTTCCGACAGGAGTTGCTGCTGCGCCACTGTCTGCATATATGGCGTGATGGATCTCGATGGATCTCGGTACGTCATCATAGTCCCGTATCGCACTTTTATATTGCTCACTCCCACCAGACTACTCTGGAACAAGTTTCGAATGCTAGGGATCACATCCTGCTGAAGTCCTGTTTCCATGAGTGGTTGGACACTCAGCGTCGCAGGGCCGACTTGGAGGGTCGAGTTAGCCGTATAAATGATATCCGAATTTTACGTGTTGCGGTCAGGTCCTGGCACGAAGCTCTCGAGGAGAAAAAGAGACGCGAATTTCGAGAAGGAGTGCGTCGGAGGTTTATCCTCATTCGAAACAGCGTGGATTCTAGGATTAAGCGCGAGGTGTTGAAAGTAAGTACCACCATATCCTGCTTCGATGGAATGCATTAAACCATTCTCAAAGAAATGGCTCTTATCTTTTCGGTATCTCCGCATGGAAGCTCTGCTGGAGACGAACCTTCAACGACGCATGCTGCTGATGTGGCGGAATAGGTTTGTGGATCTCAGACGTTTTGAGCAGGCCGCTGGCGAGTTCCAGGAAGAGAGTAGACGATTCACAATTGCAAGGATTATAGACCTATGGAAGCGGAAAGTGGAGCTGAGGCATGCGGAGAGCCTTGTTTCTGCAGTAATTGCGCGGCGGACGACAGGCCGTGCCCTGGAAATATGGTTGCGGACTGTGTGAGCACCACCAAAGCCGACACAGCGGACGGGATGAACGTTTGACCTCAACATCGTACAGGAAACTCAGACGACTGGCGCACCAATTCGAATCCAAGCATCTGATTGCAAGGTCTCTGTCGAAATGGAGAGCCAAGTTTCGGGAGATTCAGGCAAGCTATTATCTTCGTAGTTCTTGCGCCTTCCTGATGTGAAGCATTTCTCGCTGTCGTTAGAATTTGAGTCGCAAAGTCAGTATCCAAGTCCGCCGCCAAAATGGTCTGCTTCTCCGGGCTGTATTTCGAGTTTGGGTCGCCAAAGAACGCGGGGCGCTCCTCGTCCGCATTCGACAGACCCGTTTAGTGCTTCATGCTTTACGGACTTGGCATGAAAAGTGCCGTTGTATTAAGCGTTTGAATGGTAAGCAATAAACTCCTAATCGTATGATCGCATTCAAAGATCTGGAACAGCCAATGCCACAGCATTCCTGGAATCCCGCAGTCTCCTCTTGTTCAAAGAGGCGTATCATCATTGGCATTCCAGACTCGTCGCGCTCAATGCTTCTTTGGCTTCCGCTCAAGTTTACTACACTCATCACTTGATGGTTCGAAAGCTGCACACATGGCGTGCGCAACGCAAATTTGAACTCAGGCGAGTGAAGCAGGCTAGAATCGCCAGGAGGTGGTTTATTAAACGGGCCTGTTGGAGCAAATGGAGAGGCGCCCTTGAAGAAAAGAACAGGGGAAGACGGCTGCAAACCTGGAATCAGGGTCTCCTCAGGCGACTTTTCATCGGTATGTGGATTTTGCTACTCGTGGACCTGCGTTGTTGATATCCACAATTGATGTACGCAGAATGGCAAGATATTGCTGCTCAAAAGCGCCGAAATAACACGTTATCCGCTCATATTGAAGATGGGATCGCTACAGTACGTGAAGTCACGCTCGAATGGCAATTCATTCCAACCCTTACCTGGCACACAGCGGATACAACGACAAACTCTGCACCACTGGATGCGCCGTGTCATAGACTTTCGTGAGCGCGCATTGCGCGTGCAGCAAATCGAAGAAGTTCGTCTCCGACGGTATGTGCATGTGATAATACGTTTTGTTGAGTCGTTAAGCCGTTGCTCATTGCGCAGGGTCGCCTTTTCCAAATGGGTTGACATGCTTGCTCGGCATAGCGATGATGTCGCGTTGATGCAGAGTTTCCGTGACGTGAAGACCGAAGGTACTGGTGGGTAACATACGGCTATGATCTGAACTGAGATGTGCTCCCCAGAGTTCTTGCGAAGAGCCCTCCTCCACTGGATTCAAGCTGCTCAGAAATCCATGAATCGTCGGGAACGCCTGGAACGGAAGCAAGACGAGATGAAGCTTTCCTTGATGTCAGCCGCATGGGATCGATGGAGAGACCGCTTTCTCGAAGAGAAGCTCCATTCTATTGTACGTATGCTCGATTCTCTGGTGATATGGTATCTTAACTTCTGTGCAGGAGTTTGACGTTGGTCGTCAAATGGAATCCAATTTACTATTCAGAGCCTTTAGACTCTGGGAGAGCAAAACCCGAGTGGGTACTATGCCTGCACGGCACGCTGTTTTGTGTCTGACGTTTCCGTGATCGCTTCGTCAGTCTATACCCGCCATCCGCCTCCATGCCACCTGCATGAAAAGGAAAGCTCTCAACAAATGGCACAAGGCTCTCCCAAGAGCTCGCCTGGAACACAGAGCCAGAGAGAGTGAGCGAGGGACTGCTCTCCGTAAGCGATTGTTTAGGGATCGTGTGAGCCTTCTTATCTTCTCTCCCTCAGGTCGTGCATTCCAGCGGTGGCAAGGTGCCTACCGGGCAAAGATGACTTTGAAAGCTGTCGCGTATGTGTTTTTATTCTGACCACATTGTCGTTGTTTCGCTGACGATACGAATATCAGCCGAGCACGCTACCTACGACTTCCGACGTCAAATTCTTCACCACGGACGTCACTGCTAACCCGCCCAATGGGATCTCGACTGCTTCCGGGCTCAGCAGTCAAACCCCGACCTTTCGCTATCGCACCAACTCCTGTGACTTCCCAACCAACCATCACAGCCTCCTCACCGTCCGATCTACGAGACACTGGACAGAATCGATCTCCAAGCCCTTCCAGGACCAGAAACCCCATTCCCATATTCTTGGAGTCTAGGAGCATCGTCAAGTCCAGAACAAACAGTAGCATAACACCAAGCATGAAGGATAGGTCAAAATCGGCAGAGAATTACAGAAGACCCCATTTTAATGTCGCCCCGACCGATGATGGGACAAATCGGGATGCGGCATCAGTGGAGGGTTCATCAGTTGCTCAGACGCCTTTCCCGCCAAGGAGGAAAAGCTTGCTTCAGCGACCTATGCCCTCTTCAGCCCCTGGTAGCATTACAGGTGACGCCGAAGAAACCCGCTCCCGTCCAAAAGAAAAAGTGTTAGATATTGTTCCATCGACAAAAGTGGCAACTACCGCCAGGTCCCGCTCTACTCAACCCCCCTCAACCGTTCCCAAAGCAAAAACAAAGACTGGAATGCTTGAAGCTAAGGACATTCCTGCCAGACCAACATCAGGAATTTTTGGCAGACGGGCAAGATCGAGCGTTGAAAAGATGATCGGGTAGCCTTCAGGCCAGGTCGAAAACCTTGAATTTTGACTTATTCATGTTTATTGTCTCCACACAATTCATTTCAATGGATCCCATGCGGGATCATCACTTGTGTCAATTTGCCCGAGGGAACTATAGATGCGTGTGCGGACCGCCCAAAATTAGGGTAGGTGCATGTTCTTGGGCCTGGCGACGGAGTATTAGCGCTCCCGGACCTATGGCAACTGATTGATTTGTTCAAGCTTGACTTAACGGCGGCCAACGACAAGTGATTGACTTCACCGTCATCTCGTACTTAGCCTCTGGGGTGCTTGAAGACGGTTCCGCCAAATTCTTGGTGACGCTCTGGAGCCATTGGACTACGATGCATGTAGGGGTCCAAACCAGCAGTGGGGCTGTCCCCATGTCGTGTTGGAACTTCATTAGAGGGCAACACAAATTCTCCAGGCTCATACATAATTACCTTGTTTCATGCATGAGGCATGGTTATAGTCATCTGCCCTTTCAGACTTGTGACTACTACAAGCTCTTTGAACAAATGCGCGGAACACTACCACCATGTCCAGCAACTCGTGCCCGAAGCAAGCCGTCAGGCAGCCCACACAGCCCCATGTTCTTTGGTGAGCTATTACATGTAGTGTTGACCAGACATTCTGTTAGTTAAGAGCAATGAACGCATCCGGGATCCCGATGTCGACGGGAATATCGTTGGTGCGAGTACGTCTGCCTGTTACTATAACGCTTTGTCTTTACGTACGTCCCAGCTAATTGCGCTCGAGTTCGAGCCGACATCAGCTGGGCTGGGAATACATCACCGAGACACTGACACCAGTGGACGCGCAGTTGATCGTCTTGAGAAAATTCATACTTAACCCACTCCTCCGGCGCGCGCGGCCCGGTTTAGAGCTGACAGGTGCTGACATCATTGTGTCATTGATCACCACGCCCGATTACAAGTTGGTGATTGATGACCAGTTGCGCGCCCGGTAATTCCCCACGAACACAAATACGGCATGCACATGTTTCGGCACAGCAGGCTGTTTGGCCCGGGGGATGTCATGGGCTACGCCATGGCACGGGAACTGAACCGAGCCAAGGATGCAATTGCTTTCCCTTCTCCCTCTTCCTCCAAAAATTCTAATCTTCATCGTTGCACTCTACCAAAGCCACTCAGGTCATAGCTCCTGAAAATACACTGTCCCCCCATTCCCACTGGTTCTGCCAGCCAAAGCTAGCCATGCCTTTGTCAACCGAAATGTTCTTAGTCCAATGCAACTGTGAACACCCGAATTTCGTCGGGAACTGAGGTCATGAATGCCTATATCGATAGCACCTATGCACTCCATTATAACGTAGCAGTACCCCCGAAACAAAACGAGCTTACGTCGGTTGTTAGAGCAAATACCAGACAAACATCACACACGACGTGATCGGCGGGAAGGTACGCACGTGTGCGACTGAAATCAGTACTAACACTCGCTGAGTAAAGCATTGGGAACGCCGGTATGTACATAGAGCACATGCGAAAACAGCATTGATGTGGTAACAAGGTAACCTGAATTCAAGTCGAAGGAATGGATGGCCTGGTTGGGTTTAGGCCGGAAGGCTAAATAGGAACGGGGGTAGCGGAATTTTGGACTCGCTCATTACTGTTGAACACCTGGTCGATGCGAACAGCCCAACACACAAGGTGGAGCTGTGCGAGCACTCGGGCGAGCTTTCCTCGAATAAGAGTTGCTGGATATGATAAGAGTGAACACATTTATCCCAAGCGTTCATTCGATGAGCATTAATGTACGTACCGCTCAAAGCACTGTCTTCAATCAGTCAGCTCCAACTCTCGCACCCGGCTTCGAACCCAATCCACATCATCATCAAACATGAAGCGTGGTACAGTTAATTTTTGAAGCGGTCTTGACTCTGCCTGACGGCCTTCCAAGCGAGCTTTGATCAGAAGCTGAATATCAACTATGCCTTCAAGATGTTGTTTACGATCCCTCGGAACTGAAATGGCGAGGTCCGTGAGGCTTGGAAGATTGTCAAGCTCCATAGGGGACGAATGAGGCCATAATCTTTTGAGGGCATAAGATAAAGTTTTCATCCCACCCTCCAAGGTAATGGCCTTGATCGTCGGCGTGTCTACTATCTATGGGGGACATGAGGCAGTGTAGTGGCAAAGGAGAGGTTGTTGGGTGTTGACTTACAAAATTCTTCACCATACCCAGGTGCACAGGCGGTTTCAAATTACCAACACTGGTGACGTCGGAAATATCCCAATTGTCATTTATGATGTCATCATTCTTGTCCCACCAACACCGGAAACTGAGTGTAAAATATTGGAGACCGGGCATCCTGTAACAGGCAAAAAGAAATGCAGTATCGGGGTCTAGAGGGCAAAGAGAAAAGTATGGAGAGACGGGATTAGTCTTTCCCAGTCCCGACAGGTGGACACTTCGTCCAAGGTTACATCGTCCAAGGCCAATTCCTGAATATTTTCGCAGGCATCGATGAAGTCCATAAACTCTCGGCAACTGACGTCAACACCATAGAGAGTGAGAGTAACGAGGGTTTCTAGCTGAGTAGTAGACAATGGAATGAAGATGTTTTCAAGAAACAGGTGGCGGAGCGATGAAAGTTTTGTCAGAGCATCCCCATAAGCACTGGGATCGTCCACAGTGTAAGGTGCAAACAGAGTCAGTCGTTCAATAGACTCGCGTGATACACCCCTCATCTCCCAAAAATCACCGCAAAACGCTGCATCCATATCATCTTCTCGCTCCAATGGCAAAGATAGAGCGGTTATCCGGTCCCGGACATCAGCGCTTTTCAGTCCCACCATCCTTTCATGCATATCACGTCGTCTTCGCTCATGGATTTCTAAAGGGAGGCCTCGAGAATAGCGGGCATACGGTGCATAGGAACAATGGCCACAGAGTTCCATTTGTACGATGGTCCAGATTCGAGGATACGATTGAGCCGCGTGTCTCCATGCCGAGCAGACTTGACTAAGGGTGATAGGAGAAGGAAGATACTTGCAATAGGTGTCTTCTTTTCGTTGAACGGCATACCGGAAGATTCGTTGCAAAATTTCCATAGGAAGGGCAGCCACAGGTTGAAGGAAGTTGCGAAGTGTGGTACGTCGGCGTCGTAAAGCACGTTCGACTGTGGTGATCTTCTGAGAAAATTCATAAATGGATTCGTAATCTGCATCCATGCGTTTCAGGGCATCCTCGATTGCCTTTCGGGATGAATTACGGGCTGTGGGGTTGTACGACCGATAGACTGGTGCAGCAGCGCAGATTTCATAATCGAGAACATATCGCTGCAACGCGTCAGCGTCATTGGACATGCGATGAAGTAGAGCAGTGAGCATTTGGGTAGCACTCTAGGAGCAAATATATCGCAGGGATTTTGATGTCGGATCCCGGAGGCAACCAAATCGCGCGGGCAGGTCAGCCTCCATTTTAGAATAGAACACCATTCGATTCAGTTCTCAGCCACACGTCTTGGGAAAGGCAGCGAAGCAGAGTACGACAGCCTCAAGCTCAAGGGTCTAAAGTTCGCGAGGAAAACGCGGGTAATATAGCAAAAGCTTATGAACCATTTCCACTTATTTTACGCCACGAGCCCACAGCGATGCTACCAACTCAGAGGATCACAACTCCACCAGATCATTACAGACAATCCCAGAATCTATGGTGCTAGGAGACTTTCAGCAACACAATCTTGAACTTGCTGCACTGGTCTGCTTGTGAGCTCACGCTGTTCTTGCAACGAACCAATAGGTCCGAAAATGATAAAGGTCCTGTCGTCCTGGGGGCGTGCGTCTACAATGGTTCTTGGGCAGCCTGCGGGAAAAATGGCACAGGCCTATCTTACGCTCTCCAAAGATTATAGCCTCATCCATCCCCGCTCGAACATAGCAACCTTCCTGCCCTCACGGACATCGCCATTTCTGTTTGGAAGATCCCAGGACATAATCAATGTTCGACTCCTGATCAAAGCCCACTTGGACGCCCTCAGGCGGCTTCAGAGATTAACAGCGCCACGCTTCATACTTGAGATTGGGTTCGAAGCCGGTAGCAGGGTTCGACACTGACCGATTGGTGACGATAATCAGAGCGGTACGTGCTATAAATTCTTTGCATCAATGCGTCGGACAAACATTGTTCACCCTTCTCCTCTGCCGCCATGTCCAGCAAGTCGGTTCCGAGGCAGATGGCCCACTTAGCTCTCTCTTTTCGCGGGCCACCGACTTAGAGTTGACCCGACATTTTACTAGTGGGATCCCCATGTGTTTAATCTCTGCCTCAACTCAGCCCAACCATCAGTCCTTTCCTTTGGCCCGAATATCATTCCATGTAATTACTTCAGGTTGGCTTGGGCTCCATACTTGACAAGAAACCATGGTTTCCCTAAGTAAAACACCGACGGTGCGGAATCTGAGCGCAATAACCCAAGTTTTTTCCACGGAGCAAAATGCTACAGGCAAAATACCAGGATTTAGGAAGAACCTTAGGGCTGCGCAGTGTTGTTTTTGGAAGGACAGCGGAGATGTGTATAATGTTATCTAGAAGATGTTGCTCGACTCAGGAAGGAAGGTGGTGAACAAAATGATGTTTCAGGCTCGCGAAACTACTGGAGGAACAATGGCGGAGTGGTTTGGAGAAAATTCGTTGCAAGGATGGATAGGCAACTAAATCAGCGGGACAGGATACGTATTTAACCATTTGCATCGCAAGGAACAAGAATTGTATGTAGGTTAATCGATCCGTTAAACGATCATTTCCCCATCATCCGAGTTTTGGCGTTTGCGCTTGCCGAGAGAGTCCAGCCGAGCATCAGTAGCAATGAGTGACTTTGATGCAGTAGGGAATTGAGCCGTCAAAGCTTCGATCTTCTGCTTAACTTGGCAGAGTTCTTCGATTAGCATGGCGACATCAGTAGGATTCTCCTCGACTGGCTCGGGCTCTGTCTGGATACAAGCATCCTCCATGAACCGTGTGACCACACCCATTCGAATAGATGTGTGAGAAGAAGTTTTTTTGACCGTTTGCAGCTCCGAGTCAGAACACTCGTTAAAGCTCGAGATCTTTGTCACCTTCGGGTCCATTTTGGGAAGTGTAACATCGATCTCAGCCAAAGCCTGCCGAGTCTTTTGAAGCCCAGCCTCAGCAACTGCCACGTCGATCCTGTGTGGCAGCAATTCACGACGAGTACCAGGATCCGACCGCTGCTCGGTTGACGGATGTTTTTGACTTGGCTGCCCAAATTCTGATGCGATGAACGGCATTTCCATCGGTGGTCGCATACAACCGGTATTTGACTTTGACGATGATGTTCTCGCATGTGCTGTGGTAGAGGCGGAGGCACTGTCCTCTGACACAGTAGAAGATATTCCAACTCGTGGAGGACAGTCTTTATTTGGTTCATGGAGGCGGGGCGTGGCGGTTGACATCTCTACTGATGGTCGTATATTAGTAGTTAACTTCGCAGAGGCGGATGACGTGGTGGGTGGCCAGAGTGTGCTCCGAGTTGAGGAAGCTGAATTGACCGATATATCGTCAGTGGCGGGACAATGCTTGGAAGCATTATCCTGGGTTGCAGAAGATTCTTCCAAGGGTCCGCACAGTGCCAGTGGGGATTCTATGACAGGAAGAATTAGCACAGCTAGGAAGCAGAGGGCGCTGCTCACTTGGATTGAGCTTTAGGATACCATAGGAGGCAAGAACTTTCTCGAGAGATAGAGGGATATGATAAAACGGTAAAAGACCGGCCGCGGATTTATTGGTCCTTGCCGCACCCTGAATGGGAAATAGAGGATCGTTTGGATCTTTTATCGCATGGGCAAATTTTACGAATTCTTCTCGAGAAGCAGGGTTGGGAAATGTGATAAAAATGCCGGCCTTCCTCCCTGCTAAGAACATCTCAACGTTTAATCTAGCCGGAGAGAAGATCAATAGTAAGAGGTGCTCGCTCCAATCTGAGAAGTTCGAATACTTCACATTGTACCAAAACGAGTCTCAATGATTTTTCGTAGAGACATGGCGTCTGTCATCTTATCGATGTTGCAGATAGGGCCTGTAGCAGGACAAAGATATGCTTAACGAGTGCGCGTCGAGAACCTTTCGTCTAGAAATGCCAGATTTTAGCTTTTCAATTAAGTGGGAAGCTAAGAAAGACTCACAATATCGCGCGTTGTGATGGTCGAAAGTGCCATTGTAGTCATCTCACGCAATCAGGATGGACGTAGTGAAATTCCTGAATAAAGATCGACCTTGGAAATTGCCTCCACAATTCGAAATTGGTTCGCCTCACCTTGGCAAGAAAATATCTCTTTGAAGATGAATCAAAAGTGATGTTGTTAGAGCCCAGCTTATCACTGCTCGCACAAGACCTCAACTCAACGAAGGTTGAACACAGGCATACAGGCGTGGGAACTCACTGGTCATTCAATCGTGGGCGTTGCCTAATCGCCGTCTCGCCGCTTCCCATTGACAGATGAGATACAACGAGGTTTGTACTACATCATGCCCTGAGTAATCTTCCTCCTCTAAGTGCCCGGTGGGATGCTGCTTCGGTCCATGCCTAATGGTATCAGTAATAACACAATCCGGACTCATTGATATGTATTGCCTTATGGCCCGCCCAGGCCGCCTCGGGTGGGAATATTTGGATTACAAGGAACAAGAGTATGTAGATGCCATACATAAGATGTGAGAACGGAGAATACATTATGGATAACAAATACTGTTGGTTGGTCCGTCCATTAAACGACCATTTCACCATCATCCGAGTCTTCGCGTTTGCGCTTACCGAGGGACTCCAGCCGAACATAAGCGGCGATGAGCAACTTCGATGCAGTAGGGAATTGAGCTGCCAATGCCCCGATCTTCCGCATTTCTAACTCGTCCTCAAGCTTCGCGATCTTTTCTGTGTACTCTTTCCGTGTTGTTCGAAGGCATCTTCTCTTCCCTTCAGAGCGGCACGAAGTTGTTCGTGCTCCATAGTGGCCGCTGCAAGTCTTTCCTCATCGGCAAGTCTCCGATGCCCTAGCTCCCTATCTCTTGCTTCTTCCCGCATCTTGAGCTGTTTGAGTTCTTCGTCTTTCTCTTCCAGCTCGTTCGAGTGACACCGTTTTAGCTGGTCCAATGCTGCTTCTTGTTCCGTGTTGACTTGGCGGAGCCCTTCCAATTCTTTTGTTAATGCGACAGCATCGATGAGATTCTCCTCAGGCTCCGTTTGAACGCAAGCATCTCCTGTGAACCCTGCAATCACGCCTGTTTGAACAGACGCATGGGAGGTGGCTTTCCCAACGGTTTGCACCTCGGCTTGAGAACGTTTAACAGAGCCCAATTCCTCCCGAAGCACATTGACCTCATCCTTTACCTTCCGCTCAGCAATCTGCTCCTCGAGGTCCAAAATTTCTGCATGGATATCGGAAAGTTGGACGTCGGTCTCAACCACAATCGGTTTGATTTCTTGAAACTCAGTCTCGGTCGCCACCACATCCGTCCCATTTGGGACCAATTCACCACGAATGCTAGGATTGAACTGCTCCCCGGTTGACGGATGTCCTCGGTCCGGCTTCTGAAAACCTGATGCAACAGATAAGGTCCCCCTCGATGGTTGCATACTGCCAGTTGAAGTCGCAGAGGTGAGTGACTCAACTTCGGAGACGCTGATGAGGCCTGAGCCTGATGTAGGTAACGACAATGTCTTGGAGAGTACTACGGCAGAAGGGGTGGAAGTGCTGACGCCCTTACCCATAACTGTCGGAGCCGGGGCTTGGGGTAGGACATGGTGAGATGAAGTGTTTTCGGCAGCCAAAGACGACTGCGATTGTGTTTCACTCTTCTTTCGCAGCGAGTCTGCACCTTCGGAACGGTGAGTGGATCCGGAACTTGTGGACTCGATTCCACCGTTGGGGAGAGTCCAGTTACTCGATTGAGAAATATCGCTCGAACGCCGGGCTTGTAGAGATGGATATGTTGGTCTCGTCCCCACCTGGCCGTTTTGAGCTAGCTCTTGAGATTGGGTACTCGACGCTCCAATCACCTGGGGTAAAGGGCCATGGCTTGCAGGCTTGATCAGCGTAGTCGGGGCCACGCTCCGTGAAGGCGCAAGGAATGAGGAGGGTTGTTGAGCTGATACGTTGTTGGTCGTAGATTGGCGATTGGAAAGGCTGCTTTGAGTAGCAGAAGACGCAAGGTTTGTCGGAGACTTGTCAAGTGCCACTGATCGGTCTGTTTCGGATAAATAACTGTCGGTCCGGCGAGGATGCGGAGTGGAGCACAGCTTACTTGGGACGAATGTGGGGGTTCCGGTGAGCTCCAGGGCACCATAGGCCATAAGGATTTTCCCGAGAGATAGAGGGATATGATACCACTTTAGAAGAGAGTGCACGTCTACACTTCTATCCATGCGCCGGATGGAATATAGGGGATCATTTGGATTTGCTACAGCCCGAGTGAAATGAATGAACTCATTTCGGGAAGCAATGGAGGAAAATGTGACAAAAAGGCCGGTCCTTCCCCCTGCGATGAAACTCTCAACGTGTAATCTAAGATCGATGGTAAGCGAAGCAAGTTTAAACCAAAAAGATCTGGATATTTCACATTTCTGGGAAACGGGTCCCAATGGTTCTGTGCAGAAGCATGGGGTCTGGCATACTATCTGTCCAGAAGTCAGGACTCCGGAGGACCGAGATATGCCCCACAAGTGCTTGTCGGGACCTTTTTGTCTGATGAGACACCCGATGTCATTTCTTCAGGGAAGTGGGGACTAAGTAGGAACACTGACGAGGTTTCCTGGCGTAAAAATGCAAAATTTCTCCCCAGCCATCTCTCGCGACCAAAATAGACAGTAGGATTTGCGAAGACCAGAAAAGCTTGAAGAAACTATTTCCAAAATTTGGAGTTCAGCTGGCTCAATCGAATTATGTTTGAAGAAAATAGTGGAAATTGAGGACGCTGAAGTCTGGTTTATCCCGCTGTCGCACAGGACCCATGAGCTCTCAGTGAGGCCCAAGCTCAACGTGCGAAATGTATTGGGCGTGGGAACTTGGCGTGCACTCTGATGTTTCTCTCCGTCAGCAAAAGTGGACATCTCGGTGCACTAATCGTGCTCAGAATAGTTGAGATTCCGGGAGGGGTCTGCCAACTACGTGCATGCCCAAGGAGGCCTAGTTCCCGTTATAGGGAAAATTTAGCCTTTCCCCATGTCTTCTGGGGGCTATTCTGGGGACCTATCATTATCAAGTCTCAGGGACTAGCCGTAGGCCTTGAAGTTACACTGGCACTTATCAACTTGGACATCATTCTCTTTCCGCGGCGTTGGCCTCATCCCCCACTCTGTCTGCACAAGTCAACTGACCTCTAGTATGGATGACTCGTCCCCAATACTTCATGTTGTAATCGGTCAATATCGCGGTGGGGACCGTCGTCCCATCGACGCTTCTGTCAATGATTTCCTTCAAGTTTATCTGAGCTAGGTAATATGTCTACGCCTTGTTATGGGATTTTTGAATTGACAGGAATTGAATCGTCCCCACGCGTTCCTCCCGGCCTTTTTACAACAAAAAGGGCTTCCACCACCAGGTTCGCCGCCTCTAAGGGTGAAGTGCATAAGATATATTCTCATTATTGTGATCACTGATGGGGGCTCCCTTGGGTTCCGCGGTCAGACCCTCTGGGGGGTTTGTTGTGACTAGTTCATAGAAAAGCGTTAGGCAGCTCGAAGTCGCATCAGTACTAGTACTACTCGTATTTGGAGATGTGTATTTATCCGGAGGTAATCGTGAAGGTTGGAATCGACAGTTGACGGCAACGTATTGTAGCCCAGTCCAAACGATGGGCACTTCCTAGTTCTAAGACTACGCACATTCTCGCGTTCTGTCTTTTGTCTTCTGCGTGTCGTTAATCAGCGCGTCAGCCGGAAGAGCTGTCGTCAAATTCCAGGTTCAGGAATGACAAGGGAGGACCAGAGGTTTGCTTCACAGCTGTTGAAGGGACTTGCATCTTACATATCTGCGTGGAGCTTGGAGGGAGCTCCTGACGGCCCGTCTTGCATCAGAAATCCATGAAGATCCTACCTCAGGATCGATGTCGATGTCGAGTTTGAGCCGAGACTAGCTTTGCACGAGTAACAAGCGAGCTTGCATTGGGATGTAGGCATCTATCCTCCATAATAGCAGTGGCTACCGAACAAATGATGTCGCGGCTGCTAATCGTTGGATATGAACATTCAGTATCTATCTTCAGATCAGCGATTAACTTGAAGTCTCTCATCGACCTCGAACGAACACCTGGAACAACAGTCCAGCCATGCCATATTGGGACCATGGACAAGATAGTCGCTAGAAGCCTACCCCGCCGACCACTTATCCAGGCAAACCGAGACCAAACCCGAGGAGGTCTTGACTGGCAATACGATCTCGATCTCTTTCCTGGATAATTGAAGTAACTAACGTAGTAGGAAACCATGGTTGGAAATGTTATCGCACAAAGCTAAGTCCCCACTGAAAAGCGGTGGACCTGCGTGAGTGACGACAGTCGGTGTTATTTCCCTATTCGGTAAGACATGTTGCGGACGGTCCTGCATCCGTATACTTAGGTGTAACGTCTCCGCATCGCATTGACCTTTAATTTCTTTCCTCCCGACACCAGAAAAATGGGCCCCGAGAGAACTGCTCAGTCAACCTCGGAATGGCTCGGTAGCCAAAGCCGGCCCGAGAGTAGATGTCGGGGTCTGCAAGGCCGAAACCCTTCCCACGAGAGCTGAATGATGTCAGCACGCCACAAGCCCATGCGGCCCAGCTAGTGATATAGGCGCAACCTGCACGGATACCACATACTACACCAGGATAGACCTAGGGCTGCCCCTTAGAGCTCACGAACATGTCGATTGCACAGGCGCCAGCGGAAAAGATCAGATCAAAGGCGCAGGTTACCACCCCGATACCACAGTTCTATGAAATGAGTTACCGAAAAGAATTTCTGCATTTGCATGCTGTCTTTTGCTTGTTGCATACTTTGCAGACATTACATACTTTGCACGCTTCACACACTGTGGCAACTTCCCATAGTTCCCACACTTTCCATTTTCAATAACAAATAAATTGCTTCCGATCCAAGTCACATGTGGGTTCAATACAGAAAGTCACATGCTACAGAGTGTGGCTATTCCGCGAAATGAGATGAGTTCTCAGCTTCAGCTGACAGATGGGACCCTCGGATTTCGGACAATGTGACCTGTGCTCAACACTGAAACACAAGTCCAATCACCTTTTCCGGAATTTGTAGTATGGCTGTGCTCCATCACTATCTGGCTATTAATTTCTTCAAATCTCCCCAACCCAGAAAAAAATTAGTTAACCCCACCCAACATTAACCTGGGAACTATGGGAAGTTGCCACAGTGTGTGAAGCGTGCAAAGTATGTAATGTCTGCAAAGTATGCAACAAGCAAAAGACAGCATGCAAATGCAGAAATTCTTTTCGGTAACTCATTTCATACAGTTCACCCCTAGGGATTATATGAAATGAGTTACCGAAAAGAATTTCTGCATTTGCATGCTGTCCTTTGCTTGTTGCATACTTTGCAGACATTACATACTTTGCACACTTCACACACTGTGGCAACTTCCCATAGTTCCCACACTTTCCATTTTCAATAACAAACAAATTGCTTTCGATACAAGTCACGCTGTGGGTTCAATACAAAAGTCACATGCTACAGAGTGTGGCTATTTCCGCAGGGTCAAACACAAGTCCGATTGGGCCAGGTTAATGTTAACTAATTTTTTTCTGGGTTGGGGAGATCAGAGCTTTAATGGCTGGATAGTGATGAAGCACAGCCATACTACATTTTACAAAATTCTGGAAAAGGTGGTTGGACTTGTTGAACACAGGTCACATTGTCCGAAATCCGAGGGTCACTCATCTCATTTCGCGGAATAGCCACAATCTGTAGCATGTGACTTTCTGTATTGAGCCCACAACGTGACTTGTATCGGAAGCAATTTGTTTGTTATTGAAAATGGAAAGTGTGGGAACTATGGGAAGTTGCCACAGTGTGTGAAGCGTGCAAAGTATGTAATGTCTGCAAAGTATGCAACAGGCAAAGGGCAGCATGCAGATGCAGAAATTCTTTTCGGTAACTCATTTCATAGGATTATTCAGCATTCTTTCTTGCTGGTAAGTCGGTTTACCACGCAACAGGCTACGCACACCGAATCGAACACTAATGGACTGGGTCCTATCTTCCAGGCGCCGTTTGCTGTACCCTTACCCATGCCGCCATGACCCGTAAGTGGCTTTCACGTACAGTTGATTCGCAAATATATGGCTCTGATCATCTTTCTGCGCATCTCTTCGTTCATTCTGACAAGCCATTGACGTCGTCAAGACGAGAATCCAGGTCGATCCTTCCCTCGCACGCCATAATTTGCTTTCAGCCGGTCGCAAGATCGTCGCAGCTGAGGGCCCGAGAGGCCTTTTAACTGGATTTGGGCCAACAGCAGTTGGATACCTTGCTCAAGGAGGAGCCAAGTTTGCAGGATATGAGTCAGTCGATCATCCCCACTTGAATGACCCTCCCATAATCTCTATCTTGGAAGATATTGGAAGAAACAATTCGTGGAAGTTGTTGGCTCGCCGGAGGAAGCTGTGAAGTATCGAACACCGATTTATCTCGTAGCAGCGAGCGTTGCAGAGTATGTGCTTTAGCTTTGAATCATTCATTGGACTGAAACTCAACCACACACCGTCCATTGATAGGTTCTTCGCCGATATTCTCCTCACTCCTCTCGAAGCGACTCGTATCCGGCTAGTATCAAATCCAAAGTATGCCAGTGGCCTCGTCACTGGGTTTGCTCGGCTTGCTCGGGAAGGTGGCCTTCGTGAAATGTACGCTGGCTTCCTCCCCATCATTTTCAAACAGATTCCATATGCTATAGGCCAGTTCACGGTGGGCTCAACCTGGTGTTGTTGTTTGAAGCGACTAACTCCTCGTTCATGATCATCGTCCTACTCATTAGGTGAACGAGTTCTGCCACGAACTCGTGTACAAGACGATGACGCCGGAGCAACAAGCTACCCTTACCCGTTCCAAGAAGTTCGCTATTGATCTCGGGTCTGGTCTCACCGCTGGTGCCGCAGCAGCAGTTCTAAGCCAGGTACGACGACATTTCCTTTTGCTCGCTCCTCCGAGCCCTTTGTTCTTACGGCTGAAACATTGCGTCCCCACTACTACAGCCCGCTGATACTCTCCTTTCGCGAATCAACCGCGGCCATGGACCTACTGGAACCATGCTTCATCGTCTCCGTGTTCTAGCTCAAGAAGCCGGATTTAGAGGATTGTTTGCTGGATTGGGTCCTAGGATCTTCATGACGGCCGGTTTAGTATCTGGACAATTTTTGGCGTATGGCGCCATCAGAGACGGTAAGTGTGAAAGACAGCTGTGAACGAGAAACCGTTCTAATCGTGGATAAATTTGTTTAGCACTTGGAGCACCACACGGAATCGAGATTCATAAGGAATAGACGATGGATCGAACTCTCAGTACGTCATGTAGATCATTGAAGTGTTGTTTTCAGACGTCGACTTCACGAGTCCATTGAATGAGAATTTTCATTTTTATGGAAGGGAGGTGACTGATAGATGGGACCACAGTTCCTCACTGGTATAGTACTATGACAGACTATAGGCAGACTGGGACTTGAGTAAACCTCGGAATGTCATCGACTGTTCACGCCGAGAGTATTGTTGATCTGTCCATGTTTATTCTAATAGGCTGCCTACATCGTGTCCCCGAGATGTTAGAGCTTGATAAGACTATACACATCATCTACCATCTAGCTCGTCATTCTCAACGAAACAACTGTCCGTGTACAGAGCATCTTGAACGATCCTGCTTTATCCGAAAGGGGTTCCCACGCCACCAGTGTGGCAGCCAGGTGGTGGATTACTTCGTTGACCATGTGGGATGAAGCCACTCTGAGAGTTGACAAGTGCGGGAGGCTGACTGGGACACCCTCGACTCTTATATCACCCAAGGACAAGGTGCGAACCTCTTCCAGTGTCGAGAGGAGAAGCGAACGGGCTGTCAAGCAACAACACAGTTTAACATGCTGTAAGGAATTACCTGGTCGACGGTGGTTGTGATCAAATCGCCATAGAGATCGTGAAATTGGGACTAGGAAGTAACCCTTGCGAGAATTGGAGAAGCAGGTGCCCGGAGTGTGTAATGTGTGGATCATCTGGCCCGAGTCGCTTCCCGTCTAGGAATGTGCAGCACAACGCTAAAGGGTACACCTGACTGAGTACGAGAGGCTCCACGTAATGGTCAGAATAATGCCTAGTGAGCGGGTTTCGAAATAGACCCCAATGCGCCCAATGGACGATGGATGTAGCCTGCCTTTCTCTTTGACACACGTGGCAATAAGTTTTGCCTTCAACATTAATCTGCTTGGAATGCCTGGAGCTACATCCGAGAGCCCTAAAACAACTAGGCTAGGCGTAACGCGTAGACTCAGTCTCGATATGGAGGGGGAAAAATTACGGCGTACAAGAGTATCTTCGTCAATATCGCTTATAGCGATGGTCTGTGATAACCGGCGATGAAATATACTGGGAGCGCGTGGTATTATGATGTGACTGACGACGCTTATACCCAATCAGTTTCAGAGACGTGGTATCGATGCGTACTTTCACCGATACCATCCGCTCCCAATATATTTCTTTGTCTTTTCCGGCCTAACCGTCTGTCGCCGATGAACGTTACAGGACCAAGCACACTCATGGATATGTGTTTATGTAGGTGTCGAGAGAACCTGTGCGAGACCTCCCCTTTCTTGCTCACCAGTAGCGGGGAATTTGCACCTTGAGCTTCCAGATCAGGATCGCCGTCACGGTGTGTGCGGGTAAGTCGAAAAGACCTTCTAGCCTATGGGATAAGCTGACTAGTGCAGTCCTTCCGGGATGACCGACTCAACTCTGTCCGCATTCTAGTATTCAAGTATACGTTGCATGCGTCGGTATACTTATAAGGTACACCAGTGCATGGCGTGCCACTGGTTAATACGTTGGGCATATCAGGCCCACAAGCGGACGTAGACTGATGGCGTATCTGACGCGGACGGACGTGCAAATGGATACATTAAAGCACATTGAAGATATTACGACAAGCAATACACGTAGATGGAGAACGCATGCCATTGTCCCAGTTCAACTTCGACTTGCGTGTCTAAAGGCATGAATTGGACATTACATATGCCTATGGCACTGGACATAGAGACTGCTGTCACTCAATAACGACAAAACACGTCAAGCCGTGAGCAATTCTCTCATGTCATCAGAGATGATCGGGAGGATCTCGCGCACCCGCACATCCGACTTTTTAGGGGCATCTTCACTGACCTGCTCTGCACCGGTTCGCCTTCTTAAGGAAGCTTCTCTGGTTGACGCATGCTGCGAAGCATGCTCAGCTCGCCGCCGATCGACGTCGGCAATTATTTGCGAGAAAGAGAGGAAGAGAACTTCGGCTTGGGCTAGAGTAGAATCCAGTTCAATACTCATGCTGAGTTCGTTGCAATACTTGAGTACTTCATCGAACTAGAGGCATCGCTGTTAGATTAATTGCGATGCCCAACAATGCAAAGAGCGCACCTCTACGAGATACCTGAGTATAACATCACGATGTGATTCAAGAACGGCAAGAGCAACGAATAATACGAAGCGCTTGGTGTAGAAGTCGGTCCATAGCACCTGATGACAGATGGAGTCTTGTCGGTAAAAGGAAGAACGGCTCAATGACCTACCTCCCATAACCGAAGCACATCCTCAAATGGGAACTCACGCTTGAAGACAATAAGGACCCATCTAACACAAAGCATGACTGCATTGTAACATTCATCTGTGGAATAACTCACCTGAAGCAGAAGAACAGGTTCAATGAATCAGTCTTCTCCAAGTGTCGATAAAGCTCAGGGTCCATCATAGCAACCAGTTGCTGCAGCATAGAAAGCTGCTTCTTCATACCACTCTGGTCTCGTAAAAAGTTTTGTTTCTGCTCAAACTAAGCTTCACTTGGGTTGTAGAAACGCAGTACTTTACTGACCATACGCTCCATCACGGAGACAAAGCACCAAAATGTTGTAACTTCATCCGCCCCACACACAACATAGATCGGAGAGCAGAGATCAGACATTCCTTGAACGTAACCTAGAGAAGTATGTGTCAGCCCCACACAATACGGGTAGCATCAATCAACGGAGATCTGATGCGCGCCTCGCCACATACCCAACTCCCTCTCGTAGAAATTATATGTAAGCAGTATCACCGCTAGGCGATTCACATGTTCGTTAGCGAGGGATTGGGCCCCCGTTTCTTCCAGACGCAGTGTCGATACAGAGACAACAGCTTCCTCGTCTATCGCAAAAAGTGGATGCGTTCGATCGGTGCGCCTACAATCCACATCTATCCGATGCCGTTCCTTCGGTTAGGTGAGAAAACAATTACTAGAGGCGACTGCAGTCTGTTACCTCCACGACGTCGTCCCGATTGAATACCTCCGCATTGCTCTCCCACTCTTTCTTAATGTCCGCGTAGATTCGTCCTTTTCCCTCCAAAACAGAGTCTCGCTCCTCGTGGGTGGCGTTCCATGGAAACACTTCGAGCAGATACGGCCACGCCTTGCGTCTAGCCTCATAAACGAAGCCCTACATATCATCTTTAGTTTGGAGTCTAGAGAGCTATCAGTGCAGCTGGCCTACTCGACGAAAGACTTGACCGCGAAACTCATCAAAAGTGATCTTGGGGCGACCATCACCAGCAAACCAACTGTTCCACGTCTCGAGATCGATAGGGTTCCGTGGGGTCCGCGTTGCCTTAGGTATCGGAAGACTTGCATTTGCCTGGGGGATAATTTAGTCGTTGATGATCAAGTCAAGGTGATGATCCTACAGTCAACAACTCAAACACCCCGAGATCGGAAGTCTCCTCATCATGCGTGGCGTTTCTGGGGATGCCATATACCTCACTTTGTCTCGCGCGTTCACCTTCCTCGGCCACCACCTGAACAAATTCTCTTTGAGTCACACCATTTGCAGATGAAGATGAAGGGTAAACACGCTCACTCGTGCCCATTTAGCAAGGTAGACTCTCGCACTCTCAAACTCTCCGACACCGCCTTTCTCTACCCAGCTTGACCATTCTCCTTGTGCATTAGCAAAGCTTTTGACTGGTTCTGGGAGGTGGGGCAAAATCGGTTTGGCTAATGGATGCGACAGAATATTCTGCGCCGCGTGTCGTGTGGCACGAGTGATCTGTGAGAAGGATGAAAGAATAGCTTGCCTTGGCCCTCCGTTGACTGTTGAGGAGGCCGATGCCAAGCCCTGATGTAGCAAAGAATTCCGATTTGATTGAGTACTGAGTGGCGCTGAAGGAGGATATTGGGAAGGCAAAGGTGGCGGATGTGGCCGGCGAAATTGGGGAATCGGGGAAGATAAGGTGGAATGCGAAAATATGAGGTCCACTGCGTCGTCATCGAAAAGCAGGGTGGAATGAGCCTCGATGTCGGCCTTGCTAGGGTCAACCAGGAACAGCCCTTGCTGCAAATTAGACCGTAAGAGGTGGGCATACTGGCGCAACTTCTGTAAAAGTGCTTCGCCGCCCCAACTCGGTCCATTAGGTGACACCCTTTGGTCGTGTTCGAGAGATCGGGACTCATCATCGTGGTGATACAAAGTAGGTAACGTCGAACCATTGATAAGGTTGATTGTTGTGGAGCCGTCTGGAGCGCACACATGATGCAAGCGTCAATAGGTGGCGGGAAGATGAGATGTAATGCGCACGTACACCAAGATGACATCGATGGCAGTGACACCATGAGCGAGTAAATCGAAGTTAGTGGGACGGAGAAGGCGTAGGATTGTCCATGCGGTGCGGGCGGCTCGATGAGTACGCCGTCTTAGTGTTCCGTTAGTGGTGGGTTGCTAGAGGGTAATGCCACATACCAGCATCCTCATCATGAGCGAATGAAGTTTTCTCGACCCTCACAAATGTGTCCCAATCGGCTCTCCCATCAAGCAGAGATTCGGGAATCCATGCGAGCAAGTAAGTCGGGCTCGTAGCTTCCTAGGGGTCATAAAATGATCAGACCCAGCCTTGTTCTTTTTCAGTCAATGGACAACGCACTCGTTTAACCAAAGCCACAAAGCCAGGGATATTGTCACGAGAATAGGCTACATGAGAAAACGGGAAATGAGAATTTGAAGTGATTGGCAAGCAGTGAGATTTACGAGTAGGATGGACATACACCCTGCTCTTAGAGTAGAGCAGCCGATGCTTTGCGTCTTCGATCAGATCTTCTTGAAGTTTGGCACCATCTCCCTGGCTCAAGGGAAAGGGGCCTCTCTTGATCTCAACCATCGAATCGTCCTAGGAGGTCGTGAGACAACTTGGTGAGCGGATCAAGCACGTACGCACAGATAATGTTGATGTAGAGGGACTTGTAGACACGTCCTTTGAAGGGCCTAAGGTCGCATAACCCCCCGAGCGAGATTTCTTTAGGAAGTCCAACGTGAAGATGTAATGCTGCGCCCGGAGTTATGGGCGGGTATGTGACTTGTTTGGATGAGTTGACTCCGGGGGATGATGGCTTACATATTGAGTCAAAGCCTGGTGTATTTCTGCGATGAGTGCCTCCAAGGATATCAAGGATAACGACGCAATACTGAAAGAGCTGGATAAATTGGAATATCTCTTCCATGGCTCTTCTGAAGCACCTAAAGTCGTTTCCGTCAAGTCCAAGTCGTCATCTATTCCCAAGTCGCTTGACGGTCTACTCGCAGCCCTTGGGGATGCGAAGCGTCAATTGGCGTCTGGAGTATCCTCAGATGTCGTGAAGGATAGCTTAGGGAAGGCGGTAGAAGCTCGAAAGAAGGATATGGACGAGCGATTGAAGGAGGTTTACAACTCCTTGGGACGAATAGGAAAGTCACTGGATAAAGTAAGCATTGAAAATCGTATCTCGTCGACGATACCTACCGCTTTTCCAGAGATTTCCCGAGGCGCTCCCAAAATATCCTGTCCTATTCAATACTCCGGAGGCGACCAGGGCTCTGAACAGGGTGGTTGCATTGCATTTCATTCGAAATGGAGCATTCGATGTGGCAGAGACATTCATACAGGTAACTGAGCACAGTTAGCCCCTCCAAACATTCTGACGACACTTGAAGGAGGCGAATGTGGACACGAAGCCTAACACAATGGACCAATTCATCGAAATGCATCGAATTGTGGATGCATTGCGGTCGGATGATCTCCAACCTGCACTGGAGTGCGCAAAGTATCTAACTATTTGAAGGCTTTTCTACTAATGGAGCGCCCAAAAATCACAGTTGGTGCGCATCGCATCGGCCCTTCTTGCAGAAACGAACGTCATCGCTAGAGTTCAACCTCCATCGCTCACGGTACATTCATCTTCTGCTCAACTCAGGGGATGCGGGCCCGGCACTGTCATATGCTCGTCGATACTTTCCAGCTTTGTATAATGACCACTCCACCAAAATCTCACGTCTTTTGAATGCCATCGTGTTCCTTCCAGCAGAGCGTCTAGCTTCATCTCCGTACTCGGAACTGTTAGACCCATCGGTGCATGAGGATTTGGAGACCCAGTTTTCTTTGGAGTATTGTGCTTTGCTGCGAATGAGCAAGGAGTCGCCTTTACGCTCTGTCGGCGATATTGGAGGGGCTGGTGCTCTGCTTCGCATCGAGAAAGGAAAGAAGGTCATGCAAGACAAGAATACCGATTGGGGTGCATCTGCCGAGCTTCCGGTATGCCATTGTACCTCTTGGAATCTAGTCCCAATATGGCTAATTCTGTGTCCAGATCGAGATCCCTGTACCTCCTGAGTATCGATATCATTCTATTTTCACTTGTCCAGTTTCCAAGGAGCAATCGACTGAAGCCAATCCACCCATGATGCTGACTTGTGGGCATGTACTTGCGATGGAGAGTGTCGGTAAGTTAACCAGAAACGGGGGGTGAGTGTTTTTTTGGATTTTATTTCTACGTTCCCATGCTGAATGACCCGCCAAGACGTATAAAGTGCCCATACTGTCCTACCGAATCCGTGGCTCCTCCTTTACAAGTCTATTTCTGACCCCTAATTGGCTTTTCCTGTTTCACATCCTCGATCATGAATTACGATCGCCTCATACTGTATACTTAGTCATTGCGTCGTCCAGAACAGTCTTGTATCACATACTCTATGTAAATTCTTCGAATTTCCTGTTTGGCTGCCCATGGGGAGTTTACCATGGCGGGAGAACATCACGTCCGGAAACTGAATTCGGAATCAACATCTCGAAACGCGCGTTGTGCAGCTCAGCAAATTTTAACAACTACATCCAGTCAGTGCTTTGATTCCACGCAGTTCCAAAGGGTCGTTTGGGAGCTGACCGAAAGGATCCTAAATATTCCAGCCGATAAGTTAACTAACGGAACACTTCTTCTCACCTCAACAATGAATACCACTTCTGCTGCTTCGAACATCCAACTCGCCCCAGAATGGATGAAACAGCGAAAGCCGACGAAGAAAACTTCGTCGAGTACTTTAGGGTCCAAGCCTAACACCCCAGTTTCGGTTTCCCAGTCGGAAACACCTCCTACGACCGGTTCAGCCAGCCTTGAGGAAGAGGTGGCTCGACCGACGACATCCACACAGCATTCTTACAATTCCAATTCAGCAACTGGGCCCCAAATGACTTACTCCTCGCTTGTGGCAGGCAGTGATGTTTCTCCTGGACAAAATGTTGGTGGTGCGAAGCTTGACGACGACGACGATGCACGCCTCCCATTTCGGTACTCGAAAGAACAGATGCTTCAAGTCTGGAGGGATGGTGGCGGCCAAGGCGAGCTCAATATTGAAGTGGAAAGGTGGCCTGGTATTGTTCGCGAACTTGTCGTTGAGCCTGCTGGGTTGAGGGAATGGACAGCGGAAGAACGCAAGGTAGGCGCCTTAGGTCATTCTTTTTACCGATGGCGCTCAATCTGCACGTAGTTATTTAGCGAGCCACTTAATCCATCCCATAGCCAGAACTATGGCTACAGCTCTTCTGCTCGACGCCATACCCAAACGCTCGGTTCCATACAGACGTCCTCCACAGGCCTTGCTCGAAATAGCTTCGCTGGGGGCCTCGGTAGCCCTCGTACGGAGCGATTCAGCCAGAGTCCGTCTAGCGCTCTAGGCTCTCCAAGTGGTCCATTCAGCAGCGCGTCCAGGCGGAAAAAGGAGGATGCAGGAGGTATGATGTCCGTAATGAAACCACATCTCGCGTTCCAGTAACACACTATCGTTCAGCCGCAGATGTTCCTGGTCCCTTGTATCGCCCAAGGCAACCTTCGTTCAGTAATCTCGGGAGCCATGGTCAAACTCCAGCCTCCAATAACCACTCTTCTTCCCTTCGACGACTAAGTAATGAAGGGATAGGGGGCGATAGTTGGATTAGGCGCAGGCCCTCTGAGAAGCTCACAGCCCCGCTGCCCTCGGCTCTCGAAGATTCCCTGGACGCAGCTGAAGGAGACGGTTTGGCGGACGTGGATGAGGTGCGGGATGGGGTGAAAGGTTTGGATGTAAACTTCGACATCGACCCGCCTCCCCAAGAGAACCCTGGATTGCACGAATCACCCCCAGAAACTCAGCTTCCGGAGTTATCTCAGGTTCAGCAACCTCGAACCTTGCATTCTGACTTAGACGTGTCGTCTCGCGAGCACTCACAGCCGGCGATTCCGGACAGCAACAATTTGGGACCTCCCCCTGGTATAACGATTAAGAACGAAGACGTCAAGTGGCGCTATAAAGATCCATCTGGGCAGATGCAGGGTACGCTTTCTTGTCACTGTGTCGACCCCTGTGCTAATGTCATCTTCTTCAGGACCTTTCGATTCCGAAATGATGTGTCAGTGGCACAACGCCAACTACTTTTCCCCGGATCTTCTCATCCAACGGTTCGATCCACTGTGGGATCCTCTTAATCCTGATCTCTTCGAACCATTGATCGAGTATCTGCGTCGTCTCCCTGCTGAGCATCAGTCTACTCTTTTCCTTAGGGGTTTGGAGCTCCAGAAGGCTAGGTCTCCCCTACCTCGTGCGGCATCAACTGTGGAAACCGTGGGTGCTTACCAGCCACCGCAAAATGGGTTGAACTTAGGCCTCAGGGAAGAATCTCCGATGAACGACCTTTATTCCCCGAATCATATCTACCAATCGAACCTTAATGGGCCCGATCGGTTTATTAACAGCCGCCATGGTTCATTTGACTCATTTGGGAATTCGGGCCCCCAGTCTCTGCAGATACCATCTGCTCACGGGTCCCCTGCTTTTACTGATGCTCAGACTCGAGGTTATGGTAGCCAAAACGGGTCATTGGCCGACGACCGCAGTCGTCGGGAACCCTGGTTCAATACCCGTGATGATACTTTGATTCCATCTCGAAATGCTAGTCTTGGCGTTGCTCCTTCCTCCGGATTGTATGGAGACTCCATAGGAGGCCAACTGTCACGATCACCTTATCCGGGAACGAGCCCTCTCGCTTCTCATCAGACTGCTGCTGGTTATCCATCAAACCACCTCACATATCGCTCGCATACGTCGAATGTCGGTCCGCGTCTCACGCAGAACTTATTTACCCAGCAACCATCCAGCTCACGCCACGCCTACCAGTCAGCTCCACCAGTCAATGCATGGAGCCAGCCGCCTTCGGGGCACATAGCCCTTGCGCGTCAGGCTGCTCCTGCTCCTCGGCCTCCTCGACTGCTAGAAGACCCTCTAATGCCAATGTCCACCGCTCCATCCTGGGGCAATCTGGAGCCTCCACGATCATCTGGTTTGAGCAACGGTTGGATCGCTGATAAGATGCACATTGGCAATGAGCCGTTAGAATGGAAAATATCGGCATTTGACAATGATGCGGAACGTTATTCGACAAGCGTCGCTCTTCAGCAAGTCCAGTCCCAATCAGCTGGTAATTTTGGCTTGCCAAAAGGATACATTGAGCCGACAGCCGAACACTTCGTGGTTCAAACTGAAGCACCTGCGCCTCCACCGTATGGGATTACTGCCGATTCTGTACCGAACCCTCCGGTGCTTCCCATCATTCCAACCGTTGGGGGGACAAACCCTCCTGTTTCTATGGCGCTTTCGCATGACAGTCAGAAGCTTGGAACTATCTCTGTGGCTCAGCCTAGTATCGCCAAGCCCTCATCCCCTGTTGAAGCCAAACCTCCCCCTCTGCCGAAGCCGTCCAAGACCAAGTCAGCACCTACCCCTGTTGCTATACGCTCTCATCCGGAAATGCAAAGGGCAGCTGCTCCGGAGCCCGCAACCGAGCCACCTCAGCCTTCTAAGCCCGCGTGGGGATCAACGCCTGTCGCCCAAGTATCTGGGAATTCGCTTCGTGAGATCCAAGAGGCCGAAGCTAAGAAGGCTGAAGCGCGAAAGGTTGCTGAGCAGAAGGAAAAGGCTGCGAGAGCTGGCGCCTCCACACAAGCACCTACACCAGCTGAGGAAGTCACGAAGGTTGCAAGTTGGGGCTTGCCGCATGTTGGGCAAAAGAATTCTACAGTTCCGACGACGCCCCCATCTGTTACTTCGGTCGCGCCACCCGCTCATACTGCGTGGTCCACACCATCCGCTAAACCATCTGTTAAGAAGAGCATGAAAGAGATTCAGGAGGAAGAGGAGAGGAAGAAAGCGCAGGGTGCATCAAGTGCACTCTCAGCTTCGATTTCTGATGCAGCCTTCCTTTCAGCTGCAGCAAGGAGAGAAACGATCCGACCGGCAGAACTTCCGAAGGTGAAGTTTTTATTTTCTTTCCTAACCTGTAGCTATCTCAATTTCATTCTTTCACAGCCTACTGCTCCTACAGGTGGTAGCGCATGGGCCGTCGTCGGCCCTGGGGGTAAACACATACCTTCACCTGCGGTGACGTCCCCAACTCCAATCGCCACAACATCTAACCGCTCTTCGGCCGTCAACGCTCGTTCAGCCTCCACGGTTTCTTCCACACCTGCCGCTAGACCTACCACGGCCGCCGCTTCTACCACTTCGACGACCCCATCGTCGTCTGGTGGTAATGCTAAGAAAGTTGATGTGAAAATGCACCCCTCGGTTGATTTCATGCGTTGGCTACGTGATGCACTTCGTGGATTGAATCATGGTGTTTCCGGTAAGTTCTGTCACACTTTCCTTTGTCCACTTTTCATCACTTTGTTTAATATTGAACTTCCCATTTACAGTGGAAGAATTCATAACAATGCTCTTCGATCTTCCCCTAGACCCGGACTTGTCCATGCTTGACGTCATCTCTGATTTCGTCTACGCGAACAGTTCGACGATGGACGGGAGAAGATTCGCTTCTGAATTTGTGAATAAGAGGAAGGCAGACTCGGCGAAAGTGAGTCAAATGGGCAATGGTGGCGTTGGTGCTGGCAGTGCCAGTAATGGGAGTGAGAGTGGGAAGTCGGTTAGTCTTGCCGATGGTAAGTTCATAGTTCCTCCTGTTATCTCCTTAGTGGGTTGGAGTGGGTTGTGAAACGGTTAGGATACTGATCTGATTGGGTTGTTTTATTCGTTCTGATAGTGGTTAAAAGTCAGCCCAAGCCGGCGCAACCTGATTGGGGTTACAAAGTCGTCACAAAGAAGAAGGGCAAGAGGAGTTAGGTTTTTACATTCGTCTTCCTCATTGCGTTTCAACAGCGATGACGACGATCGATATCAACTATGAGACATGACTACAACAGGTTCACAAACCCCAACTCGTAATTCTACTCATAGTTTCCGCTATCTGCGTAACCATATCCGTGCATCTCAACAATTTTGATTACATATGCCTACATTCACTATCAATACTATCACACATGCTCCTTATTGTGCATGTGTGTGTCTTTCGTTCCTTGTGCCTCTGGTGGACAGAAGTGAGCTCCGAGGCTAAAGCTGAACGCTAAGAGGAAGTGCTGATATTTTGAGAGGACACAATAGCGATGCAACCATTCTCCACGCCCACAACTGCTTTCCTCGCATCCTTCGCAGGAAAATCCTCGATCGTGCTTCGATTACAGCGAATCCTGCATCAAGCGCGAAGGGGTGAAATGGAGCCTGTCAAAAGGCTCCCCTTTTGACCCAACATGCGAGCGACCGGACTTCATGGAGGGAGAAAGAGTGACTACGGTCGCTCCTCCATCAGTAGATCAGAGAGGGAAGAGGGCTCACATGAATTCTAACTGAGTGCCATCAGGAACCCCAACGGTGACGAACGCTCCCTCGACCCAAAGCAGGCTCAGGAATTGGAATTGCTGAAGCGAGCACCCGCGCCATCACGGTCTCCAACCTTGATAGTACGAAACAACACGAGGAACGGAGCTGCGACATAGAGACGATGGCGGAGCAGACGTAGATAACAAACTCATTAACATATATACATACAGACAAAACCCCCAGACGACACAAACCCCGAGGATCCCAAAACCCGACAGCACAAACCAGCAACTCCCCACCATGTACAGATGATCCCCTCATGTATGCCACAGTATATTAGACGGGATAGCCGCACTGCCACATCACAACGAGGCCGCGGGGTAATAAGATAGATCCACCACCGCCCTTAATGTCATAGCCTACTTTGGTGGGACTTCATGCGAATTTACTATGGCGCGAATATTGATCGCCATGGCGTAAAATGAGATCGTACGAGCCCTGGGAGGGGAGCTTGGCTGGGATTCGGCCTCCATTGATCAGGTCGATGCCGTAGGTTTTATGGGGTCGAACAAGCGCATCGACTTTCACGCGACGCGGACGTGGGGGTTGAATATGAGGGTTGAATATGAGGGTCTTGTTAGGGAAAGAAAAATGTGCCCGCAGTGGGTGATGTCTGTGGAGTCCAAGTCATTCTAGAAAACGAAATGTAAGTGACTTGCCTAATGGACGGAATTCTGACAAGCAAAGACCGACCCAGTGCTTATGGTCCGATGGATGCATCGGTTTGAGGAACGGCGCGAGGACGTGTCAAATGGCTTGCCACTAATCGGAAGTTGGATCATAAAGTCACAAATCCCGATCCTCGAACCCGTTGATGAGCAGCCAATGATAACTTCCACTCCTTGCTACAGTTCTGATATGGTTTGTAATTGGGTTAGACACTAGCTATCAAAAATCGATCCAAGATGGATGGTTGTGCGCGGTATATCATCGTCAGCGGTGAACACACCCTCAGAACCTGTATTTACCTCTATTTGTGCCAACAATTTTATCCTCAGCGGCTCAGCGTCACGTCGTCCGCCCGCCACCCCGGGCTTTCCCCACAAACATAAGTTTACCGGCGGAACATCAAACCCCGGGATGGAGGATGGATATGCGTGACCATAACACAAACTACAGGCATCGTTGGTGGTGAAGGGAGTTGATGGAGAGGGTCCATCAAATTAGCGGTCATGCCTCAATCGAGGTTCTCCGTGGGTTACAAACTTCCCTCCTAATTTACTAATATGCACGACCCTCACCAGGGGAGTAGCAGGCAGGGAATATCTCCTCCTAAACTATAGGAGCACCGCCAATTGGAATACCGAGCTGGACAATTCGGGTCACGGGGCCCTGATGGTAACAGACATGCCCTTAAATGGCAATTCTTTTGGACAGTTGGGAAACACCGCGTCGGACGAACTCCTGTCCGACCGGCTCGTCTTCTCACCCCCAGTACCTATCCACAACATCTACCAGCCCAGTTCCCAACTACCACCCTCGAGCTTCACGCATTTGGCTTGGCCTGAACCATCAATACTTAGATTCATCTGGCCTTCAACACGTAATTTGAGCGCTAAAATCCAGGAAAGATGGTGTTGTTCTCTTTACTATGGGATATGTGGAACATCTCCCAAGGTCAAACCCGCATTCCCTCAAAATCCTAGCCCTTCTAATGACGAGCATGAGCAACGCTGACGCCTAATTCCGTGCTTATTCCAGGTGTGCTCTCACTCTGGCCGGGCACGTCGAACGTAAAGGGGGATATACGATGCGAAGATTTCTCGAGGTATTCTCAAAGACCGCATGGGCTTTACTCGGCTGGCGCCGTTGGCCTGCCCTACATGCGTCCTTTGTAGGCTCGATCTCGGTTGTTGCCAACATGGAGCCCACTGACACTGCCTCTTCAGACCTCAATGCCGCACATTTAATTCTTCCGCTGTGGAGAGGGTAATAGATGACATGAACGTTCGTCTCAAGGACCCGGATCTTGCTAGACTTTTCGAGAATACCTTTCCTAACACTCTGGATACCACAGTGAAATATTTCAACGAGGTAATGTCTTCAACTGCATAAGACTGGCCCTTGGTAGTCACCCATCTACACTGCATATAAAATCCGTCCCCGTATAGACTGAGAATTTAGCTTTTATCATCACCGGGGTAAGTTAGGATCACACAGGATCATCGTTCATCACTATCACACATTTAACTTCCCTCTTGTTACAGGACATTACGTACGTTATTTCATCGTCATTGGCGAGGCTTTCGTACTCATTCCCACATGCTATCCCAGGGCTCAATGGCTTCGCGACACAGCAAATCAATTCTCACACTATAAATCAATCCTTGCTCATGATGCATCACTTTCTGCACTTGTCCGAGCAGTCATCAATAACGAAGCAAGATACATTAGCAAATATCCTTATTGCGGTGCATTCCAACCTCCCCCCCAAAGTGGACTCAAGCCCAGTCACAATGATTGGGCCGATAACGTTTATGTCTATCCCCCTGTGGATAGTGACACAGTTTTTGAATGCAAGGTACGTGGTATTCTGCATGGTGACTCCTCTTTGAGTGTGGTGATACCGATGAATTGGATCCTTTTCTATTTTCAGTACGAGCTCGACTCACTCTGTGGTTTTTTGTAAGTTCTTGTGGCTGTCACTTGTCACTCCTAGACGGGCAGCTCTGGCACCGTTACCCAACAGGAAATTGTCCAGCTCCTATTATGAAGGGACCAAGGACTCGTCTTTTGCAAACAGAAACTGTACGTCATTCAGTGTATCGTTTTTCCCTCCTAATACCTCTGTTCATCTCGTTGTGTTATCTTCCCGGTAGGGTTCAACGCTATCGAACAGATATTCAGAGTTATTTATGAGCAATCTCAACCTACGTTTGATGAGGACTTCAACATCTTGCGGTACTACAGTTGGACAGGTCTACCAGGTACGTTGTTTTGTTCGGCGAGTGCGGTAGTCGCATTGCGTGCCTGTATTGTAAAGTTTGTAGTTGACGGGGAGTGTTCGTGCCTCAGGTTCTTTACCTGGACACGTGAATAACGGTGGGCTTGGGGAGCCGAAGGGGTATACTGGAATGGTTGGAACGCATCATAGGCCTAGCGATGATCTCAGTTCGCTCCGTAAGCCAGTACCTTCTCCCAGACCAGACCAAACAACTCATTCACCCCCCCATCCTCTTTCTCAAACCAGCCTTCCTAATCCCAGCAAACGCCATGCTTTCTGTCGAACTGTCCAAACTTTCTTCCGTGCTCAATTCCCTTATCCCGGCACTCAAAGGCCCAAATCTCGTTCACCTCGCAAAGAAATATGCCTCAGATGCAGAAATCTACAGCAATCGTACTAGAAAAGCAATTTATCGATATGGTGTTACAGAAGATGGGGTTTTTGCGTACGAAGTCAATGGATTGGGGAGCAGGTATCTAATGGACGACGCGAATGTGCCTAGTCTACTTAGTTTGCCATATCTTGGATTCGTTGGTAAGTGGAATGATCAGTTCCCCGCTGATCTACATCATATGCTGCAGTTGGTTCTGATTGTTCTTTTGTGATCGTTTTTTAACCCGTTTAGATAAGCATGAGAAGACGTTCCAGAAGACGAAGGAGATGCTATTCTCTCGCCGTAACCCGTACTATACCAGGGGCACTTCGTTCTATGGCATCGGGTGCGTCGACTGCCCATCTTTCATTCCATTTCGTTCCCCTCTACTTCTGATTATTCGTCAACCTCACGATCCTAACGCAATTCATTTTCTACACAGCGGTCCACATGTTTCTGCAACATCCCCTTGGCCCATGGCTCTTATATCGGCTATCTACGCATCCGATTCCCCAACAGAGGTCTCGTCATTGCTTACGGTGCTGATAAATAGTACCTCGGGGTTGGGGCTCATTCATGAAAGTGTGAACATTCATGAGGGCTGGTATACGAGACCTTGGTTTGCTTGGGCGAATTCTTACTTCGCAGAGATGTTGCTCGACTTGGCGAGGAGAATGCCGGAGGTCGTGATGAAGGATGGGAAACCCTATATGCCTTAGCGATAGTTAAGGGGTGTAAGAATTTTGATGAGTGGGACGTAGGATACGTGCACGCATCTCTGTACAACGTGTATCAATATTCCAGGAGAGTTGTAGGGGGAAGGGGCGTCAGGAGGAAATGACGACGATGGTGATGGGTGATGACTGGAGCTTCCACCAGTACATACAGGAAATGTCCCCTTTTCCTCTTCAATGATGACCCACCAATCAAGTTTCCGAAAGTGGTGACGAGTCGACCCTCGTTCTTTATCCCTTCTTGTTTTTATTCCGGCCCCACGCCCTCTCGGCTTGTGCGGCGGTGAGGGCACGCCCTGGATTCCAGGCAGTCAGGCGCGGCATAATGGATTCGCAAAGCTCGGCGGACCGGAATCTGAAATGGAATGGTTCATCTGGTCCTGCCGACTTCCAATATTCATTACGTTCTAGTACTTGTCACCTCTGCCAAAGTGTCAGCCCCCAGATCTCCGGCGACTTGGCTAAGATCTCTTTCAGCTTCTATATTGTATCAGTCTCAAGAACCGATGGCTAGTGAACTGCTCTCTGGCTTCCCTTCCATTACTACATATATCCCATTCAGTGGCGCGATACTATTTTTCTCTCTGGAATATGGAGATGTCGACATCTGAACTCAGGGTCCAGTTCAGATTCAGAGTTTCGCTCTTGTGTCGTACTGTTGGATCGATCGAGAACATCAGGGGATAGATCAGTGAAGAATGCAAGGATTCGGTTGTACGGAGCCACCTCACCTGAATGATCAATGTTCCTGTCAAGCGTTGCAGTGCATTGCAGCCCCCAAGATATTGCCACAGGTCGCGATGTTAGAAAGAAGTGAATTCCGAAGCCTCGAGCAGCCTGTTATGACGTGGCGACCATTGGACATGATGTGAAAAGAGTCTGTTGGGTATCGATTGGTGGGCAACTTACTTCTGTCTGCTTCGCGCAGGGCACTTTCCAACCAGCTCCACAACGGCGAGCTGACATCAGGGTCTGTATTACATGCATAACTTGAGAATAATCAAATGGACGAATACCGGTTAAACGTGGCCTCTTTTTGGAGGACATAGCAATCGGATTTGCGGAAACCGAAAGTGCGGTGCGCCCAGCAAGCGGCGACCCCCAGTATTCTTTCGCATCTTCAGCTAATTTATGCAAATCCCGAACAAGGCAGAAGGCGAGGGGCCGAACCAGGGTTATACGATTCACAAAGTCCACAGATGCACTATGATTGTCTTTGCGAGCACTGTGCGGCCCATACCTTCCTCGCTGAGAGCCATGGAACAGATAAAGATAAAGGGATAACAATACTAGCCTCCCATCATGATCCCCGAGGGCCTAGGACGAACAGTTCACCAACCACAAATTCTGTGGAGAGAAAAGTTCATATGCGCGTTCTTAATTTTAATTTAGTCCCCCAACTCCGATTGGATCCCGGATCCGGATCCCTGAGCTCCGATGCCAGATGAACACTGACCATATGCTCCACGCTTGCGGAAGAACGCACGAGCCAGCCCAGTCTCCGAATCGATTGATCGGGATCAACACCACTGGATAATCACAGTAAGTCGCGCGTGATCGACATCAGCACCCCGCGGAATCGTCTGACCTCTGGTCGCAACGAGTATGGAACACACAGTGTTCTATCACTCACGAAAATCAATCGTATGCGATGATCGTCTCATGATTGAGATACATATTTTGACCCATGCATGTTCACCATGAGTGTGCATTTCCCCTTTCTGTCCATGTTTATACACAGGCACCGCGGCTCACAACGTTTGCCTGCGCATACATCATGGTGACGCTGGCATTGATTGGCCCCACGCCAACCGATCAGCTTCTCGAGGATTGGCCAGCGCGCGCGTAGTAATCGATGTTGCGGAGACGCAGTCATCTCGGCTCGCCTATTGCCCAACTTGACCACACGCTCTCCACCATCCACAGCTTCCTCGCAGACTGTCCCGACCGATGAATGAAGCTATGTGATCTTGATATGTTGGAATGTAGCAGATTCTGACTTGCTGGATAACCATAATGTGAACCAGTGGCCATGAAACGGCTCGTAGCTGTTTACTCCAGGGCTCGGCGCCAATGACGCACCGACGTAGCCAGCGCTTTCCGAGAGGAGACGACCTCTCATTCAAACGGTGCACTTTTTTCCCACGCTTCGTGGTATGGCAACCTCCTTCTTGTCTCAGTCACCCCCCTCAAAACCACATCCATTAGTCTGACTTGCCTTAGCGTATTGGTTACTCATAACGTGTACTTGCGACCTATTGGCTCATACGCCACACCTTGTCACCTCCGATTCCAAATAGCATTTCGGTCAATCGCCCCCACCTTCGAAATGTCCAGCGAAGAGAGACTCGTTAGAGCATCGAACTTGGTACGTACTCCGGTTGTACCGCGACAAACTCTTGGATCGGGAACTCTATCTCATGGAATGCGAAACTTTGCGCAAACGTCACGGATAAGCCCAAAGACATCCGGATTCAGCTAGTCAAGTATGTAGCTGTCCTTCGGAGCCCAACAGAGAGAAATGAAATGCCTTCTCGAGGGTTTCTTCAGGACACAATGAGTAATCGTTTCGGTCGGATGTAAGTTAGCCACTCGTTGCAACCACTGCACCCCAAGGAACCAAACAAACACTCATGTCCCTTATCGTAATGGTTTCAGTCTCGACATCCAGCCTTTCACAGCGGGTCGCAGAACGGGGATGTTCATAACGTTTGCTTCTGGCAGAACTCGTGATGAATTCACATCTCACCTAAGGTCTGCTCCGAGGAGCGACCGTCTCCATCGATTGCGAGATACGAACAGAACAATGGAAATGCATGTCCTAATGGAATATTATCTCGTCCCCGACAAGCTATTGACTATCGTGAATGCATTGATGTCGGAAACAAGCTCAGGTGCGTACATGTTCACCTAACCTCACCAGAGATGAGTTTTAAGGCTAATACTGAACGTAGTCTCCCGTTCAGATGACCGTCGTGGAGCGGTAGCACCCAGGGGTCCTTCAAGTCAAAAAGAGAGGGCTCTTGCCAAGTTTGAGACTGGCCTCGAGAAACCGCCTTCTCCACACCTGAGGGCAGAAGATGACAGGGACTCAAAGCCGAGAGACCCTCCCAGTAGCCCGAACAGAACTTCGTTAGTGCATCGAATCTCAATTCCGACGGCGACATATCGCAGGATTAAAGGAGCACGAGGAACCAGATCGCCGTCCCCTCTGGCTTCAAACCCGAGACATCGGCCGATCGTAACCAAATCGAGGTTTGTTGGGACTCTTACTTTGCCTTCACGTGCATCTGCAGAGACGCGATCTCCTTCTTTGTTAAGTCGGATAAGTCCGCCATCCCCTCAAGTGTCACACGCGACTGCAACGAGGCCACCAGAAACCGTCGCCATGCCGCACCCAGAGCCAAAAACCGCGACGGAGCCCGACCAATCTCGAGGTGTTGAAACTTCGGAAATGCCAACAAGTCCCTCAAAAGATCTCCTTCCCCAGTCACTATCGGACAGCGCACAGCAGCAACCTTCACCATCAAGCTCACCATCAACCCTAATTTCGTCCATGAAATCAAGCGTGGATGACACAAATCCGCATCCGAAATTATCTAGCCGTCCATGCTCACTGGCCAACAATATCTGTTCCACAGAACAAATTAGCCTACCGCTGCAACCAACCAGTGACATCACCGATACAGCCCTTCCGAGAGACGCGGAGCAAACATCCGCAACCCCAATGCCTGGGTCCATGGCACCACAGCCAGAAACGTGCGCACAGGCTCAGATGGTTGATGGAGGAGCTGAAGGGCAACTGTGTAAGGCCCAAGAGAGATCCAAAGGGAGTCAGATTGAGTTTGGGGGGACACAGGAGAGGAAAGAAGGGTCTCGTCTGGAGGATGAACGTCAGTCCCAGGTGATTTCAGTATTGTCCCAGGCGAAAGAAGTGGGGTTGAACGAGGTTGAACAAACATCGGGGATGGTTTTGAATCCCTCGGGAATTGGGCAGATGAGGAAGAAGAATGCGGTTTTAGAAGGAGAGGTCGTTCTACTGAAGAGACTTATAGCGGAAAAAGAGGGATCCTTCAAGAAAGAGCTGGGCGAACTCGGGTCGGCCAAAGCTCTCCTCTGTGAGGAACTAGAAAAGCAGAAGACTCTGCTCTCTGAGATGGGTAAAGTTATGCGGGAATTGAAATCCCGTCAAGAAGGATGTGAAGAGGAGATGAAGAAATTGCGTCTGGAGCATCAAAGAGACATGAGGGTGTTGAAAGAGGAGGTTGTGCAAAGGGATGCGAGGGTGCTTGTAGAGAAGTTCCCGACTGCTTCGAAGTCGCTTATTCAAGCGTTTGTCATGACCGCAAATTTGGGGAAGCGGAGGAGAAATGGACTGGGGGAGGATGAGGGCCTGGACAAAGGGGAGGAGAGGGGGCGGAAACGATGATTTGGATGAAGCGCCTGCATGCTTGATTTGCTTACTGTCGTGGAGACTATTTATATTTACTATTACTTTTTGGTTGCTGTTAGATCGTGCGTCAGTCGCCTTTCACTTTTGTCTACGAACCGTGCACGTACATTCAACCGCACGCCCGTTTTTGTGAGTTGTAGGGTGCAAGCATGTCGTCGTGAACAGTTCGCTGCCAAAAACCCGGAGTCCGCTCCCCTGGCAAAAACAAGATAGATAAACATGCCGTGGATGGAGTTTGTCGAGCGTTGGCCACGAGGTGACCACAACGAAGACACGGGAGACGGGTAGCATGCATAGAATTCCCACGCTCGCTTCCCACATCCACTTGGCGTCTGCCAGAGTTGTGAAACTCTGCTACCAATGATTTCGATGGAGTCTGCTGGAATGGCACTCGTCTTCATGTCCGTTGGGTTCTTGTTCTGTGGGATGTACTTCCTCGTCCTTTCCGCCTTTGATTTCGCGCGAAGCACTCCACTGAATGCCCTCCCCGTGAGTGACCTGATCACTTTCCCCTCCTTCAGAGCAGGGCGGCTTATTCGTGCTTACCCCGCTTGTAAATTCACCGCATGACGTGTGTTTCAACTGATTTCAGACGGTTCAAGTCATCGTCGAAGATACGCACTACAAGTATCTCATTCTCTTACTCATTCCTACGACGTCGTATTTCGTCATTGCGAATTGGGTTGGATGGCAGTACTTTCGCAACGCGTGATAGGCACCGGCATACTGGCCAGAGTGGATATTTTGGGTTCGACGGCACTTGAATTAAGAGAGCCTGGGCTTGGCTTGGGACGGAGGAGGGAGGCGTGCGTTTCCCTCGCGCGCCTGACTGGCGGGAATTCGCCTTAGACAACATCCATCGTTAGTTCAGTTCATAACCCCAATTAATTGTCCCTGGCAATGTGTCCATTGTTCAAACAGGTACAGCTCAAGACAAGGCAGAATCGTATGGGCGAACCTAAGGGAACTTCCAGGCTCGCAGAGTCCCTAAAGGAAGTGCGGGCAACAGGCAAAGATTTCAAGGACACCACGCTCGCAACAAAGATAAAGGCACCCTCTCCCTCAGATCACTTATGCGAGTCTGAAGGGAGAGTAATTATCATTCATCACAATGTCTCTGATTATCTACTTATCGATGCAGAATTTACGCGTTTGAGAACTTACGCACCATAGCGTTATATTTTAAAAAAGGGAGTGCAAACATGCCCTGACACTACGACGACATGACCCAACCGTACCAACCATACCATTACAAATGATCCTGACATGATGTCGGACTCGTTCGTCAAGAAAGTGTCTGGTCGATGGCCTCCGTAGGGGATGAGGCTGTGTGAGCTGTTTGACTAGCTTGTCTCGAATATGAGTTGCACAGGTGGCGGAGGATAAGTTTGCCTCATAATGAGTATACTCCACACACCGCTTAAGGCACCGGCGTTCGGTCAGTTCCAACTCTCGCGCCGTCCGAACCCAATCCACGTCATCCTAAAGCTGCCTTGACTCTGGCCCGACGGCTTTCCAAGTGGGCTTTGATCAGAAGTCAGGCGTCAATTGATGTCCTCAACAGCTCGCTTATGATGCTTCCAAGGAGTGGTGAGGCGTGTGAGGTCAGGAAGATTGCGATGTTCCTGATGGGTGAATGGGGCCATAATCTTTTGAGGGCATAAGAAAGAGTTCCATTCCCCTGTATTGTCGGCGTGTTTGCTATCCAAACGGACATGGGGCGGGCGGTGTTGTAAAAGGGAAGCTACCAAGGTGTTAACTTGCAAAATCTCTCGCCATGCGCAGTGTGGGTTTAAAGTATGATAATTGCCAGTGGTGAAATCGTTAGAATCCGTGTACTCATTTGGGATACATCATACGATTCCGTTAAAAAATATTGGAGCTGAGACATCCTGTAGCAAGCAAGAAATCTTGCAGTAGTGAGTTGAGCGACGGCATCATCGTCCCAAAAGATGCCCACAGCCGCCAGGGACAATTCAGGATGTTGTCACAGGCATTGATGAACTCAGTAAAGTCCGAGCCATCGATACAAACACCATAGACAACGAGAGTAACAAGGTTTTTCAGCTGAGTAGTGGACAATAGAACGAAAATGTTTCGAACGACCAAGTGGCGGAGTGATGAAGGATATGTCAGAGCTTCCCTATGAAGATGGGGGTCTCCCACGATGCGCCAGCTAGGAACAAAGTTCGATGGACTCCTTGTTTAGCACACCCCTATATAACCAGAACTCATCGACGATCCCGTTACAAGTTCGAACTGCTCCCAAGGAAAGGGTGAAAAAAAGAGTGTGCAAACGTTGACAAGTGACATTGGACTTGGCTTGTGCTTTCAGAGACTACCGTGCAAACGATCCAGTGATATCGGCATACACGCGGCGCCACCAAGGGGAGCGTAAAGTCACAAGGCCGAGCAGAAACACGTCATCAAAAGTGAACACGTTTTACGTAATATCGGTGCGACACCCCTTGTGCAAGCAGGGCCGGCCCACTCCGATGGGTGTCTCACCCTTTGCGTCCAACTGGTCAATGATGCTTCTCGTCCATCACCTTCCTATTCTGCCCACATCCTACTGGTACTACTCTCCCACCTCAAATTGGCATCTCGCACCTTCTGCGCACTGTGAAGGGGTCAATGACTTAAACGTGATAACTGATGAGCAATGGCCGGCCAAACCAGCTGGGACTGCATATCCCGCATCGTAAGCATACACGCTTTATCACTTTATGCAATGATCTGTATATACCTATGCTCGCTCTGGCGACTTAATTCCCAATGCTACCCAAATTTTCAACGTTCAACTTTCTCCTCGCCAACGATCTCGTCTCTTGTCCTTAAACTCCCTACATAGTAATTGTCAAAATTATTTCTACCAAGCACGTGCGTATTGCCTTCTGCGCTCATCTCAGAGGGGTTTCTCCGAAGCTGGCATCAATTTCTACGGTGGCACACTTACTGCCTCAATCTGCACTGTCTAACCCACCAAGGATGGGTGCTCAAGAAGCGAAAAAGGATGCCAGGTATGTGTGCGTAACGAATGGCGTTGCACTTGTGCTAAGATCTTCCTGCTACTAGGATATGCGCGCAAATACTTCACCCTGAAATCCGACGGGGACCTTTCGTACGCCGCACAGCCAAACGGGATCGTTCGCGACCATCTTGTTTTGCGCTTGGCTACGATCTCTTCCAGCGAACGCTCGAACGAGGTGAATTATTAGGTATTTCTTCCCCTGAAGATTTGACTCCAACCCCCAATCGCAACACGCAATGGTGGTGAAATCGACCACAGCTGCATATCGATTCTGGAACATCAACGTTTCATCTAAGGTGTCTCGAGAGGTCCGATTATGATATGTGGCTTTCGGCATTCAGGTGCGAACCAGTCCGAAATTTCCCTTCTTTCCTCCATTTAAGGAGACGCTAGAAAATTTTTGGTTACTCGAGCATCATCCAAAATATTAGACGCCAATGTCAAAAGTTCGCCATCGGGTGGCTCAAGCAATCACAGTCATATAGAATCACCTACGCAAACGCTCGATCCTCATACACCGACCATGCCGGAGCCTAAATTGTCGGACTCACTAGTGCATCTTGTGTCCATGCAACCAGCAGACACTGCATCCGTTCTCATCGAGGAACTAAGGCAAGAACACAATGTCCAGGATCTTAGCGGCCAATTTCCACAAAGGGAGCGCAACCCAGTTGCTAGAGGAGGGTACTCGGAAGTGTTCCATAACTACTGGAGGCCTCCCGATGAAACCGTTCTGATCCCTGTACGTCATTGTGATTGTTTCTGGTTGACCCAATTCATGATTCTCATAGGTATGTTATAAAGTGCTTCGACCACCTATTAGCAGTCTGGCGACTGTAATCGAGCACACCAGGAAAGTTGTGAAGGTGAGGCCTAATTGTACTATCAACACCCGTTACATTATCTATGACACTGGTTTTCCAGCACCTAAGAAGAGAAATGAGGGTCTGGAAAGATCTCAATCACCCCAATATTGTTGGGTTTATTGGTTATGCAATAGAGCACGAAGTTAGTGTAGTTACCGCTGCTCTGGTGTCGCAATGGTGCGCAAACGGTAATGTCGTGAAATACCTGGAACAGAATCCTGCCGCCAATCGTGAGATCCTAGTGAGTATCGGTATAGAATCAATTTTGCACTTTGATCGACACATGTGCACGAACACAGGTATCCGACGTAGCTCGGGGGCTGCTATACCTCCATAGTCACAATCCTATTATTATCCATGCGGACCTCAAACCAGTACGTCCAAAGTGTCCAGACAAGCTCTCCTGATCAGAGTTGAATAGCTCAACATCCTAATCAATGACATGGGGCGTGCCCAATTGTGCGATTTCGGACTATCCCGCATCCTTGACGGTCTTCCGACGGGGCAAACAACTTCTGACCAAGGAGGAACACTCCGATTCCAGGCACCAGAGTTATTAGGGGCCTCCGAGGATGATTCGCGTCCCACTACAAAGAGCGACGTCTACGCTTTTGGGTGTACGTGTGTACAAGTAAGTGCTCAAAGAGTAGGTCGGTCAGAACTTAACGTCGCATTTCGAAGATTCTCTTTGATCACCCACCATACCACTGGTTAAAAAGGGACGTTGAAGTTTTGAGGGCAATCGAACGCCAGGTTGCTCCTTGGGCCTGGTCCGATAAGCCCCTAGAGCAATTACTGGCCTCTTGCTGTTTAGCAAGTGCAGCTCGTCCTTTAATGTCTCATATAGTTGCTTCTGGTCTGCTCAACCCCTCATAGCTCAGAAGAATCAACTTTCATGCCAGATAAGCCAAGGGATCGAGTCGCGTACTGTTCATAGTATTACACTTAGCCGTGGCTCTCGCCCGTCAACGCCGCTCCAACTGTGTCTTTGTTGCCGTATATCCATTCTACTCGTCATGTGCATTCTGTTCTTGCACTATGCCATTAGATTAGTCTTTGGCCATGGGACAGCCAGCAAGCTTCTCGTTTGCCCACTGCCTGATGCGCTAATACTCGTGTGGATCAAACTTGCTGATCACACACGGTCTCGCTCTGCTGCCCCATGTGCATGTCAAAAGCCTGTATCATTGAGGTTGATGTTGGTAAAACCATCAAGCCTGAGTGCGCATTGTATGTTGTCGGGTCATAAGGACGGCCTCTACTTGAAATGGATTCCCAACAGAAGCGTGTGAGCAAAGTGCAATACAGTAGAATCGGTGGACCATATGATTTTCGAATGCCCACACAACCGCGGATCACAACTCTGGGCTATAGTCAGAGGATGGGAAGAATGAAAGGTGCGTAATGGTAGCTCCGATGACTCAGATCAAGAACGCAAACAGCTCGGTGAAAATGGGGCCACAAGATTCTTCAGAATAGCCACGCTTGAATGTACATCGCAGATATGGAAACTAAGATGCAAAACGGTCATCTGAGACGAGCCCAGTGGCGAGCGTGGCATCGCCCCGAACCAGGCCCTCAATGAGAGATTGTACCAAATCCCGAGAGACTGGTCCTACATACATGGAACGGTATCCTAGAAAAACGAGGCGCACCTCCCAGAGAATTGGCTTATGAGCAATCCGATTTTAGCACCGAGGTCAGGTGAGCTCCACAGCGAACGATAGGTCGCCAGTGCGGTAGCGCATTTCCCCGACGTGGCAATCTCTGTTACGTCCCAGTCGTGTCGACCCACACCAGCAGACCTTGCCCTTCCCTACAAACCTTCAGGCGTAACACGGCCCGCGAAAGCTGTTGAAGGTCTACCCAAAAAAAAAAACCGGGTTGTACGGAAGAAGTGGGGACACTCGTTTTTAGACTGATCATGATAAGGGATCGACCAAGTTGGAAATATTACCACTCATTTGCAGGATGTCGGAGTTGGTTCTGCGATTCGGTAGTGGTTGACTTTGAGGGTGTACATTAAGTAAAGCAGAATACGAGATACATGCTCCAGATCGCTGAACACCACCGAGTTGATGGTACGAGCCCAAGCGCCGTACGGATCGAATCAAGTGGCGCCAATTCATGACTCGCATCTCAGGGCGTGCGACGGCCTCCGGTCACCAAACATGGGGAACAAGAAACCAAGAAGAGATGAGGGGGATACAACACCCAATCCGAGTGGAAATGTCTGTGTAAGATCCAATGTTGCTTAGCAGCATCCAGAGCTCGGAGCAGACACCGATTGGCCAGGATCGATCATGTTAGCCCTTGAGCTATCGTTAGTTGGAGTGGAGATTGACTCCATGCTGAGAGTTCGAACCGTCAGTATTCGTTATTCTACTAGTGTGCTAACGATTAAAAAAAGGAGCTTGCCTGTCTTTAAGCTGTTTAGCGATGGTCAGGAAGACTTCCTCGACATTGACTGCATTCTTTGCCGAAGTTTCGAGGAACGGAACGGATAACCGATCAGCAAATCCCTAGAGGAATTTGGGGGGTTGAAGAATGAGTGCAAAGTCTGATTGCCTGAGCACCGAGCAAGAAATCACCTTGGCAACGGCGTGACTCACAACCCTTTGACTGGTTAAATCCGACTTGTTGCCAACGAGGAGCTTGTTCACTCCGGGAGGACCACTTTGGTCGATTTCGTCCAGCCACCCCTTGACGTGTTTGAATGAGGCTATAGAGTTATGAGGTGAGTAGGAATGAACTGCCAGAATAACACATTGTGAGCGGGGGATCGATGCCACCTACGACCGTCGGTCACATCATATACGACAATAACTCCATGTGCGCGACGGTAATATGCCGATGTGATAGTTCGGAAACGTTCTGCGCCTATGCATGTGCGATCGATTGGAAACGATCATCTTTGATTCAGCAAAGGCGGACCTGCTGTGTCCCACTGCATATACAGAAGAGATGAGTAATGTCAAGCTTAGGCTAGCATGGCCAGCTAGGTGGGTGGCCCTTGCCCGAGGATACGACCTTCGAACAATACCAGAGATATTAGGGGTTATGAACTCACGATTTCCAGCTTAATGATCTTCCCGTCCAGTTCTATAGTACGAGTCCTGGTGCCGACACCGATGGTAACGCTGGAATTCTGGTTGTAAATGCCATCCACGAAACGGAGTAGCAGGCGGGTCTTCCCGACATCGGCGTCGCCAATAAGCAAGAGCTTGAAGAAGTAGTGGTATTCAGGATTGTACATTGTTGTATCGATTGCTCTGGGAAAAGATTTTTAGTGATATGGACAGATTCTGTCGTTGCAATAAGGGACCAAGGATGACAAGCAAAGGCATGACAGGAATTTAAATTGGGTTCATCGAAGGTCACGAGATGCAAACTGGCAGAATTTATTCGTCTGCCCCACTGGGGCTTCTCCACGGTTTACCGAAGAACTTGTGGTTGAGAGAGATTCAGAGAGGAGCAGCTCACATTCCCTATGCTTTTTCCCTGCGGCTGTTGCCACGGTGGGGGTTAATAGATTATGGACTCAGTTGCGCGCCACTGTCACGAACTCATTACCCAAGCCGGATTTAACTGGCGCTCAGCTCACCTCCGTCTGTGATGACGTAGCCCTTCCCCATCCACTCCACCTATAAAACCCGGCCTTGACGCTATTCCTCAGGCTCCCTACTCTCATACCACTGCACTCTAACAACCCTTGCCTCGATAATAATGTCTCTACCACCAGCCCAAAAAGAAATAGGCCCCCATCCCAGTAAACTTTCCGTCACTTCTCCCAATGACCCACAGGCAATGCAGGCAGATGTCGACCGCAAGGTGCGTTAAGCTTGCCTTGTTTCACCGACTCGGACGTTCAACCAACGGTCGCACACATATCCCTTCAGTTGCACTTGTATGGTGTCATCCAAGCATTCAGGCAGAACAAGTATCCTGATAACAAGCAAATTGACGAGACGCTGAAATACGTCATTGAACATTCCCCCGTCGACCAGTCTAAACTCTCTCCTGACGGCAGGAGACTGATTCAGGATGTTCAAGATATCCTCCAGACTGTAAGTTCTTCCATATTTCTCTACAACGTCCTTGTTTGACCCGCGTGTCGTTTTTGTTCGAACCTGATATATCCAGACACGAGTCATGGTGAAAGAGAAAAATGCCGACGAACTATTCCAAAATTTTCTCTGTCATACTAGTTATGCCGATGTTCAAGTCCCAAAGGCGACCACTGAGGCTGTCGATGTCAGCCAGGAAGATGTTAAAAAAGACCATGAACAAGGTTAGCTCATAATGTCACACTGCACTCCACCCGGTTAGATCTGACATCATCGTTCGTTCACTTGTTAATTTTCCTCGGTCATTTCCCCCAAACAATGCTTTCATCCGACGAACTTGGCTACTACAAACTCCCATTTCTATTCTGATTACCACAATCCACAGCCGTCGAACATCTCCGCACCCTCCTCCGTCTCGTCCTCTCCAACTCAGAGGCTCGCAAACTCCTTTCGGACGCCTCGCTCATCGGCCGTGATCTCTTCGCTCGAGGCGCAGTCCGCATCGCGGAAAAGGCACGTCCACATGAAGCAGATCTTGCTCGCGCAGACGACGCTGCGCCCTCGGATGAATGGAAGACTGATAAAACCGATGAAGACCTTTCCAAGTTGGATACAACTGGCCAAGATGCCCAAAGGAAAGCAGGGGAGGCTAAGGATACTGTGAAGGGCGAGGTTGAGGGCCTGAGGCAGGATGTTCGTGGCAAAGGCGATGTGCGTGAGCAGGGCGAGACGGCTAAGCGCAGCTTTATCGATCGTCTTACGGGTGGGGTGAAAGAACAAGTGCCGACTGAGACGCGTGAGCAGGCTGGCCTTGCTGCTGAGGAGAATCGTGGTGTGAAAGAGGATGTGTCCAAGGCGAAGACGGACGATCTGAATGAGCAGGCTGAGGTCGCGAAGAAGAGTCTGAAGGATAGGTTTAATGGATTGATGGAGAAGGTTCCTCAGGACCACAGGGATACAGCTAGAGAGCAGTACGATAAAGGTATCGAGTTTTTAAAAGAAGAGTTCCCCGAAGAACGTCGGGATCAGTTTATTTACCGAATAAAGAAGGTGCGCGTGTTGTCTTGTCTGCGAGGTATGCATTAATTTAATGTCGAATGCTCATGTTACACTTAGGTCATCGTCGAATGTCAGAAGCATTCTGATTATCAGGACGCTCTCAATTGGTTCATTGGCGCTATCGAAACTTACTATGGCCACGGAAGGACGTTAGGTTCTCATCACGCCGACAAAGCAAACGAGAATCTCGGTCAGGACCCCACTCTTCAACGCGCGGGCAACGAACTTCGCACTCTCCTGGAACGATTTGCCAATGGGAAGTCTCTTGATGATATCTTTCACGCTGCGGATCAACTCAACAAGGACGCGCAGAACGACGAGGGGCTTAAGCAATGGTTCTCGGATTTCGATGCGTACGTTCGCAAGACGTTATTGGAACCCGGGTTCGTCCTCGCTCCTCAATGCAACACTGAGGCAAACAAACTTCGAGAGAGGGGACGAGCGTTCTTCGAGGCAAAGTACAAGGGTCACAAAGACGCATTATTTGATGCGATACAGGCTTGGTTCGTTGCCTGGGGCGACGATCGTCTGAACAAGAGGTTCGGGAACGATTGGAAGAGGCTGACGAGGGATTTGTTGTTCTCGGAAGAGGGGAATTTGACCTTTAAGCCTGCGCTTTGGGAAGATATTAGGAAGGTCATTGTGCCGCAGTTGGCGCAGCATGTGGGATATGTGGTAAGGAGTAGTTTTCTTGCGCCCTCTTTTTTCGAGGGGCTTTTTAATGCGATACTAATAAGTTTCGATTCCTGGCACATGTAGCCGATTCCTCGTATCGAGTACACTGACAACCAGTTGGATCTCGTCATCGAGAATCTTACCCTTCAAGGAAAGAACATTCTACCCAATGTCGTTTCCATCGATGCACACAACCACTTTTCCTTCTCGCCTTACGATGCCATTTCAGATGTCAATCGTCACGAATTCAAGTTTACGTTCTCACAGATTCAGATGGATATGAGGGACGTAGCGTTCTGGTTCCACAAGAAGGGTGGGATACCCAAGATTAGGGATTCGGGGCTGGCGGATGTATTGCTGGGTGGAGAAGGGTTGACGGTGAAAATTCATTTGACAGATGCCGGAAGGGATCCGAAGAGCGTGTTTGGGGTCAAGGACATCAGTGTTAAGGTTGATAGTCTGAAGTTCTCAGTTAGGGATGTGAGTAGCGCAGGTTATTCCCCTCCTGCCCCAGAGGATATGTCGGAGGGGTCATCTCACGATAGCATGCTAACATATTTCGTTTTTTTGACTAGACGAAACATGATGTGCTTTACAAGACGCTCAAACCGCTCGCGACAGGTCTTGTAAAGAAGCAGATCCAAAAAGCCATCAACGATGCTGTCCGTACGGGGCTCGAGTACCTCGACGAGCAGCTTGTGGCTGTTCGTGACAAGTACAACGAAGCGAAACAATCAGACGATATCTCACGCACGCAAGTCCTTTCGTCGCTCTTTGAAAAGAAGAAAGACGACACTACTTCACTCATAAGTAGTGGAGAGAGTTCGGGTGCGAGGAAGTCGCAGTTCAAGATTGTTGCGAAGAGAGAGAGTAGTTTGATTCCTAATACCGGGTATGAGAGCGGGTGGATCGGTAAGATTGCGGAAAGGGAGGCGGCCGCGTCCACTGGAGAGGGCTGGAGGAGTGAGGCGTTCAATATTATTCCCGGATCGTACGTTCCTGGCGGCGGTGAGGGTGCGAAGGAAGGACAGAGGGATGTGGAGGAAAAGGTGAGGGAGAAGGAGGTGAGAGTTGCCGGGGCACCCAGGGGGAAAGTGGATTTGGGTACTACGCGATGAACAGGGTTGTTCTGGTCACACTTAGGCCTTATCCACCGCCTTCTGGCGATCACAGCTAGCTAGTCTTGACGATGATGTTCTTTCTGATTTCCTTTACTCCTGACTCGGTCCCTTCCTGCGCATGTGCTTTTCTCTCTGTCGTGTGTACGTACCACGTGTTTGTATTATCGTTTGTGATAGCACTACCTACTGGGGCCACCTTCCATTCCCCATCCCATCCTGTTAGACCATCGATTCCCAGCGTCCCATTCCGCCGGTTCATCGTTCCATACTATTTCTGTCACTCTACTTGGAACTTCTCACTTATCGCAGTGATTGGACCCATTATTATTTTATCCAAATGTCATTGGACAGAGGGTGTGCGTGCGTACTGGCGTATACATGCACATGATAATATGCGAAACGATCTGAAAGGGGACAAGCTGAATGTTATATATGGCTAGATCCTTGGGCTGATTTTCCTCGCTGCGTGCTTGGCCATTCAGTTATAGACCAAGTCCCCCACACTAGCACTGGAAGGTGCAGATGCCGCCAAGCTACTGATATAATAATCGGTACCAAGCTCAAGTCTGCGGAGGCTAAAAACGACTGAGAGCCTAGCTAGAAAGCATAAGACACACCCCAGACAACAGTAAGTGGCGAGAGACCCGCGAACAGCAGAATATGGACACCTCTGCAAAAGAACAGAAGGGATCTCTTGCCGAACATAAAAATCTTCATACGGAAGATGATCATAAAAATCAGCTAAGATGAACTCAAACTCAACCCATGTAATGACAGCCCCTTTCATAGACGAAAAAGAACTGACGCCTCACAATCCTAATATAGGATGGCCATCGCTACCCTAAGCCAAGCTCTTATGTAATGAAATACTAAGACAAAATGTTCTCCTAACATAAAAAGAGTCTCCCTGAGAACTGGCTGCGAAGCGACGGGGGTTCAGTGGGTATTCCTGACCCTCCAAGGTCAGTGCGAGCCCCACACGGCACGTATGGCCACATGGATTTCCCCATGGTGGCGGCTCAGGACAGACCCAACCCAACACGACCCACACTACCAACACCCTCCCGCTGGAGCACGGCTCACGATCAAACCTCAATGTGTCAAGACACACGGCGGAAGCTACCAAGTTTCCACCAAAAATCTTTTGCAAGCCTATTAAGCTTCTAATTGACCCCCGCTACTACGCCGCGGATCTTGAATAATCTCCCGTTACTTTTGCGTCCGACATGGGTCAATGGCGTTATAGGCGAGATGTTAGGCACTCCGCTTGCTAGCAGGCGCCGTCTGGCTAAGATGGAAGACAAGTTCAAATGATGGTTTTCTGGGCTATAATGGCTGGTCGTGCATGTAGGCCCAAATGGAGAAAGCCCGTCAGGGATGGGCGGCAGTCTGCACCAGCGCGCGGCTTGAGTTGTATGCAGTGAAGGTCCAGGCAGCTGTACTTAGACCCCAGGGTCAACATTCGGGCAATTGAGCGTGCCTTTTTCTTACCCAAGTTGGTTTAACGACACCACGGAATTTTTTGCCAAAATATCCGCTGAACAGGGAACCGTTGAATAATCCGAATGATAGATCAGCCGTTGCATGCTCAGCAGGGGACGGAAGATAGACGTTTTAAATCTGTTCGATCGCTGGCGTGATCTTGACCGTCAGGTAACAGCAGCACATCAAAGGGCACCGAGCCTCCCCGATCACAAAGAGACACTGATACTCCTTGGAGTCTGCAAGTCGGAGACGCGGGGACAATGTCGATCATGAGATCGACAAAAAGGATAAGGAAAACCCCACCCGTCGAAACTTACCGGATAGTCTGGCTATGGAAGGGATTGATGTGCGTAATGAGTGTTGTTGTCGCCTAAAGGCTCGAAGGTGTGAAACGCAGCGTTAGCACGAAGGCGGCAAAGACCGAGATCCCGTAACTGCTCGTTTTGAAGGGACATGTGCGGATCAATACGTATACATATGTCGTCCCTTGATCGGGAGGGACCCTGGTTGATGGTCGTGCCGATCACGGAATCCCCAGAAAAACGTCATCTGACAAAATCTGAATTCTCAGTTGCGTTTTGATGGCAGCTTTCTGGACCCTGACAGGCTTTGGAAAAGAAGAGTTTGATGGACATACAAAAATACGCAATTTCACCCACCTCTATATCTGTCGCGAGTTGCCGGGGCGGATGTGAACTGGCGATTGAGCTTGGAACGAGGGCGAGTGCTTACTGACATGTACCCGCACCGCAACCCAAGGTGCCGCCGGGAACCGGACCAGATGTCGTATGGTTGCTGGGCATCGAACATACATCGAATCGAACGAGCGCAGGCAGGATCCCAAAGGGGGGAATGAGTGTGCAGGCCTGGTTGAGCTGGTCAGCGGACCGATGGAGGTTCGCAATGCAAGTGCTTACCGATCCCCGCAGTAAGATTCACGCAGGCCCGGATGCTCACGCGCAACCCCTGCCTACGTCGGCAGGCGATCCCGCGCTTGCATAAATATTTGGGCCAGGTAGCAGTGGTGATATGAGAAATATGAGAAATGAATAAATTGAAAGCTTCGTCGGAAGCAGATTTCAATATTCGCGTGAGAAACTCCGCGCTAGATCAGGCCAAAATTGGTGCAAGTGTCCTGCTTCGCGACTTCCATGCAATATGAATATGAATAAACATGATTCAGGACCTGGAACGAACGTACCATTACACTACTATAAAGCATCCATGCACCTTTTTCGTTCCCTCTCCCAAGGCTTTTCTTGATAACACGAGTACGGTGTTCTCTCGCCCCTTGGTTAATCGCCTATCATGACGTTGATGGACAACACATGGGGTGTGGTATTCGTTTTCTGCGTTTTGAGTACCGTGCTTTCGGGAATTCTGACCGTTCAGGTGGGTATTTGCTGTTCGCTACCTCCGTAAAGATAAGAGTGATACGTTTGTTCATCTGCGCCGCCTTTGCAGGTCTACGCATACCATCTCAAATTCCCCAAGGATACCCCACTTATCAAGGGCACTGTGGGTTAATGACCGCTGCTTTCTTGTTTGGATAACTGGAACTGCCTCCCTTTTGCGTTAGGTCTGGCTCGTTTTGTACGTCAAATGAGTCACTGTGTCATTCCACACCCTTCACCATGCTCATCGTTCACCTCACCACGGGGCTTTTCTCTTCATTCCAGCATCTTAGAGTTGGCACACACGGCCTTCATTTGGGTTGACCTTTATCACTATATAGTTCGTCCTCGTGGCACAGAATATTAATTGCGTCTCTCCTACTCACAGTGTATGTCACAATTTCTTCCAGATCACCAATTTCGCGAATCCCTTCTATCTCATTGTTGTCGATTGGTGCGCAATCCTTCCCCGTGTCACCTTCCCTACTCATGACAGACATCGACAGGCGTACCTTCGTGAGTAGCACTCGCCGCAACCTCTGGCCACCGCTCTGATCCAACCTCGTGGCGCGCTCACACTCGTTCCCCGTTAGCCCCCTATGTTCTTACAAGTAAGCGCCATCATTTCAGCCGTAGTGATTCCTGTTTAACCAAATGGTTCCCTTCAGGCAACCCTCACTTGTATTGTCCAACTGTGAGTTGTAGTTGGTGCCCGTAGCTCAGGGTCACGTTGGATGCATTACTCAATTGTGCGATGCACGCGCAGGTTCTACGCACGGAGATGCTGGCTTGGTGAGCCGCTGAGGGACTTCTATACCCCTGCACAATCCTCACCACGGGTAAATAGTGAACAGAAAACAATGGATCGTACCCTTGGTTACGGTGTGTAATAGTTTCAATATTTTCGATCTTGCTGACCGTTGAGCCCGCCTTGCCCGCCAGGCTGTCTTGACTCTCATGTCTGCCGGTTGGTAACGTTCCTTTATTCCTATACCCTCTGTGGGTTCACACTCGCAGCAAATTTACGTGAATGTTTCCGTTTACCCCTCAGGTGCAGCCTATTGTGAGTTTCCAGTGGTCCACTGCGATTGGTGACCCTCAACCTGACCCTTATTTGTTATATTTCATAGACGCGACGATTTATTCGTAAGCTCAATTCAAAACGTTACTCTGTGGAAAGTCCAAGAGAGCTAATTTCTTATAATGGTAGCACTCGGTTGAAGACGTACATTTCTTTTGACTACAAGACTTGGTCGGAAGTCGTATGGATGGGTGCAGGAGGACTGGCCGATATCCTGATCATCTATTGCATTCTTAGTTCACTTCGGGGACCTCGAACGGGTTATGCACGGTACGTCGCAGTGTCGGGGTCTTTTCTCCTTGTTCGCTCATGCGAAGCCATACTTTTGAAACATAACCCTACACAGGATTGATAAAGGCTTAAGGGCGCTTGGTATTTACGCATTTTCTACGGGAGCTCTCTCCACGTAAGCTAGACTTCTGACCCTGGGGCGTATTCTGAACTCACTATCTTCTGGCGCGTCTCCGCAGTATTCTTAACTTCACGACTCTAATTCTGGTACGTATAAGGAACACCAGTCTCAATGCGTAGGGCGTTCCTGATCCATTTGGTATTTTGACCGCGTTTTCCTGCAGTTTTATGCGAGCAAAAAAACTCTTTGGTATATCGGCATCAGCTTCATGCTGTCGAGAGTGTATTCGATCAGCTTGATGGCATCGTAAGTCCAGCCAATCCTACAGTGCCCCCCCCCCCCCGTGCCTGGCCTGTTGCTCAATCCGATGATTGAATGTCGTGTGACAGGTTGAATTTGCGAGGGGCATGGACACGCGACGCAGACACGGAATATATTGTTGGGACGGAAGATGCTTGGTTTATGGTGAGTTTCGACTAGTGCATCTGGTGCTTTTGTATATGTATACCAATATCTTCCCTAGACCTTGGAATGCATGGGCGTAACACCAAACCCCACTGATCCGAGTGATGGGCATTCTAGTGGCTCGGTGAGTAATAATCCCTCGTCATTGGCTCCAATCAATCGATGAACATTTTCTTGAACCTTGTTGCGCGGATTGACAGGTTATCGAAATTGCAGCTGTATCAACGTGCATATCGCCATGAGTCCAACGTTCATCCCTGGCTTCTGCAGTGTGCACACTACGGGTCCAAGGGAGGGTTTATGATGTGACTGCACACTGAGTGCAGATATTGTGAGATACATTCGTTCATTCACTGGCCAGATAATGTTACGACCACCCCCGCGGTGCTACATATGTACGAAGACAGCTGGTTAGACATATTACATCATCTTGTGTGTAGTCCTTTCGTATTCCCTCCTGGTTCCCTTCGTCACGCACGTTCGTGCGTATACATATCCACGCTAGTCCACAATCGCACATCCATGCATATGTGCGTGTTCTTGTGCACCCCTATATAATGTACCCCCAAGTTCATGGGCAATTGTTTCCTTCACGAGCGGTTTACCGTGGAATTCGAAGGGATGTAAGGTCAGATCAACTCTATTAATATTGACCTTCTCTAGCTGGGTTCATTTATAAAGGATGAATGATGATCCAACTCCACGCAGAGGAGGATGAGGATGATGGCAGAGTGGAGTGGATGAGGAAAGGGAAGCTGAACAGAAGTGACAACGTGAACGCGCAAATGCAATCATGGACGTAGAGGCCTGCAACAGCATTCAAACGTAACTCCAACCCCATTCTTTGAGATCAACCAGTCTACACCCTGCAGGCTATAGCCACTGCGGCACGGCCAATCGCTATTGTGAACATAATCACCTATGTACCACTTTGGCTCCCTTCCGGTCAGCTCACGCAGAACCTCTGCGGAGTTCTGCAGGTATTTCCACTTGATGGTGCGAAGACGGATCCCATCATCCACGTTCGGATGCTTGTGAGACAATCTGTCCAAGCTATTGTCGGTTATACATATCACCTGTCTCAGGATCGTGCTGGGCGATATGATTCCCCAGTTTTCGATTTGCGCCCTATGCAACTTGAGCCCTTACGCTATGTAACTTGAGCTCGTGTTGAACAGCACGACGAATGGCCCAAACAAGGGTCATGGGTTTTAGCCCTCCATCCCCTGGGGAAGAGATAGGCGCCTTGAGAGTCTCGGCAACAGGGAGCAAGTCCATGGTAGTTAACTGGAGGCCAATACCAAAAAACATGACAGGAGGGTCGCTGTACTTGCTCTGGATGTATTCAGGCAGAATCCGAGGACTGCCCCATGGCTCATTGGCAAGCAAGTATGATTTGGTAAGGTGCTATATCAAGATGTGGATCAGCACAACCCAGACTACCTCACAGAACATACACTCTGGAGCCTAAGGATATATGCCTCATCTCGTTCCGTCAACTGTCTGCCATGATTGGCTCCCCGATTGTCTGAGCTACGGATGCTGAGGCTGCTGGTGGTGTCATCCATGACTAAATCCGTCCGGCCAACTCCGGTAGCCGCCGGTAGCGGGACCTCAGAGCATGGCCAGGAAGAAAGATGGCAGGGATTGAAGAGAGGTCGCAACCGAGTTGGTTTGCATTCGTAAATATTTGTGTCGCTAGCTTGCGCGGGTTGCTGTAGCACCCATCCCTCAATTGCCATATTGGATAGTATTTCCGGAGTTCCTCGCAATTCCTGAAGACCCAACAATGAAGTGAAGGACGGTTACTGTTCCGTGTGTGATGACTCAAAAGGAAGCAAAGGGGAGTGGCATGTGGGCCTTTTGGTGCCCAAATTGGAATAAGACTTACATTGTAGGGGTTCTATACGCAAAAACGTCCATCCTTCCTGTGCTTCTTCATCGTTACAGTAGAACACCCCATGAGAGACGATATATAATGTGCCAGAAGACTGGGAATATTCAGTTTATTGAACACTTGGAAGATCTGCCGGCCTTGATAGGGTATACATTATGTGACAGCAGGTATGGTACTAATACCATTATCCGATTTTCGGATATAACTTTCTTCTTTGTAGGAGTGGGAAAGAATGTAGGTGTGGTTGCGTCTGGCTCCGCGCTGGAGCACACAGTGGGGAGGGTCGATAGAAGCGCGTAGTGGTGTTCACAAATCAGCATATTGCGGGTTCCGGAGTAGCTACCTTCTGTGATATTTCCGGTTAAGAGCGCATAGCCACAGGGGTAGGTGCTGACTTGGTCATGGGCGGCTTCGGTAGGGGGAGGTTTGGAGATGGGGGCTGGGTGATACTGGGCTGGGCCGCACGGGCGGTTCCGGGCTTCTGACTGTCATGCGAAGGCGCCATAGTTGTCCCCCCAACGGTTGGAATCACGGGAGTATACGAAGTCATAGAGGCTGGAGTCCTGCCTATCACGGGAGGTACAGGACGGTACAGAACCGGCAGTAAGCCCAGACGGTGGAGGCGCAGGTGCTTCAATTTGAACCACGGAGGGAATGCCTGTTGAATAATGTTCCGCAATCATCAAGATATTGATCGTGGAGGCTCCAGATTGCCGCCTCAGGATGGAGCGGTGGAGGGTCTTCTGGCAGTCAAAGAGGCCGAGGAGCAGCCTCACGCGCAAGGACTATATGCCCCGAAGGCGGCTGGCTCCATGCAATTACGGGTGGAACTGACTGGTAGGTGTGGCATGAGTTGGATGATTGCTGGGTAAACAAGCTCTGCGTGAGACGCGGACCGACATTCGAGGTATGCGAGCGGTATGTGAGGTGGGGTGACTGGTTTGATGATAACAAGCAAGCAGTCTGGCGAGAAGCGAGAGGGCTCGTCCCTGGGTAAGGTGATTGCGGCAGTTGACCTCCTATGGAGTTTCCATACAATCCCAAGGAAGGTGAAACGCCAAGACTAGCATTCCGAGATGGAGTCAAAGTATCATCACAGGTATTGAACCAGGGTTCCCGGCGACTGCGGTCGTCCGCCAATGACACTATAACCTCGAGTCTGAGCATCAGTAAAAGCAGGGGACCCGTGAGCAGACGGCGTCTGCAGAAACTGGGGACTCGAATTCCCAAATGAACCATGACGGCTGTTAATAAACCGATCGGGCCCATTAAGGTTATGTGATTCGGGGAATAAAAGTTGTTCATTCCCTGAGGCCTAAATTCAACCCATTTTGCGGTGGTTGGTAAGCATTACCCATAGTTGCTACAATTGATGCCGCAGAAGGGGTAGGGGAGACATAGTTCTCTGGAGCTCAAAACCTTTGAGGAAGAGAGTAGACTGATGCACAACAGGAAGACGACGCAGATGCTGGACCAATGGTTCGAAGATATCAGGATTAAGAGGGTCCCACAATGGGTCGAACCATTGGATGGGGAGAAGTAGTTGGCGTTGTGTCACTGACTCATCATTTCGGAATCGAAAGGCCCTGAGGATGATGGCATTAACACTGGGGTCGACACAGTTACAAGAATGGGTACCCTGCGTCTGCCCAGATGGATCTTTGTAGCGCCACTTGACGTCTTCGTCCTTAATCGTTATACCAACCAACGACTCCCTTTGATTGAGATCGAGGAGTTTGGTTGGCGTAGTTTGAAATCGATTGACACTCAAATGATGTTAACTGGCAGGATTGGGCTCGGAGGTTCCTTGATGCACCAGGGGGAGGTGCTAAGTCCGGAATCGCCGGTTGCGAGTGTTCGCGAGACGAGACGTCCAAGTCAGAATGCAAGGTTCGAGGTTGCTGCACTTGGGATAGCTCCAGAAGGTGAGTTTCTGGGGGTGATTTGTTCAATTCGGGGTTCTCTTGGGGGGGGCGCGTCGATGTCGAACTTTACATCCAGACCTTTCACCTCATCCCGCACCTCGTCCACGTCCGCCAAACCGTCTCCTTCAGCTGCGTCCAGGGCATCTCCGAGAGCCGAGGGCTCCGGGGCTGTGAGTTTTTCAGAGGGCCTACGCCTAATCCAACTGTCGCACCCCTATCCCTTCATTGCTTGGTCGTCGAAGGGAAGAGGAGGGGTTATTGGAGACCGGAGTTCGATCGTAGCTCCCTAGATTACTAAACGAAGGTCGCCTTGGGCGATACAAAGGACCAGGAACATCTGCGGTTGAACGATAGTGTGTTACTGGAACGCAGATATATGTACAGAGATCGTACCTACTTGCATCCTCCTCCTGGACGCGCTGCTGGACGGACCGCCTGGAGAACGTAGAGCGCTACGGACTCTGGTTGAATTGCTCCTGAATCGCTCCGTACGAGGGCCACCGAGACCCCCCAGCGAAGCTATTTTGAGCAAGGCCTGTGGAGGACGTCTGTATGGAACCGAGCGTTTGAGTATGGCATCGAGCAGAAGAGCTATAGCCATAGTTCTGGCTATGGGATGGATTAAGTGGCTCACTAAATAACTATCGGTAAAAAGAATGACCCAAGGCGCCTACCTTGCGTTCTTTCCCTCGACCCAACAACAAGTTCGCGAACAATTCGAATAACAGGCCACCTTTCCACTTCAATATTGAGCTCGCCTTCGCCGCCACCATCCAGACCTGTTCTTTCGAGCCCCAAAATGAGGGGGGGTGCATCGTCGTCATCGTCAAGCTTCGCACTGCCAGTCTGCCAACAGTTTGTCCAGGAGAAACATCACTGCCCGCCACAAGTGAGGAGTAGGTCAGTGAACCGGAATTGTATAAGAATGCTGTGCGGATGTCCTCAAGAGTGGCTGAACCAGTCGTAGGAGGTGTTCCGACTGGGAACCGAAACTGGGGTGCCGGGTTTGGACCCTAAAGTACTCAACGAGGCTTTCTTCGTCGACTTTCGCTGTTTCATCCATTCTGGGGCGAGTTGAATGTTCGAAGCAGCAGAAGTGGGCTGATCTAAAATGATCATGATATATGTACAATCCTATCATGTGGAATACAAGCAGGGTGCGCAAAAGAAGGGAAGTGTATACAACTAAGGATAACACAATGAGAGGTCGGATCAAGTACGCTGGAACTGTGACGAGAACGTTCGCGTCAATCATTGAGGAGAGAGAAACAGAATGTATGGCTACTTACAGTCCCGTTTCGCAATTTTATGTCTGCAGGAGTTACATATATACCACTTTCATCACTGACCTTAGCGACCTCGAACATGCTGCTCTTGCCATCCCAATGGAAAACACGCTTGATCCCAGCCCACCTGCACCACTCGATACAGCGCGCACATGGCTTAGATGGTCCGGTCCCTCCTCCAGGCGTAATCCTGACAACGTACAAATCCGCACCATTTATTTTGGGGTTCCGACGTCGCGCATCGTATGAAGGTGGTGGGGGGTTAATCCTTGCAGACATTCTTGACCGACGTGCCATTGTTTCCATTCAAACTATGACGCAAGGCACGTCTCGGGGATGTCGAAATCCGAGGAGACGGGGATGACGACGACTGGGACGTCGTCAGAGAAAGGGTGGCAAACGACGTCTCCGCCGTTCGCCACCGACCCTTTACACCGATCGGGGTCTTTCGCTGCTCGAGGAGGCGGCTCAGAAGGCGACCCGTCCCCTTGAACCAACTGTGAACCGTGCTGAAGGCTGAAGGGGGGTGTGAATTGCCTGCTACCAACATATATAGCGTGCATCTCTGCATGCATTGAGGCTGGCTTTCGATGAGATAGATCTGTCCCATCATAATGAGTCCTAAGAGTGATTGCGTCGAGTCATTGAATGGCAAAAAAAAGAATGTTGCCAGACGACATCGGTGAGACAAAAGCAATATCGGGATCACCTCCATGCCACTCACCGATGGTGGTTGAAACCAGAAGCCAGGATCTTCCCTCCCTTAACTATGATCGCCCCTATTTTAAAGTTCATGTCGGACTTCTGGGCGGCCTCGATGCAGGAGGAGAGGAAGAACTGAGTCATAACAACGCCGACCAAAATCAGTACATAGTAAAGCTTGGTATCCTAGAGCAGACGAAGCCATCTCACCTGCGATCTCTTAGTCATAACTTCCTGATGTATCAGATATCCTGAGCACTGGAGTTTTGGCCGGAAGCAATTGATCCAGCCACGGCCTCAAGATCGGCTGTCGCCGATAACTGACATGATCTCGCTCCTATCTCGATGTAACCGGTTTTCGCGTCGCATATAAGGGTCACCCCTCCGGAGCTCAGGGCTTCGAGAAAGGGTGAGTGCAGCGCGTGGCTCTCGATTGCACTTAAAATATATATTCTCGCAATAGATATGAATAAATCCTTCTCTCCACCTTTCCCATGTTTGTTTTTTATAACTCTGGTGCTACTCTTAATATCTCTTGGGTGAGCGGCGTAGTAGGTCAAACGACAGAACTTGACTAACCGGGATCGAGCAGGTATAAGGAACAGCACCCCTAGAAGAGTTGAAAATCATCGACATCGGGACTCCCGGATGAGTCTAGCGTGCCATATCGCTGCTCCCGATCGCCGTTGTGTGATCTGAGTTCTTTCCGGTATTTCAGAATATTGTAGCGGGTTCATCATCCAATCGCGGTTCATCTACGGTTGGCATGTAATGTTATCATCACGGCATTAAATTAGCCAGTTGGGTATAACCAGCTTCCAGACAGTTTGGAGGGGCTCGAATGCCCAACAAGTACGAGCGTTTCTACGGTCCTATGATCTCCTTGACAGAGGTGAGATGTATATAAACTAGACAAGACTCGCCGTCCCGCTCAGCAGTTATAGTACCTCCTCAACCATACCTTCTCTCGTTGTTCCAGCTAAGAACAAGATCATTGCTGTTGAGCAATTCCTGGCGCCCTCCAAAGGTGGTACCCCATTTCCATATAACGTTCGTTACTTGACGCGAAACCCTAATCATAGGGCTCAGAGAAATGGGAACAGAGATTGTTCAGGGTTGGTGATTTTGGACTACAACGTCAAACGCTAATCTACGTTTTCTGATGTTTCATACCCCCAGGCTTATTCCTCGGAACCGAGTCACCCTCTACGGGATTCTACATGCAAGTTTAAATCGCTCCAGAGCTGCTGTCTGGTAAGTTGTAAAAGGGCTCTACGAACTTCTCTGTCGTGGGAAGGAAGACTGGGCCAGGACCACCCAGGGTAGGCCTTTCCATGAGAACCTTTGACAGCGATCTCATTGATGGCCTGGATATAGTGGATGCACATGATGCAGGAAAGTTTAGAGACCCCGATGTAGGGTAAAACTTCCGGGAGTTCGCCCTTGAACATTGCTGTAATCATGGCTAGTTCAGCGTGGACCGTGGGTTTCCGGCACGCCTCAGAATCCTCCAGTTTATCCCGAAGCCACACAATGAACGATTCGCGCTCCTCACGCCACTCCACAGTAGAGTATTTGGTTTGGTGTGGCGCCGCGTCCAGAGCCACTCGTATGTTCCCTGGGAAAGATTGCAACGATATGGAGTCGTGGTTGGACATGAGAGGGGTTTAATTGAGAAGGTCCCATCTATAAATTTGCGGAGGCGGGGCGACTGGGTGAAGGTAAAGGGCCTGTTGACCGAGATGACAAATGACATGATCTTCGCCGCCCAACGCCGAAGCCGGGAACTCCAACAACTTGAAACGCTGGCGCGAATTGAAGTGATGCCCATCCTGCTCAATAATGTACCTCTGAATGTCGGAAAGCTTGTGCTTGTGCTTGTTAACGCGATACGCAAAAATGTCGAATGAGTAGTTATAAATGGTTTTGCAGACTTCAAATATACTCCCTTCGCTCGGGATATCCTTCATTGCCAAGTGCCGGTATGGCACTCATGACATTAATATGATAGTACATACTTATATCCTGGGATTTAGCGCCCGGGTCCGGCCCGTCCATTCAGTCGCCCCGATCAGGAAGGGGGTGTCGCTTTTTGCATCCAGTCACGTTCTCGTCCGTCCATCTCAACCCCATCAATCATTGGCATCCATCCGGCTTGCTCGCAGTACAGTACCGCCGCTGACGTCAGCGTTTCGTTCGTGGCTGGCTGGAACGGCCCGACGCACTCCCACCGGATCTCCACCGTTTGGAACAAGACAGGTTGGCGTTGGATTCGCCTACTCGGGCGCTTTCGAACACCGTCAGTCTCACTTCAAACAGTTGGGGTGTGACGGAGATATGGGCCGTGATATTTTCTGAACTTGTTCGCCTTATTCCCTCAATTTTCGATCTTTTTTGTCGAAGCTGCAACAAACGGCTGAAAAAAATGTCCGTTGGATCCTTCCCCTCGAGCGCTTTCGAACGCCGTCGATCCCATCCGGAGCCGTGAGGATTTGAGAGAGAGAGAGAGAGAGAGAGGAGGAGATGGCGACGGGTGATGAGGTTGGATTTTGGGGATGAGACGTATATAAAGACGTTCCCAATAGTCGCCGCCTCTCAGAAGTTACAGTACTCAAACATGCCTTCCCTCGTTGTTCTAGCTAAGGGACGATCATTGCTGTCGTCGGCGCTACTGGCGCTCCGGGCATGCCGACTGTTGAGCAACTTCTGGCGCCCTCCAAAGATGGCCCCCCATCTCCATATAGCGTTCGTTGCTTGACGCGAAACTCCAACCACCGTCGATCCATATAGCTCAGAGAAATGGGAACAGAGATTGTTCGGGGTTGGTGATAACGTCAAACGCTAATCTACGTTTTCCGATGTTTTTCGACTCCATTTGCGTTGCCAAACTATTCGAAGGCTGCTATGGTGCCTCCGTCAACACATGGTTTTTCTTGCGGCGAGGCTGAAGAGCTGCGAGGCCGGCATTCGCATCTTCGAGATCGCCAAGCAGAGGAAGCTGCGCCACTATGTTTGGCCATGTCTTGCCCAAACTGGGTGGATGGAATGATTTGTCCGCCTGCAACTATTATAACAGCAAGGGACGCATATATCGGTAACTTCACCGAGGATCCGAATCAATTTCCTGCAGCAGGTAGATAGGTCGCATAGTTGCAACTCTGATAATGGATGTACGGAATGTGATGTGCAGTATAAATGTCATTGTTGCGCTGTCGAGTGAGAGCGATATTGTACACATGAGGGCGGGAAAAATGAAGAGAATGCAGTGGTCGAACAACAAGTTTTCAATGATAACGAATAGCCGGAGAATCAAAAGCCCAGTGAAACTAGCATATGGAACTTTGGAAGAACGAACAGGCAAGACGGTTGTGAGGGGTGCAGGGGAGTGCGTTAATGCGTGACCGAACAACATCAAAAGGTGCCATCGGGGTTGCATCGAATTCAGAATGATGGCACAGATGGTGTGGGCGATACGAGTGACGGACGATAGCTAAACATTGGAGTCATTATCGATCTGATCATCCTGCTCTGCTTTGTAGTGAGTGAAGGGGTTAAAGCGGATTCGAAGACAGGAGGGGAGGTTGGTGAGGATGAAGTAAACCAAGGGAAGTGCGAACTATGGGAAGAAAGAGGCTTCACTGTCCTGATTGATGGAATGGGCAGGGCCATTGACGTCAATACTTTGTCAGATGTCGATGTGACAATCAGTGAGCCGAGAGGGGGTAAGCTGGGACATGATTGCTTCAATTCCTGCAGGAGACTTATTGAATATGAATCGTTCATGGAAAAAGATTCAACGGACCTTCAACTCTCCTAAACTATAGGTGTAGGTGTATGTCCTTCCGAATCCCATCTCCATCCCTCCAACGATCTCCACTCGCAGAACCTCCAAATCACTCAACACGGAGAGTACGGCAGTGAGGGCCCTTAGATCGACATTTGACTTTATGGCGATCCGAAGCTCGCGCAGCTGCTCGGGGTGTGGGATCGATGCGACTATCCTCGACAATGTTCCAACTGTGATGGGGCCACGGACATCGAGGGCGCGAAGGCACGGTGAGTTCGAGATGAGACTTGTACGAGCATCATGGGATTCGGTCCCATAATGGTCGCCCAGCCATGTTGGAATACGTAGGGATAATAGTGCGGGATTAAGATGTGGCCCAACGAAAGACCTTAACCTGCTAACATTACTGTTACAGTCGGTCACATCTAACGACTGTAAACGCTCCAGTCGAGAAAGTGCGTGGGCGACAGCGGATATATCGAAGGCAGGATCTGAAGCCCGCAACGCTAGCTTCACGTGCTGAAGGTGTGGAAGCAATGATATGATGCTTGATGCAATGAATGCAGGCGCTGGTACTATGGGGTCCCTAGGGTAGCCATTGACTTTGGACAAAAGTTTGGTCTGATCTGGAGTCAAAGGGATACTTTCAATTAATATCGTGGCCGATCTGACAACAACATGATCGGCAAGGCCATGAGTTTGAATTGTCTAAACTTAGCTCGAACTTGGGGGTAGAGCTTACCGCACTAAACGCGCGAGGTGCAGAGAGCTTTCTTCCTCAGCCACAAGTAGCGAGCGCACAAAAGTGCCCTCTCTGAAGAGATCGCTTGTGCGGAGGGTCTTGAGAATACGAAAACGGTCCCGACGCGTCGTGACAGCAGTGGCGCGCGACACGAGGGCAAGGCTGTGCAAAGATTTCCGGGCCACCTCTGGCAGTGACATCGAAATTGCAAGCTGGGTATGATGGGGAGTGAGCGGCATGACTAGTCGCCAAACCCTCTGAGGGGGAGGGAAATAGGGACCAAATTGCTGAATGGCAAGGAGGAGGAGCTTTTATACCGCACAATCAGGCCTCACCCAGGGCGTGTGTCGGCCACGGCCTAACATACAATCCATGATGCGGGTATTCAGCGCTGGATCCCAGGAGCGGGGTATTAGCTCAAGCCGGCCACACAAAATCATTCTATTGTTTGCAGATGGAGGTTGAGTGTGACAATGAAAATGCCACTCAAAGTACGCCTAATCCAAATTCGGATACATCCGAGTCGAAAATAGAGAGGCGTTTGACGGTCGCTGGGCAGCAGGCCGGCCAAAGCGCAGAACTCCCAAAGAGCCTATATGAGGTTGTAATATGCTCAGACGGTTTTAGGACTTGGCCGCCGGATCAAACATGGCAAACGTGGTCTTGGAGAATGCAACACATGCTGATCACCAAGAGAAGCCCACACATCTGAGAATACAGTTTTTTAGAGACAGAGCATGCTGCAGGAAGCGGATCGGAATCACGGCCGGATTCTGGAATCATCTGGATCTGCGCTGATGCAAAGATGTTCCTAGAATGTTGGTGCCTGCCTCGCATTCAACAGTACAGAATTCGTGGCAAGGGTGGTTAAAAAGGTACCGACACAAAGTAATCCCTGCAATACATCATCAATGGCAAAGCATTTGAGTTGCGTCGGGCACGGAAGCGCGTGATGGTGCGCCTCTTTGATCTGAATTTCTCAGCTAGCCGTCGGACGGCCATGAACCGACTATTGACGCGATGCGAAGTATGAATGGGAAGTCTGGCCGCGCCAGGGTTTACCGCAGCTTGTTCATGTGCGGTCTGCCATGCATGACCGCTACCAACCGTTGAATCGAGCTAAGTGAATTGCAGGACCAGTTGCCAGTAAAGGGGCACGTTGGGCATTGGAAGTTAACGGTTCCCATAATCCATCTACCGGACGTGCTATGCCGGATGAGCGCTCAACACCTTGACGGATCAAGGATCCCATGGAATTCCAAAAAAAACGTCTCATCTTATGGCCTAGAACCTAGTAGCACGGGTTTGAAACATCTAGCCTGACGGTGGCAAGATTTCTACTAAATCGAGCGTCGTTCGTCAAGATAGGGGAGCTCCAGGTAATGATCACAATGGTATGATCCATGCTCTGTACTAGCCATATTTTGATACAAAACCCCACAAGCGAGCGCGGACTCAGGGATATAAACGGTGAAGCTTTGCATAGTACCATGCCAAGCTACTTACATGATTGATGCAGCCCGTTACAGAGAAAGGAACAATAACGGGGGACGGGCAAGTTTATCTCCCTCGTTCCTCCGCCTCTTTTCACCATCCGATGGATCAACCCGTATCCCAGACGCCCACGGCCCAACACTCTGCCATCATTTATATAGGAAGATGGCAGTCTATGTTGTTGTTGCACTTTTCGCTCGGCGTTCTCCGCATCCAGCGCCACAGCCGTCAATGAAGCAACTGTGCTCTCCGCGTGATCAGCAGTATCTTGAACATTGGGGACCCGGTTAGCCCATGGCTCCGCTCCTTGCACCTATAACCTGTTATCAGCGCCAGTGTACCGTACCGCCTGGCAGGCTCAATGGGGACATCGAGTCGTCGAATGCGCACGCGAAGGGACTGGACTGTAAGATTAGTAAGTCAGTGGTCCCTGCACGGCAGAACAAGGATTTCTGAGGTACCGAAGCTGACAGCGGCATGCCACGATGTGCTGGTTAATTCCCGCTCTTTCTGCAAGGATATCTCAATGAGCGCAGCGGCTAGGAACTCGGGCCTGTGTTGCCATCCGAGTATCAGGTAATATTTCGAAGTCATAGAGGCTGGAGTCCTGCCTATCATGGAGTATCCAAGTTAGTTCACTAAGACCCTTGCAAGTAGGCTTTCTGATGCTTCTGGGCCATGGGTGTGATTTTCTGCTGTCTAATAGTACCTGATGCATTTCAGAACTCCGGTTCCGACTTGAATAATGCCGCAATACAAGAGGGCAGAATCGGAGTGTCTAGTCATCAGATTGCCTCTAGAGCCCTCTGTTTGCATCCTGGGATTCCACGGCAGGGCCTTTTCTTGACTTTGGATCTTCGCCGTCGCAGTGACCGATCATGCTTCTCCACCAGTACATCAGAGCTCTGCCTCAATGGAGGCTGACGCGTTATTCACGTGCGAGGACATGTGACCCAATTTCCTCACTTTGCCTTGACTGGATTTTCCTTTCTTCTCTCAGTTCCGGGGATTGAGTCGATTCTTTTGTTATTTCTGACAAAGGTAGCCATCCTCACCGCATGGGTATGCCGCGTTATGTTTCCTATTGTGGGCATATCTTCGTATCTGATTTCTTTGCAGCACTTCGAGCGAAGTGCGAAGCAAGACGTTTCCGGGGCTCCTTAGGAGCTGTTTAATCAGTCGTAATCCGCGGGTTCGCAATGTTTAGTCACAACCCCGTTTTAGTCCATTGGGCGCAGTCGGAAGCTGACGATGAGGAAATGGGGGCACACACTAGACTAGACCAATTACACGTATTGGGAGTGCAGCGTGTTCTGTATTGCTCGTTGATAGTCCAAAGACTTGGCGGGTGTCACCTGGCCCTGATGACCAGCGGTCACACTATTCTGGTGGGATGTATACAACCGCCAGTGTGCTTATAGTGCAGCATCACGAGTCCTAGATTGGGCACCTTGGCCTCAAATGGTGACATGAGCTTTTGTCGTCCCTATTTGTGCCAGGCCACGATGATGTGGGATCATATAGAGCTGGGTTATGGACTATTGCCTGGTAAGAGACTCATATGTTGGCATCTCTGGAGGGAACAGGGAAATTAAATCACAACCGGCTTCCCTTTGCCGCGATGTGTTTCGGGTCGGAAGTAGGGTCTAGGCGATATTTACATCGTAAGCCAACAAGACTGTGGTTCGCCACCGCATGAGTGTCACCCACGCCACTGGCAGTCCCTTTGAGGAATACGCACGCTTTGCTCTCCAGCCACTGCTCCAAAAGAGTGGCGTATTCTTTATCAGACGAAGACCATTTTCGATTCACGCGGTATTAGACGGCGTCGTGATGCCAATTAGTGGATAGTCCGCCCCACCCAATGTCGCGACCAGTGCTGGAAGGCCGTCGCAAGGCACCCAGTACGATGCTGCCGCTCATGGGGACATCAGTATATATTAGGAGTCCAATTTCGTCAGTATCGGATGACGAGGGGTGTGAAACAGCGCGTACCGTTGCCTGGAGTTGGATGGCTGCAGATACTCTTCCATTAGCATCAATATTTTATCCCGGGAGTGTCGTTCATCTGGTTCTCAGTGTGCGTGCTCCCACGTTAGGTGAACATGTGAAACTGGACGCTAGCCATAATGATGGCTGATGTGCTCCGGAAAATCGAGCGCGTATCTTCTCCATTTCATAAAAGTTCGACCTCAGTTCCCCACACCGCTCCACCAAACGCTTTCATCTTGCATCTGTTTTTTTTCGGGGTTCTGTTGATTCGGGATCCCTTCAGTCTCTCAAGTGGTGGGTGGTCACTACCTTTCTTGTGACCTTACGTCGATTAGGGACTAAGGTTTGGTTACCGTTTGGGCTTATGCACAAGAGGGAGTTTCCCCTGGACCGATTACTATCCACACAGTAATTCAAGCTGAGTGCGTAGAAATGTACTTCGCAACGGTGATCATCTTTCTGGTCACTCAACGAAGTGACTACACCTTGTCAGTGAGGAACTCATCATGCTTCTTGGCTCGAGCAGTAATTGATGCTCACTGATTCTAACCGGCCGCCTTCCTCGTCGACCCATCAGGCAATTATCGCTGCTACCAGGGGAAACTCCATTCCTCTGGCGCATTGATAGAATTGGGCCTGGAGCTATGGAGCAACATTGATCGCCTATCCCTGAGGCCTTTTTCATAACGTTATACCGCCCATACCATTAATGAGTAGACCGACCGGAAGTAGAGTCTTGCTTCGGAACTCATTAGACCTTTAATTTCACATCCATGATTGTGGCGCCTGGAGCAGTCCCTCGAATCAAACGCCACTCGGTCATCCTTCAGGAGGCGCGCGGTAGGACTCGTTTTTCGGGCAGGGAGAGATATCCCCGGCCTTGATGCGGTATAGCTCGTTTCGCGCGCGGCACCCGGTAAACATCTTTGTTTACCGTGAAGAGGCGGGTCCGAGAATTTGGGATCCTTCGGGGGGGATGTGTTCGGATAGGATAGAATGACCCATTCAGCGCGTCGGCATGATGGAAGGCTGAATCAGTCCTTCGTGCAAGCCACATGATGTCCACATCTTCTCTGACTTAAATCTACTAGTGTAGTATCTGTTGATGTTCTACGATAATCACGCGGGGTCGTTCCAAGAGGCTGATTGGCAGATCGGGCTTAAGTGGATAGGGGCTATCATAAGACACTGCCCGAGATATCAATGCAATCACATGCGTACGCACGTGTCACGACTGAGCGTCAATCGGGCGTCTATCGATGGCCATCACATGCCGTGGGAAAAGGCGAACAGGATGTTCCGATCGTGACCGACAAGCGCGAAGGGAACAATATTTGTGTGGGGTAGGCACATGCATGCATCACAATAGAGGGATGAATACGGATCATCCCAGGAATGAACACTATGATTCACATTGCTAGAATGTTCCTCCCAAATGCCAACAGATGGAGGACTATCGAGAGGCAATGAAGGCCGACGGTAGTTGGGCGGTGCGGAATGGGGGGACTAATTGCGCGAGCCTGTCAGAAGGGTGTCAGGGTCAAAGCTTTCAGTAGTGCATCTTCCGTTTCTGTAGGGGGAAGCTATTTATTATCTGTGCAATCGGGATGCGTATACATGTCATGTTTACGCTAATATTGGAGTCTTTCGAATACATTGGCAGAGAGTATAACCTTCAGAAAATCATGGTCCAAATCGTTGATGCAGGCGCTGCGAATGGACAAGAATGTGCGAAGCGTCTATTTGCCGCGACTCGCCTGTTGGCTGAATTGAGGGCTCAAGATTTGATTCCGTAGCATTGGCTCCCTCGCTTGAGTGTTACCACTTCCCTTCTTAACTCCTTAACTTTCTCTTCGTCCTTAATCTCCCTCCAAGGCCCACACTAACGATTCATAGACAATCGAACTAGCTTTTGTCCATTCCCCGATCCTGCCATACCGCTGCAGTTTCGGGTTTCCCTGCCAGTTTTTGCCTTTCCGGGACTCGCTTCCATTTCGCTACCGGTGTGACCCTTTCCCCCACTTGCACCGAACTCTGCAGTTGGGCGAGCCACTGAGGACGCTCAGACTGCCTCACGATCTAACGACCTTACTGGGACAAAGAATAGAGTGAGAAGGTCTTCCAGCATATATTCTGCTGGAAACCCTTAAAAAAGTCAGTGCTCGATTCGATCCGTTCGCAGTTCCATCTGTTTGCCACTCAGCCTAAAACGTTATTATAGTCTTTGGTGACACAGCCAAAGCATGACAAGCCAGCCACAGCAGATGGCATCCGTAGCGGCCATAAATACAGCTCCTACCCCTCAACAACGGTCCAACGCTGGCTCCTCAAATACACCTATATCATCCCAAAATAATAACACTAATACCATGCCTAACCACACCTCCACCTCCTCTACTGTCACCGAAGCGCACCGCAATTCAATTAATTCTACAAGCTCGGCGTCAAACGGAACCAGCAATGTGAATATTACCAATTCTGGTCCGAGTACTGGCGCGGCCCCTGCAAGTTTAAGCTCGATAGTTTCACCTGACTTGTCCAACTCAATTCCGGAGGACCTCAAGCCCCACATCGCGCCATATGTGCAACGAGCCATTGAGCTTAGCACCCGGGAGCCTGTGATGTGTTATTGGTGGTAAGTGACTATCCGTTTGTCAGATGTATGCGTACTCGACATGTGCTGATACATGGCCCAGCCTCTTTTTCGCTGCGAAGCAAGGGATTGCAATAGGGAACAAAGACGACCGCCTTTACCTCTTTAATCTCATGGAGACCATCGAGAAGGTAAGTATCGCTCTTGTCCCGACATTCAATGCAAACCCCTGGGTCTTAGATAAAAAATGAGCTGAGAGATGCCAGCGCAGTCTTTTCTGATGAAGTGGGAGCTGCGTACGTTAAGGAGTTCGCAAACAAGGTGTTCATGCTCGCGGATAGCGAAGATCGCGCAGGAAGTGCCACGCGGTGAGCTCTCTGGTTTTACCCAGGCATCATATGCGTGGGTCCTTACTCCTGAGTTGACATGGTTTAGCTCGACGGCGAAAAAATTTCTCGCCGCTGCGAATTTTTACGGGTTACTGTCAGTCTTCGACATCAACGATGAAGCCGAGGTGACGTGCATGTTATTCTCCTACCGCAGTACATTTTCTAATATTACAGCACTCAACAGGTAAATCAGAAGATTCAATACTCGAAGTGGCGTGCGGGTACCATAGCGAAGAAGGTCAAAGGTGCAGGAGAGGCGACACCCTCAGGTCTTCAGTCTTCAACATCCTGGGCTCAAGCACAGAATGAGAAGGCGAACAATGTTCCCAGTGGGACTCAAGGGCGAAAGCCCACTCCCCCCATCGAGCAGGCGAACTTTCAATCACAGTTCCTTTCTGTACCTCATCCGGGCACGAGCTCCGCTGCACCCCTCCCCTCGCCGATCACCTCGTCCACCTTTGGGTCCGTACCTGCTTCTGGCACAGCTACGCCTCATCGCCCCTTTCACACGTCGCCTAATGCTGCGGCTGAAAAGATCCCCCTCCCTCTGAGTCCGCAGGCTCCGTATGATAACTTGAAACCTATCTCCACTCCTGTTGCAGATGTGCAGGCGAAGCTCAATCATGCGAGAGCTGGGTCAGCTGGGACTAGCGGGGGTGTTACATTTCCGTCAGCCTCTGGTGCTACAGATCAGAAGTCGGACGGAGGTAAGGAAGCAAATCCTCGTGAACCCAGAGTAAGGAAGCGATCGAGCGCCGATAAGAATATCGCCGGTCCGACCACCAAGTCAGCTGTAACTGGCGTGAAAGATGTGAATCCAAAGGCGAGTCAATCCACAACCCTTCCTGGTCGGGGAGTCGCCCAGCTTCCGGATGGGCAGACAAATCCAGACGAATTGAGCGACCATGCAACCCCAGGTCTAGACGATATGTTCAAGCGTGTGCCCTCTGTCCAAAGCACAGGCAGTCATACGGAGAAGGCCTCAGGGGGAGCTTCCACACCGAACCATGTGTCCCCTCCATCCTCAGCCAACTCTAAACTTGGCGCGGCCTCGCGAACAACTCCCATTCCTCCTTCACCATTCTCTTCGACTACTCACAGCCCTGTAACACCAACTTTCCCGCCGTCCACGGCAATCTATCAATCGCCATCTAGTGGCGAGACCGCAGGCAAAAAAGTCCTTGCCACCGCTCCTCCAGGCTCTACACTCGTATTGGAACGTGAAAGGCGGCAGTCATTTCGCAGGTCCGAACCGTATGTCCTTCCTACTGTCGGTTTAGTCGTTCCACCTAGTTTGAGTCTTAGCTCCGGGATCGGTATTCCTGGGAGCAAGGTGGCGGATGCTAGGAATGGTAACCCGGACTCAAATACACTACCTCTACGAGTGTGGATGAAGCCGTTTACAGGACCTAATCCTGTGAAATTTCCCTTGCCTGTTTCCGTTGCAGCCCAGGCTACTCCCGCTACTCAAGCTTCCACAAGTGCGTCCGTATCTGGGCCCTCGAAGAGCAGCGCCACGGCGACTACGGATGCAGCTATTACTTCAACTTCACATTCGAGTAGTGCGCCTCCTTCGCAACCTTCCTCGAATACCAGTGGGAAAGCTTCCACTCTGGCGACGACAACTTCCACTCCAAAGCAGTCATTAACAAAATCGCCAGAACTGAAAGCTACGAACGTTCTGGCATCGTTACCTCAAGCTGCACTTAAGCCCGTGCCTGCGCCAGAAGTGAGAGGATCGCCCAAAACCAACAATGTACCTGTAGCTGTCAACAGTTCGTTGTCCAAATCAACATCTCAGATTCCCTCCCACAACAATTCGTCGGAGAAGCCTTCTGCGCTGTTACCTCTCGCATCCGACGAGTCAAAAGTCTTTGCCATTCCTCCTAAGCTTGCCGAGGCGGCCAAGCGGGCCCCTCCAAGTTCAACACTGCATGCCAGCGGAGACCTTGATCACCCTCAAAGCAAGGATATAGCCGCTTTGGACTTGGCCAAGAAAGCAGTCAGTGCCCTGGGTACACCAACTTTACCAAGTTTGCCTTTGATTTCGCCCATATCGGTGTTTAAAAAAGTTCATTTCTCAGATTCTGTCAAAGGTGGTTTGTCCAGTATTGCTTCCAATTCGCCTCCCCACAGCCCGGAGCAGGTTGTTAGGGAGGTGACTATTGACATTCCCACTAATGGTCCTATCTTGTCATCTACGGAGTCCACTGACACCGAGGATGAAGGCAAGGACAAGGATGAGGATAGTCGGACGGTGAAGTTTGGGCCACCCGGCCTGACGACTGACGCCTGCGAGTAATAGGACCACTGTGGATGAGAGAAGGGGTCTCTTCTTGCCGTCATCCAATGACTCGCAACCAACCCCGTATAGGACAAAAGCAGCCCCTTCGCTGTCAACCGGTGTCAGCGCTTCTTTCAGGGATCGATCGAGCACGGTCACACACTCTTCTCCGCCCCCGGCCGCTCCTCTTCCTATTCCTTCGTCTCATTTACGTTCGAGGTCGCACAGTGTTAACGGCCAAGCATCTTCGGCAGGCTCAGCCGGGAGTATTGCTACGATTGCTCTGAGAATTTCTCCTCGACCGAAGGTCGCCACGTTGCCAACCCCGACTGCTGCATCATCATCCCTTAACCAGCCTCTTCCCGCCGGGCACCCATCTTCTCCTGAAAACCGTGCAAGTGCTATCCCTCCTATCTCTATGATTCCTGCACCGACACCATCTTCATCTGCCTCTTCGTCTTCTGTTCCGCTCCCCCATCGTCTCAGGCGGCTGTACCGATCCCAGACACGCCCTCTTCTCAGTCCACAAAAATATCGATCTCTTCGGCTTATCCTCCAACGCCGTACCCTCAACACTCGACCCTTGCGCCTGAAATTGCTAACGGGCACAAGGCAGTAATTGTGTTGAGACCTGAAGAAATGCACGAAGCCAGGAAGCGCACAAAATACGCGATGTCCGCTTTGGAGTACGATGATGTAGAAACAGCGAGAAGGGAGCTAAAGTTAGCCCTCGCTGCGCTTGGACCTGAGTTGTAATCCTTAATTTTTTTGTATTTCTCCTTGACCGCAGATCTTTGGATCTCCCTTCTTTATTCCTCCCATATTGCCTCCTTTATTGCCTCCTTATTATGCAGCAATTTTGCTCTATATCTCTTATCTGCTCTGCTTTGTGCAACTGCTGTCAGGACTCCTACTTTTCTTTCAACACGTTATCGCTTTAATTCTATTTCGTCTGTATCCGCTGTTTTGTAGGCTATTTCCCTTAGTATTCCTTTCATCTTCCTGGCCCCTCTCTGGTCATCCTCAAGCTTGGCCATACGTGACCATTTCTCCTTAATCCCTTCCCCAAGCAATGGCGCCCACCCGCTCCAACAGTGGCAAAAATACCCCTCGCTGATATGCGCCATGCTATATTCGTTTTTTTTTTTTTTTTTTAAATTCGTGTTACTGCTCCCACCGTAACCTGCTTTCAACGTTGGCTCTTACATCGCCTCTCGCTTTCGTGACTGATCTTGTGCGGTTGCATGTACTGTATTGCAGTGATCTTGTCCTTTGTTACTTTTAGCTCCTCCCGCTGCTGTCAATTTTATTGCAGTTTGTACGAACATATAGCTACTCTGCACACAGAGTGGTGGTTGTGATCGATCTCGAGCGGTCTCGGGCAGTCCGGCGGTTCAGATATTTTATTGAGGACCGATGACCGATCGATTGGTCGAGAACCGAACATGGTTCGATTGAATTTGCCCCGTTCGAAGATCGCGATCAATATGCTTGCGGGAGACCTCGTGGGCTTCAAGCGTGTGGATTTCATATGTATCCCCGTCTAGGTTCTATGTAGAAGATCAAGCTTCTACAGTTGTTCTACCCTTGATAATCAGCATGATGCACGTGGCGAATCGAGGGCTGCGGTGGCGGGCGTTTCATTTGCGCTGGGTGTAGAAGAAGGTTTGGCTTGAGAATGAATCCTAGAGATAGAGAAGGCCGGTGTCTGGGCTGAAGACGTTCGCCCCACGAGGACATTGCCTCGGCTTCGAGACTTGTGGAGCGGGACTTGTGATGTCACAACAGTAGAATTATTTAAGCCTTGCTTCCAGGGATGGAGGGATGCCTGTCCGTGTAACCCTCGTGTGAAGACGATGGACGATGTCCGACTATAGATCCTGTGTTGCCTTCAAAATTTTGGCTAGAGACTTTTTAGCGCAAGGATGATATGAAGTATTATCTGAGGCTTTATCTATGCAGATAACTGAAAATGTAACATCTGCAATTGAGTCCCATTATTGTTCCCTTTGCCAGATAACGTTGAAATAATTGTATCAACATGTCCAGTCTCGCAATGATTGATCGTCAACACCACATTTGATCGTTCATAGCGGACGGCGAAGCGGTCAGACGAAAGATTGTGTTGCAGATCGTCATGAGCTATCCCCTGTGGATTATAAATTCGCCTCAAGAAAGGACTGGCTGGGTAAGTGTTCCCGATCCTCCGGATCCCCACACACGGACGTTCCCAATTAGTGCGTAACAGCATTTCCCGCGGTGAGTTATAGGAAGCAGTACAAACCCATTTCTAATCCTAATGGACTCAAGGCCATCTCCTAATCTCGGGGGAAACCCTAAACTCAACCCAAAGTAGTCAGTCTACCCGGCGGTTCCACCAAAAAAAAAGAAAGGACCGGCTGTGTAAGAGTCAACGAGAAGTCTATGATGAAATTCCCTCCAATCCACAGGGCGAGGGTCAGAGTGCCGCTGTAGGTGCGGACTGCCAGGATAGAACGAGCCCCTAGTAGCGAATAAGATGCGTGGGCTAGATATGGTTAAGTGTTCGGTTGCAACTCTGGTTGCAGTCCTGAACAATAAACAACACCCTTCTCCCAAAAAGAACAATGAAGATAGAAGTAGGTAAAAGTGACGGGCAAACCGCAGATCAAGAGACTCAAACTTTTGAGGATCGAAATCAGACCCCCTCGTTGAAATTGTGCCGCCTCCGTTTCCTTGGAAGCTTATGATGAATTTCCAAACGCTATGGACCCGTATTAGAACGAATCTGGGCATCGTGCACACTAATGACAAAACGCATCGCGAACGGGGTCCAAGGAGTACAGGATTTCACAGATATGTTCCCACGGCAGGCATGTGTGGCAGTGCCAGCTCTCGATCAGGACACTAAATGTGTAGCTTAGGCAGGGTGCTTTGATATACCTCCAGCTAGAAATTTTCATTTGCCATGTTTCTTTCTTTTTGAGCAGAGCACCCCACGTGTTATAGCTAGCACATAACCGCCTCTGTGTAAATTGCTTGCCGATCGTCCGAAATATTGAGTGATAAACCATAGTACATAGTTGAAGGACAATGAGAAATTTGGGAAACCCATCGCCTTTGCTTCTGTCAAGAATTTCATTCCTTGTTATTGCGGCCTTTCTAGTATCCCCGGTGTTTTCAGGGTATCGCTGCAAGTCATTCAGGTACACCGATCTTCCTTCTGATGAGTCGAAGAAACCATCCATGACGACGAAGTATGGATGCGTCAAGGTCCACTCTTGTGACAAGTACAAGTTCGAAGTCAGTGCCTCGTCCCTTCCCAACTGTATTGTCAAATTCAGGACACACCTTCAACCATCTTGTATTTTTCTGAAACTCTGCAAGCCAACAAGAATTGGTGCCACGCAATGCAATGTCTTCCGGGAAAACCAGTGGAACCACCATCAAGCCAATGTGCAGTTTGAGCGGCTGGATACCATCACGGCCGAGCTTTGGCAGATCTGGGTGCACCACCGTCCAAATGCAAGCAAACATGACAAGGAGACAGCTATACACGATGCCCCACATGGTTCGGCAATTCCGGAGATCGTGGCAACCATCAGATGCATTTTGCACGAACAAAGCCGTATTGTGAGGGGAGACAGGCGCTGGATAAACACTGTGGGCAACAAGGACGGCGATAAGAGCGGTTGCCACTCATATGCCACAGCCATGACCGGGTGATATGTATAATCAATGAATTCAATGGGCCAAGACAAATGCAGCATCTCGGGAAATGTCTAGCCATTCTGGACTTTCATATATCAGGATATGATAGGTTCCTACGCAGTCATCAAGCACAAGCAGGTAAGCACGCAAGTGAAGGCATGAAGAGGCTGAAGCGTTTCTGAAGTCAGGAAGCAGTGAAAAACCATACCGCGCCCGCGCGCATGTATCCTCATTCAAATACCCACGCGCGCGGGCTTTTTTGGCATGCCACTTTTGAACCCCCGCCCTGATTTGCGTCACATCGTAGGTTGTAATTTAATGGAGGTACGAGATTAAATGAGGTTTGTGAGCTTCATTCAACTACTGACCTCCGGTATTCTATCCTGCGTCTCTTTGATCGTTCATAGCAGACGGCGAAGCGGGCTAGATGAAAGATTATGTTGCAGATCGTCCTCCTTAATCCTGTGAATTAGAAGTTCGCCTCAAGAAAGGACCGACTGGGTAAGTATTCCCGATCCTCCGGATTGAGGTGAGCACCACACACGGGATGTTCCCAATTAGTGCGTAACAACGTTTCCCCGCGGTGGAATTATAGGTAGCAGTGCAAACCATTCTAATCCTAACGGACTCCTAGTCTCGGGGGGAAACCCCAAAACTCAACCCCCAAGTAGCCAGTCTACCCAGCGGGCGGTTCCACCAGAAAAGAAAGAAATAAAGGACCGGCTGTGTAAGAGTCAATGAGGAAGTCTATGATTAAATTTCCCTCCCAATCCCACAGGGCGAGAATAAGAGTGCCGCTGTAGGTGCGGACTGCCAGGATCAATAGAACGAGCTCTTAGTAGCGAATAAGATGCGTGAGCTAGTCGATATGATCAAGTGTTCGGTTGAAACTCTGGTTGCAGTCCTGAGACAATAAACAGCACCCTTCTCCCAAGAAAGAACAATGAAGATAGAAGTCAGCAAGGAAGAGTTGATCAGAGTCTTGTCCATCTTGAAATGATGCTCACCCAGCTAAACACACATCGATAATCGTCAGTAGGATAGGTGGATGGATAGATTCTATCGTGTTGAGGTTTGTACCTGCGCCAGCAGCGTATGTGGGGGCAGACTGCAGACTCAAATTTTTGAGGATCGAGATCAGACCCCCTCGTTGAAATTGAGCCGCCCCCGTCTCCTTGGAGGCTTATGATGAAGTCCTGAATGCTATGGACTCGTATTGGAACGAATATGGGCATCGTTCGCCCTGATGACAAAACGCATCGCGAACGGGAGTCCAAGAGTGCAGGATTCCACAGATACGTTCCCACGACAGGCATGCGTGGCAGTGTCAGCTCTCACGAGCGTCTATAAAGGTGTGGGGGTGTTAGCTCCAGGTAGATGTACAAAATGTGATCGTAAAAAACCATTTCCAAGATAGTGAAATGTTGAAGGAATGACCTCAGACCATGTGTTTACATGTATTTATGTCGAACATGATTGATATCCCACCGAGTCGTCTCTGAGCCTCCCCATCTAACATGAAATCCTTTTACATGTAGTCTGGTCCTTTAACGAGAGTCCATTGTCATCTCAGTGAGAGTAAAAGACCTTTTCATCGTTTTCTGCGGCGATAACGGTGGTATTTTGCCTCGCCCAGTGATTTACGATGCTATTATTATGGTAGAATAACATTGCTTCTACTAGCTGGGCTGCGTTGCGCCACTCGTGTGGAGACGGTGGACACCATCAAAGAGGTGTCGAACTACGGACTCCATGTTGTCTTCAACAATTGGGCCGGAGATTTTCCATCGTAAGGGTGAGATGTGAAGTGCTTGATGCATCTCAAACTACCCACAACCGTTTACCCTATGCCGGACACAGCTTACAAAACGGAGTATCGACGTTGGTCACAAATTTGAGCCAATCATATATTGTTCGCCAATCCTCAGTTGATAAATGTCGGGGCTCGCTTGAGCTACGGAACATGACATCCGGTCGCCAAAGTCCTCCGGAAAAGTGTGGGGGGTTCTGCGAAGTTGCCCAACAATGGTCCGATCTTTGATTGACTGTAGTAGACAGTTGGGCCGGCCAAATGAGAGATTGTGCAACAGACTTTTATGAGTCATCTCCCCCTACTGTAGACTGGAAAGATTCGAAATTCACGTCAAGGAGGGACTGGCTGCGTAAGAGTTTCGACTATCAGTCAATGGAAAAATCCATTGGAGTGAGAAACTTATCGAGGACGAATCCAACGGCACAAGGCAAGAGTAAGTGGGGATCAGAGTGCCGTCGCAGGGACGGACTGCTAGGGCAGAACAAACTCTTAGCGACGCGTGTGAGTCGGACAGATCGAGTGTTCGGGAGTCAGCCCATCGAGGTCCGAGGGATGGATACTATCATTTTATGGTCTGTGCCCGTCCCAGCAGCCTATGTGAGGGCAGAGAGCGGATCAAGTTTTATGGCAAATGAGATACTCTCGTTCTGAGAAGGGAATTGCGCTGTCGCTGTCCCCTTGAATGTTTCACATTGAAGACCTGAATACTATGGGCCCGTATTGGAACGAATTAAAGCGTTGTGCACCCTGATGACAAAACGCATCGCGAATAGAGTGCAACAGTTAAGAGTACGTTCCCACGGCATCCAGCAGATCTGCGGTCTCTGCCGGCTCCCGATTAGGCAGGACACGGATGCTACTCTTGATTCCTGAACTCCCCACTTAGCTCTACTTACCTAGACGTTACTCTACCGGCGCGACTGGCTACGGTTATTATTATGAACCAAGTTGAATGTAAGTGACGATTTCGAACTACACTGTTTCGTTGATGGAGGTTCCACAAGTGCTTGCGACTGGCTGATGCCCTTCGACCAGGGCAAGCTCACGTCTCAAGATTGATAAACTGACGACTGATGTTTCTATCTGCCCTCGCGGAAGTAAGTTGACGTAATGGCGCTGATGATCGGAATAGTGCCCAAGATCCTCCTTACATCTATTTCCCCTCGAGGACCTACAGTTGGATATGCTAGATGTAGGATCGCTGAATGGAATCCATCATTCGTCGTTCCGTTTCTCGGTTTTGGCGCCATATTGGAAACTAGACTGATAGCTCCAGTTTGGGTGCGCCCGCGATCAACTTCCCTGTCTTTGTATCAACACCTGTGTGGTCTTCGGGTACTACTTGCCATCTCCCCCTTGCACAATGGCTGTCTTTGTGTTCGTTGCGCGTAACGGCGCCTTCTTTGACAAGAGTTCAAAGTTTCATGTCTGGTTTCAAGGCTGGTTCACTTCGGAAGTTGGCTGGTCAAGGTTACAATAATGTGTCACTCACTTCCCTGATTCAGAGCAAAGGATTCTTATAAATAGGCGTCACTGGCTGGGATTGCCCCTCACGATCGTTTCGTACCACAGCTTGCCTCTTCAAATCTTGCATACAATATGCCTGCCCAAATTCTTTCTTGTTCTATTCTTGGCGACATCACTGCTGCTTCCTTGGAGGACAAACCTCAGGTTAAGCCAGGTTGTTCCGCCTCTTTCACAGACGGCATGGATGTTCTTGACTTCATCGACGAACTCCGCAGTATGCTTCATACGATTGACAATCATGCCGCAACACCTGACAAGGCTTCAATCCAATACTGCCTTGAGCTCGACGAAGCCGAAGCACAAGACGAGGAGGACATCACTGAAGGCTGGGTCCATGGGAGACCACAGCGATTCGAGCCTCCACCGAGCTACCAAGATATCTATAGCGAAGATGATGAGTGCCCTTTCTCAGATGAGGAGCTCGATCGGCCGGTGTCGATGCTATCACGCCGGGCCATGTACTGGGCATGTCGCCGTTCCGATCGTATTCGCGATGCAGCTCGTGCTAGACCTGTTCCTGCCTCCATCCCGCTTTCTGAGTTCGAGGATCCCGAGAGCCCGATCCGCCCATCGGCGCACGCCCTCGGGAGAAGATCACATCTCCACCAAAGCTGGACTATGGAGGATCTCGAAGATTACGAGCCGGATTCTGAGATTGAATCTGATGCTTCGTCAGAGCCTTCTATGCAGTGGTCAGACGATGAAGAACTAGAAGAGCCTGCAGCTTTGCTCGACTTCTTTGCGTCATGCACAAAGGTTATTCGGATAGATCTCGCTGATCGGAGTGACAGCGAAGACGATGACTCGCTGGATACTATCGAGGAGGGTGAAGAGTTAGAGGATGTAGGTGACTTGATGGAGTACTTCAAATCATGCAAACCGTCGTAGGACGGGACGGTGTGAGGTGGATTTGGGACAGATTGTCTGGGATACCCTCTTCGTTCGACATGGGACAAATCAGTGTTTTCTTCGCTTCGTTCACATTTGTTACTTCTGGGTTCAACTATACACTTATCAACATCATCTCAAAATCAAAATTCGGATTCATAAACGCAACATTGCAAGTTCACCGTTCATATCGTAGATGGCTGCGGTGCTTGGTGACGGTCTTATCTTTGTCTGACTCCTAAGCTTTGCAGTTCGTCCCTCCTTCAGCGCCTAGCGTAGGGGTGCACTGTGCTTCCTCGTGTTTCACAATATGCAATGTGTAAATGAAAGATTTTGGAAATATCACGCAAAGCACAGACATTGGCGGAGGAATCATTAGTGGTCACAAGCCCATACGTCTGCTACATGTTATGAATAAATAGCGAGAACACTTGGATGTGGGCAGCGGAAAGGACACTGGCTCGAACGGCAAGATATAAATGTGGCGCCTTGCGAGACTGTCAGGGTTATTGACTTCGGGCCAATCCTGTGAATTCCGCAGCAGTTCAACATCGGCAAAGTGCGATCGATGGGCGGTCCTGCGAGCTCTGCGCCGGATTAAAAGGGTGAAGACTTCAGGTCCCCATCCCCGTGCTCTCAACTTCCAGTTTCTTTACTGTCCTCCGAGCCTAAGAATCCGCCCTCTAGTCCGGTTTGCCACGCCTTCGGCCAACTCCCTGCTACGACCATTCACGAATCGGAGGGTTATCACGACCAACGACCCCTCATGTTTGGACGGCAATCTGCTAATGGAGGGGGGAGAGGGCCCCAGTTCCCTTCAATTCCTCGAAGGAGGATGGAACTTACCAGATCATACGCTCCGGACTGGTACCGTAGAAAAACGTTTAGCAACGGTGTTGTCGATGCTGAATGTGTGTTGTCAGGATTCTGGTGATAGTGATCACGTACGTCCTCGGTGTGTCTGGCCAACCCATCGGCTTCCTTACGCGTTTTGGGCAGTGGATGTTTCTACTTTCTTGATAGCATTCATGGTTACTGGAGGGAGTTTTCCCTTACTGAGCCATCGTACGCATAGCCCTAGCGTATGTGCTTTGATATGCAACTGACCATGTTTCTAGTATCCAACACACGTACGCGTAAATTCAATGTTCGCAGTAGTCTGGGCTCTCATTGTCTTGGCATCGGATAGCTTCACAGAGAAGGAACGAGTACCGGTAAGCCTCTTTACTATCTCTGCTTGAATCCCTTCTTTAGCGTGCTCTATTCACAGAACTGGATGCTAGGGGTATTGGCGCTGGTACTCCCAGCTGTCCTTATGCCTGTCATCAACGCGATGACTATTCGAAGTTGGTGGGACTGGCACAACTCGTGGCTTGGGCGTGAGTTAAATTTACCGTGGCATTTTCTAAGCTCAGCACAAGATCTTCTATGTTTTGCCTCAAATTCACATGCCAGTACTCCTGAGTTTGTCATTGACTGCAGTACTCACACAAACAGTGAAGGTGACGGTTGGCCGCCCCCGACCGGGTGAGTTCATTCGTTGAGCATTCACCCCTTCGACATAGTCTCAAATCCGTCGCCAGATCTGATTGCAAGATGCCAACCGAAGCAAGGGTCACAGGATACCTCCCCTTATGGCCTGGTGACTGCGTCTATTTGTACGCAGACCGATATGTCAAAACTGAAGGATGGCTTCCGGAGCTTCTGGAGTGGTCATTCGAGTTGTAAGTTGCATGTTGTGTGTCTCAAGGCCCCAATTGTAATTAGCCCTTCAGTGTCCTTTGCTGGACTTGGATTCCTCAGTTGGTTAGTTGTCCAAACGGCCATGAAGAGTGCTGGTGTAATTGTTATTCACTCATGGTCTTCCTCAGGTATCTCGCCGGAAAACTGCGCGTTTTTGATCGCAAGGGCCATACTTTCAAGTCATTCTTAGCCATAGCGCCTCTAACTGGTGCGATGCTCGTCGCAATCAGCCGTACAATGGACTACAGACGTGCGTAGTTTTTCATGGATCCATTCATCACAGCATACGGCTTAATCGTGCTGAATCCTATAGATCATTGGCATGACGTTCTCGTGGGATCGACCGTTGGCTTGCTCCTGTCCTTCTTTGCATACCATCAATACTACCCATCACTCGCATCATCTTATTCGCATTCGCCATTCTCCCCTCGGATCTATCCTGACGAACTCCGGATCCACCGGCACGCTCCTTCGTCTGTTCCACTCATAGGTGGATACATGGATCATACTCCGGACGTGGAGGGAGGAAGCGGCTATGACCATGAGAGGGAAGGTCCAGTGCCTCCGGTTACGGTGCCAAGGGACGCGGGTTCGGAACCTGTCCCCCTCCATCACATCGGTCAACAATGATTGCCAAAGGATGTCTTACGTTCATGCCCTGATTTGTGCTCTGGATAATGCATGATTTGGACTAATTCATGACTCCACTTCGTAATGGGTTTTCTGCTTGATGATGAATCTGTCTTAATACCGTGGCCTCGTGTATACGTGGCAGCGCTATCTCGTTACCGTACATGAGGGGATCAACTTTACTTGGTTGTTGTCGTTGGGCAGATGGAATCGGGTCTGGGGATTTGCGTCGTGATGAAATTATGTAGCACCTCTTCCTGTCTCCCTATGTTCTCATCTGCCTAAGTCTCGCTGGGTGTTGTGCCCTTGTGTGTCGTCACTGTTGCCCTTGACTTTTGATGAATCCCGCTCGTCTTGAAATACCTTTGGTCTTCAACCCCATGAGACAGTTGAACTTGGCTGAGTTCCAGTGCGGTGGCGGCCTAGGACGGTTTGGAGTTCTTTGTCTTCTGATACGATTCCGAATCGTTGGTAACATTCCCGATATGTGCGTGTCCGGTGCGGAATTGAGCTCTTCATTTACTTGGTTGATAACCCTTGTCAATAGAAGAACCCAAAAATGTACAATCAGTCGCATCAATGGACTATGTATATTGGGCAGTGCTTGGGTGGCATACAGCGAAACTTCACTGCTGTACACTTGCAGTTCCATGAGAACTTGGTGTGTGCCTGCAAACTTCAGGCAAGCGCCAAGGAGTGTGACGTCTATGAATGCTGTGTCAACAAGGCTTACCTGGTCAATTGTTACCGGAAGCTTTGAATAGTGCATCACGTCACGGGTTAGGACGACCGCTTGAACTTGCGGTTTATGATGCTGGTGTATATACTGTGTCCTGCCTGACGAATACCTCTACAAGAAATAGGTACGAAACACTCGGGGAAAGGATACTGTATAGATCACAGTAATTGCTCAATGCATGATGAGGGCAGTCGGCATGCGGCTGCGTGGCCTAATTTTGCGCGCGTCGACAGGTTTCAGGAATTGTTATGAACCGATGCGCAGATGGTCAAAAACCAGTATAGTATCTTGAACAGCCTCACCATTTATGCAGTTATTAGGCCGTTCTGCCAGTGCTGGGTGACGAAAGCCAGGTGGCGAGCCCATGGTTTTCTTGTTATGATTTGTTTGAACCGAATGTGAATTCCAAAACCAACCAACCTATGTATTGACATACTGTTTGCATCCGTCAGTGGCGGATGCTAATGGGAGTTCAGGCTGCCATATTATGAGGGTCAGTCGCGACTGGGGTGAAATGCCCCCCAAATCTTCCCCTCACATCAAACTTCCCCCTCAAACACCACCAAACGCTTCCTCTCACCATGCCCAAAGCACCTTCTGCCCTTAAGACTGAGAAGAAAGAGACCGCAAAGCGGCCCGCTAAGAAAGGTGTGTTAACGTTATCGTGGGCTGTTCAGGCCAGGTCACTGTTGGTGACCGTTGCAATCTTCAATGCTCATATGATAACTTGCACCGTAGAGGCTGGCGAGAAGAAGGACAAGAAGCCCCTTACACCGTAAGTCATCATACTTTCACTATGGAGCATCGTTGCGTGTTATCAGCGCGTTTTTTCCCTTCAACCCCTCTGTTGTTGACTCTGGGCGATTACTCATCGCATCCCCCGACCATCTAGGTACATGGCTTTTATGAAGGAGAAGCTCGCTGAATACAAGGAAAAGCATCCTTCTGCCTCTCACAAAGAGGCGTTCTCTGCGGTGCGTCTTTTTTGCTCTTTCGCTCGATCAAACCCCCTCCGCATCATGTTTCCGCAATCTGCTGCCATCTGGGTGCATGTTTTATTATTACATCTTCACCACTTTGTGTTGTGTCTCCCGAGATGCTCGTTGTGGCCTGCGCCTGACTATTGGTGAGGTTGGCGCTGCAACATAGTTTGCTCCCGGGCAACACGTTTTCATTGCCGAGCGCTATCAACTTAACATGACTTTGCTCTGAAACATTTTTCAACACCTACTGACTCGGCCAACATTATCAGGTTGCTGCCTCTTGGTCGCAGTCCGACGAGAACCCCAACAAGGGTAAAGAGAAGAGGACCCGTGCACCCAAGGCTGAGAAACCTAAGGCCACTTCAACCAAGAAATCTACTCGCAGTAAGAAAGGAGGCAAGTCTGAGGATGAGAGCCTTGGTGAAGAGGATGAAGACATGGATGAGGTTGAAGATAAGCCAGCTAAGGCCAAGAAGCCAGCCTCGAAAGCGAAGAAGTCTAAGAAGGATGATGAGGACACAGAGGAATAAATCATTCTGCAGGTTTGTACAATACTGTGCCATACGTTCCTCTTATTAACCTAGCGTTCTATTCTGCCATAGCCGATCAGTTTTATGGTTCCCGTCGTGTATCCGCAGTTCCCGGAGTGACAGCATCTATGTTCACTATCGCGTTTCCACAGTACTATCTTCGCTTTCTCCCTCCATGCTCGTCTCGCTGTGGATGCCCTAGCTCTATCAACACATGTAATGACCTGGGCGTGTCCTTCTGCCTTTAACTTATCTTCTTTTTCGCGCTGGTTCCCTGATGCCTGTCTGTTGTGTTGATCATTGTGCTCATGCCCTATGATATGCCCCTTGGGTCTATTATGCAAAACTTATTGGCCATCTAAGAGTGACTTCGATCTTAAGCGCCTTGTGGACTCCGATGTTGTTTGCTGCTATCCATCGATCGTCGATCACACTACACTTCCATGAAGTGCATAGGCTAAGGGATTCTGGATAGGAAAGAATGTGCTCGGCTACTTCAAACTATCGGGGCAGTGAGTTCACCGTTAGTACTGTTGGCCTCATGCTCATGGGAATTCGGATTTGATTGCACATAAGGCAAGTCACCGTAGATATCCCTATCTGGCTGCTGGAGGCAAGTTTCCACTCGCGTTACAGGTAAGCCTCGTGTATGGAAGGGGAAGGGCGGAGATTAGGTGTCTTATCGCCCCGCTACCTGTGATCCCCTTTCCTCCTTGGTGCTTGTGTTCCTGTGGCGAACTATATCTCCCGAAGGCATTCCCACGTCGCGTCCGGCGAAGCCATCATTGTAACTTCGAGATCGACGTTGAGGACTTCATTCACACATGAAGTTATGCGTGCAGTGTGAAGGTGCGCTTGTTGTAATCGTGCTCTTTGAATTATTTTTTTGGTGTGGGCTTTGCTCATTCCAATCGGTGCTCCTGTCTAGCTAAGCGTCAGAAGCGGCATCTTCATAGAGACTGACAAGGTCTGGCAAAACGCATGATCATCAATGGGAGCAATGTTCCTCGGAGGCCTTCATCTGCAAGGGATCAACTTGGTAGACACCCTCATTAGCGCTAAAGAATTCACGCAAGCATCTTTGTAGGCACTGATTTCTTCGATCAATCCTTTCATCGTCGCAAAGTGCCTTTTTCCCCATATGTAACGGAGGTTACCCGACTCTCACTATGCAATGCTCCACGTCACCATTTTGGACTTGATTTTTGTCCCGGCCAACCGGTAATGGTTTTCACCTCATTCGACGCATGTTTTCTCGTGCAAGGGAAGAATAACTGTGTAATCGAGGGCTATATTCATTGCCACTCCAAATCTCTTCTAACTTTTATCTCAACTCAACTCCGAAGGCCCTGCAGGATCGTTATGTACAGCCTTTGACCTGTCAGACTAGTTTTGAAATCTTCGTTTCAGACACGTCCAGGGCGTTTCAACTCTGCGTGTTTAAGTCCATAGCGGAAGCGACCTATTCAGCAACGGTGTGACTGGCTAACCATTTGTCTGCGAGGCGAACCCCTTTACCCAGCTGGTGCAGTCCAGTCCATCGAAGGATAACGTTCCTGATGCTACACCCGAGGTCAACACAGCTGAGCCAGAATTTGTCATTATGTGTGGAAGCACAGCGTAATTCTAGATCAGTGATCCGTCGATTCGCGATGCTGTCTTCGGGTTGGGCCGCCTTCCCGGAGGGGCAAGAAAGAAGACGAAGACGTGATATCTATCCCGAGTTTGTTGTTTTTATCGTGTCGTCAACACTTCGCATTAGGCATGGTTTTTCTGGAGTGACACCTATCGTCTTGTGAAACGTTCTCGAGCGTCTTCGTAAATCTCTAGCAAACCCCGCAGCCTGACCGGGATATCAAGGAATTTCCCGCTGGATCCCACGGGTTCTCGGCCTGCGAATTGATGTCCTCCCAAGCAAGAGCTCTTGCAAACAGAGAAATTTTGCTAGCTCTACAGGTTCTTTTCTGTCCCTCTTCGCGCACATCATCCAGACACAAACCCCACGCGTTTCAATTACAATTGAACCCCTTGCGCACAGCCTCGTATCTGATTGCAACGTGATCTGCTTTGTTGCATTCAATGGCGCTGGGCGTTTTCCCCTGTCTGCTTCATTAGTGGCAGCATGGCTTTGTTCGATTTTCTGTGTAATCTCACTGCGGAGGTGACTTGCATGTGTACTTGTAGGCGCGAACTTGATAATGAGTGCGAGTCGGCGGGTTCTGCATTGGGGGACTCGTGAACCTCGCTTCAGCCAGCAGCATCCCGGGCATTTACTGTACATGTGTGGTTCTCCTGTCAAGTCAAATTCTCCCATCGTGTCGCAGTCTCATCGCCTTTACATCCGTGCCACGTACCTTCCCGTCACTAGGTCGTGCTTAACCCAAGTGCCCGTGCCCGCCAAGGCTATCTCCACACTACCACACCGCCGAGATTCTACCGCCTGCGCAGGGGTCGCTTTATTCCGTATGGATGCTGCGTATATGTATGAAAGAACCGTTGAAGCGTCTCGTTTACGGCCAATAGTACATTCACCCGAATGTCCGCTTCCCTTGGACGTACTCATGCTCGGAGTATCTTGATTTCTCTAAACTGATGAATGCCGGATTTCGAAAGCCCTGACTCGCCCTGCTGCCCACGCACGCAGTGCTTTCATTAACACGGCCGTACGGCAACCATAAATGCTTATATTTCATCTGGAGTACGTCAAGAATCTGTAATGTTCTTCCCTGGTTATTCTCGGATCTTTGGGCAGTCTAGCTACTCCGTTAGGATCTGCTCCCGAGATGACTCAGTGCGCGCCTTCGTCATGGGCTAATTGTAGCTTGAAATGATGCTCCTGAACATGATATCCCTCATACTACTCAACACGTTCAGCCGCCTCCTTTGTCTGCGCAGATCGCAGATGCACAGCGTTACGTTCATTACATATAAAGCTAACCCGCATTTTAACGATTTGACCAAGGGCTGTATGCTTTAAAACTGACTCGCGGTGTGTTTCCTTCCCTTTATCCTACTTCACTACAGTGCGTAGCCACAAAGTCCAGAGACAACCTCACACTTGAAGAAAGCGTTTGACGCGTCAAGTGTTTATAGGTCTTTGCAGCCCCCGGGCGTGTGTGTCCTGAAGCCCGATGTCTATTTCAGACCGTCGAATGAACGCGATTAAACTCAACAACGCAGCTCAGCGCTATGGACTTCAGTACTCATGGGTTCGTGACTTTTTCTGCTCTGTATTTGATATTTCTCATTTGATATGGCCCCTTCATGCAACAGCTTGAAGTGCCGTACACCGCACCTAATGGAGTAATCGTACACGAAGCACAGCTATTCGGTGGGTTGAAGGAGCTGAGATATTCCAAGATTGGGACTAACGGCTTTACCCCTAGTTTTTGGCTATATATTCGTCGGGAGGGACCGTAAGAGGGGAGTTGCCCGAGACCACGCGGCCGCTGCGTTCTTCCAGGCATTCCCTCAGTATTTGTCCTCACAACCAATGTTTCCCAACGCTTATCTTCATGGACACTTTTGAATCTCATTCCATCAATATCCCAGGACTTTTTCGCACCCTAGACACTTTACTCATTCTTATAATTCCTCATTTTACTCTGCTTCATTCTTTTGCGATGTCAGGACATGCTCATGTCCCCTCTTCGTTTGGATCTGAATCACTGTAGCACGAATTGCGCATTACTGTGTCTTTAGTTTTTCTTCATGGATTATATCTTTTCTTTGCATGTGATATATGCGAGGGGTATCATAGCTTGCACCGGGAATAAACGTGGCGCTCTGATACCAATGAAGCATTTCCTATATCAAAATGGTCCCTGGAAGGGCCATATCATGACCCAGGGGCTTCCACACCAATGCCTTTCTTTCCTGACGAACTTAACCATCGAATAACGGTCGCACCCTGGAGTTCTGGGCTGTAATGGTTGTCTGAACAGTATATAGTCCTATCCATCAGCGCTAACAACAGCCCCGTTAACCGGATGTCTGTAATAGCCGAGAGGGATTCCTACACGCTTACTTTCCGAGTTTGGGGCGTACTATCGCTCGCTACTCCACTTCAAAGACCCGGCTACATCAGGCACAGGTGGCTGGGCAGGGAATGCTTGGAACGGAATCGGGGATGGGATACTCATGGCGTTCGGAGTGCTCGCGAGCGGGAGATCACAAATTGGGGCTTGTTCTAATGTTGTGCCTGTAATCCATTGTACATATCTGTCATACGCCGACCGGCAAGGATTTAAAATGGACTTATGTTAAGCCCAACAAACTGCACTGCACTGGCGATCAATACGAAAAATTAGGAGTCTAAGGTGGATCGATCCACGTGAATGTGTGGCGGCTAAGGGACCCGTGAGAATTTTCATCAACCGTTTCAGTCACAAACACCGACGAAGGAGATGCCTTGCAACAAGTCTCACTTCCCCCTTCTGGGCTTTTGCCAGTTGGGGGACAAGTCCAGTTGCGGGTATCTGTGTCCTTTGTTCACTATTGTGCGTGGATCCTTCTCCAGATCGAACCAAAGTCGATCATTCCGAAATTCTCCCTTTGATCAAAGAATGACTCGAGGCTTCTTCCACGTAATCGGGCACAGGAGTGGCTCATTTCCGCTCGGTTGTAGCCGAATTTTCCTTGGCGGAAGTCGAATTCTCGATGACTCGAATCACCGTGTCGTCGCTTCCCCCTCTCTCATCAGTTAGGGGTATGTAGATTGCATCAGAGGTCGCGCGCGTTGACCGTTCGCCAAATTAGCGCGTTACGCAAGTCGGAATTCTATGGTTGCTCGGCTGTTATTCCGACATTTCCACAAAACGCGTACACCTATTCCGTTTCCGTTTCCTGGCCTCCCTAAGTTATAAATCCCACAATGTTGGGCATCATGGTCGCCTCCAAACGACCTCAGCCAAACCATTACATAACACGCCTGCGCTTACTATAACCTGAAAATGCACTCAACAATGCACTCAACAATGCATGTCGTTCCTGTTCCTGCTCCAGTTTGTTAGTACACGTTCTTTTTCTAAGGGTTCCAGCCGACATGGGATCCTTGCCTAGATCCGAGTACCAGCGACAACACAATCCAATTCAATACTTTCATGCAACGTTCCAGACTTCCACACAATTGGGTGAGCCTTCCATGAATGTCATGCACTGATAAGAGCCCTTTGACCCAATGCGCATTCGTGCAGGTTGATCTTCAATTGCAAGGCCCAAATCACACAATAGTCCATCAATCGCAGCTTTACAGTGGGGTTTATCCCTTTCCTCAAAAACAAGATACTAACTCCTTTTTGCAGTTTTTGACCTCGTATTCTGCGGCCAAGGAAGGAAGAGAGGACATGCCCGGAATGAAGCGGCATGCCAATTCTTCCGATCGTTCCCTGAATATGATCCTCGACACCATTGATGACAGTCCGTCGTTGCTGCTTCATTGTGTTGACATTGGGCGGGACTGCACTGCCTCTTATCATCGATACCTCTCCGCCGTCACGCCTTGTTCGCTATTTTGATACCCATCCCATGTTATGGACAATGCATATATTTATGTGCTTCGTTTATACCCACAGTATCAAACACTCAGTGTTTGGTGTTGAGCTTCACATGACTGTGTATTGGTGCTGTGAGGATTTTGGGCCGAATAAGTAGGCTTGCGCATAACACTTGCCAGATGGCAGCGCAGTTCCGTTAGAAGGGCGATGTAGGGCTGTGGTCGTCTTACAGCACAGGTTGCTCGGTGGCGACACACTGACTCACTCGTCCCCGAACTTGATTATAAAAAAGCGACAAATTGTTGTAGTGAGCATCACGTGTCTCACCATCTCCCATTGATTGACATCAATTATATTGTTAACATCAATGTTGACATCTTACCGGCGTAGTTTGCACCTCTATCCGAACATCCGCTCTCTTTCAGGAGCTTGTCGCGTTCCAATAACAGTCAGGAACACTGCCTAGCAAGGATACGTGGGAGGAATCACGCGAAAGGCCCTTCATTGATGGCTGTGGCGGCGCGTTTCAACAGTCGTTTCAACCATTTCTGACAAGCGCCGCGCGCAAGGCCTTTCCATGAAGGCCATATCCCCTATGTGTTTTGAATGAATATCGGGGATACTTGTCCTTTTGGCGCATCGACCGCCTAACCAGCAGTTCCGAACTGCCGGCTGAACCTCCCATCACTTCACAACCCATTTGCGCCCTCTGTTGCGAGATTTGTTTACTTATTGGGATAGGGGTAAAAGCCCATTACGTGAGTGCTTCGATGTCAATCTGCGCTCCTTGGGCGTCTCGCTGACTAAATGAGGACGCTGTTGATTCTTGAATCCGCTGTTCTTTCTCGCACTCCTCTCCCATGTGGAGGGTTGACATATGGTGTTTGTTCCTTTGCACATGTACAGTCTCATTTGTGCCTCGTTAGATAAAAAGCCATGAACATAGATCGGAGTTTTGCCCATTCCTCTATTACTCTCGAAGACGCTGCAAACCCAGAACACATTTCCATCCCTTTGACTGGTCTCTCGCCCGTTCAAAGGCTGCGCAGCTCCACGAAAGTCTCCTTCCAGGCACTTCCACAAAAATTCTCACTTCTCCATTGTTGTACTTACGAACAATGTGTGAGTGATCATCCTCTTTATACGCCAGCTCTTAACCGAGGGATGATGACAGCTCGCAACACCAACATTGTACACCTCAATACTGCTGCGCAACGCTTCGGGTTCAGTTACACATGGGTAAGCCTCCAATTATCTACCTATTTGCTCTACAACGTCCTTTACACTGCTGTAGGAAGACCTTGCACATCCAGGCATAACTATGACTTATGAATCTCGCTTGCGTGGTGAGCGGAGCTGTCGTTTCTCTGTGGCGCGACACTTATCTTTGTATGCGGCGTTGCAGTTCTTGGACAGGTGTTCATCGGCACTGGACTGAGGAAGGCGTACGCCCGCGATGATGCAGCCCACAGATTCTTTGAGGCTTACCCGCAATGCCACCCCCGAAACTATTGACGGAACTTACCGGACGTCCCCCCCCCTTGTATGTCAACATTAGTCCTATCTCGACACGTCGCCGACGCTCCTCGAAGCCTTAGTAAATAGCTGGTGCTCAGAGTGAAGGACACCCATGCCTAGACCATTTGTGGAATCCTCGGACTTGGGCTTCGTGTCTTACATACGCTTCTGTAATCGCTTCTTTTAATGAACACTTCCCCTTTCGTCCCATCATCGGTGGACAGCAGCCCCCCGGCGCTGTGAACCATCCCTTTCATGTTTATACCGTGCCACCCAACCGAGGTCCGGTCGTAGATGATGGTTATGGCCCGTCAGACTGGTAGCTGGCTCACCCTGCGTTTACAAAGACCGGGCCAGGGTGGGTGAAATTTATGCTGCACACAAAAGCTGACAGGTGGAACCAGCTATGAGAGGATTTATCTGGAAAAGGGCAGACAAGTACTCTGAGGGAACTGGAAAAATTTAAATAAACGCGTTTTTGGGAAAGAGTGAGAAAGAAAAAAGGAAAATGCAATTGAATGGCGAGCGAGGCTTCAGGAGGAGGCCGAAAAAATATTGCGCTCGCTCCGGGTTCAATTTGGGCCGGCCCTAGATTTGATTTTCTTGAGCTGAGGTAACGGGCCAACGCTTGCATGCCAGGAGTCTGATGGATATGGATGTGTCAAACCATTAGGTGGGGTTACGTAAGCAATTGGCCGAACGGCTCCATCCAGTGCGTTTGGCACACGTGGGGAATACGTTTGAACTTGGTTGCTTACAAAGGATGAAGTTAACTTACAGGCTTCTGTGATGGGTGTCGATAAGAGCATCAAACCTCTATTCCAATAGGCTCTCTCTCAATTGTTGTGTGTGACACGATTCCTCAGCCAGACCGATGTTCGGACGCTTTCTTTCGAATCTCGTCCATCACATTTCGTTCTAGGGTACCTTTCCGTATCTTGAACGCTCTATTCATTCTTATAATGCTCCATTCCACTTCTGCCTCAGCTGTTTTCCACAATTTGGGCATGCTCCGATCTGAATTGCTGTGAGCGTGGATTAGATACTACTGTTTCTCTAGTTTTTCTTTAGAACCTTTTCTTCAGCAGCCACGAGGTTGTGAACTTGATGAATCCAAAAGGATGAATAGATAAGCCCTACTAACGTGGTTCTCTGATACCGAGAGTGGGTTTCTTACACCGAGAGGGAGGAAGTTCATGCAAAGATAACAATTCAACGACCGCGAAGTCGTTAAACTAGAAAGGTAAAAGCAAAGCGAACAGCTAGTACGCACGAGAAAGTGAAAAAAAAAAAAAAAAAAAAAAAAAAAAGAAAAGAAAAGAGAGAGAGAAATGAAAAAGGGGCGGCAATGTCGACCAGGGGGTAAAAGCTCAGGCGGCACCAGGGCGGGCGTCGTGCCGACCCCGAGCCCAGGGCCGTCGACCATGAGCGCCCAATTGCCATCTTATAAAACGCCGAGCGCGGCCTAGGCAATTGGGTTTATGGGTAGTTCCGCAAGAACTAGGACAGTTCACGGGAACATCCACACAGCCTACGCACCGTAGACTAGGTGTCCCACTATAGACTCGCAGAGTCAGGAGGTTCTACCTCTATCTGTCTTCCCCCCTGACGAGGGCGCAGCCCGAGCAGACAACCGAGCCCGGGACCCCCCCAAAATCAAATTAAAAACTAGAGCCCTATGAAACCTACCAATCGCCTGCCTCAGCCCTAACCTCAATACAGTGCCCATGAAACCACAAGTACCACCTCCCTAATGCTCACCCAAATGACGCCCTAACCCACCACTAGCCACCGATCATAACCGAAGCCTGGCCTGTCACCTAACGGCTACCCAGGCAGCCCCCGGCCACTATCGGCCAAGATGGCCCAGCAGGAAACGCTCTCCCTCACCCCCTTACCCAATCGCCCTGTCCCTTTATAACTACGCCGATCTGCGTCTCAACCATATGACTCCCCAACAACCCCTCCGAGAGCATATCCACGACACACCCAAACTGCACCATTAAGCTCGACCTGGTATCCCCAAAAAGCGAGTTTCGGATCTCCCGAGCGTTCTGGAGACACCCCCTCTCATACCTCTGCAGCCCCGGCTCCAGTTTCCCCGCGCCCACGATAGGAGTAGGGCCGGGAAACTCCCCCCCCCCAGCCACAGTGGACGAGATCTCAAGGGTAGTTATGACAATGTACAACACACTGACGAAAACCCTGACCAACAACCTAAGTGCGGAAAAACAAAAAATAAAAATAAAAATAATTACCACCTGCCATCCCGCTGCAATAACCTGTACAACCTGTGTGAACTAACCCATACCACAACCAAATGAGCATTACCTAGGCCACTCCTAAATTGCGTAGTCAATTTGCCCGCTGATTTAAACCAGAATCGCCGCTGCCAAATCTCCACCCTGGCATGGCTACAACATCCGGGCAAGAAACCCGCTACACCCTAATATCTCGTAGAATCAACTTTCCCCCGCTAGAATCAAGGGGCACCACTATCCCCCCAGGCCTACCCGTAACACTCTGAACATTTGCCCCCAAAACGCCACTGGTAAATGACCCCCGATGACTAAACAAACCGACCCGACCCCGGCCCACCCCACACGCCGAAATTGCCCCCCACCCGGATCCGGGAAAACCCAAACCCCCCCCTAACCGCCAACCGAAAATACCGACGCATTCTAGCAGCCGGGAATAAAACGGGTAACTCCGCAGGAACTGTGTCAGTTCCCTCCCCCCAACAAGTTCCCCGCTAAACCATGGAGGTAAATATCCCCCTGTTCACCCCATAACCTCTGACAAGGTCCCAGTCTGAACAGCCATCCATACCCCTCCATACAACCTTCCAATCCCTGCTGAGGGCTGAGGACGAACAAATGGCAGCAGCCATAACCAATGTGCCACAAAATTTCGCCGTCACTATAGCTGACCAGGATGAGGAGATCACCCACGACTCCGACTCCGACAATACAGACACCTCCCAACCCAGCCCCCTCTTCGGGAAGAACTACCAAGGAAGCGGTAAAAACCAAGACCCTACTCCAGCATCCGAAAATGAAACGAGGAAACACGCAAGATCACCCACCGCCGCAAGACTCCAGGGCCCTTTAAAGGCCCCCCCCCCGCTTTCTCCCCCTAAAGCGATGAGGCCCCTCCTCACCACCCCCAAAACTTCAAACCCTCCTTTGTGCCCACCCCCGATGTCTTCGACTTTGAGTCTGGAGGCTCAGCGGCTTTCCTAAAAAATATAAACCCCACCGAATTCCCTCCATCCCGGAGCCCAGCCACGGACGGTGATGGATCCCCCATTGCCACGGACCACCCAACCTTCATGCCGGTACTTGCAGAAAAACCCGATGACGGAAGAGATGACCTCAACTGGCTACCTCTCGGCCCTGGCCTAGCCAACTTTTACGCACACGGCCTCCGCCCAGGTCGCCTCCTTGAAGGAGCAAACCCTGACCGTGCCAAAGCCTGGCTAAAAAAGGCAGGTGCCATTCTAGTCCTACCCCTAGATGCCGCCCACAGCGAAGAAAACACCAGCAACTTCCAGACCAACATGGAAGCTTTCCTCGAAAGAGCATTCCCACACCAAGTAGGAGAAGTGAGCATTATCCCCCCTGTCCCCATTGACCTCAGACGTGGCGGAACCCCCCAATACGCTAAACCGTGGGGCTTCTTAATTGATGGCCTGAACCCCCAATTCGCCGACCTCCTCATACGCGAACACTTATGGATATGCAAGACGTTTGGGTTCATCGCTATCGGCACTAGATTCAAGCCTTCCTCCTTCATGATTTCAATTGTAGGAATGGGCAACAGGTTGAAGGACGCGAACAACATTAAAGACGCTGTCAAACAAACTATCACCAAATCACCAAGCCCCTTCCGAACATTCCTAGAGGAGGCAAGCATGACAACTGACCAAATAAAGGAAATTGTAGACAGCGTCAGAGTAATCCCAAGAGGATATGCCCCCAACGGAAAGGAATATAACGAAAACACCGAGGAAAAAAGAAGGCCGACCTCGGACAAATCGGTAACCATGTGGGAGCTGCATATAGACCCTCCCTTCAAGACCCTCAAAGAGGCACGAGAAACCGCACACGACCAATGGTCCCATATTTTCAAAATGGCCTCGTTCGTAAGTGAGAGAACCCAAGCCGGACACGCCTTCAACAGACAAAGAGTCTGTAACACCTGTAAAGCCTCCGACCACTTATTCCACTGCTGCCCGATCCACTCTCACTCTGCCTGGAATCAACGGTACCCCAAACAAGATGCTGACATGGAAGCAGATACCGACGGCAATGCGATCCCCTCCAGCTCTAGTGGAGGTCCATTCCCCTCCCTCCCTCGACACCTGCCTTATTCAAACTTCCAACGTGGAAGAGGACACGGCCGTCCCCCCACCCAATATGGCTCACGATTCCTCTCCTTCGTCCCTCCAAAATACAACTTTGACTGATATGCACCTTAAAAGGATTTCACCCCGAACCGTGGACAAATGGCAAAATAAATTAGATAACCAAAAGAGCCTCGCTCACATCACGTAGTAACTCTGCCCTGTCCTGTAAATACTTCCCTCACAATCACTACGATTCAATTGAAAACCCTAACTAACCCATAACCTCCCCTCCTCCCCACACCCTACTGAGCCCACACTTACTGAGCCCACGGGCGACAGGAAAGCCCAGTAGCTTGATCCCAAAATGCCCGAAAACACCCCGAACCCCGGCTGGCAATCGGATCGGGAAACACCAAAATGCCTGTAAAAAGATCAACCCCCCAAAGCCCAATCACACGGTGAATACCCAACTGGTAAATAGACCACAGCCCCTGGTGCCCAGAGGGCAGAGAATTTATACCGTTTTATCAAAACCCAATGATGGTCACCAGGGATCGGAAAACGGACCAAAAACCCCAGCCCCACATATACCACTCCGCCTAAGAGGCGGAAGACCCCCAACGACCCCAAACGGCCACCTCTCCATTGCGGCCCTCAACATTAGAGGAGCCAACAGTCCACAGACTAAACAAAAATGGAACCTTATCACAAATAAAATGAAGAAGGATAAGATCGCTGTGATGTGCGTATCAGAAACCCACGTTGACTCACCCCAAGAAGACCTACTAGCCAACCGGTACAACAACGAATTCCACATCATCCACTCCTTCGACCCGACCCACACCAGAGCCGCCGGCATTGCAATTATCATCAATAAAAGCATCATAAAAAGATGCCAATGGAATCGACCAACCTTATCCCTGGACGAGCCATCCTCACCACGATCGAATGGCCACCTGGCAACGAGATCACACTATTAACAATATATGCCCCGAACACTAGAGGGGCAGGTACTGAGAACGCTGCATTCTGGCAGAAACTAGGTGAACTCACAGAAAACATCCAGGTCGACATTGCCCTGGGTGACTTCAACGTTGTTGAAGAAGCAATCGACCGTTCCCCCCAACATGAAGATGCGAATGCCGCAGTAGTGGCCCTAAAAGAACTCCTCTACCTCCACGACCTAAAAGACGGATGGCGCCAAGTGTCACGACCCGGCGTTCCCCGGGGCCAGACGACCTCCTCCCTGACCCTCTCCCACGCCCGAACACTCCCCGCACACTCCGCTCGCCGCCCGTCGCCGTCTAACCACTTCCCGCCACCTCTCCACAACCCCTCTCTTGATTGTCGTTGAACGACCTAGCGGCGCAGAGCGCCGCGACCTGTTGTTCCATGCTTCGCCGCACCTTGTTACCTCGCGGCGAAGGTCACGCTTGACCTTCGCTGTCGTGAACACGTGCTCTTTGTTTGTTTTCCTCTTTCCTTTCTCCGCCCGCAATCTCCGCGAGATCTGGCGACTTATTCCCCATTCAGTTCCCTAGCGCTTATATACAGCTTGTAGCTAATGCTTGTACTGTAGTTCGAAATCAACTAGAATTACCCCTAGAGCTTACCTCTGTCCCCGCGAGACCTCTGACCTTCTAAGTATCGGGACCGCGTCGAGAACGAGGCGCAACGCTCCTCCTAGAGTCGTTGAAGCCGAAATCCCGGCCCTCTCGCCTAAGTAGCCTCGGCCTCGAGATCGGTGGGGTTTATTCCTCGCTAAAGCTCGGTCGTGTGTAGGACGCCTATTCCACTAGCGGGCAACGCTCGGTCGCCTACGGCTACCCTCGGCGAAGATTCGCACGGTTCTGACACCAAGCCAACCCGGCACCCGCAAAAAACTACACCTTTGGACACTGTACAGGAACTCATATGTCACGAATTGACAGGATCTATGCCACAAATGAAATAATAAATAAATCACTCACCTGGAGTATCAAAAACCCAGGCATCCCGACGGCTGACCACCAGCTGATCTCAATAGACATACATGATCCCCGCGCACCACACATTGGCAAAGGCAGATGGGCAATCCCAAACTACCTAGTAAACGACCATGAATTCCTGAAAGGAGCCGAAGATCTTGGGAATGAAGCACTGGACAAAACCAACCAACTCACCGCACTAAATACCCCCGGAGTTCAAGACTGCTTCCTCCACTTCACCCAATCCATTATAGCGTTAGCACGCAAACTCGCCAAAACCAAGTCAGGCAAGCTAAACTCAACTCTTATCCGTCTGGAGAAACGCAGAAACAAAGCTGTCCGGAAACTGAGCTCCCCCCGAACAGCGCGCCAGTTAGAGGAAACCCAATACCAGATCATGATGCTAACTGAAAGGATCCAGGAGGTGGAAAGAACCCGGCATAGGAATAATAAGACCACAGCCAATACAAACAAGCGCCTCTTCGCTGAATCAATAAACAAATACTGGTGCGGGTGGGGGAAAAATAAAAGGCCACGTGACACTATATCTGAACTTCGAATCCCCCACTCTGACCCTCCCCGCTACACCTCCAACTCCTCAGAAATGGCTAAGATTGCCGCAGAACACTACAACGCTGTGCAATCAAGAGACCTCAACTTAATCCCCCCTCAGAAAGAGAACCCTGCATCACCGAATGCCTCTCATCTATCACAACCACACCTGCAACACAAACTGCTCCCATGGCTTCCGGTATCAGCTACAACGAAACCCTAACCGCCCTAAGACAGTCCCCAAACGGTAAAGCCCCCGGCCTCAACGGCATCCCAACTGAACTTTACAAGAAACTCCACGAAAGATGGGCAGCAGAGGCAGATGGCCGTGTAGATATAGTTCAACTCCTCCATAATGTAATTAGTGACATCGAAATGCGAGGTGTCTCCTCCCCACAGTTCACTGCTGGCTGGCTGTGCCCTTTATATAAAAAGAAAGACAAACGAGAAATCGAAAATTACAGACCAATCACTGTACTAAATGCTGAATACAAAATCATGACAACAGCACTCATGAACAAAATAGCGCCAATCGCCCCTAACCTCATAAATAAATGCCAGGCTGCCTTCATAAAAGGCAGAAGCATCCACGATCAGATTGACCTAGTCAACCGCATGATAGACCTGTGCGAAATCATCAGTCAAGACGGTGCAATAGTTGCCCTAGACCAAGAAAAAGCGTACGACAGGATCCGTCACGACTACCTCTGGCGCACACTGGAAGCCACCGGGATCCCACCACCCACCATAAACTCCATAAAGGCCCTCTACTCCAACCCCGGTACCAGAGTGATCCTGAACGGCGAAATCAGTGATGAATTCTTAATAGACCGAGGAGTACGTCAAGGCGACCCACTGTCATGCCTCCTCTTCAACATAGCTATTGAACCCCTATCTGCCATGCTGAGAGAATCCGGTAAAATACAAGGCCTTGAAATCAAAACACCAGTACTGAAAGGTTGCTTACTATTTTGGGGACGGTAACGTTCCGTTCCCCCATTCGCCTCAGGCCTCAGTAGGTCCGTCTAAACATAAGCTTTAATGAGCTGTATATTCAACGGGGTAGAGGTAAAAGGCTACCGGGCCTTTACAACTACTCCGAGGTATATATATGTAATTTACATATCTCGGCACAAATAAATAAAGAAATAAACACATCACTATAATGGGAATTATAGTGATGCAACATAATATAAATATCACTATAATCGGAATTATAGTGAAGTAAGGTTAATCCCTTACAAGTACTCACACAAAAAGTCATTGTCTCCCTATTTGCCGACGACGCCGCGGTCTACCTCTCAAAAAACGACGATGTAACTAACCTATTCAACATCCTCGACACCTGGTGTACCGCCTCAGGGGCTAAATTCAACCAAGGAAAATCCATGGTTATCCCCGTCGGCTCAGCGACATACCGCAAAAACCTACTTGACACCAGAAAACTAAACCCCAACTCATCTAACCCCTTCCACATCGACATGACAATCCTCCAAGACGGCCAGACCACAAGGTATCTAGGTGCCCAGTGCGGTAACCGCCCTACCGGGATTGACCCATGGCCGGACATTATGGCCAAAATCAACACAAGCCTTAAACACTGGCAGAAAACCTACCCGACCATCGAAGGGCGAAAACTCATCACCCAAATGGTCATCGGCGGAATGACCCAATTCCACACCTCTGCCCAAGGCATGCCAGCCAAAATCGAAAAGGAATTAAACACCCTAATAAAAAACTTCATATGGAACTCCCAACTCCCCTCACTCAGCATGAGGACCCTGAACAGCCCTACTAGTGAAGGGGGAAGAAACGTCTTGAATATCCAAGCAAGGAACGAAGCGATTCACCTTATGAAGCTGAAAAAGATCTTAGATAGATCTCCTGACAGACCACCCGCTGCCGACGCTGCCGAGGCCATAATAATTTGCTCACTCCCAAAACACACCCGCGACCAAGAGGCCCACGACCCCCGAATAATCGACGTCTTTACCCAACAGATCTTTAACAAACACCGCTATGTGAGCAAAACCCTCCCGCGCGAAATTAAAGCCATACTCAACACTGGGGCCAAGTACAACCTAGCCCTCGACGATGTCAACCTCCCCCTGAACATCAGGCTGGATCTCCCAGCATGGTACCATATCGGAACAGAAGAGCACGTCAAATCAAGAGAAAATACGCCTGCAGCGAAATGCCTCAGAAACACTCACAACTGCCAGCGCACTGGCGACCTCCTCATCCTAGCGAACATCCTAGACGACCCACAACACAGACGATGGAACAAATCCTGCTCCTGCCCACCATGCACCAACTTCAAAACGGCCGGCTGCAAAAACCCCGAAACCTGCTACCAACTAGCCGACAACATGATATCAAACCTGAAACCCCAATACAACCCCCGCACAGCTCCCATATGCCGCCCTCCCCCCTCGGGTGACGAGAGGGCCATCATCGAATCCCACTCCCTCAACGGCCCCTCAAGTATTAAGGTTATCAAAACCTTCCCCGACCCAAAAGACCACGCGTCAGACTACTTCCGCATTTTTCGGGAAAAGAATAACCAACCCCCCCCTCAGGCTCACCCCCCCAAAGAAACTAAGCACCGATACCGTGGCATACACAGACGGATCCTGTACAGGAAATGGCGAAACTGATGCCAAGGCGGGCTTCGGAGTATGGATCGCCCCCGAGTGCCCAGACAATGCAAGCCTCCCAGTAGATCGGGTTTTCCCCCAGACAAACAACTCCGCTGAGGTACTGGCAATAAACCACGCAATTACCACAACGCCCCTAAGAGCCAGACTCCACATCAAAACCGACTCAAGATGGTGCGTGAACGCACTAACCATAAACCTCGAAAAAGCCGAGGACCAAGACTACATCAGCACTCCCCAACCCCTAGCCATCAAAAATACCATAAGCTCCCTCCGAACGAGGAATGGCATCGTCTCGATCGAGTGGATAAAAGGCCATAACGGCTGCGCCGGAAATGAGAATGCCGATGAACTTGCAACACTGGGATCCACGAAAACCCCCGACAATGGCTCAGTCACCCCCAACCTCCCACTCACCCAGAACGGCGCGAGACTAAGAACCCTGACCCAATCGACTATCACGAAACTAATAACCCGAGAGTCAGCCAAGAAACCCCACAAAAAGAACCACAGAGCAACAGAAAACATGAACCATATCAGAGACGTACTGAGAGACCTAAACTGCCCCACCCCCAACGACAACCTCATTTGGCTCACCATCCTGAAAAACAAGAAAGATCTGAACCCCAACCTCAGAAACTTCCTGTGGAAACTTGTCCATGGAGCCCACAAAGACGGCACCTACTGGAGCAAAATCCCGGGCTACGAAGACAGAGGTCAATGCGTTAAGTGTAACACCCTAGAATCGATGAACCACATTATCTTCGAGTGCCCACACAACCAGGGCCCAAAACTCTGGGCTGCCATAAAAACCATGAGCCTAATCAAAGGTATAGACTGGCCCGTTAATATGGGAATATACCACATAATGGCTGCCCCACTAACCGTTATCAAAAATCGTAACGGCACTATAAACCACGGCGCGTCCAGATTCCTCAGAATCGCCATCACCGAATGCGCCTGGCAAATATGGAAACTGAGATGCAAGAGAGTCCTCAGCGACGACGAGACCGGACAACCAAAGATCTCACTGAACGAAGCCATGAACACCTATAAAGCCGCCATAAACGAAAAACTAAATCAGGACAGGAACCTCACGAATATAAAGAAATACCGCAACAGAGCCCTCCCCGAATGGCTCGTTCTACACACTTGGTACGGCACCCTAGAGAACGAACTAAGCCTCCCTGAGAATTGGCTGAAGTGCAACGGGGTTTTAGTGGGTATACCGGACCCCCCACGGTCACGGGAGCCCCACACAGAGCGATAACCACTTCGCCAAGTGCGGAAACGCATTTCCCCGTGGTGGCAATTCCCGTCATACAGAGGCACCCATCATCACTGCCCTCTGGAAGGCCCCGCCCTTCCCTACAAACCTTCAGGCATCCTGCCCGCGAAAGCTACCGAAGGTTCCACCAAAAAAAAAAAAAAAAAAAAAAAAAAAAAAGATAACAATTCAATACAAACAATTAGAATATGCGTCGGTGCATGATTGATCCATGGTGTTTGTGTCCTTTGTTCAGTGTCATGCGTTCACCGTTCTCCTGATCGAACCCAAGCTAGCCGATCGTATCGCTCCGACGGCATCCTTCACGCAGTCGGACACAAAAGTGTTTCATTCCGAGCCCGCTCGTTGGCGCCGACTTTTTCCCCGGCGGGAATCAATTGCTCCTCAATGACTCGAGCGCCAAAGCCCCCCCCCACATTTGTTTTTTGCATGTGGAGTACAATTAGTCGCGCGCCTTTGTGCTTTTTCTAGACTTGTGAATCTCACGCAAGTCCAATACATGGTCCTTTGACTCAATGCTTCAATTCCAAGACCCAAATCACACGATGATCCATGAATCAAGGTTATCCCTTGAAGAAGTGGGGCCTTTGCAATGGTACTTGATGTTTTGCGGTCATGAAGGACATAGCCCCGACGCAGCGGCATACAATTTTTATCCACTACGTCGTTGACAGCTCATTGTTGCTACGCCATTTCATGATTCCACGAGTTAACATCGGACACGTCCTGGAGGCACCATGCCTCTTACCACCTCGCACCCTGTTCGCCTTTGATGCCCTTTCCATGCCATGGACAATTTGTATGTTCCATTTATATGTATATACTCCCCTGAGTGCAATGTTGGTGTTTCTTCGAGCCGAGCCTCACATTACTATTGGTGTGGCTGAAGCTTGCGAATGGCCATGAAGGATGATGTTGGGCCGAATAGGCTTGCGTAACACTTGCCACCCACCCAAAATTCCGTTGCAGGTATAGAAGGGCGCGGTAAGGCTGTGATCGGCTTCTGCATAGGGTGCTGACTCAGGAATGACTCGCATGGTCTTCGACTACCTGTCAACAGCGCGCAGTCACGTGTGGCATGGTTCTGCAACCTGCTAGTGTTTGCGCCTCTGAGTCCGAACATCATGCTCTCTCAGGAGCATCTCTCACGTCTCAGTCACAATTAGGAATACTGGCTAGCAAGGGGATTTGTGCTAATTAATTACATTAAACGACCTTCATTGATGGCTGTGGCGGTTTATTCTGGTTCGTTTCAACAGTCGTTTCAGACGTTCCTGACAAGCGCCGCGCGCAAGCCTTCCAATCAAGGCCATCTCTCCTGTGTGTTTTGTACGAGTAACGCTCTTTCTGTATCCCGCGCATCGACCGCGTAACGAGCACTCGTTCGGAACTGTTAGCTGAACCTTGCATCACTTTACAACTCATGGCGCCCTCTGTTGCGAGGGAATTATCATTCGGTTAATAGGGGTAAAATTGCATTATATGAGGATCTGGGTATCAAGCTGCGCTTCACATCGGGTCCAAAATGAGCGCGCTGCTTGATCCTTGAATGCCGCCGACGGTCCATTTCTTGCACTCCTCTTCCATGCGGAGGCTTCGTATCTCTTTGGACATCGACATTTTATGTCATTCTTCTATCCTCTTGTGCGGATAAAAGGATAAAAGGCCCCGAGCGTACATCGCAGTTCTACCCATCCCCCTCACCCTCCCATAAGAGGCCACCGAACCCAGAACTTCGCTTCAACTGCGCAGTTCCACATAAGTTACCTACTCCCTATCCATCAAAAATTTTCATTGCTTTCATCGTCGTGCCTACGAGTCATGTGTAAGTGATCGTCTTCTTTACATGTTAGCGCTCAACTGGGGCATGATGGCAGCTCGCGATAATAACACTGTATACCTCAACACTGCCGCACAACGCGGGAGGTTTACTTTCACATGGGTAAGTTTCTAAATAGTCTTCACAATTTACAGTCTTCCCAGCGTGCTTACGTTTCTGTAGGATGATCTTGAGTACCCAGGCGGAGGGACCATGACTCATGAATCTCACTTGCACGGTGAGCAGAGCTGCCGTTTCTCTGTGTGGAGCGATATTTACCTCTGTATGTGGCACTACAGTTTTTGGACAAGTGTTTATTGGCATAGGGTCGAAGAAGGGTTATGCTCGAGATAAAGCGGCCCTCAATTTCTTCCAAACTCATCCGCAATACTACCCCCGACAGGACATCCTTCCGCAGGCCCACCACGCTGCCCGCCCATTCTAATTATTGTTCTGCCGATATCTTGGCACATATCCCCAGCGCTTCCCGTAGCTGCGGTAGATGCCTGGGACCCGAAGTGGAGTGCATTCATTTATAGAATCCTTATTTCTGGGCTTCGAAGGGGCCTTGTATCTTATGTTCGCCTATGTAATCACCTGTCCTAAACAGTCCCCGTTTCGAATTAGTCCAATTCATTCGTAATCATATCATGTCGTCTACACAATTCGAGACTGAGTCAAGTCTACTCGTGGTAGCTAATTGTCAGATCGGTGGCCCCGGGTAGGTAAGATCATGCTGCACATGCGGGGGCTAATAGGTGCAACCGTCCATGGTAAAATTATTAAGAAGGCGAACACAGTTTTCCTCGGACAAACGGATTATCTGAAAAGTAAAAGAAAAGGAAAATGCAGCACTCCAAGTCGAATGACGAGACTAGGGTAAATATAACGCCTGCTCCGTTCGGTGTGGGCCAGGCCCTAGATTTGATTTTCCGGGCCAATCCTTACATATTAGTAACTTGAAAATATTCCGAGAACCCTGCCCTTGGAGCAGCAGCATGGTTAAATATTCAGAATAAAACAAACAAACAAACTACCAACTTCACTGCACCTCGTCCATCCAATACCGTGGAGCATTCCCTTGGCCCCAGCTTTTTGCCAAGACTTGTGTGCACTTTGTGATAGACGAGGATATCAAACCCCTTTCTGTTGAGGCTGCTCTCCTGCCTTTCGGCGTTGTATGGGTGTCTTAATTGTTGTGTGTATCAGCACCGTTGATTGACGCCACCCTTCAGCCAGAGCCGCGTCTCTTTCTTTCCTATTCCATTAGACATGATGAAACATTGGACGTACGCTGGTTGTGGTCATGGCGGTTTCGATGCGAGACTTCATCTCAGGGGATTGGGGCCAATCGCCTGCAAAAGAAGCTGAGGGTGTACTGTGGGTGATATTCATCCTTCAAGTGATGTTTTCCCCCAACAGGCTAGGATCTCCGCTCATCGCAACGATTTGTTTAATCACGAGGACAACGAGAGAGGAAAGATTCGAATGGAAGCAGAACTTGAACTCTCCAACCCGATGTCGTCATGACAGAATCTCGAAAGTATCAGTTATCCTGGGTAAGTGACAGGTTATTGGAACTGAGTTCTTGACAATTACGGGGTTTCAAGAAAACTCTTGGTTTTTCTCCGCCATCATCCAAGAAGTGTTGCTCCGGAATTTTGGGGGCTCGATACAAGAGTGGCATATTGCTGGGGCTGCAGCGACAGCCGTGACGCTTACTGAAATGATCAGTGATCTCCCCCTCTGAAATCCATGTTTCAAGTCATCAGTATCTGCTGTGTGGGCGTCTTTCACAGTCCGGACTGAGCTCAGCTGTGAAAGGACTCAATGTTTGAGCGGTGAATACATCCGCCTCCGATACAAAGGGCCCATTAGCGTATACTTGTGGATGCTGGCGAAGGGCTGTTAGTCCTAGGATGTCATGCGCGTGAGGGTTTTGTACGTACGCCACTGGCAGACATACCAGCTGGCAGAAAGATAACCACGGAGAGTATTCCAGTGTTTCAGAGACGAGTGAAGAAGATGTGTAGTCGAGAAGTATTGCCCAGGGGTTCTGCGGCTGGAAGGGCTTGAGCCTGCCACGACAGAAGTGCATGGTGATGCTTAGGTAGCCAGGGCGGGCGTGCGGCCTACAAATGTAGATAGCAGGTCGATAATCACAGTGATGTATGCAGCTTCCCGGCCTCGAGGATATCTCTGGCTCGCCTAACGCGGCAAGTGCCCACTACTCCCACGCTTTTGGGCTGGTCGTACAGACACTTACATAAGCCAGAGCCAGACACCACATTAGAAACACACAACACACCAGAGGAGGCGTTGCAGTGATCTCTGCTGATTGTCTAGTGCAGCGGTAGAGTCGACGAGTCAACGTGCAACTTCCTCGGCAAGTGGAAGAGTGCGACATCGTGAATTAGGCGATTCGTGGTACGTGGGATCTAAGATTGGAGTTGAGAGCAAGGTGCCGAGTGAGACTGAAGTGTCTCAAATACAGAGGAATCCAAGGACCCTGTGTTAGCGATTTGCTTTTTAGACAGGACCTCTTGAATGGCGAGATTCAGTTGGGGATCAAACAGTTGCGACGCGAATTTGGCGTCATAAAAGGACCTGATTTCTATATTCGAAGATGGTGTCACGTGCTTCCCTGGTTGTGTTCTGGCCCTTTCGATGGCTATGCTTTAGATTTGTCTATGGCTATGTGTGCTGCGGCTGGCGCCTTATCCCAGCGCTACTACTACTACCTACATCCTTCCACCTTTGATCTGACCCTAGCCGTGACTTACTACTTGTGTCCAGATGGCTCAGCCGGGCACGCCGACACCGGAAGACCCAGTGTTGGTCAATTGCGAAGTGAGGTTCCGTGAAGGCGGTGTGAGGTCCGAAACTTTCAGCCTGATGCATTCTTGTGAGTTCATTGTCGACGTCCCCCCCACCCCACACCCCCGCTTCGGCAAGTGTTGAGTCCATTATGGTTCCAGTTGCAAGTGAAACATCACAGCAATTCTTCCAGAAGATATCGAGCAGTATAGAACGCAGGTTTTCCATGGGATGGACTATCGGCTTAGGGTGGCGTTCGTACACCTACTGGAAGGGTGTTTATGCTGTGCAATGTCGTCTTGATGATGGTAAGTTTCTTCTCGGCGGTAAATGAGTAAGACAAATGGCTATTCCTATCTCAGACAGCGATTATAAAGCCCTCTGCAGGAGGGTACCGAACCTGGTGAGGGCAGTGAATTCGGCGGGTGTTGATATGATAGTGCAGGAGCCTGACAGTGCTCTCCCTCCATATGCACCGAAGCAGTCTCTGGGCAGCCCCGCATCTTCTAATCACGGGCGCCCCCACAAACGAAAGAAAATCGAAGAGAATCACTTTGACTTGGATACTATTCCAGGTCGATCGACCTCCGCCACAATCTCTCGACAGGATGGTAATAATTGGCAAGATGATGGTAGCCTATACGGGTCATTCGCCGCGGAATCCCAGGCTGCATCGCCAGAAACACAACCGGATCAAATTACTTCAGGTGCTGCACCAGAAGTACATAACTACATGTCGCTCCCGATTTCGGCATATTGCTGGGGATTCGGCGTTTTTCTCGACTTACTGCAAGATACCTCAGGGACTCTTCCTGTCGACATGTATCGAAAAGTCCGTTTGTTTAGCGCTGCTGTGCTCAATGACAAGATTTCGGACGATGACCGCACAGCAGCTATAATGAACTCGCTTAAGTCCATAATCGGAAAAGGTTTCTCCACTGCTGCGACAAATGGAAAGTCCTCCGGAAATGTTGTTATTTCGCTATGCCCTCAAAATCAGGGTGGATCGCTTATCGAGGAGAATGCTATTACGCTCATCATCCCCGATGTGAGGCCAATGTCCGTCTCAAGCCACGTTGCAATGTCGGTTCATGGAAACATATATTCAAATATCGTATCACAAATTGTGAGCTTGTTCGCAAGAAAAAAACCCAAGGCTGAATGTTTGCAACAGGATTCTAGCATCCGAAGGATGTGTTGCTGTCCGAGTTTCATCCTGACTTTAGCTGGTCCATGGATGTGTATATCCGGCAGCGTCCTCCTTGAGTCGTCCGTCGTCGAGCCACTCACCGAATTCATATGGCTCGATTTGGGGAAGAACTCTCGAAGACTCGAGTATCTTTCACGTGTCTTTAGAGCACTTGTACATGCCATGAAAGTTCTCGAGGAGTCCTACAGAACACTACACACCATCCCACATGGGCCACCCAAGTTCCCGTGTTTTTTATCGTTCTCCATGCGAGGCGGTACCTATGGCCTCCGGTGCTATGAACTGCTTAGTTTCCCTGCAGTCTTCTTAGCCGAACTCATTGACCAATCAGCAAGCTCCACCACTCTCCCTGTAGTCGCAAAATTTGTGCCGAGCTACGCCGTTGATGCTCACAAACTACTGGCAGAGGCGAACCTCGCGCCAGGATTTCTTCATTTGGAGAGACTGCCTGGCGGCATGCAGGTCGTGGTCATGGAGCATGTTGCCGGTACGAATGCTAGTGAAATGGGGGATGAATGGCAGCTCTCCGAACGACACCTTGAGCAAATTCAACAAGCTGTGGAGCTACTGCACGAAAATGGCTTCGTTCATGGGGATCTCCAAGCCTGTAACATCATCATAGAAGACGATACGAACAACGCGAAACTGGTCGACTTCGATTGGACTGCAAAAGATGGTGAGGGCCGATATCCAATGGACCTCAAAGAGGATATAGACATGGAATGGTGTGAGGGTGTAGAGCCTGGAGCGGTTATGACTAAGGGGCATGATATTTACATGCTTGGGATTCTTCGAAGGAACTGGGCTGCACTGAGCGAGCAGTAGGTTGTTCTGGTCCCTGGAGAGCGCCAAACTTATTCTTACTGTTGAAAGATAGTCCGAGTCCCGCCACTTCTACCTACATATAGTTAGGGACTGATGAGAGACTGGTGTCTTTTTTTCCATGTCCGTCATCCAATGTATAGCGTAATTATTCGCTCCACTTGTATTACTGAATGGCAACACTTGTGTGTGCACTTGCCACTCGTTATGTTTCGTTCATGACAGCACCCAAGGACCGGCAAGTTCCGTAACTTGCAGCGTGGTTTCCATAGGGAGAATTGGGGGTCCTGTAAATCTTTGAATCCCGCCATGCATGGAGACTATAATTTCCAATCCAGCAAACCTGCTTCAACCAAATCGTAATTGCCTCGTAATCACCCACAGCTTTTGTTCTCCCTCTCCACAACCTCATCTCAACACCACCACCTCTTGAGCACCGCGTTGGCAGTCTTTCCTAACACCATGACCCATAACGCTTACGCCCGTGGATTATCTTTTCTAGTTTTCCACTTCCCTCGTTCTCCCCAAAAAAAACTTTGTTTGTCTCACCCTTGGACGGTATCTTGAGTCTGAGAGAACATAGGTTCCCTTCTCCCTTTTGTACACATATCCACCAGGTATCCCGATTGCAAGCAATCCAATGGATTGTTGGTGTCTGAATTCGACTGCTCAACTCTGGCCGAGTTCGCTTTTTTGGAGGTAATTACTGCAGCAGAGGTTTCTGCTTATCGTCTCTGCTCCATATCTAGAAAGAGTGGGGGGGGGGGGGGTGCGTGTCATCTCATTATCTAGTTCCCCATAGCAAGAATTAAGGATCCTATGGTTCTCAGAAGTGGGGTCCGGAATGCCGAAGTTGGGTTAGGGAACACTTTCACGTCAATGATGTCAGTGTATAAAGCCATAGGGGGGTGGGGGTGAGGTTCACACTCCTTTCTTGCGGGGCTCGTAACCCCTCCTGAACCACCTGCCGACTGATGAATGTGTAGGATGCATACAAACTCTGACAACGTGTGTCGCAGTTGAACCTTTCTGGATTCAGCCAGCCAAGAGGCTACGGTGTGAAATTCCGAGTACGGAATAGGCGACGCACGCATACCGGAGCCCGATGTACCAATGGCAACGTGATCTTTTGCGAATTTAGTTGTCTTCCAACTAGCTGGATTACATATTTGACATATCATATGCAGTGTCACATTGATTGCAACTCACTGCTCCAGGTCTATATATTATTACGAAGTCATGCATAGAGGCTGGAGTCCTGCCTATGCTCCAGGAGCCTCTAGCCTTGTCATTAAGGACCAGGTTTCGCGTGAGTGAGAGAATACCTAGCCCTCCGGTCAATTCGCAGCCATATATGCTGTTTCCCTGGACGACACAACAAGGGTGCGACGCAGGTCATGGTTTCGACACTGAAAGTGCTAGGAAGCGTTGATGTTCCGGGTCATTTGAAGCCTGTCAATGAGATAGATTGTTCTTAGAACGCGAGAGTAGCGCCGAGAACTGCTGCGAAAGGCGGCGTCAACCAGTTATTGACTCCCATGCCCAACGGAAATTTTCGGTAATCCTCCCACATAATCATCCGAGGACTTGCATGGTCCCTGAATCTTGATTACATAATAATGTGTTGGTGCTTGGGCTTGCTACCGAGGCCCAAGCCCACGCACCAGTCATGGCCCAGCATTGCGTTCAGCCGTTTTAAGCGACCCAGGACAGGCCATTAATTGTTTTAATTGTAGCAGGCATCCGACGGTCAAAAAATATAGACATGGGATTATCTCGAGTATAGTTTCCATGTACAAGTCCCGAAATTATAGAACGGTGTTGAGGGAATCTCCCCGCAACAACCTATGCATGGTTACGACTCATGAGCGCCTGCACATCGCTTTTCAACGACGATCCGCTGCGTCATGACGTGGTCATTGGATATTCACTCAACAGAGAATCCACAGTTCCACTTCTGTGCGCTCTTGGGCGTCCAGGGAGGGATCCTGCCACGTTGTCACTGCTGTCACCTTCATTACCAAGACTATCCCTTTCCACAAGGGGCACTCGTGCAGACACCTCTGATCGTCTTGATGACTGAGGCGTCGAAGGGAGGAAATCGTATTCTTCCGTTGTTTCCGAGCTAACTGACCAAGGGGTGAGAAGCTGTTGGCTAGTAAGAGTGAATGCTGCTCGAGGCATAGGAACATGGGGCACAGATATAGGTCGGACGTGGGCCTGCTCGCCAGCCCCGTTATGCAACGACCGCCTACTGACTCTCGAATTGGGCCTCGAGACTCGTGGAGTATCCACATCGTGTCTGCCCGCTGGCCAAACAGTCTCAGTTTCCCGCTCAGGAGAACTCGTGTTTGGCTCAGGATGATGCTGGGACGGCTCAGCGTTTTCATCACGCTCCGAGCTGTTATCCGAGGACACCCGGTCGCCGAGGATGGCTGTTGCCGACGCCCTAGCATTGATCAGAGCGCTCAGAGCGCTGGGCACAGAGGTGGGGGGTCGTATTCCAGGTGCACCAAATGCGATATTGCTAACTTCAACCGCAGAGGCATCATGTGGGGGAGCCGATTCCGAACGACTCCTCGAGACACTAGAGCTTCTACTTCTGGTGGAAGGTGTAGAGGGTGTGGTTGCGGATTGTTCTGATGATAAAAAATGCAGGGACGAAGTGGGAGGTACACTGGATGAAATATTGAACAGATGTTCAGCCATCTGCTCCGATGGTGAGGGCTGATGAGACGAAGAAAGTGGTGGATGGCCGGATGGTCCTGCCTGTTGTGATGGATCTGTCCCATTGCGTTGTTGTTCCCCCTGCACCCGACGCTGTCGTTCGTTTTCCTCGATCATTGAAAGTCGCATTGCTTCCATGACCATGAGCTGATGCACCAATTAGATCAAAGTATGTTCCGCGACATTTGAATATCCCTACCTCCTCCAAATCCTGTCCATTCATACCCATGAATTGCGTATATTCATTGTGTCTCTCACGCCGTCTGCTTCTTCGAGTCCCACTTCCACCTGAACTGTCATCCGATGAAGCACCTTCCATCCCGGGGGGAAGGGCAACTACCGTGCCTCTTGAGACGCCGATTGGGATGAGCTGATCGCCAACCTGTCGCATAATGATACGCCTGTTCGCTCGGCGAGCAACCGCCGCTCGCACTTGATTAAGCTTAACTTCCCAGTCCGGTCTGATGTGATCTGAGGGCGGAGGTAAGAGGGTTAGATGGAGACGACAAGATTGCCGAAAATCTGGGGGATCAGCTACCTACCAATGGTCACGACTTCACGACTAGTGTGACTGATGCTCCGCCGCCGACGTTTTCCCTCGGAAATGCTCATTTCGGCAGAATTAGTGGATCCTGAGGAAGAGTGTGACAGGAAATCCGGTCGTTGGTTGTTCACCCCACCAATGCCAGTCCGCCATAGAGGTGGTGTGTATACCACGCCGAAATTTGGCTGCATGCAATACGGGCAACAAGCAGGCTCCGAAACGACGTGAGTCGTAGTTGGATCGGCACGCTTGATGTGAACGAAACATTCGGTGCAAATAGCCTGATCACAGCATCTGGTTTGGTTTGTGTTGGGCGGATAGTACTGTTATGTAGATTATCATCATGATATTTGTAGACAAATAACACAAGCGCAGGGGGGAGGGAACGAACTAACCAAGAAGCAAATGGGGCACTCCACAGCACCACGATAGACCTGGGCCTCATAATTTCGGGGAAGTTCTTTCTGGGATTGGTATGACTTGGAAGACGATTTCCCGCCAGCAGCATGTTTTAAAGTAGACGTTGCGCTTTGTAACGGAGGGGCGACGGACCCTGATACCCATTCTTTGTGCGATCCTTCCTCGCCATTGGAATCAGGGCTAGGGACCTTCTTCCTCGCGGCCAGGATTTGATCATCGGTCCAATCTTCTTCATACTCTTCTAGTGGTCTATAAAAGGGCGAAAGTTTGCGTTGCACAATAAGTTGGCCAACGATCGTTTGGTTCCAGTCGGGTTGAGAGGAATATATCCCTCCTTGTGGTGTCAGCGCACCAAAGTCGACCGACTCCTCGGCATGGCGATCTCGTGAGGAACTCGTGTTTCCCATGGGGTGTGGCAGATGATGGTTCCAGGCAGGCTGTGCTGTGAACCTAACGCCCAACCAGGGATGCTCTGAGCACAAGGGGTGAGATTAGTCGTAGAGCAGCCTAAGGCGCCCGTTCTCGTCTCGCCTTGCTATGTGAGACGTCAACCTTGGGTCACAATCTCGGCGGAGTCCGACGCTATACTTCCGATTTCCACCTTCCGACCTTCCAAGTTGATCGAACTTGGGTGCGCTTATCACCCCACTTCCCCTCGCTAAGATGTGCTGCAGGCTGAGGCTGAGGGCTCAACGTGCTGCGTCGTTCGTAGGGACTTTGTCTGGGTAACAGCTGACTAAATATTCATTCAAGTGTCTCAGGTTTCTCAGGCTTGTGTTCGTCCGTCTCAGCCGGCGTCTAAAATCTCACTGGCTCGTTCTGCGGGCCTGAAACATTTCGTTTGGGTTTGCTACTCCGTCCTTCGCCTCAGGTTTTCGTATTGAATTAGGCGAATAGGGGTGGGGGGACACTTTACACCCGAACCTGTTCCTAGTTCGGGCAGTTTCGGGTATAGCGGAACGTTTGTCTCCCTGTGTAGAATATCATTGCTGAGCCCTTGACAGAGCCCTGATAAATATTAGCCTAAGCCTGGAGCTCTTGCGCGCTCCTAATCTCCAACACGTTGAAGATAACAAATTGTCTGGATATCCCGCACCGGCCCCCCCAGCGCACATTCCCGCTTGCACCATTCCCTCACTGCCTGCAATGGGGATGCTGCTTTCCCTTGTGCTGCAAAGCTCGATGTTGGGGGGGGGAAGCGCCGAATCACTTCATTGCACCTGTGGTGTACTTTGACCAAGATGGAATGGGGGGGTAAGTGCTAATCCTTAGGAAAATATTCTCTAGCTGTCCACATATCTGCCTGCCTGCCTACGAGATGTTCATTACTCCGAACCACTCTCGAGAATCAATCCCGTAGAATGGGTCGCTCGCATAGCCTTCGACAAGTTATGTCCCCCGACCCGAGGATCCCACTGACCCGAATACACTCATGCGTGGCTAGGTCGCACTGCCACGTCGCAACGAGTGGAAGTTTCCCTATCAGCCGGCAAAGTCCGTCCGTGATTCCATCATCATCTCTCACGGATCTTTCACCAATGGATGGAAAGGATCCAGACTGAAGGTGAAATCGTGCTCCTCGTTGCCGAAGGTAACCATGGGGAACCAAATCAGTCTTGGCCGACCGGAGACAATCAACGTTCTTGCCTCCGCTAGGAATCAGCCTGTTGTCCCTTGCGTCGTCAAAGGGGGGGGGGGGGGTTATGCGTATCAACATCCCAACATCTTCCGCTTTCTGCAAGGGTCATTCACGCGTTCTTGGCCAGGAATAATCATTATGCTCGTCACGTGTTTGAGAACACGCCATCTCTCTGCAGGTCGAATAGACGCATCAGCTTCTCGGTCATCGTGTTTCCGTGATGCTCTTTCCGAAGCACACCGCTGCCTCCACTCATTGGCCCAGCTGCACTTCTGTCATTCCCATCGACTTCCTTTCCTCAACCACTCATGTTCGATGATCGGACCATCCCTCCTTTGTCCGGGCCATAATACTTCATGCCCCCCCTTCTTGCCGGAGCTTTTGAAAATAGATTGACTTCTTTGCCTTCTCTCGCCTATAACTCGCTCCTTCTCGCTTTCCCAGTGCTCCATGGAAGCATGACTCGCCATAGTTCTACTCGGCTCGAAACTCGCTAGACACATCACTCATGTAATCCGTACAACACCTTGAATCGCCCGACTCAATATCGTGCGCTGCGCATTTCCTTATCCGGATCAGCCCCGGCATGAACGCCTCGTTGCGTTTAGTCGGTTCTTCGCCGCGTGCACGTTCAGCTAATCCACAGCGACATGTCTGAAACAAGTCAAGCTGCCATCGACAAGACGATGTTCCATGATCATGCATGATCGATCTGTCATGTGGATATAGAGGGACCTGGGGCTTGCATACGATCGCGCCAATTTCCTCATCCCACACACAATATACTTTGTGTATTCACGAACCAATCGTGCGTGCCCATCAACGTTATGTATATTACACTACGCATGCATGATCCAGAACGTCGGTGCAGGCGCGGGCGCGGGGCTTGCCCAACAGCCGCTCAAACGAGATAATCACACATGCACTCGCGGATGAATATCATCCACCAACAACCGACCCATGCCCATGGGTTGCCATGCATGCCCGCACCATGACCACGCATCATCCCAAAAAATTTCCATCTTCCAAGATCAATATTGCAACCACACACACACACACATTTTAGCCCGGCTCCAACGGAAATGTGCGACGGGGGGCAGCCCGTTCCGTTGTGCTGCAGCAGTGGGGCTTTTCACGTTCCAGGAGCTGATATGGTGGTGACGAGGATGTATATATATATATATATGTGATCAGATCTAGTCAAGAATGACGCAGCAGCCCACCAAGTACCAGTCACAGATCTATTATGCATATTCCACTAGCTGCCCATCGATTGTTCATATTTATATAAGAAAATTCGAGCCAGCCCTTCAGTGCGATCGACGTACATTTTACTTAACGAGAATTGCAACATGTAGTAATCATGTATGCACTTTGAAAGTGCACGCCATGTGAACCGTTGGGTTGCAGCTAGATACCAATCGAATACATACATATCTAGTGAGATTGCATATGTGTCAAAGGCCGGTGGAAATTCAAGTTATGTGATTGGAACAAGAAATGTACAGACCCTTTTTTTAAAAAAAAAAATCACTTGCTGTTCGCTGAATGAAATATGCCTCTGGTTCTTGCTCTGTTGTTCTTGCATGGCTGTAGATCGAACTTGTCTTTGCAGCGGTGAAAGAGACGATTACTGCAAAGATGCACTTAAAAGATACCAGGATCTGGCATGCATGTAGGTGACGGGACCGGGGCTTAGCCAGCTCGGTTAATTCTTTCTCAAGCTACTAGGCCCCCCCCATCCAATACATGAGAGTGTGCGAGACCCCTCGCTGCAACCAATCAACGCTCGCGATCCGTGGAAGCCCATGCCCCGCGCTCTTCATATATGTAGTAGATGCCGCTCAAAGCTACGCGGGCATGCACGTGGAACTAAATATATATATCGGGGCCATGCGCATGTTCGATAATTCGATCCAATTGAATTGAGCCACCAACACTAGTAGCTTATACATAAGCTAGCGTAGCCACGCGGAACGGTCAGACATCTGTGGGGACGAAGTTGGAATTCGAATCGGGTTTGGATTCTAAGTTGATGTCAACAAAAAAACGAAAAAAAAGTGAGAGACCTAAGGGATCGTGATTGGTACACACACAGAAAAGAGACTAAACGTGAGTTGCGAAGGTGGGGGAAGGAGAGTCGAGCCCCCCCCAGCAGGCTAATCAAAATGGGAGGAGAAAAAAAATTCTTGAGTGATTGACTGGTTGGTCGTTTAATTGGACTGACAGAGATTGGAATTTGGAATATTGCGACGTGCAAGAGGGGGGGATGAATAAATAAATAAGTAAATAAAAAAGGGGAAAGGAATAGTGAAGTGACGACGGACTTCTAGCCGAATTTATAGAAAAATTCCTCAATCCAACAGAAGGGGGGATAAGGCTAAAATTTAAAAACAAAATGCATCGCTCAAGGTCCAAAGGTCGGGGGGTACAGAGGGAAAGGTTCCTACTCTTCTCTTCTGACTCCCATGCACTTACAGTGGGAGAGGGAGAGGGGGCGGGTGCGGGTGCGGGGAAGGGAGGAAAAGGAGAGAAAATGCGCATCTAAATGACGAGAGATCGCAAAGGAGAAAGAGAGCCTACCCCCCACCCCTACAATGTTTCTAGACATCTCCAACACCCACTCCAATCCTCGCAGCCGTCTCCGCACTGCTCCCCGCCCGATCAACATCGACATCGACATCAACATCAACATCAACACCAACAGCACCAGCACCAATCCCCACGCTCCTCCTCCTGCTGAACACGACGATCTTGTCCAACTCCTTCTCCCACTCTTTCACCTGCTCGGGTTCGAACCCCAACTTTGCACTCTTCGACCCCGCCCCCGTCGTCGCCATCGCCACCGCAAACGGTTGAAATGAACCAGCATCACCACCACCACTATCACCCGCCGATCCCGCTTCCAGAGCGGAGAACGGGGGAAGTAGCGTAATGGGAGTAGCAGGGGTAGAGGGAGAAGGAGAATGAGAAGGGGCGGTGGTAGTGGTGGTGGCAGAAGGTGGAATAAGAGGAGATGATGCTAGCTTCTTATACGAAGAAGAAGGTAGATTATGAGATAACCTCTTCCTAGCAGCCTCAAGCACTGCACTAGAAGGGGACGGAAACGACGAAGGAGGGAGCTGTGGTGTGACCACACCAGGCGAAGTGAAAGGTCTTCTAAAACTAATGGAACCAGGACCGGGACCGGGACCAAGGGTAGGACCAAGGGCAGGGCTAGGGCAAGAGCAAGGGCTGGGACTAGGACTAGGGCTAAGGCTAGGAGATGAAGAGGTAGGAGTTGAACCCGCAGCACGAGTCAAATTGTTCCTCGCACTGTTCCTCCTATCAAAAAAAGAGGATGGTGACGGTGCTTTCAAAAACTTGGACGAAGACGCCTGTAAAAAAGTCGTCGTCGTCGTCGTCGTCGTTGCACTGGAAGGGGGGCTAACGGCCGCAGGACTAGGGCTCCTTCTCCTTCTCCTTCCGCTTAACAAACTCGTCGTCGAAGAAGACGTCGAGGAGGCTGACGATCCAATGAACCCACCGCCACCACCGCTGCTGCCAGCACCAGTATTAACACTAGTAGTAGAGTTGCTTGCAGACGCAAGGAGATGAACACGACTCTGACCTGCGGCGTCGAATCCCCCCCCAATCATTGTACCGCTACTCCTACTACCGCTGTCCACATCCATATCCGTCACTAGGCGCAACGTCGAGGATGACCTAAAATCCGTCGTCGATAGCGTATGAAGACAAGCTCCAGGATGAGAATATCCATATGGTCCTGCTCCCTTCATGACTACCTGCGCGATCACACGTTGACGTTCCGCTTCATCCACGGACGCCACGACAAATTCCTGTTCAGGTAATTTAACCACTTCCGAACTCCCTCGATTCGAGGTGAACGTGATCTGGAAAGCAAGATATACCCAGAGGACATCAATTTTTGTTTAGTAACGTAAAAAAAAGGAAACGTATCTTACCTTGGCACTCAATACAAACTTGACACAAACCGTTCCAGTCCTCATCGTACTCCCCACACCCCAATGAGACGCACTCTTCTTCTCCGGAATCTGAACCACAGCCTTATGTTCATACGTTCTCAATCCACTCACACCGACGACCTTCTCCCTCCCCTCATCCTCCACTCCACCAACCGCGACTGGCACTCTGGACACAGACGACGTCGTACTGAACAAAACTTGCTTATTCATCTTCGCTTTCCCATTCCCACTCTTATCCTTGTCCTTGTCCCTATTATCCATCTCTTTCTCCTTCCCCTTCGAAGCGCTCGACGAGCTCGAAGATCCAAACGGAACCTTAAACCTTTCCTTCTCCTTCTCCTTCCCTTTCCCTTTCCCCTTCCCATCTTCCCGCCTCCCCCTCCTACTCTCCCCTCCATCAACATCCGATTCCGAATCGCCAGTTTCCTCATCCTCATCATCGTCACCCGAACGACCCCCACTCCCACTTCCACCCATAAAAGGACGACGCGCCGCCTTCATCGCTCTTCTCATCCCCTCGTCCGATTTCGTCGAACTCCCAAAAGATGAGACGGGTGAAACAGGTATACAAACTCGTCCTGCTCCCCTTCTTCCTCCCTCTCCCACAACATCTCCAACAACAACATTCGAAGAAGACCCTTCCTCGAACAACTCCACAACCCTCTTCACGCTTGTTTGCACCTTAGTAGGAAGCACACCCTCTTTGCACACAAGACTATACCCCACGTTGAACGTTTCCGAAGGACCCACAGCGTTCGAAGGGAGCGATAATTTGTATGAATGAAGGTAAGAGTGTGTCGGGGGAAGGTAAGTCCTAATGGTGTTGGTGGATGTTGGGGAAGTCGGGGAGGACATTGTCCGAGTTGCAAGCGTGGGCGTGGACGGACAAGAAGAGGTAGAAGGGGAGGGAGATGGAGAAGAGGAAGGGGAGCAAAAGGAAGAGGAGGCTGAAGAAGGCGGGGACTGATACGAAATAGGACGTCGCTTTTGAGACGGACGTCGAGCGGTGTCGTCGGTATGATGATGATGATGATGATCGTATTGATGAGTCGTATTGTGAACGGGTGAGAGTGGGACTCCGGAAGAAGAAGAAGTCGAAGGGGAGGAACAAGTTGAAGGCGGACATTGCCACGATAGGGGCGAATACGAAGATGAAGGGACTGAGGTGGATGTGGGTGTGTGTGTGTGTGTGGAGGTGGAGGTGGAAGAAGAAAGGAAGTGTGAAGATGAAGGGATATCGTATCGAATCAGAGCGACATCGTAATGTTTCGACAGTGTGGAACTTGAGCCTAATGATGATGATGATGATGATGAACCGCGATGGACGGCTTTTTTACGATTGCAATGTGTGGTCAAAATCAATCGATCCCAGATGTTGAATCCATTGGGCAAAGAAAGTGAGATCACCACCACCACCACACACAACACCGTGATTGATGATTTCCAAAAACGGTTTTCAAATTCCCGTTTATTTTTGGAACGAAGGTTTGTGTTGCGGTTGTGGTTGTTTTTTTTTTTTTTTCCATCACAAAGTAGCCGCGCAAGAAGATAAATGTAACAACGTTCGGATAAGGATTTGCAGAATAGAGTTTGTTCATCAGTTAAGGGTTGTGAGTGAAGAGGCAGAGAGAGAGAAGAAAAAGGTCGAAGCCAAATGGGGGGAAGAACGGTAAACTCCACGATAGAAAACGAGTGTGAAAACCGACTTGCTGTCACAAGAGAACCCCCCTCTCCCCAAGCGCCGCGGAGAAACACAGATTGCGAAAAAAAAAAAAAAACTTGAAAGGAAAAGAAAAGAAAGAAAAAGAAGGGTTGTCACTCACTGGCTTCAAGACGCCAAAAGACGCGATAAGATTGCAAATGACACGAACTGAAGCCGGTGGATGAACTACTGTTAGGAGGTATGATGATGTTGAATGGAAAGTCTCCCTGCGGGATCATCTCCGTATGAGCCGTACTAGCGCCCGCCGCCGTCGAATTTGAAATAGGACTTGGCATCGATCCAGATGCGGAATTGGAAATAGACGCCAGAGAAGTATGGGCAATAGGAGTAGACGCGATGGAACCAACAGTGTTTCCAGCAGTAACAGCAGCAGCAGACCACAGAACGACTTGTTGCTCATACAACACATTGGTCCTAATAACGCCAACCCTTCCTAATCTGGATTCATAACATTTGAGTGCAATGGTCATCGCGGATCCACCAGTGGTACTCGAAGAGGGAGCATCAGGATCTAGTTTGGTTCTTACGATGCCTGATACTGAGACGGGAGTCAAGCCTAGATGACCGGAGAATGGCCAGAATCGACCTGCAGCGTTGAAACCTTTTGGTGGGACAATGGAGAGTGCGATGGCCATGAAGAGGAGGAAGAGGAAAGAAGAGAGGAGAGGAGAACTCTTTCCGGTGAGGAGGATGGGGGGATAGGGTGAACGCGTAGGTGGATGTTGAGAGGAGGGGAGGGAGAGAGGTTGGAAGGGAAGGATATGGCATGGAAGCGAAGCGTCTAGTTGAAGTAGTTCTGGAGCAGTTACCCAGTCTGGTCAGATTATAATGGCAGGTTTTTACTTATTTTCTAATTCTCTCTAAATGTATTAAATATGATGTTTCCCGAGAACCAAGAACTCAATCAACTCTTCGCGCGGATTTTATGTATCACTTCGACAAGAAAAAATGCGAAAGAAAAAAAAGGAAGAATATGGTACAAAAAAAAAAAAATACAAATAATAGAATTGTTGTATATTAATTATCCAATTTACAAATCGAGCAAGCTTCTTTGGCTTCTTTTAATTCAGTACCCTTTGCTCGGCTTCTATCAATTCAGTTTCTTTTTTTTCGCTTTTGCGCCCCACCCCAACCTAACCCAAACGTCAAACCACGTTACATACATACTATGTTATACCTTCTACGGCCGAAGAAGAAGGAGACGAACCCCAATGAATGGAGATCAAGTCGACAAGAAGGAATGTTGGAAAAGATTTCAAAATTAAAAAAAAGTGGACGGAATGTTCCGCGTTTTCCTCTTGGTAAGCCTTCTTTCCGTCCCATCCGATTTGTAAAGTAAAATAGATCGAGATTTTATCATTTTCCCTGGCTCTGATTCAACACCCGGTAACCATCTTCCATTTAAGCTATGCATTGGGTACTTCCTTTCTGATATTTCTTCACTGGAGCTAGAGGGGAGGGGGCATCCCAAAAGCCCACTCCTAAGCTCCTCCCTTCTCAGCTTCGTTAACCAAAATCCTCGCGCCACCCACGGCCGGGTCCCACCATGGATCGAGCCAACACACACACACACATATATATATAGCTCACAAAATCTTCCGTCATCTCGCCGCCTGCGCAACAACAGTTCGCCGCAACTTGTTCCAACCCGCACCGAACCGCCTTCTTTCCGGTTCCAACTTCCTCCCCCCCCCCCTCCTTCAGTAATGCACCTATGCATTTGCGATAAGGCAATTATGTATCGTTTTGCACGCGCGCGGCAAATATTGTATATCCGACGTCGGGTATTCCCATGTTTACAGCCAACGTTTTTTTTTTTTGGCCAAAAACATAAACATTTGGGAAAATCATCTCCAAACTACAAAAAAAGCGATTGCCCAACCCTGTGCAAACTGGTGTCATAATGTGCAAATACATCATACTGATCGTCGTCTGTGCGTGGGTAAATTCATGATTCTCCTTGCGCTTTATCACTCACTCAACTCACAAAACTGCTTCTCAAAACTTATGATGGAAGAAGGGTTTCTCATGGGGCGGCCTTTACGTTACAACACCGGCTTGTCACGCGCCAACGATCCAACCCCCGGATCCTTGTCCCGTTTACGGGCGAGATGGCCGGTTATGAACCATGCGCTTTGCATCTGCTACGTCGAAGTTATGACGTGGTAGTATCTTACGTAAGTACTCAAGTGTCAAGTGGATTGATAAGACAATATTAGATTCGGCCAACTCCGCTGTATAAGCGCGCTCACACGTGAGTAACATCCACGTGCCACTGTCAACTTATATGTATGTCGGAAGCACTGATGGGTTTCACGAATATCACGAAGCAAGTTACACGCTACGTCCATACACATTTATCAGAATTGAATCTTTTTTTACTTACAACTGTCAGCATCGGTCCTCGTGCATCAGAAGAAGAACTAGCTCAAAATAGGGATCTGCCACAATCCTTCTTCTTCGAACCATGCAACACTCACGAGTCACATCAAACAATATATACATATATCTCTCCCACATAATTAATCCGACCACGCAAACCCAAGGCATGCATGCAAAAGCCCAACATCCTGCAATACTCACTGTATCGTTTTTTCTCATCTTTCTTCTCCCGACTCGAACTCGGATTCGGAATGCTCACGCCCACCCACCCACACACACACACACACCCAGCGCAACACACAAACCCTTCCCTCGTGATCGAACTGCCTGCGGAATGGATTGATTCTTGAACGCGCTTACAGTACAAATGCTGAAATCAATCAATCACAATACATATACATACTTAATAACAATGATAAGTATATATATATATATATCCGTGCGCAGCAGCCCCCGCGGCACGGCTCGGCACGCGATGGCGCCTCTACTTTACAACTCACGCTTCACACTTCAACACTTCCACCATATGTAAAAAAAAAAAATGCCTCTCTCTCTATCTCTCTCATTCTCCATCAAATCCCTATCCTCGCTCCCAGTTTTTCCTTTTTCACCCCCCCCCCCCCACATCAACACCACAATAGCATAGATCATGATTCGCTTCAAGTTGTCCTCCTACTAGTATACTGGCACTGCGCAAGTAGACCCCCCCCCCAATCAATCGTGCATGCAATGCAATGCACTTCCAGCAGTCCGTTTCGACTTGCGATATGTATGCAGGCCTGATCTTCCCCCCTTCCCCACCACCCCACGGCTTCTCGAGATACGCTCACGACATGCCCCGGCGTACGCACTTCCTTTCACATTACATATACATAAGTTGTGTGTATCGGCATACATCGGCTGTGAGTATGTCTGTATATATATATATATCCGTATACACTTTTCTTTTACAGTAAGCAATTCCTCGATCGATCACTCGTCTCATCTCGTCTGGCTAGCTTTTGATACAGGTAGAAAGAATATTATGAATCGAATTGTGAGACATCACATCACCGAATCAAAAAAAAAAAATTGCTCATTGGGTACGTGCGTACGGTACGGAGCGTTTCAGCAGGTTCAGCAGGTCACGTCACGTCAGTTCAAACTTTCAAAATGGGGGGAGGGAGGATTACAGAGTGTTCATTTTTTTTTATCGATCCATGTGGCCCGTTGGCCGCCCCCCCCGGAGAGTTGCTCTGCCGCCACTAGCTTTTGAACCAATTGAAATGAGTACGTTCGAGTCCGATGTCGATGGTCGATCGACGGTCGACACTGTCTCTCCGATCCCGCATGTGCATGACGTGTCAGATTAGTTATTTTTTTTTGTCCACATCATATTACTTACAATATACCTATATGGGACGCATTACCCAGTGATGTAGATATACTACCGTAGACAATCCCGGCCACAGCACGGCAACCTCATCAGGATCGGCCTCTTGAGAAATACACCCAGACCAGGACCCCAGAACTTCGACGGTAGTATTCGTTATTATTCGTTTCGTGCAAGCAGTACTAGTACTACTTGCTTGGTGCCATGCATGCATGCACAAGCACATGCGGCACCTTGCCGCGGCTTTTTTCTAGAGAGAAGTCAAACCCGAGCTTAGCCGATCAGTCGTTATTCATTTACATATACCTTTCTAGGTGCATGGGACACTCGTTGAGCGGTCATGCATGGCTAGTCGAGAACGAGCCTCTGGCCGGGTGTGTATGTATATATATATATGCATGGCAGATCAAGGATTGAGGATGCCACCGAAGCGGGCGATGGATAGATTGATCCGCCAATCACGGACTGACTGACTAACTAACTAGTTAGTTGAACAGCTGGCCTTGGCTATAAGCTCAGATCTAGCTGAAGAGGTAATTAGTACCGTATACCTGTAGTTCGTGATCCATGACTCACATCCCCGAGGATTTAATCCCCTAATTTTTTCCTCCCTATCATCACATTCAATAAAGGTTTAAAACTTTTTGCATGCACGGGGTGATCATTCACATTTAATGCAAAAGCCTACCGCTGAGTCACGTATAGTTACGAAATGATGGTACAAAATGCATGCGCAACCACCCGCGACACACTGGCAGCTACTACTAGGCCGCGCCGCTCATGCAAACTCAACACGCATGTCGGTACTAGTGGAGAGATCCTTAGCGCTGCGTCCATCCTCTTCATATAATAATCACCACACAGGGATGATCTAGTAGTATTGACAAACTCGCCACTTGAGTGGTGTTGGACGCACGCACCTGTTAGTCACTTCCTTTTTTGGTCTGGTCGCTACTTATACCGCAGGGCGGTCACAATAATGTTATATCATCTTCCCCCCCCCAAGGCTGAGCACGTGCGTACTAGTGGCCGCGTTTCTCAACTGCTCCAATCCCGAAATATAATATTCATCCGTTAACGATAAAACACGCAACCGGCCACGTCTGGATCTTATCCACGGACAAGATTTTCCAGCCAGCTGTGATCGAACCAGCCAGTTATGTACAACAGCGGAATCGCAGACCGGCGCAACCGCGAAGTTTCAGAGTTTGGCTGAAACGATCGCATTGCATCAGATCAGGCTTACAGTAATTGCATCCATGTGTAAAATACACCCATGCATTGCGCTTAATATCAACGTCATCAACAACGCGCTTGAAGTCAGAGAAATATATATATATATTATATTATGCGTAATCGTTATTCGTCCTCTTCTTAAGCTCTCGTACTAGCAGCAAAACACACGCGCGCGGCGCTTCCTTTTTTCCACTTTCCGAAGAAGGTGGATAACGTGTAGGTAGGTAGTACTACTACTACTAAACTATCTTCCCTCTCGCCTTCGATTCTGAGTAAGCGAAAATATATATATATATATACATGACATGATGCCGCGGCGCGGCCGAGCAGTAGTGACACCACTGGCATCATAATTTAGTTCAAGGGAAAACAACAACAACATGGAACAACCTCTCTGGCAGTTCGGTTCGGGTTTGTTACATAGCGTACTCTCCGATCCGGGCCCATTACATAAATTGTTGCAACTCGGCGATTTAGCCGTTAGTGTGCCGTCGATTGTGTGTGTGTGTGTGTGTATTGCTTGTAAGTACTAGTACTGCTACATACGTGGTACCCATTGCCACCTACAGTACTACTAAGCCTTGGCACCCGATTCTCATTGAAAAACGAATGATTCTAGTATGTAAAGAAAAGGGGGGAATTCAGCTGGGCAAGCCCGCGGAAGCCTTTTTGCACACCACAAAAAAAAAAAACTGGCTTCGGTTGGTGGGTGATGCATGATGATCAAATTTAGAAGAAAAGTTGAGAGGGGTGCGAGAGATGGATCCGAGGGGACCCTTATCTTATAAGGTACTAGTATCTTCTGCTGTTGCTCCGCATCAAACGCAGGTGCAGGCGAGTAAGTACGCGGTTGGGGGGGAGGGCAGTTTCGGGACCGATTGCCTGAGAGCTCGGTAGCAAAAAAACAAATGGCTTTGATCTTCGATTTATTTTGTTTGATAGTATCAAACAAAGTTGCACTTCTCCCCCAACATCACACGTGCGGTTGGCGAATGAATGTTCTTAAGTCTTAGAATGAGAGCAAATTTACATAAAGCTAAGGGGTTTGGGTCTTTGCATGTGTTGTAATCCCCGAGGCCGACTCGGAATAACGTCGCATGGTTTTGCGCCACGGGGATAAATAAACATTTACGAGAATAGAATATCCATTTTTACCCCACGCGTGGGGTAAAAATGGATTACAGAAGTGGGGCCTGCCATATACGGGATTTATGGCAAATGACAACGGAGCTTCGCGCACGCCCGACGCCTTTTTCTTCTTACTACGCCTTTCCTGTAACATGAAATATGGCCCCTCACCCAATCTCATTCTACAAATCCTTTTTACGCAACCAAACTTTTCTGATCAGTCGCTTTTGCTACCACAAATGGTATATATACGCCATTTTTTTCAATTCCCTGTTACTCTGTATTCAGTTAGGCTGAGGCTTGCACAGGACCGAGGCTGGATTGACTGGCTCGGGCGGCAACAGACTGGATCACTGAATCTATGTGTTCTGCCATGCAGTACAGAGTGCAGTCGCGCACGCGCCCTCAGTCAATCCTGTTTCTGATTTTTGTACGAGTATGCTCATACATATGCCAAGCGGGCCACACACCCGGAGTTAAGTTTAAAACGTACGGATTCATCCATCCATCCATCCATGTACGACAAATCGACCTCTGTTGGGGTTTAAGCTAGGCTGGTCATGCAGCTACCATTATTGGGTATTCGGATCGACTTCTGCGTGCAGAGCTTACTTGAAATTGGGTATTAATGCGGTACAAATACTTACTAGTCGTATTGACAACGCGTAACTGCGACGCCATGCACTGAGTGTGGTTACGTGCATGCAATCATGATCCGCACAGTACATGCAACTTGACCCAGCGTGCGTGCTGTGCGCACACGGTCGCGCGCGCCTGGGCTTATCGTGCGCGCGTTGCGCCGTCGAATCATCGACAGCTTTCAAAATCGAAAATGTGATTAAATTAAGTAAGCTATATCTGGTACATCATCATAACAGCTTGTACTTGTACTTACTATATACAGCTTCATCCCCCATGCATGATGGGGTCGCGCGAGTTTTGGGGTCAGTACGTTCCCGCATGATCTCATTTTCAATGGAACAAGTACCGAGCGATAGAAGGGCGAAACTCTGCAAAGCGCGTGTTGCTCAGCTGCCTCAAGTTCTTCTTCTCGTCATGCGTCATGAACGAGGACTTCATTCTAATTGAAGAGACTTGCATGGTCACAACTACGAGAACTTTATATAACAGCTACAAGTAGCTTAGTGCATGCTTCCCGATTGCGCGCAATGTGATCAATCGGTCGGAGTTGAACAGTTCAGCCCTTGTTCATCTCGTCTCCCCCCCCCCTCTTCTTCTCGTTTCATATCGGTTTCATATCGGTTCTAACCAACGAAGGATATCTCGAATGACAAGCTTGCTTGCTTGGTTGCTAGTCACGCCGATCAGAACCTCATCCAATTCAACGGAGTTGCCCGAATTCGAATTAGTTTCACCAAGCACTTAGTTTGTTTTCTCCCACTTGTGGAGCTTGCATGGAGCTTGCAGCCCGTTATCGCACAACACACATCCACGGTACAGCCCATCATCCACCAACCCCCCCTCCCCGAAGCTTCGCCGGGGGGGGGAGGGCACCTCCCATAGAAACCTTACCCCCGCTTGTCCCGATTGGTTGATCTGCCATCAGAGCATCAATCGGAAAAATTAAACTGCGCAAGCCTTTTTTTCTGATGCTCCAAGTGTTGTTATTTTAAAATATGCATGTTCAACTAACTTCGAGACGGGTCGAGTGTGGCCCAAGCTCTCGATCTCCTGGGTTTTTCTATCAGTTGATGGCCCTTCTCATGCCACGACTGCAAGAGCTCTGTGTGTGTGTGTATGCATTGGGGTGTGAAAAATCCCCTTGATCTTACACACCCCCGTCTCTCGTCCCTGAGGAAATGCACAGCATTCTTCATATCTCTCATCCCCATCGCAACGATGCTACGTAGTAGTTTTTTTTAAAAAAACAAAATAGGCTCAACTTGCGTCGGATTACTTAACTTTGACATACAATAGGGGGTTGTTGTTCGTACTGGTGAAAATTCATCAGATTAGCTATGTAATATCGTTGTCGACACATCCATTTACATAGGATGTGCCACTTGTGCCAACCGCTGGCTGAACCCTTCCATTTTGCATACCGGTCCCTTCACCCTTTTCTTTTCTTCCTTGATCAAGGAGGGGAGGGGAGGGGGGGGGAGAGGTTTCTCATGCATCATTAGAAACGTTGTTAGTAACGACGAAGCTGGTGTTTGGTTCAATTTTGATTGTCAGCTAGCTATCACTGGTGTTCGATCTGGTAGTCACTTGAAGGGGGAAGGGGGAAGTGAGAGCCTGAGGGCGCTAATCCCGCAATATTTGGCTAGCTAGTATCACCTCGACCCACTGGTCGCAGCGTAATGCGATTTGGCCTTTTTGATTGTTTCGCTGATCAATATGTAATGCGGTGTTATCTTTGGTTGGTGATCGATATGATTAATTTATGCTATCACTTTCGGGGTGTGGGGAGGTGGGGAGGGAGGGAGGGGTGGAGCATCAAATTCACTTTGTCTCTGATCCATCGTCGGAACCTCCGTAATAATTACGCCACATGAAAACGATCTTGCATTTTTTTTTCGGGGGCTTGACGCTGGTGCGAAATCCCCCCAACCCCCCCTTCCCTCATTAATGATGTCTTACATCCTTAAAACCTATATACCTCTATCAATTCGGGATGACTCCGTTGACCGGCTGGGCGGCCCAGCATCATTTGTCAAGGGGAATATTGCCGTGTCCGCTTCGGGTTGTGTGTGGGGGTGATTTACTTAACAGAAGTGCGTGATCTTCGGCGGACTCGACTCCTTTTTTTGGTCCGGTTGCCATGATACTTAATCCTTGTGCGCATGGTTGAATCTAATCCATTTTTTTACCTAAATTTCCTTCGCTTGACTTTTGTTGTCGTTACCGTACTGTAATGACGTAAAAAGGCTTTTTCATTTCCTTGCTTGGGTCTCAGAGGCTAAATCGTTCATGTTGATTTCAGACCAATATTTGCGGGTGGATGTATATATCCTCTGACACTTGGTCGTCTTCCACAAACTACTTTTGTTGAAGGGACCTTCCCGGGTACGTTCTGTGCTGCTGTTGGTCTTATCTACCTGCCAGTGTAGGCAACTGCCACCAACCGAGTGGACACTCCCGTTCACACTCCCGTTCACACGGTCGGTCCCGGGAACATCTTCCCTCTCGCTCTGCCCTCTTTCAGGAAGTGGATTATTAATTATATCGAGCTTGGGAAAGATTCCGAATCCGCAAACCATGTGCCATTTCCTCAATTTTTTAAGTGTTATACGTTTCCGCCATTCACCCACATCTCTTGAGTCTCTGCCGCGCGCGGAGTGTGGAAGTTGCTCCGCGTGTTAGAACTGCAAGCGCGTGGGAAGTTCTACTGCCGGTACCGTTGGCTGTGTAAGGTCGTTTTCGAGGGTTCATATGAACCGCAATTATATCCATTACTCGGCTTCTTTTCCCTGTTACTTCCACTTCTCTAGCGTGTGCATGGGCGCTTGCGTTCATGCTCCGAATCTAGGTGCATAACCTCACGAAATCAGACGAGTTGATTCGGCATACGGGTTACTGGCCGATTGGTTTATCTGGGTTTCTTTCTTTCTTTTTTTTTTGGTGGAACCCCAGTAGCTTTCGCGGATACATTGTATTTGGGGTTTGTGTTGGGGATCGGTGATCCCCGGGAATTTATCTGGGTTTTTGGAAGGTGTCGATAACAGTAGTGACTGTCCCACCCACCGGAATAACACCGGAAGTAGCAGAAAGGGATGTTTGGAAGAGAAACGCAAGTGGGGACCGGGTTCCGTAAGTTTCCCTTTTCCTTCGACTCCATTCAACTGATATAGTTTCGTTCTGTGGAGCTGCTCCTGCAACTACTGGAGGTTTCCAGGAGCTTTTTGAAGCCTGGAAGATAAGTGTGTATACCCTAGAAGCATTGGTATCAGAATCCAGTGATCAAGCAGATGTGTAAACGCATGCTACATTTAATTTCAGTCTTTTCAACCGTGACGTCTAGTGTGAGAAGGAGATCGAATGCCTGGTTGCTTAGCTAACGCTGCATGGGTGCGGTGCTCACCGTTCGCCTGTAACAAGTTCTCCGTGGGGGATGACGGGGCGGTGACTAGGCTTTCATGCCACCGTGCGCAGTCCGGAGTGTTACCTAATATAATCCCATGGATCAGCTATGATATGATTATCGGGGTTGGGCTCATGTGGGTGCACATTCATGAATGATGTGCTTAGTCGATAGATATAAGTACAGTGACCTAATTGACCTTTGATGGTTGGCTCATGGCACCTTCGCCATTATGTGAGACGGTGAGTACTACCGCGCGTGGTTCTCTTCCATCTTACTGATCACTGCTGTGCATCTATTGTCAAAGAACTGCTATTGAGTAGCCCCGGTTTGCAGAAATCAAAGGGCTCATCCATCATTAGTGGCTTGCGCACTGTGTAGCGATGGTGGTGGTTCTCTCTTGTCACTCCGCGATCGCATGACGTCGCAACAGTACTGCGGCTACCTCTATTGTAGTCTACAGCGAGTTTACTCTGCACACGTAGCTGTGAGCCACTACTAAGTCGCGGGGAGTCGGCACCGAAGGCCCAAACGTAACACCTGGGTGTTTCACATTGCTTGATTCCTGGATATGTATTTGTTCCACAACGACTTGCTCCTACGGCGCCTCAACAGTCACTTTGCAGTACAAATCTTGAGATGTACGAATATGTCATTGTCATATCATTCCTTCTTCGGCTGTCTTGAGCGCACATGCATCTTCTTGGTGGTCCCACACGCTTGATGCATGATCACTGGGCTTGGCTCGCATTCACGGTCCACTCAAGTCACTGCGGTCGCCGTGGAGCCACTACATGGCGTGTGTGTATCATTTTTAGCTCCGTATCTGTGCCTGTTGGCATATGACGAAGCGTACAATGGGTTACCCTGCACGCAATCAGTACACGACCGCGTCATTCTTTCCAGCTCCCCGACCGTCATTCGCTGGTATGTCCCATCCATTCACCCATTACCATTTCTTCCTGCAGTCGCCGGTATCCACAAGACCGCTCCATAAGTTTAAGGACCGAAGTCCTGGATGAAGGGGGTTAACCGGGTAGCCCACTAACGGTGCTGTTGTGGATTACCTGTGAGCGACGGTAGCAATGGTGCGTAAGGGCCAGAGTCGCTGGGCGCCCATCCGGACGCACTAACGATACGGTGCTGCGGTTGTGTACGTCGAGAAAGAAAGGAGAACATGAATAAAATGCATATTTCCGCGAAGCAAGGAGTGCATGAGGCATATGGTGAAGAGGTGACGCAGAACTACGTAGGCGACTACCACGTGTAAGCGTTGTCCACGTCCACTCACACACCCGGGAGAATCTCTTAGAGCCAAAGCTAGCTAACTACATTGGGCACTGGGGCAGCCTCTGGACCACCGCAAGGTGGATTCTTGACATCCCAGCGCGCGGTTATCCGCACATGTCGGTCAACAGACTTATGCCCGAGCCGTTAACTTTCGAGTAGAAATTCCCACACGCGGGACTCGCTCCACTGATCCACTGAAGACGAATGCGCAGTGATAAATTTGATTCCCTTACACGCAAAAATTCTAGAGGGAAAATATGAAGTACAATACATAGGAATAAAAGGAAACAGCTGCGTTCTTCTCCTCTTCCTAGGAATCCCCACGGAAACATGGGAACGAATCCCGGGTGGATGATCAGACAAAGATCCTGTTTTTTTTTTGTTTCTCTGGCTTCTTCCCAAAAGATTTTTGAGGCGAGCAGCATGCAACCAGCGCTGAAAAGAACCAGGCTGGTTGGGTAGAATTGATGTCTGCGAAATCGCTCGCGTTTTTGGTCGGATATGGGAATCGCTCCATCAAAGTTGGCGTGGTGAATACACTCTCCGGCATGTGCTCGGGTGAGAGCATTCAATCGCAGCGGAACGACCTTCGACGGGAATTCGAATGGAACGTCTGAGAAGCCTAGTATGCTTACTGATGCTGGAAGCTATGGTTTCGAATTTCGAGTGGGCCTTCTCGAACACCATGCAATAGAAGGAAGTCTTAAGATGCAGCATAACGCGCTAGAGAAGGCAGGGAGGATTCTATTCCCTAATCTAGTTTCAAATAGGCATCTAGAAGCCGAAGATATTTCTCATGTGGCTGGGCTTCTAGGATCTGAACCCACCGAGTGGCTTTTGTCAAATCAAGGAGCTTACGTCCTAGGAGCCCAGGGTAAGTCTCGCTCGGTGCGGACAGCAGTGAAGATCCTTTGTCCGGTTGCTCCACGATGACGGGCACCCAAAGCCCGGGGCATTTGTTGGAGCTCCGAATTGTTGAGCCATGGCATCGGCAGAACATGGACGAACTCGGCACCGCATTTTGATACAGTAGGTCATCACGCGAGGAATAAGAAGGCCCGGAATGCGCGATGTTGAGGGACATAACATCTCCCATTCGTTGCGGCATATAATTAGCGCAATTGATGAAGTGGAGCCAACCTGGGTGACGTTGTTCGAAGGAAACTCATGAACAAAGAAGGAACATCAGAAGATATCTTCCCTCTCGCGCACTAGTGTCTGAGCGTTGCAAAAACTTTAATTCCGTGCCCAGGGTCATGTGAACAAGCGCAAGGTCGGTCCTCTAAAACACATGCAAGCAGAAAAACGGAGAAAGGCATCGCAATCAATGAACAGGACTGGCTCTTGGCATTCTATGCTTTCTCAGTGAAACGAACCTGATTACATTAAGCCTGACCGTTGACGCGTTACAGCGATAGCAAGAGGATTTGGCTTGTAATCACGCAAGGGGCTTCGAACCATGGGACTAGTGCTACCGAGTCGCAGGGGTAGAAGACCCTGACCTGAAATGGAGCTGCGAACTATGGACTTTCACCCTGAAGTAACGCTGGGATGTTCGGTTGGACGCTGGACACAGCAGCCAGAATGCTGTCGAGGTGAAGCCCAAAGGGATTAAAGACTATAATTCCTATTTTGGTCGCGTGAATATCCAGACTGCACTTGATAATTGATGGGAGTTGAGCACTGTATCAGAGGCTGTCTCACTCGTTGGGGTGAGCTCAAACAGACGAAATGACCAGGGCCGAGTGGGAATATGTTCAATGCCCCCAGCTTGAGGGTTGTGTGGGATTCAGTCCGCGGTTGCCCAGCGTTGTTGTTCTCACGATGGTCATCTCGGCACAAAGATACTTCAACAAACAAAGCGTCCGATGGGATCGACCTCTTCTTCGTCACCTTCTGCACTTCCTGTGATACGGGACTCGGAGATAGTCGTAGGGTATAGACGGTATGACCCTCTTCGAGACATATCCAGCATTATGAGCCTTGTGGGCTCAGAGTTAAGCGAACCCTATGTGATCTACACTTACCGATATTTTTTGACAAGTTGGTACGTGCTCTATCCATTAATCATTACTTATGTTCCTCTCCTTCTGAATTCCTTTACTCTACGGAACCTTCGGCCCCATCCCAGGCCTCATCTGTGTTTCATTGTAAGGCCGTTCACGCCCTGCCATCTCAACGGGTCCCCCTGACCAGGACTTACTTATTGTTGATTCTATGCTATCACCGATCCTGACTAACCTCAATAACAAATTCAAGGCAGTAGCCAAGTCAAACCAAACTGCGCCAAATGCCAACCTTAGCGGTCCTCCTCCACCTCCCCCTGAGCGTCAGATAGGCGTGGTAGTTTCTAGACAAGACATACACAAAAGCAAGAAGAACCGAGGGTATATCGCAATGCTAAGTGTAGATAAGGGATTTCGCAAGCGAGGCATAGGCAAGTGTCATCGCCGATATGATTCCTCTGGGGAGACCTAACTTCCCCGCACGATATGCGGCCAAACGTTCCTCTTAATCAGCTACTAAACTAGTGACCATGTCAATAGATGCGATGAAAGCGAACTCAGCTCAAGAGGTAGTGTTAGAAACCATCTAATATACTACTGATCACTATCTCACATTTGGCAGGTTGTCCTTGAAACAGAAGTAGATAATGCGACGGCACTCTCTTTTTATGAGCGTATGGGATTCATGCGAGAGAAGCGGTTATTCAGATTCTACATGAATGGGAAGGATGCCTTTCGGTATATACTCTTATTTCGCCTCGGACCTTTTTTTAAATATCCTCCAGGCTCGTATTGCCCCTTGAATCCGAAGACCCTAGCGGCACGCAGCAATCCTCGCACTTGTCACATATTGACTCGTCGTCTGTTCCTCCAGGACCAGAGTCGCCACCTACACTCGCACTTACCGACGCCGTGGGACCCGACGACTCGGAAATTAGACCGTGACACCAAGACTTCTCGCCCTACCAAACTTGGAACAGCCTGATCCATCTAGGCCTGGGTCAACCCCAACGCCCATGCCTCGGCTTCCCGTGGAAAAGTTGAGGGGATTGATGTCAGTACTGGAACCGTTGAGGATGGATTGCGAGTAAGTGTTGGAGGGAGTGGATTGACGTGTGTGTGGCTTTGGATACCGTCAGAGTCGCCGAATGACGACCAACGATCCTGATAGTTTTTGGTTGGTGTTAGATAATGATCCCAGTATCTGTATTTGTACTGACTCGTGTGCCATTGCGGTGTATCATCCCGTCAGCGCTCTTTCTCGTCTCGCGGCATGTGTCTCGTGTTCAATGGTCGTCGTGAATATTCTACAAAATCGTGGCTGATGATAAGACGTTCGCTGGATACAGGTAAGGGGTGGAGGTTCATATTTTGAATCGATTGCTTCACATCTCCGATGTCGCAGACCTAGCGGTTTTGTTCAAGTCTCGTGTTATGGCTGCGGTTGGTTCCTCTGTCGTGCGCATGTTAGCGAAGCAGGCGTCTACTGCGACACCCACTGAGAGACTGGAATATGTACTTATCCATGGGACACTCAACTTATATCCTCTCATCCACATGGATTTGTCTGTGCATTATGGTGCAGGTAGCAAAGAGGAAGACCAATGATAAAGGGAAGTAGGACCCAAGGTCTCAAGCGGACCTGGGTTACTCCATCAGTGTCCCAGAATGGTGACCGGGATAGGAAAGAGCGTCAGGTAGAGTTTCGAGCGAATCCATCAAACCCGCAGATGAATAGCAACCAGATATCGAGGTGGCATTCAAATTCAGAAGCAGCCGTTCATATCATCACTGAGCATGGTTAAAATTGTGTGATTGTGATTTATGTTGTGCATGTGGCTGACATGGGTGGGAACTCTCGCCATCCATTCTAGCTGTCGCATTCAACTCTTCGTGCGATTTTTCTAGCACTAAAAGCTCTCTCAAGTAGCTCGCTCCAGAAGGTGGTCGGAAACGTCTCAAACAAGAATATACATCCTTGAAAAAGGACGTGGTGTATTGGACTCAAGGTTGTCAGCACGCAACATAAATAAAGTTGCAAATTCCGTCACCAAACAGCATTTGTTGAAGGTCGGTGGGCAGCTCCTGCTACCACCAGTCATCCTCGCGTGTTTGACACACTGTACCGAATTACAGACAGCCGACCCAGCTCTGACTCCAGCCCGAGCTCTATACTTAATTCTATGAAATGTCCATCAGCACGTTGCAAGATAGCGATGACTGCCGGAATAATAGAAGAACAATCATTCAGACTTCCAACACCCAAACTTTCTGAGCAGGAACTTCGACACTGATTTGGTGAAAAAATCAGTTTCATCTGGACCGTCGGCTTTTCAAGTCCCTGTAGAGATTTTTGCTCCTGAATGGGCAGGATCCTCTACTAAAGTAGGGTATTGCCTGGTCTACCACTTACAGAGACCACAGTGCCTATACCACTGTGTTGACACCCATGAACTAACCGTTTGCTAAATACCACGACTTGCTTGCCGCTGTCAATCCAATCTCGGAGATCTCCGGGCCCCCATTGCCCACTGGCACTCAAGTATTAAGAGCCCCCGCCCGGGATGTCTGATCTCCCTACGATGATCGATGAACTGGACGCGCTCTTAGATGCACTAAATCTTTACATACCTGCGAATTCCGCCAATGCCACGCCTGTCCTACTCCAGCACCATCCATCTGTGCGCGCGGAGATGCTAGAGCACCTAAGGGACCATATTCACAAAATGGACGGGCAGATGGCCCGTATGAGCATTACTGCGCAGAAGTTCAAGCAATTCGAGAAGAACATGGTCCGGTGCCATAGTGCTTTCCAAAATGCGCAATCGCCTATATTTTCCCTGCCACCTGAAATCTTACGCAATATCTTCGCTAGGGTTGTCTGCGCGAGTGATGACCGAGTGCTTCCGGAGGAATTATTACTAGTTTGCTCCGCCTGGAAATCACTAATTCTTTCTTCTCCGGAGCTTTGGACGGGTATCGAGGTGGACCTGAAAAACCCCAATCGCTCTCGCGCTTACGTCGAGCTTTCGAAGCCATGGAAAGTACAAATCACTCTTCTCAAGCCAAACTTTTTCGATTTGTCTGGTAATACGCTTGGAACGATTCCTTCATGGATCGCCAGTGAGGATGTTGCCTCCCGGCTGACGTGTCTCTGCGTGCAGTTAGAGACCCACTTCACTCAGTCAGTATGGGCATGGTTAATTATGAGAGATAGTCCCCTATTTGTCAATCTCTCAATCCTGGAGATTGTCTACTTCGCACATGGGGGATCCGAGATGCCTCTGGACCTGTTCTTAACCGACACAAAGTTTCCTCGTCTCACCTCACTCCGTCTCTCCGGGGTGATACTAACACCTACATCTCCGGAGAAGGTCATGAATATTCAATCTTTGTTTCTGGAAAACTTCTTTGTGGACGATGCCGCTTTGGTAGCTCTGATGCGGAGTTGTCCTCAACTGCACACCCTTCACATGCGTGATGGTTTTCCTGAGCATACCTTCATGGGCGTATCCCTAGTCCATCTCCCTAATCTTCGAGAATTCGAGGTTTCATCTTATGATACCCTTATAATAATCGATCTTTTGAGACGGATCGAGGCACCCGGAATTCGCACACTCAAAATTGCATCTTTTGATACATATACGCTTTTGGATGAGATCAGGGCCGTACCTCATACTGCGCTGGATGCGTTTGTGCGTTCTTCATCCTCGGTCTTCCGCCATGGTGAACTCACACTACATCCTTTGGTACAGTTGTCGGCAATTGCGAACCAGTCGCTCAATGAACTAGAGATTTGTAGCCAGACCCACACCATGACCCTCTTCTTAAGCATGCTCTTAAGGGAGGCTCAACTGCGTGGGTCAAGTGCTTTTCTGGGATTGAGACGCTTGATGTTGCGGATCCCACTTCCTGATTCTTATGATAGCGGTGATGGAAACGGAGCTTCACAACTCCGGGCCCTGATGGAACGCCTTCATGAGCGGGGTGCTCGATTGCAAATTTTGGAGGTCACCTCGAATTTCATCGCGAATGGCTCCGAAACGTTGGGGAAATATGTTGGGGCCGTTCATATCATCCCTGATTGAGGTTATAGCTGACACGGATACGCCACTGGAAGGGAGCGGAATCGGCGATGCTTACGGATGGCCAATATTCAGTTGTCGTCTGACGGCGTGACTCACAACGATTGGGTTTCACTCGACTACCACTCCGCCAGTTTTGAAAGAATCACCAATGAATCTGATGTCAGTGTGATCAGGGGCGACTGCATGATCAAAGACGTTGGTTCCTGCTAGAGGTCGTCCTAACATTGTTGTTTCGCAACGCTCGAATTAAAGCATGGTGGAATGGGGAGGAGTGTTGGGGGTGATTCTGTTGCGAATGTATCTGCGATTCCATTGGGTTCCCAGTGCCCCAGGCGGAATTTTTCAATATTTAATCTCGGAGACTTTCTGTGTGTGACTTCAAGAACTTGACAGCAGCTAATGTATCAAATACATAAATACCACGACGTTGAACTTCCACCCGGGCTTCCTACTATGATCAATGAGCTGGACGTGCTCGTGGATGCACTCAATCTTCACATGTCTGCGAGCTTCGTCAATCCTATTTCCATTCTTCTTCAGCACCCTCCATTGCTGCGTGCCAAGATGACAAAGCTCACCAAGGATCATCATGAACAAGTAAATAGCCCGTATAGGCATTATTACGCAGAAGCTCAAAGAGCTCAAAAAGAACATGATTCGGCATCACAGTGCGCCCAACATATACACCGCCCATACTTCCCCCGCCACCCGAAATCCTACACAGCATCCTTTCTTGCGTTGTCTTTGTCGATGATAACCAGGTACCTATGGAGGAACTGCTGCCTGTAAGATGATTTAGTGAACGAATGAACAAATGAACAAATGAATTTTAAAGATGGGAGGTGAGTAGATGGCATGTGATGGTGAAAAAAGGGGACCCTGTGCATCGCGAGCTCCAAAAATTTGCAGGACCCGCTACGGAGTAGCGAGGACCGGATTTATTGATAACACCGCGCACTTCCACGACGTCGATTGGGTGTCCGGTGCAGGCGATCGGCCATTTGCACCATGTCGATTGGTCTCAGGTCGCCACCTTTCCACATGATTTGAAGATGCACAGATTGAACCTGATTATGTGGGATGTCCTTTGACCTGCTGCCAAAGAGGATAGAACAGCACCGCTAGTATCATAGTACCCTGAGTTACAGGGCATGTATGCAAAGGCTCGCTGATCTTCTACTGGAACTACGCGCGCCATCTTGAAAGTGGCGCAAGTGCCGTTGAGACGAATCGAAGGTGTCAGGTATTGTCACCGAATCGCGCAGCTGGAGAATTGTTGCTTACTTAATCCAGCCGTCATTACGCTGATTAGCCGATTAGCCTCACGACATTTTCTCAGCGTGAGCGCAACGTTCCTTCGGGCCACTCGTGAGGCTTCGTACGCCATTTAATCAGGGGCACGTCAATTTTCCGGTCCCGCCCGCTTTTGTCTTGAATTTGTGTTATCTTATTTCCTCTCTCAAATAATTTTCCTTCACAGGTGTGGTATTCTAGACCACCGGGCGACTGCTCTCCTCAGTTGCACCTATTAGTTCCCTTGTGAAGCATTATTTTACCCTCTCAGCCCACTTGCTGTACGGCAGAGTAAGCGGGTCCATCATTCTAACAAGCTACGAGTGCACTCAAGCCGACCTCGAATTAGATGACACAATACATATACGTGAAAGTGAAATATAACTGTCCGCGGCTGGCGGATGAGCGTTAATGGTGTGACAGAGTAGAATTTGCTTATCATTAAAATCGAACATAAAATATAAGGTCCATACAAGGTCCAAAATAAGTCCTAGGATTCTACCGAGGCACTATCTAGTAAGTTCTATCATCGGGGGCGAGGGTCGTATTGCGGATAGGAATCAAAGAAATTGCGGGCGGCTTCATCCCGAGCATACCCCCTCTTCGTTCCTGTGCCAGTGAACTCTTTTCCAAGAACTGCAGTGCCGCGCATAAGGACAGGTGTCGCTTTCAAACAGAGAAACGACAGCTCCACTCACCGTACAAACGTGCTTCGTGAATTATACTTCCTGCGCCTTGGTGAACACGATCGTCCTATGAGAACGTAAAGAACATTGGAGGGGACCACGGATGGGTGAATCAATGAAGAGCTTACCCAATCAAAACGTAACTTCGAGCGTTGTGCAGCAGTGTTAAACTCCACGGCATTAGTGTTGCGAGCTGTCACCACGCCTCAGTTCAGTGCTACCACGAAAAAGAGGATAACCACTCACACATAGTTGTATGTGCAAAAGTCGGAGGGGTAGCGAAGGCGTTTAGTGGTAATGTAGAGGTGTGTGGGTAGGAGACTTATGGGCTGGACTCGTACCCTTTTATCCCAGGGAAGAGAGTAAAGGAACTATGCATGTATAGGCATCCCGCGGAGAGATAAGCGCCATGAGTTAAACCTCCACTTATAAGAGCAGTGCAAAAATGAGCCTCAGCGGAATTCCAGAATCAAACAGCGCGCCGATTTGGGCCCAGCGAGACGCCCAGAATACAAAGTAAAACGCAGAGTGACACCAAAACCCTCATGTTATGCGTCCTTACCCCTATCCCAGTAAGCAGATGGGCGGAGCAATTGACGGGCGGAATTGATTGAGTGTGGCTGAGTGGTTCCAAACGAAGGCCTGTTGCGCGATCAGTGCGCGGAGCAGACAGAGACATGCGCCTGTGTTGTTCGAGTACAATAGAGATGGCTCTGATTGAGAGACCGCGCGACGAGCGTGCCGCGCTTGTCAAGCACAGTCGAAACGATTATTGGAACACCGCTCCGCAGTCAATAGGGGGCTTCTCATACGAGTCATGAGAAACTCTAACTTGTTAGCCATTGTCCCTGGCTGTGATTGGGACGTGAGGTCTCCTCAAGAAGTCGTGTTTAGCTGGCAACGTTCAGGGCCCACGTGACTATTGGCAACGATTCTATCAGCTGGTGGTGGTTTGGTTCATCGCCGGTTTTGATCATCGAGTGGTTTCTTGGTGTTTTGGTTAAGATTTGATCGGTCAACGAGGTCTAGCTTTTCAGTTATGACCTTAGCTGTATGGTAGCGGAGTTGTCCGAATTGATTGTTATATTGTTGTATTAAAATTCACTGATTTTATTTCAAGCCGGTGTCGTTGTTGTCATTCTGGATGGTTAGCTAGCCCGCAAAGCTCAGGCTGCTCCTGAGAGCGCCAAGGGTGGGGATTTTCGGAATGTAACAATACTCGTCCTACCCTAGTCACCAAATTGAAAATATTCGGATGTTAATTTTGATCGAACCAAGTCGTGCATCACCTTCAAGGAAGAACAGGAAGCCTTAGTGTAGTTTTTGTTAAGCAAACTGCCACCCCCTGACAAACGGATTGGTATTTTCAGGTCATTAATCGCCAATTCTCCAGCGTTTTTACAGTTCGATTCAATTTTTCCTGGATTTCCTTTTCCCTGCAATCACGTTTCCCAGTACTGGCCCTCGAGGAATGGGTGTTGTTTGGAGACTGTTGTATTGGCTGGCCGTCTCTTGTATCTAAGCCGTGCCACAAGGCCAGCATGACGCGTGACAAGCTCTTGGTCGTGTGCAAACAGTATACAGCTGCGTTGCCAGTGAGACGTTAACTTGCAGAGCACATTTCTACGCTTGTGCAGCAAAGAAAGCCAAGCGTTCGCGTGACCCTTGCGGCAACTCGCGTGAGAATTTTCATTATTCGAGAACATCCACCAACATCGTGCTTTTCAGTCACAAACTCCGACGGTGGAGATGCCTTGCAAGATCTTTGTCTTGGCCTTTACTGGTGGAACGACAAGCCTAGTCGTGGCATTTTGTGCCCTCTAATATCGTGCGCGAATCTCTTCCCTGATCGAACCAACGTAAAGCATTCGATCACAAAACCGACATGCCTCTCGAATGAATCTGATCGGAGAGTGGCTCTGGTGCTTCCTCCCGCAGTCTTACATAGGAGCATCCCATTCTCGCCTAGTTGCCGCGGGGTTTTCTTCAGCGGGAATCAAATTCCTCTCAGTGACTCGGTATCACGGCGTCAAACTTGAAAATTCCGCATCTCATATGGGTCAAAGGGAGACTCCTATGTTTGCGGTGCATCGGAAGTTGCGCGCTTTATGATTTCCTCCGCGCTCCGCCCAGCTCTCATTAGCGCGTCAAGTCACAAGCATCCAACTTGCACTACGAACACCTGAGCCGCAGCTGCAGTTCGATTGTCATTCCGCGGAACATGTACACAAAATTCCGATTCCATGTTCCATTTCCTAGCCCTCGAGGTATAAAATCTGCAATCTCTCGTGCAAAGAGTCCCTCAAGCGACTTGACCATCACCTCATCGCAACCCTCAGGACCTAACAATGTATCCCAATCCCATTCAAAATGGTCAGTACACGTCCTTCTTCTAGGATTTGTCTCTGACATGGACACCCTGTCACCTAGCTATGGGACCCAATGATAACGCGATTCAGTTAAACTCTGCTGCGCAACGTTATGGGCTTCAATACTCATGGGTGAGCCTTCCATGAACCCCATTCAGTTACACAGGCCCTTGACTCATGCGCACTCATATAGGCTGATTTTCAACACCTGGGCCCCCACCATACAGTGAACCACGAGTCACACCTTTACAGTAGGATTGATCTCTTTCCAGGAAAATATGGGACTAATCTTGGTTGGATTGCATTGTAGTTTTCGGTTTGATGTTCCAGGGCTGGGGAAGCAGGAAGGGGCATGCCAGAGATGAAGCAGCGTACAATTTCTTCTGCTCGTACCCTCAGTATTATCCCAGGTAGCCCTCCGTCGCTGCACCATATCAATGTTGCGCCTTTTCCCTCCTCACCCTTCGCTTCTACGTCTTCTTTACTTTCTGATACCCATCTTATTACACGTGTACTTCTTTTCTCCCTCCCCATACTTTCAATCACTGAGTAATGCCAGTACTTGCTTTTTACGCAAATTGCAGCCCGGCACAGGGTTGTTGTGATTCATCATGAGGATTTACGACATGAAGCATTGAAATTCGGCCAACTTAGCTGTAACACTATGATTCAGTATACAATGCTCACCTAAGTAGAACATCATGAGGTCTGGAGTCTGGATTGCGTCGGAATACTGGAAGGTTGTCACGCGTCGGTCTTGTCATTTCCCTGGCCCAGCTCGCTGTCACGCATCACACTCTAGTGTCACGCATCACACTCTAGTGTCACGCATCACACTCTAGTGTCACGCTTGAAACCCTAGCGTCGATTGTTTGGAATATAGGCGTATGCTATGGCCAACTTGGTGTTGAGTCTTGCGGCATCTATGATTTCCTTTTCGTTCCTATTTGGATTGCTCGTAAAGTCAGTGCGCATGTAGCATGACTATAAAAACATAATTTTTAATTTTGGACCCGCACGAGTTTTCCTCAGTTCACGTACAAAGGAACTGAGGTGAGTCTGAACTTTTGTCGTGTCTATAACTTTGTAACTAAGCCCTGTACGCCAGCGAGAACGTCGCTAGTCCTTATAGATTAATTGTACTTATATTACAGGTGACCGGTAGCCCCGTTGCCAGAGGCCATATACTATGTAGTGTACATATTCCCGGAACAGCTGCCGTCATATTGATTCATTGAGTTCACAGTCCTCGATGCTGCTTCGGTCGCATTACGACAGATCTAATTCAATGGAGAAACAGTAATGAGTCATGGACGCTACAACGACAGAGATCGAGGACGCCAAACAGAACCGAATAGTGGGAAAACGTGTAAAAGAATTGAAACAGAGATAAAATGAGGCATTATAGAACGAATAGAGTATCCAAGAGAAAATTGTAGGTGAACGAAATGTGAATTATATCGTGTCTCCAAGATGAACGATGGAGAACGCGGTTAAGAGGGCCAATATTGAGGGAATGCCTGGAAGAACGCGGCGGCGGCGTAGTCTTTGGCAATTCCTTTCTTACTGTCCGTCCCAACAAATGTATAACCAAGAACTAAAGGGAGAGTCGTTAGTCCCAATATGGGGATATTTCAACTCCCTCAGACTCACTGGATAGCCGTGCTTCATGCACTACCACTCCATTTGGCGCGGTGTACGGCACGTCGAGCTTTAGCATGAAGAGTCATATCTCAACAAGAATAGTCAGATAAGAAGCAGAACGAGCCACCAACCCATGAGTACTGAAATCCATAGCGCTGAGCCGCGTCGTTGAGTTTGATAGCGTTCATTCGGCGTTGGGAGTCTGAATCAGACATCAGGCTTCAAGACACATGTCATCCGGGAGGCAAAACCCACCCATGAAGGGAATCTTTGATGCGTCTGAAGCTTTCTTCGAGTCTGAGGCTGTTTAGGAACTTTGTAGCTGGCTAGCAAATGATGGGGGAAAGGAAACACATAGCGAGCCCCTTTTAAAGCATGCAACCGCCTGGCGGCACAGAGTTAGAGGCAGTAAAAAACGTTCAAATCTGGGACCCATCCTCCCCATGAGAGTAAGCAATAAACGGGATGCAATACACCGATGACCTGATTCGTTACGCAGTGCCCATCAAGGAGACGGCTGTACGATAATATCAAGTGGTTCAAGCAAAGTCATCATGTTAAGAAGAACCGTATGGGAACCCCGTCGCCTATCAGGGTTGTAGAGAACGCGCGTACTTGAGTCACTTCGGGAGTGGATGCCAATCAGCCCATTGTGGCTGAACCGCCCAAAAGATCCGAGAACAACCGGCGAGAAATATTGGAAAGACATTACGAGTTCTGAACGTACAGCTGATGAAGCATAAACACTTAGGACTGTTACATAACTGTAATCATGGCAAGCTTCGCGCTTGCCGCGGGATGGATCGGAATTTCGAAATTGAGCAATCATCCAAATCAGCTTGGAAGATCGAAGGCGCCCTAAACAGGAGTGCGTCGGAGGGAAGATATACGCCCGGGTAAATGTGACATTCGCTTAGAATGTTTCACATTGCCCGTCGGAGTAGAGAGAGCTTAGTCAAATTGGTGATTAAGGAGCTCAAGTGGCTGTGCTAGAATCTCTCTTTAGCGCACGGCGCTAATTCAGGTAGACAGGCGTTTCAACCAGTTGCATGTTGACGCCCGCTTGTGGGTAACACATCCCCCTTGGGTAGTGACGTGGTCATGGGTTGAAATCAAGAGGGGTCCGGCAATATTAAGTCTGCCACCCGTTGGATAATAAAGATTACAGCACTGGTACCATATAGTATGTACATAGAACGTTAAATAGTGTACAAGAGCTAGTACAGATCGCTTCCGCTAGGAGTACTTAGGTACGACCTACTTATTCGATCTGCAGTAACGTCGCGGTTCTCCCGTGGCTCTTGAGAATTGTGGGTGGTCGTGGAGGGAAAAAATCAATTACAAAACCGCATTTAAGGTCCAAGTATAATAGTGATAGTAGTATAGAGGTGTTTGGCAGAACGGCGAAACTAAGATCGATATTGGGGAAAATGTTGAAAGAACACCGAAGCTGCTCTTTCCTTTGCGTAGGCTTTCTTGCAGTCCCTTCCGACAAATACGAGATTGAAGACTAATAGTTGTCAAATTAGATTGCTTATAACAAAATATGGGGATGTATTCACCTCGCAGACGTACTTCATGCTCAACTTTGCCCTTTGAAGCCATGTATTGCAGTTCGTCCTGGAAGAGAAAGAGAATTAAGTTGAAGGATGGGGATTTTTGGGAATATAGACTACCCAGGAGTAATCAAATTCATAGCGCTGGGATGCAGCGTTGAGGTCAATTATGCTTCTGCGATCGGCCGCTGTTGGTTCGTGTGGCGTCAGGTAGGGGATGAACAAGGATAAAAAGACGACTTACTCATTGTAGGGTTTGTAGTTGGATTTTCTGTCCTTGGTTGAGGAAAGAGGAGAAGAGGCAGGCATCTTTATACGCAGTGGAAGAGCATTCGAGCCAACGGGATGACTCCATCGGAACTCTTTCGGAAATGCGATGTGAGCGTGTTTCGAAGAGCGAAAAGCACAGTCCACCGCAGCATGCATACTTATTTCCGCGCTTCCTTATTTGAAACTGATAGGCGCGTAGCGCGCGTTATGGATACTTGACTGTTGGGCGGAAGTCACTCTTACGGAAAGTGACCCAGCCCGCGGCCGCCCCCTGCGCATTTTGCACAAGAAAAAAAACGGAGAAAATAACGCTCCTTGCCTAAGAAGCATGTGAACCTGCCATAAAGTGTAAACGCTGAGGCAGAGCTGTGTCGACGCGATTGCAAAAACAAGCCCAAGGTGATGCCACTTAAAGTTCGGTTCAAACTACGGGGTTGTGCAGGCTGAAGCACCAGAATTGCCAAGTCCCATAGAAGGCAGCGCGGAAAATCAAAATACCCGGATATGTGCAGATCGACGCCAGTGTTCAGGATGACAACGAAGGCCTCGCTTGTTTGACATGCTCTGTGGCTATGCAAGCCGCATGACTCGACCTGGGCTGCAGCATGACCTGCGTGTTTGTGGTATTGGTGGGTGGCAGGCAGTGCAGGCAGCGCGGGCCTTTTGTTTCTTTACCGCCGATACCTAGGGGGAGGGCGGTGGGTATCATGACCACTGGAAACTAAAGGCACGAGCTGACGCCGGGACATCTGGATTTAATTTGTCACAATTACGTATTGTGCAATCATTTTGCTGGTGTGAAACACAACGACGATTCAAGAATTAAGCGTTCGAGGGCGCCACCTCCTAAGGCGAAAGAATCAGTGTATGTCAGCGGCCCATCCTGGCAAACGCAACCACATGTAGCTCTTATTCTTGGACCCTTCCGCCTTTGTGCTCGCTGGCGGAGGCCCTGTACTATTTCTGGTACAAAGGCTCGCCGATAAAGGGGTGCTTTCAATGAGGCTATGTCCCGCTCGGATTGGTTTGGTTGGAATATTCATGCATGCAACGTTCAAGATTCTAGCGATATCAAGGGGTTTGAGGCTATTGATGTCCGCGACGGCGGCGCACCATGCTGTACTCTCTCCCCTTTTTTTGACACACGGGGACTTTGTGCGGTTCTCACTTTTCAAATTCCTAGTCGTGTTTGTCGCATTCCCTTGCGCGTCTATGTCGCATTCTGCGGATTTCGTGAACTTCACAGCTATTCCTGGGCCTACCTCATTGGTTCCCTTCGCTTTCTGCCGTGGATATCGGTCGTGTCAGTTTCTCTACTGTTTAAGCCTCCTCCGTTGCCGGTTCGGCTTCCCGTTATCTGCAAGCCTCCCAGTGTTTCCGCGTCATGTTAACGACAAATCAGTTCGGCGTCTGGCTCCGCAGTGCCGCCTTGCTGCGCCGCTGAAGCCGCCTTCATTGGCGGGAGGATATCTGCTGCGCCACCTGTCGTGGAATGTAATCGTTGCTGACTCTAACCCCGCGTTACTGAGGCGTTTTAAGTAGTTGATTATTACCATATCAAAGGCATCAGGCTTGCAGTTCACTCATCAGAGTCACTGTGTATTCTGCCTTTAAATCAGGTTCTCGCCTGCTTCTCCTGTTCCAAAAGAATCATCGAACAGCCATTTGTCCTTAGTGCTATCGTATGCAGGTTCTACTCATGTTATTCTGACATGCCGCAGTGATTCCTACGGAAATTGCGTTTCCGCTGAGAAGTCGTGGCATTGCCAGATTCGCTAACGGTGTGGTGCCGTGCCTAGGTCTTGCATCCCCCAGGAGGTAACGGGACTTAGACGCGTTTAGTACTCTTCGTTGTGACGGAGTGATCCGGCCACCAACATCGTTCCCATTTCGACTTCCAGATTTTTTCTTGATGATGGTGGCTTCAACCGTCTTTCCGCATATCCAGCTCCATCAGTTCAGCCTGTTGTGACTTACGCAGAGCCCTTTCCAACTCCTGTTTCAACAGTGTCGCCTGAATGTGGCTGTGCCGCGCGTCGCGCGCGCTCCTGGTTCCACCACAATTTCTGGCGTCAATACCTAAGGGGAGATTCCAGGAGATCACAAAGCCTCACCGTAGTTGACGTGAGCGCAAAGCGGGGCCATATCACCGTCACTCCGAATCAGTCGTGTCCGCGCGCTCGCAACTTGTGGGCCCGCCGGCGGGTGCGCGCGCAAGAAACGTAATATTGCTGAGACCATTGCCAGGCTGTCTTAGCTTCACAACAAAGGCAGTGCTATCCGTTTTCTGGCGCGTCTATTAGTTTACATTGCAATTTGGCATTTGAATTTCAGTTTTATATGGCATTTTTACGTTCTCTCGTTCAGACGCCCCGGCATCATACTTGTCTGGTGACGTGCACCAAGTATCTCTGCGTCTGCACCTAGGGGTTCATAAGTCATTTTCGGAGTCACTACCTCGCCGATGATACCCGGACCCAATGTCGCGCTCTCCATTTTCTTTGTCATCCCCTCGTAAAATACGGCCTTGATGACATATACGAATGACACATTGTTCTGAGGCATCTGTGAATGGATATGTTGGACGATTTGGAGCTCAAATGCTGCATTGCCAGTCCTATTGAGTAAATATGGGTGCTTGGGACATTTTTCGTGTACAAGCCGTACATGTTAATCTGCCAGCCATTATAGCATACTTTCGCTGATGCGTCTGCATCCCTAACTACCGATTGCGCTAATCAAGCCACTTTCAACATTGCCATCGGATCGAAAAGGCAAGGGCAGCCACCAACCTCCACAGGCTGCCTTAGTTTGATGAGTCAACTAGTAATTAAAGTTTTTAGATCGACAAATATACTTTCTCGACGCCGCTGTTTTCCCCGGCCCTTCTCCGTTCCGTTCCGTGCCTCATGATGGCTGGGACCGGAACGGTAATATCGCCGTCGCCTGACCTTGTGGCGTTGAGCCTGTGGCGGTAATCATCTCTGACTCGTGGAAACCCATCGGAGTGCTTCTAAATTACCATTAGTTAGGATGCTAGACCACACTCTTCCTCTCTCCTCTTCAAAGTTTAAGGACCGTTGTAGTCACTGAATTCATCCGTCGGTGGACCCGGGCCGCTTGCGTTTCATGATCATATGCGACCGACCGTTCGACCAACCCCCAAAGACCTACTTGAGTCGGGCACTTTCAGTCTGGCCTCCGTTAACACGATGGACGTCAAACTCATGCATGATTCCGATCTAAGGTCCGAGGGGTTGCGATTCACCATCAGCATCAGCCCCGCACATTTATGTACTTTTCTTTGCCCTTGCGTTCTCCGGACTCGTACAGCCATGTGTGCCATGCATGATGTAAATTGTAAAAGGCAATGAACCCGTAGTTATAGAACCAGCAGAAAAAGGTGTTAATCAGTTAATTTGACCCTCAAAAGAACGAGACAGGAGATGGGACGTTATGCTTGAACCTCACTTCAAGCCAGACTAATAATAAGTGCGAGAGGAGACGAAAACAAGGAGTAAGTGTGTACCTCATGTGGCGCTTCATTTAATCTTGTCCAATGGTCGATTGAACCCACCACGTCTAATAATTTTCCGTCAACTCATGACTGACCCGAACTACGCAAGCTGGAAGCAAACCCACCGATTCATATACTGCCTCCAAGTCCTTTGTTTGTTGACCTTGGCAGAACCATCCTGGTTTCCCTCGACATGTTTCAATTTCGTCGTGTCGAATCCTGAGAAGCCCATGAGTGCCTTCATTTGGGCTTCACTGTCTGAAAGAGATTCGCCTTCTTCAGGCGTTGGATCAAGGTCCATCGAGGGCGTGTGGGTGATGTGATTGGAGGAAGTAGGATGAGAGTGTGAGAGGGAGAATGAGACCTTGGTACCTGCAGTGGTGTACGGAGGGGGATGAGATGCGGAAGGAGCGGAAGGGATGGGAGTGGAAGTTGATGTTGTTGAGATTGATTGGGGATGAGGAGGAGGCGCGTGTTTGGTTAACGAACGATCGCGCTCCTTGTCTCTTCCTCGGTCGCGGTCTCGATCTGAGGGAGTCCCTTTTCGAAGAATATCCATTCTGATCAGAGCGGGTGGGGGCATGGAGTGAGACACGTACCTGCACCACTGCTTCGAAGTGGCGAAGCCGGACCTCGGGCACTCGCCCTTGAGTCTTTCACATCATCCCGTCTTCTATCTCTATCTGTATTCTTCTCTCTGTCTTTCCCTCCATCCCTTTCTCTGTCCCTGTCTCTATCACGCTCCCTATCTCTGTCCCTTCCGCCATCTCTATCCCCTCGATGCCGCACAGGAGATTTAGACCGGCTTCGATCTCGGCGTCCATCCCTGTCCCTGTCCTTGTGGTCTCTGCTTTCCCTATGGTCTCGAGTGTCACGATCTCGCTCCCTGTCCTTGTCCCTGTCACGCCAGGATCTATCCCTTTCCCTGTCATCTAGCAGCGTGTTAGCGAATTTAGGTTTGCAGGGCGTGATGCCCGAAACCCCCCAGTGAGGTGAAACCATGTTCGTTGCGGCATTACAGTTTCGGCGTTTCAGGAAATACCAATTGTAACATTATCCCGCAGGGATTCATTCGCGCCGAGTGTTTGCCAAGATGAAACCGCCAGAAAAAAAGCAAGAACGAGTGAAGAGAGAAGTACTCAGTCAGTGTCATCTTTCTTTCCACTCTTTCATTCAGAACAAGGGATAACACGATGGGAGAGGGGAAAGTGGCTTACCTCGTCGTCTTGGTGGACTTCTGGACCTGTCATCCCTCCTCCTTCGTGGTGGAGCATCTCTTCCTCCGGCACCCCTTCCATCTCTCGAATCCCTACCAGCTCCTCGCGGCGGGCTTTTTCGCCAATCTGACATGCTTTACCACTCGTTAGGATGCAAATGCAAGTTGGAAGGTTTCGTTGCAATGAGGTCAGTGGACACGTGAGGGTGAGAAATGGAGAGGCCGAGGATTGAATGGGACCTTGCTGGTTCAACCCTGCTCGACATTGGATTCGAAAGGTGGGATGGGGAGGTAACTGAAAGTATTTATGTATCTGGAAAGCTGTAAGTGGTTGTATCTGTCATCGGCCACAGTGTTTCATTTCTGCATCGTTATAGTTCCGTAGCCACTTTCATAGTACTGTGGGCTTGGTGTTTTCAGGAATTCACGCGTCATAGGATCTTTTGTATAGGATGACACCACTTGTTATCTAGAGTTATACGATCAGGACGTCAATATGGAAGTCGTTTCCTGCTGCAGGAACGCTGCAACCTCTCTTGGCCAAGGCCCGATCCTCGTCGTTCCCTCCCTGTTTAGCAACTCTAAACCGAACTAGGTCGCTCGATCCATCCTTCTATCCTAATTGCTTCCGTCCAACCAATCCGAATCGTAGTACCAACAAGGCTGCTTCCCGGTCTAGATGGTGTTTCCCGCGGTTCCGCAGGAATGGAACCTATGACGTCGATCCCAAAATGGACAAACAAAAACAAGTAATCTATTTCATCGCTCCCCTCTCCCTCCTCCCATAAGAGTGCTATGTCATCCCTCTCGCCGCCCCTAGACTCGGCATCAGCGACCAATATTGTTCTCACAACTGACCACTCGCATTCATCGACCACGACCAACTCTACCGTCTGTTCCCCTTGCCCCTCCCCTCCTCCAGCTCCCATCTCAACGATGCAGACAATTCATCCATTCCTCCTTGAACAACACATTCGATACTCTCAAGAGCTAGCAGAGTATTCATCCCGTCAACTGGTCGTCGCTCAACAAGAACATGCCATTGCCGAAGCGAGACGTCGTCAGGCCCAGGCTGGGGCACAGGCCCAAAATCAGTCCAGGGAACAATCGAGGACGCCTCCTTCTCGTCAACGTCAGCGTTGGAATGGCGGTGGAAGTAATATGGGCGGAGAAGGGGTCGTGGGCAGGGTTGGAAGGGCCATCGTCAGAGCTGTTGACTTTTCTGGAGGTCATGGGAACGGCCATAGGGAGAGGTCATCGAATAACGATCCTGCAGACAACTCGAGGCCATAATTGACCATAGTGCAGAGATAAAGTTGTAAGTCCTTTTGTTGCCACAATGGGGTTTGTCATTCGCTCGTTTGAAGACGATGCCAATGATCTAATTTTTTTCTTCCTCCATTACTATTGACATTTATTCCAGCCTCGCAATTGCCGTAATCCCCGTTCCGACGATGCCTAGACTCAATGGCCAACCGCGCCTCGCTGTCACCCCCTTCCACCCTCTCGATGATGTGCCTTCCTCCATACAGTGCTGCTTTCCCCCATAATTACTCTTCGTTCCATTATCTCGTTCTCGCTGCTTCCCTATCGAATTCCCGCTCCACTCGGACGATCTCTGCGCTGCAAGAGACTTGCGCCACAACTCCATGAAAATGATCAGAGTGGAAGATAACCGTTGCCCTAAAAACAAATCCTCATCTCATGACCCCCCCCCAAGTCCCAACCCTTCTGCCCCTTCGTGCCCCTTCCCTTCAACCCATCTTCACATGTGATTAACGCATATGTGTCCCTTGATGCTTCCAAGTTCTGGAGCCTTTTACTTCGTCATGACGGCTGTTTCCTTTTCCTTTTTACTTTTCGACTTGTTAATCTATCCTCTTCGTCCCACAGATATATTGCACGCTTTGATATGACCTCATCTCTTCATTCATTGTGACTTGCCTCATCCATTTCTTTCCCTCCCTCTTCTACCTCTCAAGATCCGCTTCTCCATCTCTTCTGCAGAAGTAGACGCTGCTTCACACGTAATGCACCCTTCTCCCTTTTTTCTTGAACGACTCGTATCAAGTGTAACTGCTAGTCCTATATATATATCTATATATTGTAACGCGCTGCCGCGATATTGTAAGCTCCACTATATCTATGCCCACCTATGAGCAATAGGTTAAATATTCTCAGTCAGGCGCATGATCGTGTGATGTTGGAGCATTACGCCCGAACTGAATACGACAGCCCCAGTTGTGATCGAGTCCATTGCTTCCTTATGTGCGGCCGAACGGGTACTAGAAAGTGGCGCGGCGACGGCTCCGACAACCGCCGAGGCCTCTTAAATTGAGAGCAATCGGTAACAGTACATCGAAAGAGTTGGGGGATGACGTTGAAATAACTAGTAGCAAGAGTCCAACTTGAGCTTATGAAGAACGAACAAACGGGCTTCAAGGTCATGAGAAAAAAAAACAAACAAACAAAAACCTAGCGCCGATACATAAGTACCCCGAGTCCTACCCGCCGAAGGTAACCGAAGGTCGCGACACCTTCACCCTCAGCAAAGACCGAATACTTACAATCGATACCATGTTACCATGTCAAAGACAACGAAGGAAATTATGTAAGCTCGTGATAAGAGACGAGAATGAGATACTTCAAATAGGCACGCGAGCCGAGGCGTACGGCAGACGCCAGGCAAGATTGACACAGTAGGCACAGATGCTGATGCGTAACAGCAGACGCGAAGAACGCACGGAGGCCGAAGGCACAAAGACTGGTGCGTGCAGCGGACGCAAAAAAGAAAGAAGGTCCAGGGGCCGACACGTGCAGCGGGCGCGAGGGAAATAAATCACCCAAGAATAGTGAAGAGAGACGAGCCTAGGAGCAACTTACGAGACTGCCAAGATCCGGGGGCATACATTTAATCTCGTGCCTCCATTAAATCCCAAATTGCAAGCACGCCCCTAAGTACACGGACTTAGCACGCGTTCATGTATCAATCGAGGGACTATCCAAGAACCACTAGATGTATTTCCAGCAGCATCCCCCAAAATTGTCATTCTAGTGACTTGGAGTCTCAGCCTTAAACCCCCTCTTGTTTCTATTCAACTGACTATACCTAGCGAAATCGTTCTGGAAAATCAGGACGCTCTCTACGGAATCGAATGAATCATCTTTGATGATGATCTCAGGTCGTTGCGACGATCTGTTCAACGACACTTGACTCAAAAATCTTATGAATCCGTAAGCATTGGTGTTGACAAAAGAGGGTTCAATCTTAAGAGACTTGAGAGCTTAGAAGCCAACAATTCCAAGTCAGTGCTTCAGTTCAAAAGGCTGAACCATCTTGTCAAAATGCCACATGTGGATGGTCCTAAATGTGTGCTGATCTAACACCGCAACCGCATCAAGCTGATTGGAACTTCAAAAAGACGAAAGAAGAGGAATGCTGTCATAATGGAAGGGACATGATCTGAATATGCAGCAGAATCCAAGATGTGTTGGCAGAGTGCCGATGACCGCAGTGTGTGATAACACGGCTGTTGACCAAGACCAGGCGCCCAATCCTTGGGGAACGGAAGAAGACCTCGTCCAGGGATGGTCCGAGTGCGATTCACCGCCGATTCGTCCTCCGGTTCAACATCGACCTCCAGTTAGACGATTGGTGAGTCAGGCGCATCCCTCTACAATGCATTTCAATGAGGTGTTAAGTTGAGCCTCTCTTATAAATGTCGTTTAGATACACTATCACACAGCTCAGATCACGTCAAGCGCCAAAACGTCCCAATTTCAGTACTGGTTTTGAACAGGCGCTCTTGCTCAGATAGTAACTGGGAAGAAGGTGTGGGGTCGGGTCCTTCTCCAGGCTCGAGAGACAAGCGCCCCAAATAGCGGGATAGCCAGCCAAGCAGAGACTGGGCACAAAAAGGGATAGAACACTACGTGTCCCTGGGACCTGTGGCGCTGTTTCTAGAAGTAGCAGTAGTGACAGGCATAACCACGGTCAGATCTGGACCAAAACATTAATCCCAAGGTGAGTTAGTTCATTGAATTCGTGGGGGTCCTAGATGACAGAGCTCGGTTATTCGGCCAACTCCGCTGAGGCTGCATGAAGATCAGGTGAGGGGTCTAGACTGGGAATTCACGCTTAGGGGTTGTTTTCACCATGTCAAGTATCGTCTTCATCCCATTTCTTGCGGAGGAAATCCAATGAGAACATTTGGCGTGAACTTCAGACAGGTATAGGAACCGCTCAGGCTCTATGAACGTTGTTACGCTCGATAATGCATCCCGAACTTTTGGGTTTGACATTTCCTGGGTATCTGACTTGTCTCTACCCCTGTTGGTAATCGATACGACCCTTTCTCTACAACATAGGATGAACACCAGCATACGACTCAAGATGGGGGGTTAATCTACGAAGTTCACCTGCACGGTGGGTCATGCTTTCAGTTTGGAAACCGATCAACTCGAATGTTTGCTCCGTATGTAGCCGCGGGGGAGGTCTTTATCGGTAAAGGAAGAAAGAAGCTCGTTGCAAAAGAAGAAGCTGCATTTTCTTTCTTTCAAGCACACCCAGAATTTTGGCCTTCATACTAGGCCCACGTTAGCGGAGTTCACGTTTCAATGATCGTAGAGCCGAGCTGCTTCCCGACTGTCGGCATTTCCATGTAACCTGGAATTTCCTGCTTTGCTGAATTGTGCCTGTTTCGCGTCTCAGCCATGATGCCACCGATCTATGACTTAATTTGTACCAACCTCCTGCCATGACATGTCTCATTGCCATTCAAAATGCCTGTATCATCGTTGGCTGTTGACAGCGCATCGACATTGCCCTGCTTGAGTATTCTTGCTCTCAACGTCAATGGTATCATGCCAAGGACAGAACATCAACTTTTTATGAATTGGCCCCACCACGACATCCTGATGGTAGACAGTCAACTTCGGACTTCAGTTCTGCAAGGCCAAGCGCGATGATAATGCCCTCACACGTAATTTTCGTGATTTAATGATGATTATTGGCTCGACTGCACCAGGCGAAATATGCCGGCACGAAAGGACAGATTTCTCAGGCAGCTCTGGTGGCGCTGCGGAACCTTTTGATGGCCATTCCATCTACCGAGCCCCGTGGTCACGACCAATCTCTCCAAAATCGGAGTGTGGCCAGATGTAATATGACCAGGACGCATGTAACATCTGCCTGCGTGGCAAGGGGCAACTTGCTTCTTTGGCGATGCTGAGGTTCTTGGATGGCGTTGAAAGGGTAGAACACACGATTATGTGGAACTTGTCAATCCTTTATTTCTGGCAAGAATTCTTTGCCAAGTGGAGCCAACTGTTGCTGGCTTATCTGTTGAGCTCTTCAATATCTTGCGCTTACGCCAGGCACCAGATAATTTGCTTGCAAAGGCGAAGGTTCGTGCATTCGTATCATTGGCCAACCAAGGAAAAGAATGGAAATGGAGATTGTGCTTGTGCAACAGGGTGGGCGATTCAGAGAGGGGAGCGGACTGCAAGCACCGAGGTATGGCTAGTTTTCCAAAGCGATTTGTAGCGCTCGGTTCAATTATAGTCCCAGATGGTGTTAGCTCCCCTGATTCGAAGCCGCTTGGAAGGGTGTATCATTACATCTTGATTTCGAAAACAGAGGGTTTGTTGGTTCTGAGGCAAACTCGGGTAAAACGATGTTGGGATCATGTTGGAAGACTGAGCATCGTTGTCGGACATAATGGAAAAGTTAACAAGGTAGAGCATGGCACTCGACGAAAAGTGATGGTTCTCAAGCTAAGAGGAGACTGGGAATCTGATGCAGTCGGGGGCTTCCGTTGTCGTTTTCCTCGCTTGGTTGAGCGAGTTTTTGCAGACGTGGTCGTATCGGCAGCTGGATCGGGAGTGTTGGGGCCCACATCATCTTTGGCATTACTGTCTCCATTTCCATCACGAGGGGCTTTCTTTGTCCGTTTAGACCTCCGTAGTGGCGTCGCACTTGATTCGGGCATACGTCGTTTGAATTGTCGGGCGCAGAAATGTTCGGCGACTTCTCAAGAATCCCCCATCGGCGTTGACACTGAATGGGGAAAAATGGATGAGGACTTCCATGAACAGTTATTACGCATTTGTTACCTGCTGGCCACCACGAGTGCCAACAACATCGGCAACGACATTCCAGTCCTTAATTCCTCGCTCGATCACAGCTTGTCGAAGCCTTCTATCCTCCTAAGGGGAAATGATTCAATACTCAAGAATGATAGTCGTCCTTCTTGTATAGCGCTCCCTACATTGTGGACCCGTCCTCCCTTTGACACAGGAGCTTACTTTGCTCCAATGAGTACCATAGACTGCAACCGCTTCCCTGAGTTTCTCATCCTCAGAATATGTCCACTCTCCCTTCGTGATAGTGGGATCGAGGGAGGCACGATAACGTTGCGCACAAGTAGGGGGGGTTCTCAAGGTAGAGAGTGACAGCGAAACTGTGAAAAGAGATTGATTCAGCCATCGTCAGCAACATTGCTTGTAACATTTCACAACCCAGAACGTTACTCACTTTGTCGCCCCCATCCATGAAGGAACGGTGAGGTCAAGGATGACAGCTGCGCAGGTTCACGTTACCTCGCGGGTAAACAGATGCACTTATTGATGCCCTATAATTTCCCGACACTCTGCCTCTGGGGCCTTAGTTTTTTCGGCATCTCCATGCGTGTCTACTGTGGCGACACGGCGGCGCTGAAGCATGGACCCCATTCCCGCATGATTCACTCATCCCCCCATCTGACTTTCTGGCTGGCGAATAGGGAATGGATCTGCTATCGCAGGACAGTGGTTCCCAGAGGATAAAGCAGATTATCGCTGATATCTCCGCTCATACCGGGCTTGAGAAATAATAGGCCATTTTCTGTGCATTGTCCATTACCGACTCGGTGCACTCTGCCATCAACTGTTGTATAATGTCTTATCCCGAGTAACCAGGGGTTTTCATAGTGGGCGACCAAACCGAGTCTCCCGTTACATGGCTAGATCAATCCAGGAACCTTCATGCCTATCACCGTGACAACGTTTCATGGGATCTGATTAGGAAGGGTTACGTTTGACTTTGGGACCCACCTACTTAAGTTAGCCTCGGTGTCTCGTTATCCCCCATCCCGAGACTGAATCGCCTTTGACGTGAAGGCATGAAACAATAGACCCCCAATTCTTCATTTCCATGGAGCATTTAAAGGTACGGTGGGAGTCCATAACCCTTCAAAAGTACCCGTGGGCTGCAAATGGACGGCCCTATGGAGGATCAAGTAAATCAGTCATTTTGAAATGGCTCCAGCACGTTTTGCTATCTGGCGGGCAAGACAGTCTAATTGGCATTCGATCTATCGGAAAGCGGAAGGCCAACTTGAAAGAACTTATCACGAAATCTGGACAAGTGCTCTGGAGCGCTTCTAGGCTTCTAGAATATCTAGACCTGAGGGCTTTGCTCCAGAGCCCGTCCTATTTCGGTTGGACCGCTTAAGGAGTAAATGTCCTTCATGCAGTTTGTCTACCGCGTGAGTCGCATGATCAGTAGTCGGGGAAATGTAACGTCGAAGCCTGTCATCCGCCACGAATCGTCACTGGCCAGGGAAGCGTAAATCAAACAATGTGAGCTGGCCCATTAGAGCTGTACTTGCTCAAAAGCTTTTTCCTCGAGGTTGGACCTTCGATGGTCGACGCACTCCTCGTCATGTGCCTTGACAGTCCCCCTATCGAATACCCTTCCCGGAACACTGACACGCAGCATCCAAATTTTCACACGGCACAATGCGTCGAAGGACTCCCGAAGCAATCACTCGGCAGGTCTTTCAAACCCGGTCTCATACTGAAGGGACCCTTAACACCGTTTGCGGGGCGCGCACGGGTATCGGCCACATATGAAGGGGAGAATGATGCAGAGATTCTATGAGATATTTTGACAGAGATGGAGGATTGCGCATGCGCATAAAAGACTCAGGTGGAACCGTCGATACACTGCACTATACGCAGGAAAACAGTCTAATTTTCTGCCTGTCGCTTGAATGGCGCAAAAATGCTTGTGATGCCATCAGACAGAGTTCCGCAGGATCAACACTATGTTCCTGATTTTGTAATGAAGAAGATAGGGAGAGTGGAATCGGGCAAGTGTTACTGATCACCGCCAAGCATTACTACCAGTGGAAAGTCCCCAAGATTGGACTCGCGGACAGAATTAAATCTAATGACAGTGCTAAAGCGGCATGTAAATTATATCAATTAGATAAACATCCGAAGAGGGGATGTTCAACCCCACTGAGATTGCGTGAGTTAGAAAGCGCATCTTCAACCAGCAGGGGAATAATGCAGAAACTTTATGAGATATTCTACCAGAGTTGTGCACATGCATAAAAGGGCTCAGGTGGAACCGTCGATACGCCAGGAGGCAAGAACAAAAATCTCCTGTATGAAATGCTCGTGATGCCATCAAACATCGTTCCGAAGAATCAACGCCACGTTCCTGACTTTTTAATGAAGAATATGGGAGAGTGGAATCAGGTAACGTAAGTTGTGTTGATCAACAATCCGCACCCGCCGAGCATTGCTACCTGTGGAAAGCCCCTAAAACTTGACTCGCGCGTAGAAGTAAATCTAACTGATGATCGTGACAGCGCTAAGGAGCCTCTGAACGCACACCCAAACGGGATACTCGCGCGGGGGTTCCGCATCAGGATGCATGAAGAAGCTGAACGTCCTCTCCAGAATTAACGAGCGTGGCGGCGGAAATTAAACGCCGTTCACAAGATTGGCGACGAGGTATCCGGCTAGGGACAGAACGAGGCACAGCCCAATAGGACGGAAAAAAAACAAGGCAAAAACCAAAAAATTCTCAGCCTCTAACAACCAAGCAGTGTTGCTACCAAAAAGTTGAATCGATGCAGCCCTTAAAGCATTCGAGTTTGAGCGCCTGTCGATAGGAGTATTGTGTGGCTTCATTTACATAGGCTTATTCTTGATAGGACCCTATCGATCAACCCAGGCAATAATGATGGCACAATGAATTGAATTACTCACAGCTTACGCAATGTGACAGTTGGAAACGCTGGCTGATGGCCATTTCAAACGGTTCCGCCACCCAGAAGAAGCATTTCGCGTCCCCAAAATTTCGAGGGAAGTTATTCTGGGTATGCGGAAGGGAGTATGAAGTCCACCTCTCCCATGCAAGATAGGTCTGTGAAATAAAACAGAACAGCCATTCCAATCGGGCGCAAATCGGGCGGACAATCCCCAGGAACAATGAGCTAGATCCGTCACGCCCTTATTGAGTGGGTGGCAAGTGGAAAAACTTGACGTTGCATGTTTCTGCTGCGTTGAATTCGCGCGCGAAATAAGATTTCATCAGCCGGTGCGATTGTAATTGCCGACAATGCACAGCCACTGCTTGCCCAATCTACCAACATGTCATTGGGACCCTGACCAGTCCGCCGCTGGGCTGCTTCTTGTTTCGAACGCTATAGCAACAAGTTTTAATGCATATCATTCTGATGCCCCCCTGTCGGTTCCGCGGCGCCTATGCATCAGAATCTCGGTACTGTCTCGCCGCCAGGTCTACCGACAACAACCAACGACGTTTCAGCGCCGTCTCGCCCCCCCGGGAACGCTAGCTAGTCTTTAGGGGCACCGACTGTGGTATGTTACGTGGATTCGCTTTGGAGAGTCGAACACCATGCTGGATTCGGTCCTTCCCCTCAGAGCGGAATCCCGCCGCAAAGTTTTGAGCTTGATTATGTGTGAAACGCGAGCCCCTGACTCGATACAAGCGCGTAGGCGCTTTGCGCTTAACTTCAATCGTAACCGTGTAATTTCTGGATTACCATTTTGTCTCTGCCGCCTGCGGCGCCATCTGTCCGGAACACTCTGGAAACCCCCTTATAAGGCCTTCTGCTGTGCTACGATTGCGCGCGATGAGTATATATAGTGCAGCCACAGCATCTCATCACCATTTTCGCTGCCAAGTGCCTTCATGACCAAAGACGTACCTTACATGAGCGCAGGGAACGAGGGGCGCGCTATGAATGCGATTAAGCTTGCCAACGCGTCCCAAATTTTTGGGTTTGATTTTTTCTGGGTATGCGACTTGTTCCTATCTCTGTGTCGGCAACTGACGTCTACGCCTAGAGTGACTTCCGATATATGACTGGCAATGACGAGTTGATTCATAAGGTCCATCTCCATGGTGTGCCACACTGTTATCTCGCAGTCCCAAACTGATCAACGTCGATCCCACATAGTCTTTGGGGAGGTCTTCGTCGGTGAAGCACACAAGAAGGGCGTTGCGAAAGACGTTGCAGCGAATGCTTTCTTCCGGGTACACCCAGAACTTTGGCCTTCGTAATCCACACTGTCATGCACTAGTTCACTGTCATTCCCACCTGGAATTCCTCGCTTTACTCATCGCCGGCCCTGCACCATAGCTGCAGCCGTTTCTTACTATCTTAGTCCTCCTTTAGTTTGGTCTGATGATATAGTCTACGAATTGTTTGTTAATTCATGCCAACGAGTCTGGATCACATTAGCCTTGTTTTAGTGTTTGGCTTGGAAAGTCTTGCCTCAGATCGGTCAACGAGTGTGGCCTTAGTTGTACTGGGGCGGAGTTGTCCGAATATGATTGTTATTCAATGGGTTGCGTCGAGCCAGAAGTCATGATTCTGTCACCATGATAGGAAAGCCAGCGGCTTGGCCGACTCTCACGCTCAGCTTCTGGCCAGCGTCCAGGCAATCCGAACGAAGGCCTCAACATATCGATCTTCCTTTGGAGTCGCAGGGTGTTCGATCATCAGCATAGGTCGTGTGTAAGTCTCTGCACTGTAGCTTATCAAGATCGACACTAAAGTGTGAGTGAACCCCTCTGTGGTACTTATGCCTCGATCTCCAATGTTTCAGGCATCGACAACCCTCTTGTTTGATTTCGTGGAGCAATGGAGATAGCGTGGCACGCCAAACTTCCTACTCCCTCCTTTGATGCACGCCGTGTCGAGCCAGAATACCTAGTCGACCTGATGCGGAACCCGCAGCTAAAGGCGGGGGTGGATTACATAGTTGTTGATGTAAGAAGGCAGGATTTTGAGGTAAATGTGGGGCATTATTCTCATTAGAGATGTGAGCTAACGCACAACGCAGCACGTCGCGATTTCAAACGCCATCAATCTTCCTGCTCATTCATTCTATCCTACTCTTCCAACGGCCACAACGATCCTATCCCGCATTCCGATCGTCGTCTTTCATTGTGGTGCTTGTGGTGCTATCTCTAGGGGAGCAAGAGTTGCGGGTTGGTATAAAGACGAGCTAGAACGACGTGGGATACCGCCGCAAGTCAGCGAAGCGCTGATTCTGGAAGGTGGAATAAAAGACTTCGAAGAGAAATTCGGGGACGTGGAAGATTTGCTGATTCGGTTGGACTCTGCCTAGGCAGGAGGGACTCTGGATAATGTCGCGCTGGTTGTTGAGGAGCCTCGTAAATGATATGGGATATACAACTGGGACTTAAACGTATCGGCCAGTGATATAAATTGTTGTTTCACCGTGCTACCTAAATATATATATGTCGGTTATCCACCTATTGGACATCCAGCAATTACTGCCAAAGGAAAACCCCATCTCGATTTTCGTCATAGGAATCAGTCTTCTCTACTGTGATTCTGATTGACCTGCGGGATTTGGAGTCTGAAACAGAATAATCAGCAACCGCAGTGATCTGAGGTGAGTGTGATTGTACTTGGTACATCGACAAGCAGATACCGATATTGGAAAACTCCGCTAGGATCCTGGGGACCCGGATCAGTCAACTCCAACTCCGAATGGGTGACCACCTGCCTTCACGAAGTCAGCGTGGACTTCTGCGGTACTCCAATGGATATTCTGTCCCCCAAAACCTGTCCCATCTTCATCCGGTCTGTTAGTCTGGCTTCGCCCTGCGAACTTCATCCCCTTGAACATCCCCAAAAAGCTCCATGCTCCATTATCTTCTTTCGCTTCGCGCTGGAATCGTTCCGATGGAATTAAGGGCTTTGGTGGTGGAACGGGTGTTAATGTGGGTGTCATCCCTGACACGTAAGCCACCGCCTGCTTTGCTGACTCCCAAGAGTGCGTAGCGCGCTCCCTTATTGTGGCTAAGATACTTGAAAAGTCACCGCCTTCTAATTCCGAAATCCACTGAGACCACGATTCAGACGGTTCTTCATGTTGTGCTGAAGAACTGATCCAGAAGTGAATCAGAAGATGTTCTCTTCCCTCGGCATCCACTGCTTCATATTTTTGGGGATGTCGGTTACGGTGGCGAGGTGGTAAGTTTGTGGAAGAGGGAGGGGTGGTATGAAAAGATAGCGGGGGAGTCAAGTAACGGGCGATCTGGATGAATGGACTTCAGGATTTGGGAGGATAGTAAGGCGCAACGATACCACCTACACTTGGAGATGCTTTAATTTTCTCGCACGCGTCGCCATAAAGAACCGTTGGAGAATTTCTGGCAAACAGCTCTGTGGCAAGCGCCCAGGTAAGAACTATAGATAGTGAGGCGCCAAGGAGAATGACCGTAAAATTTGTAGCTCTGGCAGTTGTACGAATCACTTTATTGCCGATTTGAGAGGGGATCAGATGCGCATAAATAGGTATCGTGGAAGTTGAATTATTTCACCACAGTTATAACTATTGGCCTCACCTTTACCCCCAGGGGTGAGCTCATTCCAAGGGACAAATTTATCATCATTCCGCATATTGAGAGACTGGACACCCAGAGGAAAAGGTCCGATAGAGTCACCAGCCCCAGGGCTGGAAGGTCCATTCACATTACTTCTAGCCGCTCGTTCAAGTTGCTGGGACAGCAATGAGGACGGAGTATCACGATGTGTTGCGTAACTCCTAGGCGGTGCACATCCGATTGAGCTGGACTGGACCAACTTGGGGTATTGTGATAGAAGGACAAGACGCAGCGTATACAAGCGGGGGCATCTCATGCCACTCTGTATTGGCAATCGCACAGATAGACGATACGCCATAACATGCATACAATTGTTTATACCCTACTTGCTTCGAAGGGTGAAGTTCTGGTCGGTGTCGCCGATAATATTCAAATTATATTGAGTGACACGTGAGGCTTTCAGACTTTCATCCAAGCGTTCGGCTTGCGATGAAGCCCAATATTCCGTACACCTAAAGTGTAGTCGTGGCCATATACATACTTGCTAGCACTTGACTACGCCGAAGCCGCGAGTGGGACACCCTCATTGCCTGTATCCATCTCACGGTTGCTACTCTATCTCCATTCACTCAGCAAGAGCTATGGTCGGCACTTCGACGTCTCAGGGTGCGTCTAGAGGGAAAGGGAATCAACCCGCCTCCAACCCAGTGAGCATCGGATAAGCATTGAGATTCTGATTGTGGCACTCATCTTGCCACCACTTGGCAATGGGTCGTATCTGTCACTTTTATGGGGAACCTATTACGTTCGGCATCTATATGGTTTACCATACTCAGAACTCCAACCGTGCGTCAGTTCGAGGCCAGACGCAAGAGTCTAAGGAAGCGGATGCTTCCGAACAGGAGGAAGAGCGCGAAGGTACAATGGAGGCAGACGCAGAGCAAGGAAATGAAGAGGCAGAAGGCAATGAGGAGGACCAAAGCAAAGCCATAAAGCGCCGGAAGGGCCGTCCTCGCAACAACCCGCCTGCTAACATTGAAACAGCTGAGACAGACACGAATGCAACGAGCGACGCCGATGCCGACATGGAGGAAGTGACTGCAACTTCGCCGAAAGATGCTGGGATGACATCGAGACGGACTTCTAACAGACTCGCCCAGAAAGCTACTACAAATGCTCGCGCCCTTGCTGCTAAATCGACACCCACTGCCAAGCCTCGAGTATCGGCTACCAAGAAAGGCACAACAGCGGCCTCTTCCACAACCGCCACCGCTGCCACCATGACTACCACAGCTGCGGCCACTGTTGGACGAGGGAGTCTAAGCGGGGGCACTTCCTCCCCGGGGGGAACACCTGCTCCGCTTGGAGACCCCGTGAATTTGGCAAGATTAGCAGAAGTGGCATCAAAAAGCTCTAAAGTAGGGCCCAACGTTGGGGTTGCCGGCGCTGCGACTGCCAAGAAGGCTCCACCACCGTCAGCTGCCACAGCTGCACCTGTAGTTGCGGGTGCGGCCACGAGAGCAGCGTCAGGTGTTGGGCCGCCTCCAGGGGCTCCAACCACGGGAGCAGGGATCGTTGGACCAACGACGAAGGACCTACTGACAACCATCGAAGCGAGTGGCTCGGCTGATGTCATTGAAATCCTCACAAGTGACCCCAATGACAAGCTCATTGGCTATAAACAGTTGGAGGACTGGGTCGACGGAGGTTTGGATATGTACAGGGTATTTATCGTATTTCTTCTGTTCGTAGCCCTTGCTGACACGAAGGTGAAGCACGAGTTTCGGCCCCTTCTTTTTCCCATTTTCTGTCATTTCTATTTAGAACTGGTGCAGCAAGGTTTCAAGGAAGCAGGTATGAGCGCTACCCATCTTTGAGACACACACCTTTACTACGATTGGCCTTTAGCGATTAAGTTTTTCACATCTCATGGTCCTGGCCTCCTCTCACATGGAATCCCCTCATATACCGATACACTTCATGCTCTTTCGGCGCTTCTCCTTCCTACCCACATCGCCACTTCCCCCACAGCTCAACGCTTTCGTTCGGACAAATATGTGATAAAAATGAGCCGTGCAGGCTTCGCCCTATTCGTAGGTTGGTTAACTGAAGGAACAGGCGGCGAAGGGACAGGTGCTGGGGAAGGCATTATTGAAGGTGGTCGAGAGGGCAGTGGCCGCCGTGCTAGAATGAGTGTTCTAACCGTTGTGAACGGCAGGCTCAAGTTCGACGGTGAGTGCTGCAGTTCTACAGTGATGGACTCACACATTGCTCACCTGTGTTGTTCGTAGTGGCTTCCTCCACGAGCTTAACATCAAGTGCATGGGAGGAGAATACCGGTCTTGTAGCATCCCTCATCCCTGCTACATCATCAGCGTCCGCTGCTTCCATGGCTGCGAATGCTCTGAATAAGAAGATTCAGCCAAATCCCGCTGCAGCCCTCATGCAGAAGTATAATCCGTCAGTGTTTAATGCAGCACAGGGAGAGCTTAAGCTAGGGCCTGCGCCTATAAGCGATTCGCTACGGGATGAGAGGGAAAAGGCACTGAAGGACGAGCCTGCGGATGACGGGGACCGAATGGCGATCGATGGTGCCGCTGCCCCGTCATCGGGTGCTACGAATGGCGTGGACACAGAAACCAAGCTCACTCTGCCTGATGGGGATGTGAAGATGGCTTCCCCTGGACCGTTCGGTGGTCTTTCTCAGACGAGCACTGCTGTCGGTCCTGGTTCTGTTGGGCTCAACGGGCTAATTGCCCCTACATACTCAGAATTACTCCCTCAGCCACCTACTTTTCGTTCGGTTGACGTTAAGCGAGAGGTTGAAAGAGTTCGGGATGCACGGAAGAGGATTAAGTTAGACCCTGGCCTTTACGCTGTGGAGGATACAGATAGCGTTAGAACTCGAAGTAGTGGAGTGCATGGGGCCCCAGTTCAGAATGGCTATGTTACTTCTGGCTCAGGTAGGGTACCTAATGCAGCTTTGCCAAGTGTTTGTGCATATACTTTTCACGATGCGCTGGATGGGTAAGCACCATTCATTGAGGTTTATCCGGTCTCTCAAATTTGTCTTCTGCCTCTTCGCAATAGGTTGAATTGCACCGTCTTTTCCGAGGAATCTTCCCTTATGGCAGCAGGATTTGCGGAGAGCTATGTTCGAATATGGAGTCTTAAAAAAGACAAGTTGAAGGGGCTTCGAAGTGACTTCAATGTGAACAATGTCCATGACCGTGAGTAACATTTCGGAATTCACAGCTGAATCTTCTCTCACTTGAGGGGACCACCCAATATAGCTACGTCTTTGAAGAAAATACGGAGAAATCGGGAGGTTCCACTCGGAAACTTGTTGGACATTCCGCACCGGTGTATGGCCTTTCATTTGACCCAGTGGGTGGGACAGCTGTTCCGCCCAAGTACTTGCTCTCAGCCTCCGCCGATCATACGACTCGTCTATGGTCACTCGACACTATGACAAATGTTGTGGCATACCGAGGCCACAGCAATCCAGTGTGGGATGTGCAGTGGAGTCCGATGGGAGTGTACTTTGCTACTGCCAGTCGGGATCGAACTGCCCGATTGTGGAGTTCCGAGAGGATCAATGCATTGCGCGTCTTTGCTGGTCACTTGAGTGATGTAGACGTGAGCTTATGACTATCCCTTTCTTTGTCCTTTCCCGCTAACTTTGTCCGATGCCCAGTGTGTTCGATTTCACCCTAACTCCTTGTACTTGGCTACAGGATCCAGTGATTCGACATGTCGATTATGGGATGTACAGCGGGGAAATTGCATGCGGGTTTTCATTGGTCACCAGGGTCCAATCACTTCCATCACCATGAGCCCTGACGGCCGGTATCTGGCTAGTGCTTGTACGTGATATTGGCGGTTTTTCCCAATTCAGGCTAACCTTTGTTTTCTACTCTCTTAGCTATGGATCTCTCTATCAATCTCTGGGACCTAGCTTCAGGTCGGAAAATCAAATCCATGACCGGCCACACAGCGCCTATCAATTCTCTGGCGTTCACGGCGTGTACAACGATGCTCATCTCCGGCTCCTCCGATTGGACAGTGAGATGTTGGGACGTTAAAGGCGCTGGAGGAACAAAACCGGAAGCCTCAAGCTAAATGGGATAGAGGATGGCGCTTTGCCCAACGGTGCATTGGACGAGAAAGAGGACACGAAGGGACAAACGTGAGCGTCTCGCCCGCTGAAAATTTTGGGTATTCTAACGTTAGGTTGCATGCAGAGTAGACTTATTGGCGACGTATCCAACGAAACGAACCCCTGTTATCAATGTTCAAGTGACTCCGCGAAATCTCGTTCTCATTTCTGGCACGTATCAACCCCCTGCTGTGTCCTGAAGGCTTTTCCGCTCCTGTGTAGCTTTAATTTATTACATATGTTCCAGTTCAAATTGATGTACAGACCTCACTGCGCCTTCTAATACACCAATCCCGAACATTACATTACACTCATATTACAGAACAACATCACCCGAATCAAGCCCCTGCTGACTGCAAAGGCTCAGCCGTGGGAGGGGCCGTGTTTGAAGGTTCTAAAGATGAAGGGCCTTCTTCGCGCTCGGTATTAGGGCGACGTTGCGACGGACGTGTGCGTCTTGACACCTGTCGCTGTGGTATAATGTGTCCTAGTGAATCATATTGTGGAGGCAGCTCCACAATCTCTTCCTCTTCTTCGCCTTCGTCCGAACCCGCGATACTCCCGGCATCCGTGTGGAGGATGTAGCGGGTAGCACCATTAGTCGTGGCAGAACCGCCCACGCGATCGAGTGCCGCTTCGCTTGCTTTTGAATATGACGTGCTGCCCCCAGCACCGGTAGTTGAGCGGTACGTAGCGTACGGTCCATCGCTCCCATCTGCAGAGTCCCCACGAGAGCGAGCTGAGGGTGGAGGAGGGAGAACGTAAGGGACTGGCTCATAATCGTTCGGCGATGAGCCATCGTGGTGCGCCACTCCAACCCCGTTGAGGGGGTAATGTGCTTGGGCATCTCGGCTGTCGGGAAGAAGGTCGACAGGGCCTCGACGTTTGCGACTACTTACTTCCATGAGTCCAGAAGTCCCACTTCTTCGTCTAACTGCTGCTTGGTCACGACGGCGGAGCCACCAGACGAGAAGAGCAATTGCGGTGAGAGCTACGATCCCACCTGCGACCCCACCTCCAATTGCGGCAGTGCTGGAGCCTCGACCTGATCCTCCAGGGGCTGGGGAAGCTGTAGATGTCCCTGTTCCACCCGGCTGAGTTTGTGTGTACATTGAAGTTCGTGTGGTGGAGGAGGGAGAAGAAGAATCGAGGCATCCCTTTGCGTCTGACAGTCCAACGCCGAGAATATCTGTTGAGCCACCTTGGCGTCCTTGAGAATCGTTCATAATGAACATGAGATCGGTCCCAGCAGCAACATCCGCCGTCCAGTTATACAGCGTGGCGTTGGCTGGAGGATATAGGGTGAAAGCAGTCCCGGAAGGAATAAGACCAAATATGGTTACGGGCTATTAAGGGAGTGATTAGCCTCGAGTAGCCTTTCTTTAGAATATAAGCATACCAATATTGCACCCGAATACGAAAATTGATAGGTCCGACATTGTTGAAGACTCAAGGGGGTCTCAAACGTAAATGCAGGTTTTACGTCAGTCGTGTCGCATTGCCCTCCTTTGGAATTGCCTACAGGGGTCACTCAGCTTTCCATGAACAGTTCACGATTTATCATGCAGCGTACTGACCGACAGTTAGAGCATTCGACACACCACCAGATCCAAAGCCAGTCGAATCCGACATAACGAGCAGAAATACGGTTTGAGTCGACACATTTAGTGTTAGGGAAAATGACCCTTGCCCGATCCTGGAGTCGTATGCGCTGTCAGGGATACTGAAGTTCAGAGGGACTTTGAATTTCTGTAGTGTTATTCCGCGGACAATATTAAAAGACCAAGCATTGGGAAAGAAGGAATCACGAGCTTACAGGTGCAAAAAGCAGCTGATATGGGCCCGTCCCTCCCTGCCATGTAACCGTAAAGTTGTCACACTCCGTGGGCTCGCTCCATGAGAATGCAAAACCTGCAGAAACGCAGGGGACAAAAGTAGCGGCAAAGATAGACAGCAGAAGTAAGGAGTTTAACGATCCGCAATGCAGTCGCATCGATGCAGCCAATCTGCAGAAGGGCGCCGTCAAAGGTAAATGGGGGCTTGCGTGATGTGGGTGAGCTCGTCGCTATGTAACAGCCCGGACGGACGAGTTGATCCGAGAGTTGGACTTCACCCAGCCTGCCTTGACCACGGCACAGGAGCAAGATCCAGCACAGACTTGGGGTTTATCGTTTTATTTATATCCGTAGTAGGTCGTCACCGAAATCAGCAATGCCCAAATATCGTATGTAAGACAGAATTGAATTGCTTGGCACATCCCATAATATTCCTTTCATCGCATTTGACCCAGATGGACACAACCGCTTCGAACACTCGTAATCCCCCCAGGCCCCCCAACGCGGTGATGCATCCCTAAGTGATCATCTGGACGCCTCAGCTGGCTACGTGCAGGACCCACACCACCGAGGTGACGATGATCCCTGGGGTTTCGATGATTCTCAAGGTGGCGAGCCCAGTCACGGCTCACAACCTACAACTATGCTCGCCTCACACGATAGTGATGCGAGTGGTCTTGGGATGCTACGACATCGTCCTGTCTCAACCTCGATTGTAAACCCACTGGAGCTATCAGATGATCGTCAATGCCGCATATGTTTAGCTGGCCCTGAAGAGGAACTGGAACTGGGTCGCTTGATACGACCATGCAAGTGCAAGGGGTCTATCAGTGTAAGCTTTCCCTATTTCCTCAATTCCCGCCCTTACGATGTTAGCTATCGTGCAACCTGACACTACCGTTGGTCCCAGTTCGTCCACGTCGAGTGTTTAAACAAATGGAGGACGACTTCTGAGTCGAAAAGCGCATTTTGGCAATGCCCACAGTGCCATTACAAGTACGCTTTTGCTAGGACAAAGGCATTGGGACTTGCGACGTCTAAAAGTAGGTTACATCGTTCGGGCGCTTAACTTACACTTGCCTGACCACTCTTCCAGTTGCAATTGGATCCATTACATTCGTTTTATTCACGCTCCTTGTTTTTGTTTCATCAAGCATTGTTGTATATTTCAACCCAGATCTCGCACCCTCGCGCCCAGAACCCACATACCCCCTGAAGAGCAAGTTGTCTTTACCAAATCCTACGAATGGTGGTCATCCTATGACTTTTCGTATACTGCTCTTCCTGGAACCATCAAAGACATGGTGAAGTTAGCAATAGCAACTTTTGCAGATGTCGACATTGGTGGCGTTGTCTCTGACACGCCAACGAGGAGGGGTGAGGGTGGCGGCTTTAAGCAAAAGATTCGAATGAAAAGGACACAGTCCCCTCCAGCACCTGGTTTCATCAAGCGTCTTATCAACCGTTTCGCCCTGGACTTTCAGCTTTAGGAATTGTCAGTTTCCTCCAAATGCTCATTTCCATGTCTTGTTTGCGCCTTTACAAATAGTAAGAAATACATGGTTGAGAAGGAGGAGGGGCGAAGGAGCTGCGGAAGGAATTGGTCTGATCATTATCGTGGTTTTTGTTCTAATTGGAGCAGCCAGGTATGTGATCCATTGAGGACCTAGGAAGTTTACTACCTAACACACTTTGTTCATCGCGGAAGAGCAATCATGCAAGTGTACACGCTAGCCAATGCTCTTGCAAAAATGATCCTCTCACGAGCTGAGCTCGCCATTCTTGACGTTGAAGGGAAAGCTTATCTCCCGCGTTCAGCGGCCCGAGAGCGAGATGACGGAACTCTTTGGGAAAAAGTGAAGCGAGAAGTCGTGGCGTGGGTTGCAGATTGGCTCCACACCTGGGACCCAAGGAGGTGGGAGTGGGGTTGGATAAATCGGAGAAGGGTCTGGGAGATTTGAAGGTTACCTAGCGAGTGATCGACACTGCCTACACCACATATTTTCAGTATACTCATGGACACCGCGTCAGGCTCGTTGGCGTCAGTTTTGGACATTGCATGCGCTGTATTTACCCGTGTCAATTTATTCACTCTTTTGGCTTCGGTGATTTAATTCAGCATGGGAGTGGCTGTGTTCAGACTCCACTTCCATTCAGTGGACAACTTGAATCGGGTCAAGCTCTCCAGGATCTTCGTTTCCCGGATTCGTGCAGACTTAGCGCTGGCCATGGGCTGGTGGGTCGCAAACCTGTCGCATCGATAAGAAACCCTGTGATGAAGCGAAGCACCGGATTGGACGTTGCTTTCTGACATAGCCTCGCGGCAGCCTCGAGTTCCCATCATGCGACTCTTACAGGTTTCAGCCCGGGCACCTTACCATTCCCCCGCCCACGAAACCCTAATTCGAACCCTGTAAAATGGAGTCTTCCTATTTGGATGCCGGACGTCCACCCCTAAGCCCTGACTTTGAATCTTCGCCGCAACTTGATCTTGCAAGGGAGCTGCCAGATGAATATCCTTCATTGCTTTCTCCATCTCTTAGCGTCTACCCAGAATTATCCATCTTCGAAGACGATATCTCCTATCAAGAAGAGGAAGGGCATCTTGACGGTGAGATCCAAGTAGAATACGAAGACAGTGACGACCATGACGACCCTGACCGACGACACGCTCCATGATGCGAGACACCTGCTGGAGACAATCAAGGAAGAACCTGAAGAAAATGATACCGGGGACGAGACCCTGTGCCTTCCTGAGCAACACTCGGAGGAAGAGGACAATGGTTCATTCACTCAGCTGGTTGACCATGCCGACGAAGTGGAAGTGGGGCAAGGCTCTGTACTTCCTCGGGATTCCAGCCCTCCACCTCAGTCCCCAGCTGGAAGTTTCATGTCGCTTTCTGGAAGTGTTTCATCTATATCTCGAGTTAGGATTCGTTCTCGCCCCGCCAGTCTACGCTTCCACACGCGGCTACACTCACCCTGCGAGAGCAAGAGTTGGTGAGTGGACATGTCGTGACACTGCGCTTACTTAACTCTTGCATAATCTAGCTGTTGGAAGCGCGAGATAAGGAAATCTTCTCCCTCAAGCTTGAAAATCACTTTCTCAGGAGAGATTAGCCCAGAAGAACCCAGAAGCCGTAGAGGCTGTCGTAAAAAGCAGTATCGCGGTGAAAATTGCGAATCAATCTCTATCCATGGAGGTTAAGAAATACAGAAAGCAATTGAAAGCGCTCGAGAGGGACCTTCAAGAGCATCAAGAAGAGTCGGAGAGGAATGAGAACGCTTTGCTCGAACGGCTTCGTGGGCAAGAATTTCTTGTGGAGGAAGAAAAGCGAAGGCGGGAGAAGGTGGGTTCGGGCAGGTTGCACTCGAATACATCAAACCAGCGATCGCTCGATCCAACTGCTCTTGCAGAGAGGCAGGCGATGCTCGAGGAAGAGTTGGGTGCTGCGAGGGATGCCCTACAAGAGACAAATGATGAACTTGAGCGTCTACATCGTGCTCTAGAGAAGTCGAATGCGTCTCCGATGGCTCAACGCAATGCTCGCTTTGCCGATATGGAAACCGATTCACTTCGATCGAAGCACGAGGCACAGCTTCTCGAGATTCGGTCCGAGCTTGAGCAAGCTCATTGCGATATCGAAACTCGAGATCAGAAGATTGAAGAGCTGGAGGATGCACTTGCAAGCTTGAGACTTGAGAACGAGCGATTAGAGCATGACGTTCGGCATGCTGTAGTGGAAAATAGCCAAAGCAGGGTCGAGATGTCAGAGGAACGACACTCTTTGCAGATGGTGCGCGGTCATTCTTGGGATAGGTCTATGCGAATGCATTTAACCTCCCTCTGACTTACCCAGGAGAAGGACGCCCTTCGTGATCAAGTGGCTTCTCTATCAATTCAGCTTGAGCAGAAGGAAAATGACCTGGAAGCTCGTGTCGAAGAACTTGACATTTACGCTGCGGAGATTGAGAGACAGGACGAAGAGTTGGAGACACTCAAGCAAGAACTTGAGGATGAGCGAGCTCGTGGTGATGAGCTTCACGAGGTATGGCTATCGGGCTGTCAATTATACATTTCAGTCTGGCCCTGACAGCACGAGCAGGATAACCTGGAGCGTGAGGCAAAGATCGAAGTTCTTACTCGACAGGTCAACGACGCCAGCGCTTCTCTTGTCTCTCGTGCTGAAGAAGTCCAATCATTGCGAACCCAGCACGCCCAAGCCCTGTCTTCTGCAGAGAACGAGCTCGAACGTTCGAAGGCCGAAGTTGGGAAGGTCAATTCGAAAGTTATCGAGCTCGGGCAAACTCTCGAGCGGAACGCCATACGGTCGGAGCGTGAGCTTACCGAAGTCCTTTCCCGACTACAATCAAGAGAAGAATTGTGCGACCAACTTCGGGATGTAGGTTCTTCTGAGTTGCTCTCTACAATTCAGACAATTCATACGACTGCTAGAAAATCACGTCTACGAATGCGGAATTTGCGAAGCTCAGGGATTTATACTTCAATGCACAAGATTTGATTGCAGACCATCAAGCTAGGGAGGACGAGCTTATCGCATCTATGGAGGAACTTGCGCGCTCCCGTGATCAGCAACGATTTTCTCGCAGCGCAGCGGAACTTGCTCTCAAGGAAGTCGGCGAGCAGTTGTTCGACGCCGAAGACGATCTGAAGAGGGAGAGGACGGAGTTTAGTCAGATCAAGAGCGGGCTAACGAGAGAATTGAGCGATAAGTCTCAGGTATGTAGCGGTCTGGTCCTCGTCTTCTACCTCACTTTAAGCACCGTACAGGCTCTTCTGCAGGCACAAAGCGCCGTGAAGTCCCTCAATCTACTTCTCGAGCAGCGGGAAGCCGACCTTTCTCTGGTTCGCTCGGCTTTGAAAGAACTCGAACAACAACAGAAGACGCAACTTGGAAAAGGTCGTACTTCTGATAGCAGGTCTTTTGACCTAGATCTTGACCGACTACAGTGGGAACTTCAACTTCGGGAGGATGAACTTCAGCAAGCCCGAGAAGTGATCCAGAACCACACCCGAGTAATGCAGGAGCAGCATACTCACATTGATCAATTGGTGAGGACATGTTTCTGATAATTGTTAGCCCATCCTCAGACGTACCTTGGCTTCGTATAGTCTTTCGAGAATGAAGAGATGTCGACTCACGTCTCGTCACTCAGTCAATCCCGGGACAGCCTGCTCGAGCAACTGAAACGTGCTGAAGAGGTGCGCTGTCCCCACCCAATAACAGTCAACCAAGGCTAACGTTGTATCGCAGACTTTGAGACATTCGGAGGATCATCTGGATCAATGTCAAGCTCGAGTTGCGGAACTCGTGCAGAAGCAAAGCGCTGACAAGCAGTCTCACCTTTCCAAGGAGCAACAATACCGTGATCAGCTAACGGAGCGGAACACTTTGCTTCTCGCTTCGTCCCATTGTGTAGAAAAGATCCTCGGAGCTGACGGTAGCGAGGTGGGTCGATCACTGTCATCAAAACAGCAAATTGATCCGTTTGGTATAGATCACCGCGACAACTGATCTTGACTCTCTGGAGGACTTTTCCAGTTTCAAGAAGAATTTGACTTGTCGTCTCACAAGGCTCGAGCAAATACGGGCCGCATTCGAAGCCACTGCAAAAGAGATAGAGGATAGGTATTCGGAGAAGGTTTCGTAAGTCTTCGTTTTCTGTTGATCAATGAGAGCACTCTCAGTAATTCTCTTTGTGGTAGCGCCGTTATGCGTGCATTGGATGAGCGAAGCATACAGATCGAAGAGCTGGCTCGTCTCAAAGGGCATCGGAGGGAAAAACACGAGACCCGGGACTTGGAGCTCAAGTCTTCTAGAGTGAGTAGAAGCCTCTGCTTCTCTTCTACTGCGGTGCATATTCGTCCATTATAGGTGGCTATCTCGCAGCTTGCAACTAAGGTCACAAACTTGGAGCGGCAGGTAAATGATCAGCTCAAGGAGCTCGACCGTACACGAGATACCCGGCGAGAAATCAACCCTCCTGCTGAATCCTGTGAGGAGACGAAGGAAATTTCCGACCCAGAGAAAGACCCTTCAGCATCACGATCTACAACACCCGCGTCACAACCATCAGCGAGTCCGAAGGGAAATAAGCAAGATTGGGTCTCTGTATCCCCAGACACCTCTGAATGCCACACAATGGAGCTTGAGACCAATATCAAGTACAGTAACCACACTCTCTGCTCGTTTGAGGATACCTGACGTGTTTCCAGGGAGCTTCATCAACAGATCGAAATAACGAACAAGCGGGCGGCACATCTCGGAGCAATGCTTAAGACAGCGAGGAGGGTGTTATTCATGAGTTAATTGGCGGCCACTTTAGGGTCTGCAATGTTTTGGATAGTCTGTGTATCTTTATCTCGCATTATAAGTAGGTAATATTATGGTTCCTTTTGTGGACATGCCTCTTCACCGGATCGACATCCGTCTGCTACCACCCCGCCAACGGTTTCCACAAGAGCATTCAGATCAAGGAACGTCAACAGCCCCTCTAGATGGGCCTCTTACGGAGAACAGTGGTCATGCGAGACCTGATGTGATGGGTGAACGGGGTCGGTTGTCTGGCCTGGTAGAAGTCGCTATGTATCTTCAAGACTTTTCAATTTTTCGTCAGCAGTGACTCGGGAAAACATCGGGGGCCCACAACCAGAGCCATCGTCACTCACCTTATCCGATTTCACTCCCCAAGTCCAGGAGTAAAGCGATTCTGTCCTTGGGGGCTTCTATTGACTTTTGTGCTAGAATTCTGAGTCGAGTCAGTGCTCATTTAGTGGGGGATCACGCCATGCTTGGTATCATGATACTGTCTATGAGGAAGCATCTCAACGTTCTGAGGTTTGCGGATGAATTATTTGATTCCCACCCCAGGCCACCCTCCCCTCCACCTCCCCTTCCCCTTCCTACCATCAACAAGTACTAGTCCTAGAATGCTCATCACGGCGACCAGGGTGGCGGACATATGGCGGCTCGGACATGTTAGGAGATCAGCATATACTGTAGCTTCGTTTCAGAAGATCGATCACCCGGAAGGTGGCTGATTCGAACGTTACGCCACCCCATGATCGACAAGGAGCGCATCTTAATTGTAATGTCAACACCATAGTGAAGGGAAGATTTTGTGTGTGTGTTTTCGCCGGTGGATGTAATCCACACGTTACATACTTGATTTTTTGGGATTGGAAGGCCCAAAGACCTTTTTCATGTGTTTGATCTTCTTGCTTCTGGAAGCGCATCATTGCCTTCAAGTTGTCCCTGTTTCCCTGTTTGTTTGCGTGGCTTCTTTGTTCATCCGGTTCGCGATTCTGTTTGTAATGGGCCTCTTCCCCTAGGCCCAGAGAAGCGAAGAACGACGGTCATCTCGAACGAGGCAACGTAAGGTGAATAGGCATCCAATCACCATGTGCGTGCGCACAATATTGAGCCAAAGCCCGATCAGGACCAGGACCGAGTGGCGCGCAGTACGGTGGATTCCACCGCTTCCCTTAACACCACGATACTGCTATGGCGATATACGCGCGCTGGATTCTCTCGGTGTTGTACGGGGTCACTCCGAGAGGGAAATAGCCAGCACTTTTTCACTTGGGGATAAATAGCGGAGGCTGGGGGAATAAACATAAAGACAATAAATGTCCGGGGCCCGCATATGACTCGATTTATACAAATTGTTGGATCATACAACTTCGCATGCCGTAGTATTCTGTCAGGGAGGAAAGGGTAATATGATAATATGGATGTATCCCCGAGTGAACCCTTGCTTTGATCAAAAAATGGCATGCGCTATTTTTGCGCATCAGGGCATGGGCTGGTGGGCTAGAATCATGGGAAGCAGATAGACACCTAGGCAGCGACCTCCGACCTCCGAGTCACCTGGCAACTTGATCTTGATAGGCCCTGGTCACCTCCTGTAGCTAGCCGCAGAATAGAAATAATGAATGTTGAACAGGACGAAGAGGCAAGCTGGATAGATGCATGATCGGCCCCGCAATGTGCAACGGGCTTGACATCTCCCGTAGGTTGGACTTTGGGCTAGGGAATGCAAATATCTGTTACATATCATTAAAGGTACTGTATCGAGAAAGACTTGGACTCATACCCAGTCGGAGTTAGCCGAAATTTTAATTGATTGTTGTGGTTTTTATGTTTGCAAATTCCTCGCGGTGCATTGGAGACGAGGCCGTACATTCTGTCTGATGCTCGACTTACATAACAGATCTAATAGATTTTGCTGCAATGCCCAACAGGCATAGGCCCCGAAGAGACTAGGGGGGGGATTGTTATCGTGATAAGAACATTCCAATGTTGAGGGCGCATTGTAGCCGTTCGAGTGTTTCCTTTAGAACAGTCGCGAAATATGAAATATGTACGTATACATAACGCCCATTGAACCCCTTTACCAATTACGGGTTGCAAACCCTTACTAGGAGCCGCTCGCTCCCAGGTAACCTTGTGAGGGAAGCTTACAGGGCTGAGCTGGAAGGCCCCGAATTGGAATGGGGAGATTAGCTAAATTTGAAACGAAAGCCGGCGGAGAAGATGGATGGTGGCGGAGGACTAACCTAATTATTATGAGGCCTTTGAGAACTTGTCGCGCAGAGGGTTACCATGCACTTCTTCAAGGAGGTTCCAAGGGCTGCGGCTCGATGGAAACGGCGGCGCGAAATACCTAGCCACGTTCCTCGGTTTATGCCCAACTTGGAGTTCGGATAAAGGTCGTGTCAGGTGTACATGCAAGATCCGAACAAATTGTCGCAGTACTTACCTAAGACGAGTGGGGGGGAAATCACCAGAAAAGCAGAACACAATAATAATTTGAACTAATGAGACACGATAAAACACTGAACCATGCAAGCTGGATCCGGGCACGTGGTGTAACTCGGTTGTTCTTGGAGAGGTTAGCCGCCGCAGCCTCATGCATGTTTGAATGCATGGTTGCTAATCTGACTACTTAAACTTCGAGGAAGGGAGTGTTCAATTGATATCTGCGCCATTTCTTATTATCTGTGCCTGGAATATTCAGCATTAACGACCCCCGCCCGCAACTGCATTGAAGGGGGCGGGACAGGCTACAGATATTATCCAAGGTCGAGGCCGGATCTGAAAGCGGGATGATCAAGAACCCGTCGTGTCAATCCCTGTGGGAGGGGAGACAAGATTAATGTGGCGCAAGTCTTAATCGCAAGCGTGTGCATGTGGGCCCAGCCGACGCGTGAGGGTTAGGATCAGAGTCGCCCCGTTATTTTGATCCAAGCGAAGCAGATGGATACGCAATAAGCTATAAGCAGTACCCGATGTTATATACAGTGCTGCTGTTGTCGTCAGTACAGCCCTTGCATGCATGTCCGCGGAAATTGTTGGCAGATGAGAGGCACCGATCAGGTTCATACACCGCCATCAAAAGGAAGGGGGGAGATGGCTGAGGCTGGCAGCCGTACGTAGCAGCCCATGGGTCACCATGGGGAGAAATCGTCAACCTCTCGATAACATGGCTATCGCTTGACTTAGTGTTTCATCGGACTCCGAACAGTGGCCAAGCTCAGTCAGGTCGTACAGCTAGAATATTGGAGATCAAACCAAAAAGCTGGGAACACGTTTCCTTGCGTGGTGAGGGTTTGTGTATTGAAATGATTCCTGTGGTGATCGATGATCAATATACGCCAGATCACGATTAACAGGAAAACAAGCGCTCATACCAGCACTTATGATCAGGAGCGAGATCGCAACGTGATTAGCGCCCGCGCGCGATAAATGCACGCTCAGTATCAATATTGTGCCGGTATCAATCGGGTCCATCGAGCCCTCCGCGTCGTCGTTGTCCGGGGGTGGATGTGAGCCACAAGGGGACGCTGATCCCATGCCATGCCTGCGCCACCCCTACGGAAGGCCTAAAGTCGAAAGATCTAGACACGACACCGTTTGGGAAATACGGATTTTTACGTGTACATGTGTCTTCGAGCAACGACGCGGCAAAATAGGAAGACGTGACCTCATGATTAATTGGTTCCAGACCTTCATTACGGACACGGACCGGGTGGGTGTTCGTTCGTTTGGTGGTACCTACATATTTGGGACTTTGAGAGAAGGATCAAAGATCAAAAGAAAAAAGAGCAAGAAATCAAACATGCATCAAAAGTAGTAACAGTAAGTATAAGATGCTTATGTATTACTTACATGTATTCGGCCGTCAAAACAGGCGATCATTTCTCTTCGTCCCGGGAAGAACGAATCCGAGAAGTGTGATTATCACAATCAAATTAGCTGGTTTTGGTATACTTGTTTTTTTTTTTTTACTTCTTGTTCGGGTCATTGTTCACTTTTTTTTTGGCAAGTGGTATAAGTAGTGAATGGACGAATTGGGTGGAGAAGATTCGCAATATCCATAGGTGGAAATGTATGAAACGAAGCGAAACCTGGTTGTGGAAATGGAGTGGGGGGAAGTATGCATATATCCTTTTTTTGATGATCAGTCGACTTGATCACGCTGACATGTGCAGGAATTCAGCGATTTTGGAACCGGGAAAGAACAATGTTGACCCTGCATGGGACAAAAACCAGATTGGACTCTTGGACTCGTAGATCATGAATATTTTATAGGTTGAACTAGGGTAGTAAAGCGCTTTTGGGTAATGTTTGACGTGCCCGCCAGTTGAGTTGATAGCTTCGAATGACTAAGGAGACGGGAACAAATGGTGGCTGTAGTGCAGATAGATGGGGATAAGGACAGGTCGGTGATTATAGGCCGGAATGTCACAGGTGGTTGTGGTTATGCATGTGCATTTTGGCTTTGAGAAGGGAGGCCCACAGCAGGGTCGCCTTGGAGTTCCGAATTCGCTCTCACACGACGATGAAATCAGTATCGTGAGGAACATGACATGCCCGAAGTTGTTGGCGTGGTGAGCTACCTTGAACAGGAAGTGGATCAAAGACAATGTGTGATCTGCTGCAAGTTGAGAAATACAATAGTTACGAACTTCATCACATTACGGTGGCCCAACTGTTCACCATTGAACGTCACGAAGGGGACAGATCCGATGGAAGCCAAGCGGTAAGCAGGAAACAGACAACGAATCTGTTGGGGGGGACGCTGTTGTTGCAGGTGCGACTAGTAACTGATTCTGAAGATCAGGAAGGACACAAGACAGGGGAAGTTCAATGCGGGTTGGAGTGACTGATCTTTTTTCGAGTTCGCGAGAGGCCGCCGCGAATTGACTTTTCTGTAATCTTTCTGCTGGTTTTTTTTTCTTGCCCTTCTTTTTCTCCTTCCGGAATTATGTTACTAGGGACTCATGGCGAGCTCTTGGGGTCAAAGTTTGTGGTGTGGAAAACCAAGATAGGCTCGGGAACGGTGGAGGTCCTATGTAAGTGCATCATCATATTATGGCATGATTGTTGGCATCGTGGCGCGGTATTTAGGCTGAGACCGGAAACCGGGTTCTAACCAGCGATAATATGTGTATAATAATTTAATGAGGAAGACGAACTCGCCGCGATGAAGCGCGCTGGTTTCATATGCATGAAACGTCAGACCAGGAAAAAGTCAAATATTTCGTAGTAGTATCTCATCCTGCTAGTTGGCAAGTGATGGAGAGCAACGGCTGGCCTTCACAACAAGACATTTGCAAGGCTTGGGTGATACATTGGAAAGCCACACCACGATTTTCAAGAACAAATGAAAAACAAGCGCCCCCATGACTAAGCAGATGTACAAACAGGCTTTCTGATTCTCATTCCGGGCGCGGAGGAAAGAGGTCAAGTTTGTGGAGAACGGATGAGTGAGATGTGATTTGTATCCGGAGGGGTTTGAACGAAGAGGAGGTCATTGATGATTGAATGGGTGATATATAAGAAAACGGGGTGCCTGGTTGCAAACTCTCAACAACTCTCTTCTGGTCTCGCTCGGCTCAGGAACTCTTCCTCCACTCTCGTCGTCCGCATTCGCGATGAGTGCTTCCCCGCCTATAGCGGTGGCCAATCTCGATGACTCTCCATCGGACGGCCAGCAGCCCACTTCACACCCTCAAGCCACTCTAAATGCGAGCGTCGTCCTCCCAAGAGATATCGAAACACCCCCAGCAAAAGCTTCCAGTGTCGAAACTTTGGCGACTGTCGCATGGTCTTTTCTCGTAGCGAACACCTCGCTAGGCACATAAGGCAAGTCCTCTTTCTTCGTTCCATATCGAGGGGGGACCGTCGTCGTCTTATCTCAAAGTTTCCCGTCTCTCCCTCTTTTTTTTCATATCGCAACGTGACATCAACAGAAAACATACCGGCGAGCGTCCGTTTGCTTGCCATTGCGGAAAGCAGTTTTCCCGGCTCGACAATCTGCGTCAACATGCTCAGACAGTGCACTCCGACAAGCCCGAATTAAACGAGAGAATGATGAAAGAGCTTACGACACTTCACACGTCGTTGTCCACATCAAATGCGAGGGTTCATGCTCGCCCAAGCGGCTCGACTGCAGAGAGACGTCGGGGCGCTCAACCGGCTACCGACTCTACTCTTGCTCAACGTCCAGGTACGAGTACTGGTTACGAAGCAGCAGACCCAGGGCAGCGTACCGATTTTCGCGACTCCTTTCGGACCAATGACTTTCGTGAGGGTAGAGCCGACCAGTTTCGCGACACTCGATCAAGCAGAACATCCATGGGAACTTTTGGGGACACCCATCCCGATCAGCAACAAGTCCGGCAAGTTACCCTTCTCAATGGCGACGGCAGACATTCCTTTCTGGACTCAGCAGCAACAGCGTCTACCGGTCAGTCCTTTCTCGCCAGTAACAACATCCAGCGAGACAACGCTGGTCGAGGGCAGCGGCCATTCACATCTTCGTCCATCACCCCCTCTCGGTCAGGCCTCCCAGGGTCCGGGTCACTTGGGAGGCCTTCAAATATCCAGTCACCCGGAACTCAACAATTCTTCCAGCGCACCGGCAGCGGCCAATCCCAACAATTTCCGCAGCGGCGCCTCAGCCCAAACTTCAGCTTCGCCTCCTCAGTCGAACAGCACTCCTCCAGCAGCAGGCCAGGGACAGGGACAGGGGTCGGGCTCCCTCCCATCTCGGAGATCGTCTCCCCAACAATCAGTGCCAGGTTTAACACGCGTCCACCATCTCAATCGGGAGTACCTTCAACGCCATCCTCTTCACATCAACACAACCCCTTCGCCTTCACTTATACAGCACGGCCAGGTAAGCATGCATTCCCCTTTGCCCTTCACTGCTCTTTCTGATGAAAGTTTAAACCGTCATCCATTGCAAATGTGTCTTTTGTTATTTCTGTCATCATCTTGCATACTTTCCAGGCACTGCTCCAGCATCCTATTACCAGTCCAGTGTTGGGACTGGGGCAGTCAGCCGTGCTGGGTTGGCCTCTCGGGGGACCCTACAGCTCCCCATACAGCTCCCCCTACCAGGGTCCCGACCTACATCATCATGCGCACGGGGTGCAACCGCCAACAACGGACCCAAATTGGACGGGTTCGGAACAGCTGCCCTCCTCAGCAACGAATCCCCATTTTCCTTCCACGCCCCCGAAGAGCCAATCGAGCAGCAACAGCCAGTTCCGCGAGGCATCAAGCGTCCAAGAGGATCTGTCGATCTCGGGGACGGCAGCGAAGGATATCAGCAATCAAGACCTTCGTCCAGAAGACTCTCAGTCATGGACATCATCGATGCTGACGAGCAGCAACGTCCAGTCACCGCTACATCAGCATCCTCCAAACAGCGCTGTGGCCAGTCACAGTCCGTCCGCCAGCACCAATCCCAACAGCAGCCATCCGCTGTTTCATGCGGTCAATCCGTTCTCGAATCCGTCGCAAAGTCATCAACATCCCTTCCGCCATCTTTTTCCTTCGCAGCCCATGTCGGCCCCGCCCATACCTATGGCGAATCCGTTCGGGAGTCTGTATCATCACGGAGCTTCTACAGCATCAGGACCGGGACCTATGGAGCAGCAGATGGACATGATGCTTCAGCAACTAACGGCGGGGCCTATTCTCCATCCATATCACCATCATCATGCTCAGTTTCCACACCTGACCACCAGCGGAGCAGCTCCAAGTTTGGGGATGAATCAGAACCAACCTCATCAGCAAACTCTGTATCACCCCCTTCAAGGGTTATCTCGACATCAAGGTCCGCTCAGTCCTTTGCAACACGCGATCCACTCCCGCTCTCTTCACCATCCGCAACAGACCAACGATCACTTTCCGCTGACGCCGTCTCGACTCTCGACGGTGTCGACCTCTCACACAGGAACTCCAGATCAGGGGGTCTCGCCCGCTCTCCAGCAGCAAGGCCCTTCGAGTACCGTAACGACGCCACTTCACAATCCTCATACTCCCCATCACCCACACCACCGCCAAGTAGAGTACAACTCGTATTTCCCTCCGGTGCCTCCCCTCCCTACGGAACGGGACAACAGCGACGAGAAGAGCCACGGCGGCTCACAAGCCAACTCGCCGGTTCGCCTCGCGTCAAGCTTGAGCACGTCAAGGACGAATGGGAACGTAGCATTGGGGGGAGCAGGACAATCGACGAACTCAGGCGGCAGAACATCCAGGGATCATTCCCGTCATTCCTCAGCGAACACGATAAGCAATCAGCAACTGACTTATCCCCAACAATCCCATCCTCAGGAGAACGTAGTGACGCTTCCTTCGTCCCCCGGGGGTTTAGACCCACTGGGGGACGCCGGTGGGACGATGATGATGCCGGGTTCGATGCCAGGTATAATGATACCGAACGTCCCTCCTCTTCAGGCTTTGGGCAGGACGAACACCATGCTCGACGCCCTAGATCTCAGCATGGGGAATATTGCGAGTGGCAACAACAACAATCCGAGTGGCGGGGTGGGGATGGTCGGAAGCGGCCCGAATCAGGCTGGGAGCGAGACGAGCGCAGGCGCTACGGAATGGATGGGATCACCCTACGAGTATTCGGGGTTGACGACCACGTCCGCGACGAATCTCAGCGCCAATTCGGGACAGGCACCATTTCAGAGCGGCGGGAGTGGGGGGACGGTTCATTATCAAGGGCATCTACCCCCAGTGGTCAACTTGCCACAGTACCCTCATACGGCTCATCCTCTGACACATTGGCATCACCAATCCTCTTCGGGTCTGAATCCACTAAATTATCATCAGCAACAGCAGGTATACCTCATGCATCATCAGCAGCAGCAGCAAGTTCAGATGCAAATGCAACAACATCATCATCGACAGGTGGCCGCGTTGCAAGACTTCCAGTTGAGGCTTCCGCAGAAGGTCGCCCAGCGGTTGCAGCGGCGGCGTCCGGGAGTGGGCTCGGGCTCGGAAACATCGACGGGAGATCAAGACCAGGATCGTCAGCAGGGCTCGTCAGCGCTAACTTCAACGGACGAAACAGCCCCTCAGCGATCAGCACAGCAGCAGCAGCCGGGAGTGGGTCAACAAATGCTACCCCCAACGTCGTTGTCGCATCAGCAGGAATCTTTCGAACTGCGAGCCCCTCCTTCAGGACGCTTGCGCCGACCGGGAATCGCTCGTACTCCGAGCAGTCACAGCACATCGTCCCAGTCTCAAGTACAGCCTCAGTCTCATCCCCTGCGTAGGGAAGCATTCCTGGCGCTCAGTGATGAGGATGACCCCGAGTTGGGCATCCTCAGACCTGCTAGCGCTGCGCTCAGCTCGCCAACTGTTGGTGGTGGGAGCGGAAGCAGCAGAGGTGACGCGGAGTTTGAAGTGGTGAGTACTGCCTTGAGTGCGGGCACAGCGGGTGGTGATGGCGTGGGCAGTGGACATGATGAGGGGATGAGTATATCTGAGTTTGGTTTCGACATGGATCTTTCGGGCAGTATGAATATGGACATGAGTATTGGTATGAACGTGAACGAGTGGGGGGAGGTGGGCGTCTCGGGTGACGGGAGGATCGATATGGACATGATGTTTGACTCGCCGCAGGACCAGGGACGGTGATGAGCTGCAACCCTCCGTGCTCGTTTTTCTTCCTATCTTTGTTTCCCTAATTTTCACTGTTATACATGCATGCACTTTTTGGAAGTGCAAGCTTGCGTATCTTTAAATCCTCATCTCACCTCCACTACTCTGCAATTGTTTCGTTGGTTTGGTATATGTTTTACTTGGGAGGATTGCGGACGTCTATACATTACTGTCCATGCTTGCTTCATATCAGCATTTTCTCTGTAATATGTTTCTAGCTAACTAGCTAGCCACTACTCGATGTTGGAGACTCCGTATTTACTATCGAACGTCCTCTATCTTTCTTCGACATTATTACCACTGTCCCTTCACTGTTCACTTTTGTACTCTCAATATTGATCAATCAAAAAGTAGTTCCGGAATGGGTTTTCTCAGATTTAGTCCCATTACATAACTCACCTACCCAGCCCCATTCTCACATTGTCAGCCACGGTTGACTTAGTCACTGTTGAATACAACAAGCTATGCACGCTAGTTGATCTTGACAAATCGTTCGATCAATATATATACAGACCAGAGCGACATAGCGTGAAAGAGATTAGTTTACTTTTACGAGCAAATTAAGGTCCCTGCGAAAAATGTGACACGGAAATCCTATTGGTCTTCCTTCCCATCTGAACCTCCGTCGTCTTCGTCGTCTCCGTTGTTGTTCTCCGGCTCCCCTTCATCGAATGTGATCTTCCGCTTCTTTCCCCTGTCAGACTTCAGTGCTTTCATCTTCCTCAATTGTAAAGCGCTGAGGTCTTGCTTGCCCAAGTGAATCTGAGCACGAATGTCACCCATCTCATCCATCTCGATATTCTTCCGCTTCCTCCCAAGACCACTTTCGATATCACTCTGAGGAAGTTTCCTTCTTTTCATCGCTTCCTTGAGCATATCAGGGTCAGGTGGACTATGTCGCCGCATGACGAGATCCAGGTTGGGGCCCATAGGTGTAAGGGCGGCGCGAGGCGTGCGGGAGCCACTTTTAAGCATTTGGATAGTGTATGTGCGAATATGAACGGGAGGAAAAGTGGCGAGGACTTCTTTAGAATTAGGGTCAACTTCGGAATAGAGGTCGGTAGTAGTGGAGTTGAGAGATGAAGGGGTTGGACCGAGGGATACGCTGATGAGGCATTCGAGACCTTTTAGGTGAATGGCTTTTGACGATGGGTCGGCACTAAACAAGTCCAGGAGGAGGGATCTGAGTTGAATGAAGCGGGGATGAGTGTCGAAGAGTTCTGATGCAAAATGCATTAGTGGGCGGAGACCAGATCTGCATTTCAGTGTCTACATTAGGGAAGGATATCGTTAGAAAATATAATAGGGGAGGGAGCCGAATTTTGTAGCCTCGCCTTGAGCTCTTGCATGCTCGTGAAGGACGTCACTCCAACTTCACACATCTCCAACACCCTCCCATCAAACATCCGCACAAACGTTAAATTGTTAGGTCGCTTCTTCGTATTGTGGCCAATTACGAATAATGGTGCATCATTCTTCATGGTCCAGAACTCTAATGATGACGCATCCTCAAATGGCCGAATTTCGTTCTTCTTGGAGAAGTATATCGCATCTGGGCTCTTGAGGGTCATCTAGTATAGAAAGTGTCGCCTCAGCGGAGGTGAAGGCGTTGAGATGGAGTAGCACAGACTTACTAGCTCTTTCATAATAGTATCGAGCCTCTCCCCTGTGCTAGATCCCCGCACAAACAGGGCGGTCTTAGCTCCCTCAACTTCTTTGGGCTCTTTGGCTTCCAATGCCCGCTTGATGCGAGCATTCTTCGGTTTTCTGTAGTCAAACGATTCCTTGTTAGATACTAAATCAGGGTGCAATCTTAAGAGGGCTTACATCGTCCTCAGCATGGAGTTCTAACTTTTGAATTGAGTCGCCACAAAACTTTCCAAGGTCACGGGCCTTCCATGCCAGTTCGCACGCTCTACAATTTTGGAGTCGAAACAATGTTGAAGTCGCATTCTTTCCTTGTAGACACCACGTTTCCTCTGCCCCACTGCTCATGCGCATTCAAGGCGTACTAGGAGAGAGGGTGTATTGGTGCAAGTGGACACTGCACATTAGTGTTGGCAAGTCATCGCCATGGACGGATGGGTCAGCTGTGATTAGCCCGTCCTGGTGCACTTTGTCGGCGGTCACCAAAACGCTCCTGAATGAAGTCGTATTCTGCGGATCTCATGATCGATGCATCATCCCTCGCTCTGATAGATGGCCTGCTGGCGGCAGCCAAGGTGAAAGATCTGAGCGGACAATTTCCTCTCTCTTCTCGGCGCCTTGTTGCGAACGGTGGATCTACATTGCAGATCGGAGGCCTCCTCGATGTGAAGAGCCAGTAAAGGTTGGTGCCTTCTCTCTGAAGTAACCACGAATTTATCATTTTGGCTAGGTTTGTTACAAGGAACTTCGTCCGCCTGCAAGCAATACGCTCACGATGAGCATCTAGAATCTTACCCGGGAAATGTAAATTTAGATCATCCTTACATCTTCAAATTCTTTGGGTTTGCCATCGAAGGGGGAGGATGCGATGTAAAGGGTGTTCTAATCTCCATCTGGTGCCAGAATGGAAATGTAGTCGACTATCTTAAGAAGAACCCATCTGCGGAGAGGGTTGTGAGGAACATGTTCACTTTCTGAAAGCAATGGATATGTTACGAACCATAGGCAAAGGGCATTGCGAAAGGATTGGACCATCTGCATCATCTGAAGCAAGCGATTGTCCAAGCTCTTCTTATCGGTCACATTCATTTGCTCTCACCCATTTCAAAGGAGAACGTTCTCGTCAGTGATGACTGCAAGGCAATTTTGGAATGTCTCGTTTCAACAGTGAACTCTCCACGCGTCAGACATCCTCAGCCATGGGTGGCACAATTAGGTTCATGTCCCCGGAGATGATATTTGTTGAGGGAAAAGTGAGGCGTAATTGTTCTGTTTCTTCGGGAACAACCCATTGATGTTGACCTCCGGACTGGTTGTTATTTGGCTGGTCGAGACGTTTCTTACCACAATGAATCTCAATGTCACAACCGACAGGCATCCAGACTGGCACGCAACATCCGTCGGCTTCGCTTTTGTGATAGGCCACTTGAATTACGCGATGGTTCAATGGCGCATAAGACTGCTTCGCAAACCGATCAAGAGCGAATATCCAGACTCCCTATGTTCCACTCCATGCGATTCATCATTTAGTTGGCGAGCAACCGCATGGCCACTCCTTGCTCCCGTCGTGCTTCAAAATGGCCTCCCAGACAGGCGCTTCCCATTTGCTTCGTGCCATCATGAATAGTGTGTGCATGCTTCCCAGAGTATCTTGGACATCTCAGGCTGTACGAGGAAGCGAGAGGTTTACTGGTAAGCATTTGAAATGTCAGTGATCAATGGCGTTGTTCTTGATGCCGTTTAAGCCAACCTGCAGTTTCGGAGCGCTCGGATGTTGGAACCGGTCCCTCATGCTCAATCGATATTGGATATGTAATCTAGTTAAAGGCGATGAGTTCAGTTTTCGGGCCTCTCAAACCCAAGTGAAGGCGCCCTCATGGAGCGGAGTAGCCCGCACGACTTCGTCCTTGGCCAAATGGGTTTGGAATGCTACGGCCGCGGCACTAATCCAAGAATTTTGGGCCCTGAGGGAACTTCTTGACTTCAGCAGACAAGTTAGCCACTCTGGGCGGCTGAAGGCAATCGGGGGGTTCTCGTGTATTCTTGACGGGTGCCTCTGCGGGACCGCCTGCTCCAGTTCGTCCGTTCAACTCATTCCCTCGTGGAGTTTCTGATCCTGCTGCCACATCATCGACTCTTCGCCATCTGCAGGCTTGTACACAGAACTCAATCCCCCGGCTAATGACGCTCAACAGGTGGCGCGAGAGACATAAAAGTGCAATTTCATCCACAGCTTCTCCGAGGCGATTCTAACAAATGTCACATTACAGCGCCTCACCCTATGAATGGTATGTTGGTGTTGGAGTGGCGTGCAAACGATAATGTAGTCGGCTACCTACAAGATCGTCCAGATACCAATAGAATGGCCTTGGTTCCTCATCATGTTACGTTTATGTGTTGACCATACAAGCTAATGAGGGCATGTCAAGTGGACGGGATAACAAATGGATTGTTTTGTCACAATCCCGCGATCGTTCATAGTGACTTTAAACCAATTCGTTCGTTGAACCGAGCATATTGACTTGATCAACGTATTCCGTTAAATAATAGCTCAATGTTATCACAGATGGTAGATGATCTAGGGCTTGCGCTTTTATGCCATTTTGGCCTTTCTAGCATTGCCAGCGAGCTCTCGAGGGGCATGACTTCGTCGACAGTGAACTTCACACAACGTCTATGTCTTTGCGTGCTGTGTTCAGGTAAGAATGAATGATTTGAACCACTCACAAATGCGGATACTTTTTGGAAAACTTCCTTGTTCAGAGCTGACAACGGATTATCGGATCTTCCACGCGGTGGGAAGTGGAATCCCTCCTTGGGGTGGGATGAGACAGTCTTGCTGGGGCACTTACTGTCCTTGTGCTGTGCGATTCCACCGGATTGGAGAGCCTCTATGCAGTCTGTCGTCTTCAACATGGACGTTGTTAACCGTAGCAAGCCCGATAACAACCACAGCAGGGGCTACTCCTTCGGAACCTGCTATTTCTATCCAAGATGTTAGGGCCGTTCCTCATGAGGGAGGGCGAGCTGACGAGTTGTTGTCAGCCAGCGCCCTGGAAGCTCAGAGACCAGAAGGCATGTCAGCCTGTATCCAACCACTGGCGAACACCCAAAGTTTTCCGCAATCCGAGCTATCCGAATGCACGGATATCTCGACGAATATACCACGACATCGAAAGTTCTCAGTGTCACCAAAGTTTGTCAAAGACACCGCAAAGGTTGGGGTGAGCTCCTTTTGTGACTTTCTTTTGGGGAAGCCGTATAATCGTCTTCACTGGCGTTCTTCTGAGGTTGACACATGGCTAGTGTACAGTGGTGAACAACCTGTTACGAATCATAGACAAGAATCCGAGCAAGAATTGGCTAGATGCCAGTGATCCGTATTTAGATGCCGTAGTCGAAAGCATCCTTGGTCCACTTATCCATAGGACAGAACCAATTAACATCGTCGTTTCAGTGCGTTCGATTCATGGCAAGGACCCACAGTTCCAGCGCAAACACGTTGACAACATCGATATAAATATTGCCCATGATAGCACGAGATATTTGGTTCAGAGCGAACGGAAGTGGGCGCGAGAGTCGGACGAGAGCACAGACTACGACAGAATCCGCAGGCAATATCAGGAAAAACTGCATCCTTGAACACAGAAGCAACATTATTACTAATAACATGGGCTACACTTAGTCATTTCGACACAGGGCTTCCACATCAGGCGGTATGCTCAAATGGCGCTGGTTGGCCAGGTTGGCGAACTGCATCACTAGTCCAGCTTCCGCATGCCTGCAACGTGTTAGGGTGATATATTTAGCAGAGGCGAGGCTGGGACTTACCACGATATGTGACAATGAAAGGCCCAGACCTATATGACAACAAACAAGAGTGAATAACAAATGTCTTGCATTATAATCGAGTTGACTAACTCCAGGGTTATCCGCCGTGAATCTGAGCGCCATCCAAGAATACTTAGGTATAATCACTGTATCGCGTCTCATTGGAGATATATGGCTGAGTGCTTGACCAATATATCTCCCTGCTCCCCACTGCGTGTCATTGGAGTAAGAAGCTTGCCCTCGAAGGAAGAATCTGCAGCATTCCAAAACATACCCCGACGATGAAAAATGTATGCCCGTGTAAATGGAAAGGATGGTCCCCATCATCGAGGGAGTTGACGATGAGGTCTATTGTCTCCACACCTCGTGTTGACACAAGAAGCTGATCCGGGTGGTGGTATGACAGTGAATTTGCTACGCGGGAAATTTCAAGTAATGTTGAGGTGGATGTCAAAGGCTCCCACGAAGTACTTTTGGGGCAATCTCTCAATACCACAACAAAGTCAAAAGTGTAAAACTTGAGAGGCTCACTTATTGAAGAAGGAGCGATAATCTCCATTCACATCGTACTGCATGGAGACAGTTACACTGACCACCCTGGAGTTACAGAAAACAGTCTGAGCACTGCCCGACGATGATGAACGCCCACTGACTTAGTTGCTTTGGGAGCATCTAGTCTCCCAGCGGGTACAAAGTCTTTGTCGTCCGATAGCGACCTAGGGGACAACGGTGCGGGGGTCTCCGGAGGTTTAGTGCCAGCTGCCACACCATCATATCTAATCAAGTAAGCTCTGCCACTGCTCTGCATCAGAATTTGAATTACTCATACTCACCTCAATATCCCGAGAGTAGTGAGATTAAGATTTGGATTGTTATATCGTAGTGAATTCGTCTGAGGCGCCATTGGTCTTATAGTCACGTCTGAGAGGCGTACTTCATACTCACCTCCATCACTGCTCTGATCCAGTACGCAGAGGCTTTCCTGTCAAGGCTTACAACAGCGCTGTATCGCTGAGGTGACGGCATCAATATGCATTAGTACGGTAGAGTCAAAGGCCAACAATCTACAGATATGCACCTGGGCAATGCCCACAACAAGCCGCTCTGTGATCCTGGGCTCCACATCGACGCCATCGGCCTCGACAATACTCATGGAATGCTTGTCAATCGAGAATGCCATACTTGTCAGGCTCCCTGAGGAACAAGACACACCGCCATGCACTCCACAAATCAATGATTTGAGGCACCACCACAAGAGCAAGGATACGTACCAACGTTGATAACTCGAAAGCGGTACGATTTCCCCCCTTCTAATGGTAAAATGGGGTAATTAATGTCCGCATTTGAAGCACAATCGTTTATCTCGTTGATGACAGGCTGTTCCAGCTGACCGGGAGGTGATCGACTCGCGTCCCCGTCAACCGAAGACAAAAATCCTCCGCTTCGCCGCTCAGGGAGGGTCAAATCGGTGGCAGGAATGTAGGCGCATCTTGCCTGCGAAATACCGTTGATTACGCCACCGTCCGGAGATGGTTCGTCTCCAGGTTGGCCATCAATCCCAGTACCATACCGGAGAAACCGTTTCAAAAGGATTTCGGAACTGTGAAATGGGAAAAAATTGAGGTGCGTAACAGAGTTCAATCTCTATAAGTGAATAGTGAGAATTCGTGAAGTTGCGACGTACTAAGTCGAGTAATAATCCCCAATCATAACGACTACATCTTGGTCATAATGAACAGCACGGCGGAAAATTTCATGGGGCGAGTGCAAAATAAGTGCGCCGTACAAACCGTCTGTGCTCTGGTGCGGTGTCGTGGAATTAAGACAAGCGAGAGAATATAAAAACTTTGCCTTGCCTGCGTAGAGTAATGGGCATGCCACCAATATGTACCAACATTTTGAACGATGAAACTATAGGTGAATGTCCCCCCATTCGCAGGGATACCGCATTGCTGCATATGGTTCTCAACAGTAACCAGTGGGTGAAGGTATAGCACTTACGGTGATCGCATAGGTCCCATCAAAGTAGTTCGTCCCTAAAAATCCCACATTAGCGGCCATTGTGTCGCCTGAAGGCTCCGACCGGTGTACCATTCTGATACAGTCCATGCCAATGAATGGCCGTGACATTTCTCAGCAGATTCTTCACTTTAACCTGAACACATGCTCGTTACAGAGACATGAGGGATATGGATATATGGCTGCGCACGATGATACGATCACCAAGATTGGCTCGAATGGTGGGTCCCGGAGATTGACCGTTAACGACCAAAACAGGTTTCGGCATAGCTCCAGGTGAAGCCAGGACTTCCGATATTGCTGACAGAGACACGAGTCAATGGTTCATATCATCCCTTTCTTGAAATATTCATCCGTACTCCAATGGTAGACACGAATTGTGGGAGGTGCAGTATAGTTCCAAGCAGCATCAAGCAAGAACCGCCCGTCATCTCTTGACAGGTCTGGTTTCTTAGACGGGCCATTGTGGCCATGTTGATCATTACCTGACATCTCGTCACCATCCCTCGTATCTGTGGTCGTCCAGTCATGTCGTAACCCAAACCCAGTCCCAAAATGAATGTGCAAAACCAAAGCAAAGAACACGACAATAAAAATTAAGACAGAGCAAGTTTTTCGGATACTCCTGCGACCAGTCCCGGTATCAGAAAAGCCCTCTTCCCATGGCATGATCAATGATCAAGTTTGTAGTCTGCCCCAAGGGGTAGGCAGGTTAAGGGGGTCCAGTCGACTTGCATTCGAGTGTTGGATTGAATTTGATCCGGCCAAAGCCGACCAGCCCTTAGCCAGATCTCCAGAAGCGAGGGCTCGCAAGCATCTGACAATTGCCCGCTGGAAGGAAAAAGCCAACAGGAGAGCCAGTCACTGACCCGAATAAATGCACTTTAATTAGCACTCCATGCCTGATCACGAATTCAATTTAATTTATTGAGATCTAAGTAGAACTGACATGACATTGATTTTTCCGTCTTCAACCTGCATCGAAATGGTACAAAATGATGGCAAGGACAGCCGCATCAAGATCAGACGGGGGGGGGAGTTTACTTCCAATTGGTCTCGGAGCTATTCGCCGCGGAAGCCTTCTGACTGGACACATCCTCCTCGATCGAAGCGGACTGCAATGATAAGCCATCGTCAGTCATAGGCGCTGGATTTGAGCGTTTTTTAGAGGGGGAAAGACTTGGTCGGACTGCAGGGTCCGTTCCGTTGAAGGGCACACGAGGTGCGTGAGCAGGAACATTGAGTTCGTAGTGGTCTCGATGGGTCTCGGATTTGGTGGTGATGTTAATCGTTCCGGGGTTACCAACCTAAACGCATACATGAGCAGGAAGTAGCAAGTGAAACTGGAGGAAGATATGAACATTCACTCTTCGTTGGAACTCAACCTCAACAGGGTAACTAGATGATGTAGACCATTGGCGCCGCGCGTTCACTAAATTGATTTCGTTTCGCCGTTAGTCCTCCTGATGCATCTCGTACCGCACGTACAAGATGACATAAGACAGTTACAGTAAAGGAGACCGAGCGGGATATTGAGGATCAGATGTAGATTATTTGCCTAGGAAGAATCGGGGCGTCAAGCGACTTCTTAGTTGTTTGACAGGGGCAAATGATCTACTGACAAATCCCAACTGATTGTTGCCGAATTAGAGTGGCCATGATGGTGAGTGAGCAGCATTTCCGTAAGATTTTACACTTACATAAATCCCCAAATCCACACTCGCCCAAACTGCAGTAATGGCACCGGTTTGAAGTGTCACTAGGGAGGGTGGTTGAATTCCCCACAAATGATATCTCCGCGGAATCGAAAGAAGACTCACATCGAGAAACTCTGTCAATGATGTCGTCCGTGTACGCGAAGCCGGTTCTGTGAGTATGCTTGATCGCGATATCTATGGGGTAGGTAGGAAGGTCCACTAATCGATGTGAAATCACACCCACCAGATACCAGAAAAGGGAACCAGAAATCAGGAAGTCCGTCACAGGAGCAAGAACAAGCCATACAATAACAATGGCTAGAGTGGAGTGTCAGCGCTGACGTACTCACATCGCCCGAAGTCCGGTCTTTACATTGAAATCGCTGGAAATGAACGAACTCCTTCACCATTCCACAAGCAATACTTGTCCCCAAACCGCACACTGATACACGGTAAGTAAATTCAGCAGTGTTAGGAGTTCGTAGGAGAATGACCCACAGAATTGCACAAAGGCAGCAACGAAAATAAAACCAGCAACAATGTTCTGCCCCGTCAACCGCTTCACTCTCCTTTGAACACAATTTCGTCAAATTGCATGCCAAAAGACGTGACGCACACAGCGAGAAACGCACCATCCAAAGAAGGTTTGAACAGTGGTTGATAAAAGCACGGTCATCACTGGGTCTGATGGGGGGGGGGGGGTTGAATTGTGATAGTACGTTGTCGCTATGGTGGAGATACTGCAGTACCTGTATCGAAGACTATGTGCAACGGCAGGAGAAACGTTAGATTCCACACTTGATACCCGAACGAACAGCTCACCCCAAGTCGAAGTCTGAATAGCGATTGTGTTTCCTATCGCGAAAATGACATTTGGACTTCGCTCTCTAGCGAAAACCAGTACACAACATACCAAACTGCCGAATCCCTTAAATATGGGGACGCTTAGCTGTTCTACGAAAGCTTGCGACTAGAGGCATACGAACCATAGTTATATGTAAAGATAACGTCCATCACGGAATTCGTAACCCCACAAACGAATAGAAATGCAACCATGCCCTTAATCCAATGAGCATCTCTGACAGTACATGAGTGCCCGCAGCGGAGAAAACCAGGTCGAACTAACTCTTTCGAATTTCGAAAATATGTTTCTGCGACAATCCTCTGAGCCAAAACCACAGGGAGATAGTGGAAGCTTACTCACGCATCTGCATCAACATCGCACCGAGCTAAGAAATGATTACCGCTCAGAACGTCAGACATCCAAGATGAAGAACCAATCTGGAATCACAAGCCAAACGTTCAACCATGTTCCAATCAACATGGGCCCAACGAGCGTGTTGATTTCATGTGCTGAGATCCCAACAGGGGGCATAATCAAGAAAGCCCAAATGTAAAAGAGCGAGTATGAAAGTGAACGCAAGGAGGGGATGACACCGAGGACGAACAAAATTTTGATCACTTATAAGAAGGGGAAGCCAGTGACACCCGATAAGAACATTTTGGTCATTCATCATTTTTCCAGCATAAACACTGACGGCTATTCAACCGTCCAACTGGTGGTAACGTGCCCACTGTACTGTGTCCCATCAGTTTACCGCCATCCTGCGTGAACAGGCGGTTCATCAGCCAGCCATTCATGTAGAGATAAGCAGGCTCAGGGTAAACAAGAAGAATGCGTGGAGAACGACAATCACTATTGGAACCTATGCAGGAGAATAAGGAACAACTGTTCGGACTAGGCAAACGGAACCCTGAAACTCGAGGGAGGTGAGAAAACGTGATTGGATAGTGACCAGGGAATGCGTACAGTGGAATCCTTGTTGCCGTCTTTACCAAATCCAAAGTATTCAAAATAGACAGGATAAACGGCGACTCCAAAACGAGCCGGAACAAATATTCCTGGGGTGAGTGACTTGTATAGCCACATGTCAGGTTGCTCATCCGTGCAAGTCTCCAGTCGGGGTTATTAGGAAATCGTGGAGGCACGGGACCATAGTCATCATAGCGTTGTAGCGCTGGCACAGCGGCAGCGATTGCGGGCGCACTGTGAGGTCGACGTGGTTGGACTCCCCGCTTCAGCCGTCGTGACGCACGTCTCGTCTCTTGGGGAATGGGCCCTTGTCATGAGGAAGAGGAAGAGTCCTGATTCCGCTGCCACAACTGCCACAAGTCCGGAGGCGGAGGCGGAGGCGGCTGTCTTATTTTGCACCATATTTTGTCATCACATGTGGGTCCTTAGTTCATCTAATGTTATATGAGGGAATCTATTGACGGAAATGAAATGACAAATCATGGGAGCCCGAGAATCCATGTTACAGAAAAAGAACACGAATTAGGGTGCGTGATCAATCTCAAAGGCCTTATATATTTAGATCATCCAAGACCTAACATGCCAAATCATTACGGGTACACGGTCGTGGAGTGGATTCATGAAGGAATGAATCATTTCATAATGATACCCTGCCGGTAAATGAAGGGGAGCCGTGACCGTAGGGAGCCTTATCGAATCACAGGTTCGAATCCCAGGTATCTAGGCAACTTGGCCGTAAATATCAAGTTGCTGCGAGAAGGCTGTCTGTTGTGAGATCTAGTCAGGTGATGGCCCGGAGTTGGCGGCGTGGAGTTTACAGCCGGAGCACGAGGCAAGCCACCGTAGCAACTCGCGTTATGGGGTGAGGATACTCTGTCCAATAAGGAGCGTCCCCGGGACTCGCTCCATTCACCGCGCTTCATCCAATCACCATACGCAAAGAGAGGATTCGCATACGAGTAAGGAGGGTGTACTCTGCTCCAGGCGTTGTTCGGGACACTCATAGAAAGAAGCGGAATACGTCCAGTTGACCGAACAAAGTACCGTCGATCATTTTGGATATTGGCCTACCCATGAAGGAGTGAATTAGGAGGAAATGGACAAATAGTTCCTTGGTGGATCCAGCGTAGATGAATCGTGGTCAAACAGGCCGTTTTGACGAACGAGACTTCGTAAACCCCTCATACCGACGCGATAAGCCCTCGGCGGGCCGATCGAAACAACCAAACGTATCGATACGTTGACCCGCTAGATAGACGCGAACGCAGTCATAAGCGCATAAGTGATCGAGTAATCTTTCAGGCAGGAAATAGCAAGGCGTGCAAGCCACATACGGAGCTGCAGCTAGGATCTAATCGACGAACCCTACTCTTCATGTGATCCTTTATGGCCAAGACTGGCGAGAGTAAGAGCTTGCTACTCATATATATATATATATCTGTCTAGATGATCTTATGGAAGAATGCTTGCTTTCGTTCCTTGATCATAGGACGAAAGACCGAGCGTAACAGCAACAAGTTGAGGCCAACAGTGGTTGGTCCTCCTTTGGCTCGGGGCTCTGGTAGTCAGGGATTTCGCCAGCCAAATATTGAAAACTCGCGATATTGGACGTTCCCATGTCCCTAAAATGGCATGACATGAAGTTGTGGATAAGGTGACGACACATTGACTCGATCGAGCATAGCAACGTTATTCCAAGATGGACGTGTGCGATACAACCAAGGTGGGAAGTTGGAATCGCTCGAAACGGGGACGCACATGTGTGGATGTTTCCTAAAGAGAGGCTGGTCACCTGCCTAGATGTTTCCCATAGTACTTGCGCTCGTTCGTCGCTAGACCAATATTCTGGGCCAGAACGAGAAGCTGTGTCCACACGTGCATCGCTTCTGTAGCCAAATGCCGCGCGCCAACTACGCGAGCTCAGGGATTTAGTAGACGCTGGGATCCTGCCTAGCTCAGGAACCCATTGAAGGGTTGCTTCTCATTTATAGGGCAATTACCCACCTCTACCCTCCCCATCGTCGAGTGCCCAATGTTAGCCACGCTCATCCTACTGCTTGCGGCCCTCCCCAGTGTCGTCATTGCATCCTTGGCCATCCCTTGGGTACCGCCAGCGCCATGCCCGACTTGCTCATCTCCCAACTACGTCGGAAAAAACAGTACGTCTTGTTCAACATCATCCCTGTGTCTGCGGAGCATTGTTCTTCACTGATCAACCTGCGGCTGGACTAGATGGAACTTTGAAAAACGGGCGTTTCGTTAAAGGAAGAGCCTTTGAACGCGTCATCCAGATCTGGCTTGAGAACAGTGTGTCCCTGAATTGTTCTCTTGGCACTCTCAAGGCTTAGCATTACTCCTGGAATAGCTGACTATAACACCGCGGTCACTAGTCCTTTCTTCCAAACCCTTGTTAAGGAGGGTATCCTACTTTCTTCATACTTCGCGGTCACGCAGTACGTCCCGTTTCGTGCTTCTTCGTTATGTGACTGATTAACCATCCTCCGACTAGTCCGTCGGAGCCTAATTACATAGCGTCCATCTCTGGTGATTTCTATGGTTTGGCCGATGACAACGTATGTTGTTGCACACTCGTACATATGCCTTTGTTGACAACCGGCGCCACACTAGATCTATCATGTTCCGTCCAACATCTCGACTATCGTTGATCTCCTTGAGAAAAAGAAGGTTTCATGGGCCACCTACCAAGAGAACATGCCCACGGACGCTTACCTTCTCAACTATGCGTCCCATAACTATAAGTATGTGACTTCCTATCCCCCATCCCTGCGTCCCATTCACACCATCTGTCCTTTTTAATCCAGCACTGGCTCTGGCACATATGGCTACTATGTCCGCAAACACAATGGTCCTGTTATCCATGATGCCATCTCGAACACAACCTCGCGTGCGCACCGCATTCGTAATTTCAACGACTTTGCAGCGGATATAAATGCTAGCGCATTACCCCAATGGGTGTTTGTTACACCCAACATGGTGAATGATGGCCATGATACGACGATTGATTATATTAGTCAATGGTTGAAGTACTGGCTTGTTCCGCTATTGAAAAACAAAAAATTTAACGGTGGGCATGGGACGGATGGGACCCTTGTTGTCCTTACATTTGATGAAAATGAGTAAGTGTGTGATTTTTGAACCTCTTCATGGGAGTATTCTCATGATCCATGTCCTTTTGTGGCAGAGTTACACCGATCCGAATAAAGTCTTCACCCTTCTGCTGGGCTCAGCCATTCCGGCGCATCTGAAGGGCACAGTGTTAGTGATGGATTGAGTATTTTGTGTTTGTTCATCCCCATCTTATGTTCACATCCAGCGACCATACTTTCTACACACATTATTCCCTCCTCTCGACTGTTGAGGCAAACTGGCGTCTTGGTAACGTATGTCTATGCACAGTGGTGCTCACAAGTCGGTCTGACACCATGATAACTCTAGCTCGGACGCGGGGATACAAATCTCCCGTTGGCTAATGTCTTTGAGTACGTATCCCTTCTCCCCCAAGAGATCCATTTGTTAATAACCACGCCTCATCCCCTTTTCCCATGAAAATAGCTTTGTCGCCAAGCGAGCGAATGTCAAAAACGTACCTCCCCCCAATCCGCTCCCTCTCACAAACCTAACAGGGGTCTACCCCGGTCCGCTCAACCCGAGCGCATGGATCCCATTTGTTGCACCCGTTAAATCACACCGGTTTGGGCAAACTTATATTCGACCTGGGATGAATTTGAGTGTGACGAAGCACACGATTGGGCCACCGATCAACATTACATATGCGGTGAGTCCTTGTTTCCTTTGAATTTGAATACATGGAGGTATTGATCGTTCGAACTGGACGTTATTTAGGAGAATCCGTACGCTGGAACCGGGAACATCATTCCCTTGCACTAAACGGACATTTTTGTTGCTTATTTATTCTAGCGAAGGCGTAAGAAGAACGCGGTAACGCAAGGCACCCAGTCTGAAGACCTGGACGCTCTTCCAGCACTGGGGCTGCAGGTGCTGACATCAATACGGACTTTGAATTGTAGTATATTGCAACTACCTGTTACGTTGACGGTTGCACGAGTCGAACTTTGCTGCTCAGCAGCGAGAAGCTGGGAGGGTTCCTCAGACCGATCCCAAGAAACAATGTTGTATTTATTGCATTTTTGACTGTGGATGAGAGCCTGGGATATGAAACCTCATCAAAGAGGCTTCATATCATAACGTTACGTCCGATACTTAAGTTCAAACTGAGCCCTCACCCAAATGTGTTACATGCAAGGAATAACTCTGGTGCCTTGAGTCGGAGCGTTTCGGTCTCGTTGAAAGGTTTGCGATAGCCAGCACTGACTTAGATATCAACCTAGACCGACTCAAGGGTCCCCGCATGAACAGCAATAGCAGCACATGGAATATTGTAACCTTCCAGTTCAAGACACAATCTTCCTCAATATTTCATTTCTCGCTGTTAAAGCACCTTTTTTTGATCAGGATGTCCTGAAATTTCGGTATAAGAAATACACGAGTCAAGAAGACTCCAAGTTTTCGCTGGGGTCTGAGAAATAGCCTAACTGGTCTCGCATTGTATCGGCAAATTGGGACAACTCCGGGTCCGTCCAGCGCAAAGATCGGTTGAAGAGGGGGTATGTGGCAGACGTGTGTCCTCGGGCATTGATGCACCATCGATTGGGTTCCTCAAGTGAGTTGGACATATAACCTCCCCATAGATGTTGACGGGCACTCGGGTGTTGCACAGGGCTACGGGTAAGTTGCCTTCAATCCGAGGTCCAGCAAGCTGCGAATAAACAACGGAAGTAGATGCGTCAACATGCACGCTCGACTTCCAGCCGATGCAACTAAATCATTCTCTTTGGAATGGTTCGTCAAGAGATCCACAGTAGGTAACAATGGAACCATCAATACAGGGCTGTTGGAACGTGCACTGAAATGCGGCACCGCGGCACCGCGCCTTGCAGAGGGACTTGAAGGATAAGTCATCTATATGTTTGTTCATTTCGCTGAAGAACGCGTGGCTCAGCGTATGGGGGAGAAACCCGAGATCCTCGCCAAGGAAGGTGGTCAAGGACTTGTAAACAGGTATGTAGGAACTTGGTTGCTGTTGAACTGCCCTGCCCGGTCCCGCGCAAGGGTCAATAGAATGCGACTGATCAACTCGCCTTGATATCCTCGCTCGAGGACGGTTCTGTTGACTGTCAAATTGTCAACAACAACCCCGATAGCCTTCTAATGTACCTCCCACGATGCCATCAACTCCTTCATGGCGGGAATAGCTGGACTACCCAAACTCCTGCACTTTGCAATGATCTCTCCGGTGTATCCATCAGACACGAGCCTCGTGCCGTTGAACCCCTTCCTCATTGCATTATTGAGCCCCACAAAGCCCGCCTGTGTCTCTGAAGGAAATTTCTATCCGTGTCCAGAAGGTATATATAAGTAGCGTCCTGTCTGCATGCTCGGCGCACCTCCATGATGATTATGGATCTTCCCGAGGCTTCCCGGCTGGTGTTTATTCTTCACTTCTCGATTGTGCGGGACTCCAGCCCATTTGTATGCTTACACGAAGCCAGTTGCCTCCGTATGCTCCGGCCCACCCAAGCTGCTCCGTCATGAAATGTTCCCTTCCGCCAAGTGTAAGTCGTTCACCACGGACCTGCGCCTGGTGGTGGCACACCATGCATGGTCCTTAGGAAGCTGACAGTGGATCGTTCAGGAGGGGTTGAATATCAGAAAAATGGCCTGCTCGCTTGACGCAGATACATGTGGGATCAACTTGAAAACTTTCTCCTCCCTTTGTTCCTTCGAATCCACCTTTGAAACTTTGTTGTTTCCGATAACATGTTAACGACTTGTCAGGGAGCTACTTAACATGTTTCCATACTATCCCTCGTATTATTGTTAGTCCTATATATATGTGCTCTGATGACTTGGATCGCCTCACGTAACGTCACCACCTCAGGCATTGCGTTGAAGTTAGCTCGCGACTTCACTAGTGGGCAGTGCGGGGATTCAGCCAGGCTTTCCTGTAAGTGCCAAGGGGATATCTCTGGAGACGGGTCAAGGAGTGAGTTCCGTTACATTATGTGGAAGTATAAGTTAACCAGTGGGCCTGTCACAACAAGTGCCTTTCAGTCCATAGTCCTTCGCGGTGGGGTTTGATTCAGCGATAGGTTCAAGTTTAGCGCTACACAAACAAGAGGACCCCGAATCGGGGATATTCAGAAATGGAGCGAGGGGTTCCGTTATGTATGGAGTGGCCAGAAAGAACCCTTTTTTGGGCAAACTGAATTAGTTTCCCTCAACAATATTATTCAAGTCATCGACCCGAGGCGAGACAGCCCCACCGCACAGCGTTCCTCGTTGCCAAAGTCGTCTCCTGTCAGTTCCCATGGAACCTAGTCACCAAGCAATCTCAACGCACTCGAGGGACTCGAAGGATGAGATCAGCTTGGAGAGCCCCGAATATTTCCACATCAATGATTTGCCTGTGGAACTCTTGCGGGAAATATTCCTTACCTTGAAAGCCGGTTGGAATGGGCACTATTCTTCTGATGGCTGCACCGTGGCTCATGCGATAACAAAGATTTGTCACTTCTGGCGCTTCGTAGCACTGAACGAACCTCGACTATGGGCAACACTCATCATTAGATCCGAAGGTGGGAGTGGAAAAGGGAGGTAGCAGTGGTTTTCAGAGTGCTTGAAGAGATCCAAGGATGTGCACCTGGAGCTAATGGTGAATTTCGCAGGTCCTTCCGAGTCAATACATTCGAGAATTCACTTCGGATTTTGTGGTGGAGCATTTATCGGTGTCGTTGAACGGAAGTAATATCAGTACTCCCATCTTAAATGAGTACTCGTTGCATTTCCCTTCGAGTCGCTGACTCTGGTGGCTCTCTCCGGTCCCATTACCCAGCGAACTGAAAATTGCTGAGATAGTTTTGAGTGTGATGTCTCTCCAACACCTAGCTTACTGGCCAAGCCTTAGACCTACCAAAAGCGCCTAGTTTGCTACCTCGAGTTTATCACGCCAGATGCACCAGATCGAGCATTTATTTCCCTCGGGGTATTGTTATCGGGACGGCGGCAAAGGCAACACTTAATCTTTCAAGAGTCTGGAATTCAGCGTTATGATTCCCTCGGCCGGCCCAGTTTTAGGCACCCGGGCCCAAACATAATTCCCTCATTCATTCCTCCCAGCTCGAAGCTCTTATCCTCCGTGGTTGCAGGCCGATTTCCTCCCACATCGTGGCCCCGCGTCTTAAACACCTATCTTCTGCGCGCGGTTCACTGCTTGAAGTTTTGGACTTCTTTTCGCTCGATGACACAACAACGTCACAACATCGCGGAAGAAGGTCATTTTGCGGACCCTCATCTCTTTAGAAATTGAGGATGCCCCACGGATCTGTGCATGACCCAGCCATTACCCCATATGCTGGAATGCCTAGCACTTCATGTCATGGCAAAGGAGAGCATCAAGTTGCTGGAATTGCTATCCACTGCGAGTCCGCCAGATTCAGATCTCGCACATCTTTCCGTAGCCTCAGCATACATTGTCCCCATCTTCAGTCACGAGTGCTCTCGATCTCCGTAGAGCGAACTTCACAGATCAAACGCATCTGCTTAAACTGCTTGCTTGCCATCCGACCACGTCTCTCAAAGGCTGAAATCGTAATTGACGTGAGAGGGCACGGCGCCCGCCTGCTATATTATTTCCCCCTTTTACTAAGGATCTTCTGGAGGCGTTTCCAACTAGAAGTGTGGTTGTTCAGGATTACGGTATAAGATTTTTCGCGTTCAGGCAGCCAATCTTTTTAGAACCCATGAATAACCCCGATCCTAAGTGTTGAGCCATCGTTTCCATGCGTGCGCGATCGGAGGCCCACTTTCCTGTCGTGCAACCTCATACCACCAAATGATCGTAATAATTGGACGCTTCTTGGAACTGTATATATATATATACTAGACATAGTGATGCCCAGCAAAATCAGATGCGGTCCGGGTAGAGAAGGATGTTGCATTATGGAAGGAATGTAGAAATTAAGGACCAACTCTTCCAGGAGTCGAAAATCCATGCAAAGGAGTAGCAAAGGAGATAGAAATTGGTGACAAACTCAAAGACAACTATCGTGCAACTGGAGCCTCAGCTGAATGCATGCAGGCTCCAGGATACACTGGATCCCTTCAGTAGCCGCATGGAAAGTATTCTGACAAAGTTAAAGAGTTATCAGACGCCGGAGGACACGGGAAACGGAGATCGGGGAAGATGGCACATTGATAACAGCTGATCAGTGCAAATCCACAGTAGTAATTTAAAACAATCAGCTGTTTACATTCCCAGTGACCACATATCCGCGTCAATCCCAATGATTGTGAGATTGGAGAGCAGTTGAGTGTGTGGAATATCGTACCAGGTCACGTGGGGGTGAGGGATCGACGTAACCGACCCTTATATATAAGGGGGGTCTTTGTCCTCATCACCCATCCTGAAGTCCAGAACTGACCCGAGGTGCGACAGCCCCATCGCACAGCGTTCCTCATCTACTGTTAGTTCCCATGGAACCCAATCACCAAGCAATCCCAACACACTCGGAGGACTCGAAGGATGAGATCAGCTTGGAGAGCCGCAAATATTTCCATATCAATGATTTGCCTGTAGAACTCTTGCGGGAAATATTCGTTACCTTGAAAGCTGATTGGAATAGGTACTATTCTTCTGATGGCTGCACCGTGGCTCATGTGATAACAATGATTTGCCGCTTCTGGCGCTTCGTGGCACTGAGCGAACCTCGACTATGGGCAACATTCGTTATTAGATCCAAAGGTGGGAGTGAAGAAGGAGGTTGAAGTGGTTTTCAGAGTGCTTGAAGAGATCCAAGGATGTGCACCTGGAACTAATGGTGAACTTCGTGGGTGACAAGAGATATCCTAGTCGGCAATTTCGCAGACGTGTCAAGGAGATCGCAACACCCCATCTTCATCGTTGCACCTCCTTGTACATCATCGATTACGACTTTCGCCTTCCAAACGACTGGATCCCACTTCCCAACGAACTGAAATCGTTGAGAGATGTAGCGATAGTTTTGGATATTTCGCCCCTCCGGTTCCCACATCCTCCTCACCAAACCATGGATTTGGGCTTACCAAAGCGCTTTCGCTATCTTAAACTTTATACCCCGAGTCAATGCATTCCAGCATTCACTTCGGATTCCGTGATGGAGCATTTATCGGTGTCGTTGGGTGAAGATCAGATCAATACAGCCGCCAGCCTCCTACGCGATGTTGAACCTTTGAAGACTCTGGATTTCGAGCTTGCGACTTCCCCGAACCTGGATATTTCAGGCATCTTCCCTCGTTCATTTCCCCAGCTTGAGAATCTCATCCTCCGTGGTGGGAGGGTTTCCTCTCCCATCGTGGCCCCGCGTCTCAAACACCTATATTGCCAAACACCAAAAAGTTTAGGCCTCTTTCCACTCGATGACACAATAAAGGATTTCTGAAGGGCCTCATCTCCTTAGAGGTTAGAGCATCTAACCTGCCGCCCGATTGCCTCGTTCACTGTCACGCGCTGGAATGCCTAGGAGTTTACGTCACAGCGGACGAAAGTATCAGGATGCTGGAATCCCTACTTTCAACTGCGAGACCGCCAGGTCTAGATCTCTCGGCATACCACTGTCCCAATCTCCAGAGAATAATGTTCTCGATCCATCTAAGACCTGATCCTCAAGCAGTTGAATGTATTTCTAATCGAATCCTTGAACTCCTTGCTCTCCGACCGCGTCTCTCAAAGGTTGAAATCAGGATCCGCATAGGAACGCAGGACGCGTTGGATCTATCTCCCCTTACTAGGGATCTTCCGGAAGCCTTCCCAGCCAGAGTGGTTGTTTGGGGTCCTGATTCAACATTTGGCCGCTTCGACCCGCCAACCTTTTTAATAATAATTCTTCTGTTTTAGCGTCGAGCGCGTCGTTTCATGAAATTTCAGCTCTCGATCTCCGTAAAGCGTCATTCTCAGATCAAACGCATCTCTAACTGCTTGCCATCTGACCGCATCTCTGAAATCACAATTAACGTACACGAGTGCCCGCCTGCTAGATCTATCTCCCGGCCTCACAAAGGATCTTCTGGAGGTGTTTCCAACTAGAAGTTGTGGTTGTTCGGGATCACGGTATAAGGTTTTTCGCGTTCGATCAGGTAGCCAATCTTTTTTTAGAACCCATGAATAACCCCCCCCCGATCCAACTTCGGTGTTGGGCCGTCGTTTCCATGCGTGCGCGATATCGATGTTACTCCGAGGCCCACTTTCCCTGTTATGCAACTTCATAACACCGAATGATTGTAAAAATTAAACGTTTCTTGGGATTGTCACTGGACAATATGTACATAGTATATTCATGTTTGGAAAAAAAAATCCAACCAAGGCGTTCCTTTGAATCATTATCATTTTCTCTCTCCCCCCTAATTCTAGTTCCCAATTAAAAACCGACTGTCACCATGTTCATTCCAAGAAACCGGTATACGTCGATCGCCACGCTTCCTTCCCTCCTGTCTCGATGACGTCTTGTCATGATCAACGAACATTCGCATCAGTCCATATATCCAACAGACGGTACTTCCGTCAACAATTTACTCACTCCAGGACAAGGTATTATCCTATTAAAATCCCAGCCATCAACGACTTTCGCATCTCGGCTCATGGCTCTATACGTAGTAGCCGTAGCCACGGGTGTAAATAGAACGAAAGAAGGCGCTTGTTGGGCTAAACTCTGTTAATTTCCTTTTTCTTGGTTTCTTACTTTCCATCCTTGATCGAAGCAAGCCAAAGAAACGCTCATTGAAATCTTGTTCCGGGGCTCATGAGGCTGTGTCTGTATGCTGCATGGATAAGCGAGACAATCTTTGATCTGCTGCTATGTGCTCACCTCTCGAGCATCAGAGCCTTCCGTGACCGATCTGTCAACAGGAGAGATGCTGCAGGGAAACGGTGGCAAAGCTCTGACAAATGGGACAATCAGAGAAAGAGAGGACGAAGTTGGTGCTGATCAAGCTGTTTCAGATGCACAGGCTTTTCTTAAACGCAGGTAGGGATATTCAACCCCTTCCGACACTCCTCCTGGCCAGCTGTCAGCATAGAAACAGTGCCCATTTTCGATGGCACCAACATCGTATTCATGACTGACTGGGATGATGACGATATTGAGCTTGCACTGAATACAAGGATTTGACTTGTAGTGCTTTGCGGATGAACAGGCTCAATGAATGGCATAAGATTACTTTTTTTTCTTTTTCTTTCCTTTTCTGTTGCCAATTCGCATCATGTCATAATTATCCGATCAACTTGTATTGTTAAATGGTGCCTCTTTGTGTGCCCCCGACGGCGGTAAGGGTCTTCAGTCATCGGAGCCGATTGTTAGGAACCTGTATGATGGGTAGGTGCTTGGAAGGTGCTACAAGTACAGGTAACGTCTGATCATACACAAGACCTCCAAGTCCTCGACTCTGGAGAACTATCAGGGCTGTTCCGCGACCACAACAGGTATACGAGAACAGAAACGATGTTGGAGTACCGTTAGCGGGCGAGTTCCACGGTTCCGAGTGGTACTATGACACCTATGCAGGTATCCAGCGCAGCCGTTTGCTTATGTCGCAGGGAAACCGGTTGACCGGGCGTGAGAGGTCAAGCAGACCAGAAGGCAACTATTTGGGACATGGAAGGACGGGCCACACTTGCTGAGCAGCAGGACGCCAGTAGTTGCTCAAGGGGCCTATCAGACCAGCCCCAGGGAGTGTCGTTGCGTTCGATTGCCTTCACAATCTCAATCTCCCGTTTGAGCCAGTAGTATGGAGGGTGATCAAAGAGAATCTTCGTGATCCCACGCTGAGTTCAAATCGACGCAATCTTCTGGCGAACACCCCCACTCACTTGTATAGATGTACACCCAAAAGCGTAAACGTCACTATTTGTGGTGGGATGCGGATCCTTAGAGGCGTCTAACAATTCTGGTGCTAGGAATCGGAGCGTTCCCCCCCGGACAGAAGTTGTTAGCCCTGTCGGAAGTTCGTCAAGGATACAGGACAATCCGAAATCGCATAACTGTGCACGTCCCATGTCGTTAATTAGGATGTTGAGCTAGGCAATTCTGATCAGGGGCGTTTGCTTGGGCACTTTCTCAGCCTGGGACGTACTGGTTTAAGATCTGCATGAATGATAATAGGATTGCGACTGTGGAGGTATAACAGCCCCTGAGCTACGTCGGATACCTGCATTCATGCACACAGATCAACGGAAGCACGAAGCCGATTCTACATAAATTCTCACCAGCATTCCACGATCAGCAGCAGGGTTCTGCTGCAGGTACTTAACAACAGTGCCGTTCGCGCACCATTCCGACACCAGAGCAGCAGTAACTCCATAAACTTCGTGTTCTATCGCATAACCAATGAACCTAACGATATTGGGGTGTTTGAGACCTTTCCAGACCCTCATTTCTCTTCTTAGGTGCTGGAAAACACCGACACGGGTAACGTATCGCGGCTTGAAGAAATAAATAGACTTCACCTTTACAACCTTCCTGGTGTGTTCGATTACTGGCGCGAAATCACTAATAGGCGGACGGAGCATTTTATAACACACCTATGAGAAATCATGGATCGAGTCAGTCAGGAACGATCACAATGACGTACAGGAATTGGATCGACTCCAACGCGAGGTTTCCAATAGCTGCGGAACACTTCTGAGTACCCCCCTCTAGCAACTAGGTTGTGATCCCTTCTTGCAAATTGACCGCTGAGATTTTGGACATGGTGTTCCAGCCTGAGTTCCTCAATAAGAACAGACGCGGAGTCTGCGTGGGACGCAGACGATTTATGCTCGGGCATGGGTGGTGGTTGCGCTGGCGAGTCTATATGACTATGATTGCCTGGGCTGCCATTCGGCGCAGATGGCAAACTTTCGGCAGGGCTCCTTCTCTGCATTGCTACAAGTGCGTTCGTGCTGAAGCGAGCTACGGCCATGATTGTGGTGATCGTAATCCGCCATATACGCTGGGGATCGAAGTTCTCCCGAATAGCAATGGGAGTAGCACGCTCGGCTGAAGTCGAGGAAGACTCGTAATCCCCTTGGCGACTCATGGAATCTCCTGCTAACATAAGTGCGTTATTGAACTTTGTCTTCGTCTTTGTTAATTTACCACCGGTTGTGTCGATGTGGTTGCTTGAGCTGCCAGTTGATGGAGCTAGTGAACTTTCAACGAGGTCCCTTCTCTGTGCTGCCACAACTGCGTTCGCGCTGAAGCGACCAACAGCCATGATTTTGGTTATTGCATTCCGCCATGAACGCTGAGCATCGAAGTTCTCCCGGATACCAACCGGAGTACCATGCTCAATTGGTCCCATTTCAAGATCGTGATCTCCTCGGTGTTTCATGGAACTCACTGTCGCCATGGGAGTGTTGTTGGACTTCGATCTCGTCTTTGCTTTCATTAAGCTACCCGCAAAGTCGCCATCGGTAATAGCGACGTTATTAGGGCTACTTGAGCTATCATTTGGTGTCGAACTTCCAGTAGGGTGTCTCTGCCCTGAGACAAGTGCGTTAGCCCGGAAGGGACCTGTGGCCGTGACCCCAGCCGTCGCATTCCGCCACGAATGCCTGGATTCAAATCCTTCCCGATCACCTATACGACTCTCGTGCTCGAACGGCCGCATGTAGGGGTTGTGCTCTCTCCAGCGCCTAACAGTATCTTCTACCGTGATGATAAGAGGATCCGTTGGACTCCGCTTTCGTTTTCGCTCTCGCTCTCGCTAAACGCAAACTCACCAATGGTAGCACCGACGTGACTGCGGCCGCTTGAACCGCCATTTGATATAGGTTGCAGACTGCCGATATGGTTTCTTCTCTGTGCTGCGACCAATGCGTTCGCGTTGAAGCGACCTACGGCTATGATTTTGGTGATCGCATTCCGCCATGAACGCTGGGGATCGAAGATCCCCAAGGCATTCGTAGGAGTACCATTCTCGGGTGAAGCCATGGGGGCCTGCAATGTATTGTGCAAGCGGCAAATCCCCGACCATTTGTCATGTCAAGTTTATTGCAGCGCTAGCGCCAGGGGTATCTACTCCCTCTGGAGACTTCTGGGCGTGTGTGGGTCACTCCACTAGAAAGCCTGTTGCACTGAGGTAGTGAAGATTCGGCATAAGGGATGGTCTATGCCGCCCAGACCCACCGTAAGAAAGACCCAAGATCTGCTGTTGAGGAATATTGCATTAAATCAGCGGTCGTCCGATACTGGAACCAAGATACATGGGTTGAAGTGCATCACAACGTTCGGTATTGATCACGGCTTCAAACGGATGTCTTCCGGATCTGTGCACGCATTTATTCTTTCGTGAATATCTCATCATCTCATCATGCTATGGACCAAGCACCAATGGGCTTGATCGGCTGTATGATCCGTGATCAAACCACCCTTTTAGAACGACTCACTGCCTGTTGTTGCCAAATTTGTATACGATTGTTCAAGCACGGTTTGGTGGCAGCTCATATAGTCCGAGTGGCGCACGAAAGCCAGTCTAGAATAATATTCGGCAAGTCCCAGATGTGTCTACCCCACGCAGGGAATACAGAGCTCAGGCGAGTGTAGGGATAACGTTATTGAGAAACCCCTGATTTTTTCATAAGATCCATTCCACGACAACCTCATGGTACCGCGTTCAAGGTTCAAAGGGAAGAAACATGGGTACCCAAGATGATCGGCGGTATGCTCCACGCTAGGAGGAACTCTGTGGGTCGGACGGGCAGCGACCATGCAGCTGCTCGAACACCCGAGCCATCCGGTCCTGCGTTCGAGGAATGACAGGGAGGACCCAGATTCCTTCGGAAGCGAATGTTGGGTTCGGGAAGATAGCCTGAGCCGGGGAGACAAGTGAGGCACCAGAAGAGACAGAACCTGACTCTTGAGAGGATCCGCGTGTAGCTAACTAGATATTGCATGTTGAACTCCATTTAACGGTCGATGATCGGTAGAGACTTCATTTGAACAGTAGGGATCCGGTCCGACCGCCTCCATTTGGAATGAGGAACGATCACAAGGGAAATATAGGAATCATTATTGCCTTGGACGGCAAGCGACTTCAGAAGTCGCGACTTTTTGGAGCCTGGCATTATTCCCACGGGTGATATGTCACATGGTCAGCTTGTTAGTTCGTCGTCTACGATGTTGATTCTTGTGTTGGAAGTGGCAGCCTGATGCTGCGGGTGGCCAAGGACTGGCGGACCACGAGGTGCCCTATTTCCGACGTGGCGTCCTCGAGCCACACAAAGCTTTTTGCTACCGCGTAACCTTTCGTTGTTCATTGGGCGTTCTCTTTGCCTTATGTAGCGCCAGTGGCGTGATACCGCTTATGAGGTGTATACTTACTGGAGAGTAAGATATCTAACAAATATCGATATCTGCCCAGGCACCCGCCGATAGCATACCTCCGCTTTAGTAGAGGTTGCATGGGATCCTGCTTATAACATCTCATCCTTACGTTCCCGCTCGTCTTCAACGCCTCGCTGCAACTCAAAACCATCATTAATATGACCCCCTGGATCCTTCTTCATGGGTGCTGTGACTGCCTTGTTCAAGATTCGTTCCAGAATTCTTCATCACAAAACGTGGAACGAAACTCTGCCATACCTGTTATTGCTTCAAACCTGAGATAATTCCTTCACAGGATGGCATGAGTGCCTTACAGCATCTATGTCACTTGCATCTACATGCGTTTCGTAGCCATTTTGAGGTTTATGACAAAACGGATGGCATCTGGACTATTGCGCGCAATCGCACGCGCAGATATTTCCCACGGCTTTGTGGCATCTAGCCTCCTCCACATTTTGTCGTGTATGCATCGGTCATCGGGATGTGTCCTTTCCCTCCAAAAATGTGTGCTTATCAGTGGTTTCTCTTTCTCCCCTTGTAGGAACGATCTCCATGCCTTTGTTGGTGGGATCCAGGTTTTGTAGATGCCAAGCATGTAGCCCCGTCCGGATGAATAGAGGCATTAATCACGCTGGCGCATCTTTCTCTGATTGGATACCAAGTGAATTGAGTAATCGCCTTGTGTGGAGTGGCACGACCGGCCGTTTTTGGGGGGCTCGGATCTCAGCGGGGTGACGATTGGTTGGAGATAATTGTTTATAGATAGTTACACGCAGTTCCGAGTTGTGATCAAGCGACCAATATTACGGCGAGGTAGTCTCGTGGGTAGGGTCTGGGCATCTCTTTAGTTGCCGTTCACGATCCGAGTTACTGGACCAGATCAGACGGGCGCGTGTTCCTTAACGTGCCACTGGTGCTGGTGTTATGGATTGGTTTAATTGTCTTGATGGGGTGACCTGACTGCTTTTGCTTACGTTAATCGCTTCTCGTTGCATCCATGAAAAAGAGCGTGTTATCTAACGCATGTCCTCATATCATGTCAAGATGGCTTGCTTTTCTTCGCGACAGTGTCACTCGAGAAGTACCCATATATATTCATTTGCAGCTCGCCTCCACTAGTGACGAAACCGGCATTCATCCACTGTTATGAACCTAGGTTCTTCCCTCCGTTCTCGGGTGGTACTCCAAACCATTTGATTCTGAGGCTCCCATCTTAGTAAATGTCTTGCTTGCCTATTGGAATACTAGTTCCCATCGTCATATTGATGCGCGTGGCCCAGTCGTTGAACTACTCGCCCCGGGTGTACGGCCAGGAATAATGCAATGTCGTCTGGGTACAAGTTAATTAATACGGATCGTGTCACTGCATGGGGACTATGTTATCTCCCTGGCGGATCATTCTTACCTGAGAACTCTGAGTAATCTGACTGCTGTTGTGTAATTAGCAGCAGTAAATGAGCGGAGGAAATCTTGTTAGGACTTTGCATATTAAGCTGGCCTGGGTCATTGTTTTGTCCCTGTGACGGGCAGCAATCATTAATTTTTGATTCGCTTGCTCGATATATACGCGACGAAAAACATACTCAATAGTTGTCCTCTGTGTTTCTCATGGGAAATGACTAATGTCTAGTGGACAGTTCATTTGTGGTGGCTCTGTTTTTCGTGTCCACGCCATCTTTTCCCCCCCTCGTCCTTTCTCCTCAGTGTTCGTGCCCTAGATACGCAAAAAATTATTGTGCAAAACGAACAACAATGGATTTCGAACTGCTAGTGCGGCACTATTGCTCGGTATCCAAGATCGAGGTCACTAGTACTGTAAAACGCTCGAAGGCTCATGAGTGGGGCACTTGCCTCCACCAATTCATATGCTCCCTTACATAACCAATACTAATGCCCCGGAAGGGCAACTATGACGGAATTTATGTCAAGTAACCTGTCAACTGGGTTGTCGACACTTGCGCCACTGTATTTTTCTTTCCAATCCCTCACTCTCCTTTCAAGACTCTATTTTCGAGCAATTGGGTTTTCACTTCCCACGATCACTTGCCCTTCGGGGTCCCTCTCCTTAGCTCCACTTTCCTATTCCGCCCAAAGCTCGATCTTGAGGTCGAGATCGAGTCGATGACTGAATGGATATCAACACCATGGTATTAATGGATAAAAAAAAATGAATTCTGATGAGAAGACGAGGGGGAACCGTTCTTTCAAGTTGATTGGATGTTTGATCACCGGCGATTGGGCAGTATTTGGTCGTCTCCCGGCTTTTGCGGCGATGGACCCACACGAACACAATTGGTTATTGACCTAGTGAAGAAAAGCGCCCACAGCGTTCTTCCAGGCGAATCCCCATGGACTATCTATCTTTTTCAGATGCGATGGCATCTATGAGAGTGCATGCGCATACACGATGAGAATCTAGACCGTATCAGCACCGCGTTGATGCGCTGAATTCTTGTATTACGGTCAGTTACCCACCCCCATTTACTCCTCTGCAATGCCCCCCTTCTCCCAGGTACTTTTTGTTAAACAGATCGTTAACAGATATAGGCAATGCTTCTTTTCAACTGTTCGATATGCGTCTGTGCACAGGGTTGCTATCGTACGTAACGTTTCCACCGGCTCCTCCCCCTTTGAGGGTTCCCGATGCGAACCTCCCTCCTTAACGGGAGTGTCCACATGCGCCTGGAATGACCAGGCCACGGATGGGTGGTTGTTGGTCAGCGAAACGGTCTTTGTATTTGATATGTGTCTATTGATGTGGTCCCGCCGCTTTCGCATCAGTCCCTGAGCTATGATCACGCTAAGTGCGGGGGAGAGCGGGTGTACGTGGAACCGTTATCAGACGATGCTATCGCTATCCCTTTTCTCTTTTTTCACCGTCGTCGGGGATCCGATAACGGTTTATCTCTTTGCGGAGTGCGCTTAACACGGCCTCATCCCCGCCATTTGGATATGGTTGAGAAAAAAAAAACCACCACCCTTGAATGATCATTCGGTGATTAATACAGTGCAGAGTGAAACGAACATGAAAAGAGGTACACGGAGCTCCATGATGATCAGCCGGACCGAAATATCACAACGAGGAGCGTCGGAAATAGAAAGTAATACAGGGAGAAGGGGAATACAGGATCTGAGGCGTAAGGGATGTGAATACGGCGCTGTGGAATCGCATTAGGATTGATTAAGGCATTTCTAATCATCATGAGTATCAGTCAAGAGGTTCAAGGGTGTATTTCTGTACTGACCTCAACGAACCAAGAAGTGAAAATGAAAAGATTAGTTCACTTAGGTGGAGCTGGTACGACGGTGCTATCACGTCTCCGGCGTGCGGATGTATTGCCACTGGTGTTGGTGGTGTGGCCTGTGAGAGGGTTGGAAGCGGCATATCGAACCCGATTGGCAGCCTCGAGCTCAGCTTGTCGCCGTGCGTTTTCCCAAAGTCTGTGTTGGTCAAAGAGATCTTGTCAGTCACCCACGTTCCGCCGTCGGAAGGGACAAAGAAGATAGGGGATAACGTACTCTTGTGTGTATTCGTACACCGCTTGAGAATAATTGATCACTTTCTCCTCAGTTGTGTAGGCGGCTGGGTGTCTAGATGAAGCCCCGAGGTTGTTTGGGATACCCGTGGCCGATGAACGACTCGATGATGTAGTCGAGGAGTCGGATGAGGATGAAGAATCGCGCGAAGAGGTGGGAGGAAGTGAGGATGGGTTCTTAGACATTCTGGATGAGTTTAATCCGTGAACAGGTGTGTCGTTGATGAAGTCGATCGCGTTGGCAAAACAGAGCAAAGTCGATTTGGAGCGCCTGTAGGAGTTGCGAGTGAGGGGAGGATCTCAGAGATTTCAGAGTACACTAAATAGGCTCTTTGGTGGCGGTGCCTAACTGCAAGAGGGAGGTCTGATGAGCTGCTAGGCTAATCAATGGTTTGATTCTAGTGAGGAATGATTCGGATGGACCGTTTTGCATCTGCGTTTCTTCCATTCCTTGAACATGAGGATACTTACGGGATGGACCACATTTCAATCAACTAAAGGAAGTGCGGGATTAGCGGTGGGGTAGGAGGGGACAGTTGTATGCAGTTGGGTTTCGAAAAGTCGCTCGAATCGCAGCGGCAAGGGCATATCGGAACGCAGTTCATCAAAGAACATGATTGGAGGCCTGCGAAACCCGTCGCGTGGGACCGATTGTTACTAATACTAAAGCTGCCCATGCTGCATAGGACAACCGGAGCAGAAGCCGCTCTGCATTTACAATCCGGGTCCGCTGACACCAGGCATGTGCTTGGGCATGGCCTAGTACGGCGTGTTCGGCAAGAAATAGCCACCCGATGACTGATCATGGATGGGAGAAGCAGCTCTTGGAAGAGGATTGAAGGAAGCTGGGCCCAAAAGTTGGCCCGTTGTTAGCAGCCGTCCTCGAGGCTTACCAGAATGCTGGATACAGATCAACATATCGGATGCTGTGGTGCACAGTAACCGTATGGTTGACTGGTTTCGAGAAGATAAGATTGGGATATTTCCTCACGATCGTCCTGAGCATTGAGATTTGTCCGACAATGGAAGTGGCAATTTTGGGTTACCGCAAACCCACGTTGGGATTTAAATTGCTCATCATGTGACCAGTCACGCTCACAGATCCTCCCTCGTCTGTTCACATCCCACACGCTAATTTAGCAGTATACCCTCGTTACTTTGCCCCGTTCCCCTCCCGCCTTGTTTTCCCGTCGGACTCAGCAATCGCCCTTATAGACGCCCTCCAAGTTAACGCAACAATGATTATTCCGCACTCACTCCGTCGAAGCCCCCGTAACAAAAACCGCATAACGACCCCTATTCTTTCAACTTACAGTACGACGACAAACACACACTCCCTCAACAGTCTAGCTACGGCGAGCCTAAAGGCACCAAACTTGCCGAAATCGCCCAAGAAACGCGCCAGGAAGTCTATCAGTGAGATGCACAAGTCGGACTTATCAAGTCCTACATCCAGTGGAGGGGGCCCCGGTGAGTAACACGGTCCACAGCGTTCCCTGACGCGTCTCTTATGATCCTGACGATGCGACCCTATTTGAACTCAGCATCGCCCTTGAAAACATCGCTCCGAACGCGCAAATCCTCTCGCATGTCAATGGACGCGTCGATGAGGGCGAACTTGCTCGCATCTTCACCCCCCAACTTCTCAGCGAAGCCTGACGCGTATGATTCTTCCCCTCCCGCGACGCCTACGCCTGTTCTGTCGGGTTCTTACCCGGAACTCCACAAGGAGAGTTGTTCTGCACCGGGAGGCATGCCAATGCCTTCCCCCCTGAGATTCGACTTTACCTTTCCCAGTGACGACTCAAACCCCAGTGAAGGCGAAGCCGGTGAGTCATTTTACTGCACTCCCTAATTTTGATCGCGTGGCTTAATGATAAAACCCCTGACACGCTACGTCATAGTCAATCCGATCATTCAAGTCAGCGGCCCGACATCAAGCGTTAGTCAAGCATCGGATCCCCCATCATATCCCCAGACACGCTCTCAGACGCGTGCCAAACCGAATTTGAGTGTTCGCATTCCTCATCCCTCAGCGTTTTTTATCAGTCGTCGTTCTTCCAATTTCACCAAATCGAAGCACGGTACTCCAACCACAAGCAGATGCAGTACTCCCTGCCCTTCGCCCCTTCTTAATCCTCAGTTCAAGCATTTAATCCCCGTCTCTTCGGACCTGTCGCTCTCTGACTTGCCATCAGCCGCCGAACTTGGTTCTCGTGTTGCTAATACCCCTCGTTCCCTCACACCCCAGCTCCCAATAACGCCTTTGGAGCAAGTTATGCGTCCCCCGTCTGCTCCCCCTCCCTTGAACCCTGCTCCTGTCGTCCGTGCTCCACGGGGAAGGAAGGACATTGGGATGATGCCTGCTCCAGATGTCTTTACACCCATGGAACTCACATTCGCCAATGTCTCAGGGATGGAGGTTGAAGTGGACATTACCGTCTCGGGCGCCCTTCAATCACCCACTGAAATGGATATAGACGTTGACTTTGAGCCTTCTCTCCCTTGCGCCTCAAACGTCACGGATCGAGAACGTTCCGATCCCCATCCAAGATGGGGATCATCCCTGAAGAATAGCTCGCTTTCCTCTCTCCCTGAACGTTCAAAATCCTTCTCACACGCCTCGCGCAGTTCGACTCCCACTCAGATCCTGTCGACGCATTCCGTCCTTTCTCACACTCCTCACCATTCGCGTCTCGGGATTCCTTACTCGGGTCGTGCTCAGACCCCTCCTAGCAGCATGTACCTGTCTCCTCTCGCGTCGCCCTACGAAATCCCCTCGCCACCCTCGCACTCCCGCTCACATACGCTCGCTCAGTCCCCTTCCATGCCATTCATCAAGAAGCTGAGTGGCAGCAGCTCCTCTTCAGTCCACTTCTCGCCTAATCTTCGCGCGAGTGCAAGCGTTCGGCCCAGTCCGCTTGTGAGAAGCATGTCTCTCTCAGCGCTTGAGCAGGATATTGGTGAGGGAATGGGGATGATCAGACAGGAGATGGGATTGGGTCTCGGCTTGATTGTTGAAGGTGAAGGCGAGAGAACGCCGAATTTGAGCTCCGAGAGCGAGAAGGGGTATTTTGATTTGATAATGACAAACAGGGGGAGTACCTATGCCGAGGCAGAGCAGTAAAGGCCACATTGGTTATAAGCGTCTGTTTGGCGCTTCGGTTGTTGTAGCTCTGTTCATCGTCACTAGGCCTCATCGTCCACTGATTCCCAGCATTTTTAGCTTGTATTTTTCGTCTTCTCCCTTTTTGACTTTACTGAACCCTGGACTTAACTGACGTATTGGTTGGCAGAATCATTCTTCAAGTATTATTTTTATGGCCATCACTTCTCGCTCACTGGTTTACTGATCACAAAATTTTTCTGTACGTCTAGCAACGTTCCTAAGCGTCACGTTCACGGCGTACCTTGGTTTGGATTTCTTGTCTAACACCCAACGACCTTCATTTCCATTTCTCGCCCACTTTCAATGTTCTTATGTCATTCATTCCGGTTCCGCAAACGTTCACTCGTCTAATCTTTGTATTAACCGGCATTCTTTGCACCTATGTTTCTTTGTATCACATATGTATAACTACTATGATGAACAAGGTCGTGTGGAAGTGATGATAGATCGTCCACTATTCTTATGATCCCCAAAACGATTCTAAAATTATCCTGAGCATGATGATTCCTTTAGCTTGGCCCAAATTGTCTCTCGAGCTCTTCAACGATGTGCTTCACCATCTTGTGTCAAGATCACGTCAGTTCCCAGCGCACTGAAGTGAGACCACGGGGACATTTACGAGGTTCATTATTCTAACCCGCTCCTGAGCAGCTGCAAGCTGACGCTTCTCCTCCTTTTCTATGGCTAACCTCATGTGTTCATCGTCTGCTCGCTGTTGCTCCATATCCTGGTGTATCCGTACAGTCTTGAGGCATTGTTGCGCCAGTTGCACAACTTCTGGGCTAGGTTCTCGAGATGTAGTGCTCTGGGAGTTGCATAAAGGGGTGCATGAATATGAGTGGCATGTGTGAAGGCGGTATTAGGGGTGAAATAAACTTACGTCGAAACCTTGCGTTATAGTCATACTCCGTACACTGTCCATTCTGAGCATAGGTGGTACGTCGATGCGCGTCTTTAGAGGGATGGCGAGGGATGGTGTGGCAGTCATGGTTTTCTTCTTTAGGGGAGTGCGAGCGTGCGCGCAGCGGCGAATAAAAGTAACCCGGTTTACCCTAAGGAAGGGGGGTCAGGGACCAACTGCCGCATGCGCACATTGTTCCCGTAGAAATAACCCGCTGAAGAATGAGGAGTTTCATAATTCGACAGGTTCCGTCCAAAGCGGAAGATCGAATCAGAGCGGTTCAGACTCGCGGAACCCCTGAATCGGGCGGCAGCAATGGAGAAGGAGGGTTCTAGGCAGGTCCGCGGTGTGGGTGCGGCTATTCCACGGCTGTGTGGCGCTCGTCATTCGAGATCGCATCCGAGCGCAGCTGCAGCCAGGGAGTGGAAGAGCGGGCGATCGAGTAGAACCACCAGGATATTGTGGATGTTCAAACCAAAGCTTTGAAACAAAAGTGTGGCAGGGCGTGTGGAGCATATTAAGACCTCGCCACTCAAAAAAATGATGTTCTTCGGTGAGACAAGACACTTGATTGGGGAGGTGACATCCCTGACATGACAGCCTCTTTGCTTCCGGAGAACGCTCAAATTCATAATTGAGATTCGGCGCCTCAAAATCACTTGATGACTTCGCGGAAAGTCTATCCAGTGCATACCATATTTCGTCATGAGAAATTAGGCAGCAATCGTGCGATCCCTATCAGCGACGTTAGGCTTTATTGGGTGCGAAATGGTGCAACTGCATCCCTGGAGGACGTCGACGATCAGCCTCTGTATACTGACGAGAAAGAACTGCCCGAGTCGACGGCATGTGCTCAGGGACTGGTGGATGTGCCTATTCATTGGATCTCTCCGGCTGGAAGAGAAATCCTCTTCAATGACAATGTTCTCAGTCGATGGACGATTAAGGAGACCTCTGGCCTTCGCCTTTATGTCTCGTTCCGATACTGGATTTTTCATTTTCGAGGTGAGTTGTTAAGTATTATTTTCCCTTTACCCGTGCCTTATCCGATCTTAGATGATAGACACGGTTCGGAGGACTCCCTCATCCTTCATAGCAGGGAGTGTTATCCAGATTTCCAAGTTCGCAAATACAGAGTAATGAACATGGAGATTAATACGCTTTATGCGTCGCTCCCGTGCCTCAACCGGGCTGAAATTTTTAGTGCAATAAAAAACGTGTGCTTAAGAACGAGGGACGATGACATTAATCGAACACCTAAGTGGCTCATAGATGAGGCAGGCGCTTTCCATTTTATTCCACACCAGACCACTTTCAACGCTCTCATAGTTGTTTGATAGAAGAGAGCTTGGATTATCCCCAACGAGAGACGTTGTGGAGCTCCTCATCGCGTCCTATGCGTCTCACATTTCAAGATGGCTGAACTCAGATGTCCGACAAAAGCCACACTTTCCCAAGCGTGGCTTGTTTGATAATTGGACTAGGGACATGGCACCGTACATTCAGCGGAATGCAGGTAACAATGGTCGGCCTCGCCTTCCGGCTATTGTTTGGAGTCTAAGACATTGGATGGAAGAGCGCCGTTGGAATACAAGAGAAGTAAGTGATATGCACTAAATTTATTTGTGCTTGTGTGTCATTGCCAAGAGCTCCACAGCTCCAACGCATGGCTGACAGAGGTCCGTTTGTCCCTCAACGCCCACCGGGCAACCGACCAAAACCACGGAACCCGACCGCCCCCAGGGATGATGCCATCATCATTGATTCAGACGATGAAGCTGAGGCCAGAAGGGGCTCGCAAGGACCGGGACCATCGAATGTAGGCAAATGCGGTTTGACTTGGGAAGTTCCACTGACTGTGATCGAACAGGACGCTACAATGTATGAATTATTTGGGACACCATCACCATCACCAGGCCCAGATCCTAGAGTAACATTGCCCCCAGTTCCCGTGCCCCCTCCGACAGATCCTGAGACTCGGACGCGAAGGGCGAGTAACATCTATCAGTGGGAGTGCCGAAAACGACTTCCAAAGGTTGGACATTGAGAACCCTCAAGCTAACTTCTAAATGGTTGACGAGGAACTCCTTAAGCATCTACAACAGTGGTATGAAACCCCTCCATCGACATTGGGTCGCACCTGGTGGAAATGTCCGCTCCTCAATCTCGAGTTAGCACAAGTAGAGGCTCAATGCCACTTACGGCTAGACTTCACATCTAACCGATTCACAAATGATTTGTATGCTCTTCTTCATCCGACTACGGCCTCCCATCTTCGTACTGCCATCACCAACCCTCCTGGCTTCTTTGAAATGGATTTCTTGAAGAAAATCGGATACAATGTTTGGGATCGAGCACTTCAAGAAGTCACTCGACATCACAATCGGTGGCACCTCTGGGGCTATAGAGTTGGTGTACTCTACGAGTCTTCCGACTGGGTAGGTAACCGGCTAAGAGAAGCACTTGAGCTCGGCTTATCATATGCAGGGTAAAGGCGAAGAGTATGTGAAGCTCGAAGAGTTGTCAGAGGCTGAGTTGGCTCATGTTAAGTCACAGCTTAGTTGAGTGGTTGAAACATCGAAACAATCTTGCGTCCTGATGGTATTGCCTTGATAGAATCATGTACACTGTTCTACCGTGATGAGAACGATGACCAGGAAGTGATTGATGTTGTCCCGCGGTTACCAGCCAGTTTCTGGGACGTAAAGCATTCTGAGTGGAGTCGGATTTGATACGGGAAAAGAAATTCCAGACATGTAAAATTCAAATTGTACGTTACACGTTCGGGAAGCAGTTGTGTCAAGTTCAATGGTACGATGCGAGCGCCCTGAAAGACCCACGCGTGTCAAGCGATCGAGCGCGAGCGGATCGCCCAAAGTGCGGCGTCGAATGTGTCCACCCGCCGAAGCGTGTGACATTACAAGGCGCTTCAATGCATTAAACACGGTTCTGCGGTTTCTCGGCAACGTATCGCGGTTTTTGGGGGGCGTGTCGATCAAACAACTTAGTTTTTAAAGTCAGACATGGGGATTTTGTTGAGTAGCCGTAGCCTCGCTCGAAAACGAGGCCGGAGTCCGCTGCAGTGATCGCCCAACTAAGATTGATGCGCAGGACGGCGACCTCAAGGCGTAAGGCATGGGATGTGCACGGGGATCTGGTGGAGGGCTCGCGACGCCATGATCGATCGATCAATCCGCATGCCAATGCTTCTTGAATGCTCCCGAGGACTGCAAAGGAATTCAGCTTTGAACCTCACCTCCAAACGAAGGGTGCATGATTCTCCTTACTGTAACCCATATTGATGGCCCTAAACACATTATCCTATTTCTGCCTCGCTAACAATTGCGTGACAAGTCTGATCCGAGTCCAAGGTGAAATACAGTTGGCTTATGGAAGTTCGATGCAAGACTCGTGGTATCTAGCTCTCGCGACACAAGCTGGTAGCATAGCCCAGGCTTTCAACATGCATAACTATACAGGCAAGGAGAGATGACTCGACCATCAACCCCACTTCGTCTGTTTCCAAGAAACACAACACTGAGTTGAAAATTTCCAAAAATATGGAGATGTGCGGACCTCTGGATTGAGCTTGAACGCTTCGTAATCCTTCCGATTGAAGAAGCTTACTTCAGACTCGTTTTCTGCAAAGTCGTACAAAGGTTAGTTGCCTGTTACAATAAGCATTGACGCAAGGAACGGATGATGGGAGGAGAGGTGTGATCCATGCGTCATGAAGATCATGGCTCCACATGGGAGGGGAGAGAAAGATAGAAAGTGACGGGGAGACGATCATGAGAAGCTTTTTTGCGCAGAATAGGAGATGGATCAGGAATTGACAACGCGGACGATGTCGCGACAGTCGTGCGTACGAGTATAGGGAGCGAAGAAGGTCGGGTTTTGCACAGATGGGAAGATGCTAATCAGGGAGAAAGATGAAATGCACCTAGACCGTGTGATGCTAAAACTACGGTGTTATCATCCAATATCCAGTCGTCGTGGTCCAGATTAATAATCAGGTTTGCTGTCTATAAACACGCCCAGACAAGAGTAAGCACTTCGAAATTGCATGGAACGATATTGAAAAGTGCGATCGACTCAGGGGGTCTGGTAATACGGCACACCTTCGCACCATGAGCTTTTGTGTAAAGCTTGAGAGTGTCTGAGGCAAATCGCCAACGAGTGATGGGGACGCAGATGCGAGGGGCGTATGGTATGAGCTAGCAGCAACTAAATAGAGAAACCCGTTTCGCACCCAACTCCACGGTCTTGTAAGCTTTCCAGGCAGGTTGTGTCTTGATAGCTGTCATTGGGAACGGTGTGGGTTAATGGTTCCAAAGCACGGTCAGAGCCAAAGATGCACACTCTGCTTTACGCGCTCCTTGAGCTGGCCCACGGTGATCTCCTCAAGATTGACGTGGTGAAGTACGAGCGATTTCTCGGTACGATACGTGAAGCTCTTTATCACCCGAACTGTGATGGTTGCGTCTATTTGATGTGAGCAACAGGGGAGTGGAGTTTACGGAATGGCAAAGAGATGTGAGTGGTGTGAAGTAGTAAAGTATAGATATGCCATTGCCTGTGGGCGGTCGTATTTCTGTAGCCAGCGGCTCGTAATTCGTCTCAGTTGTCGCAGAGGTCATCGAGCAAGTGGCTGTACATGACACATGGAGCTCCATCAACTGAATGTCTTATTCTCGTCACTGTAGGCACAGTCCTACATAGTGCAAACATCCCATGGATCTGTTTCGTGCAATGGCTTGCATTGGGACCCAACTTTAGGTTGCGAACCCACACAATTATAGTCCACCTTCCATCCTCCCGAGGGCATTCTGGGCAGTGGCAGACCCATTCGCTTGACCCTCTTTGTTATTAATAAATTGGAAAGCGAATCCTGTTACCCCAAGATGGGCGCCACCTTCTGTATGGGCTTTCTGGCGAGCTTGGTCTGTAAGATGTCATTCCCTCCCTGATGGAGCACAACGTCTATCGAGGAATTTATATGCTACACGAGGGAATACTGTATGTTCCCAAATCCACTCAGTTAGTCGAACTGAAGTGATTCTAAGCTTCTCCGAGTGGCAGTCGTGCCTACTGCATCCTGGTGAATGTCGTGTCAGGGCCCTGACAGCTTAGAAACGCTCACATCTCGCATCGTTCCCAACAAATGTCGGACTTTCCGCAGACGGGAAGCAGCTGGATATCCAGAAGGCGTGACTAGGCAAGTCCCCACTGTGAGTTATGTATGAATACTTGGTGAAGCTGATCTGTCGCTCCGAACTCAGGTCATCATAATACCTGTAAATGTAGCAAGCCGTTGTGTCATTATTTATATATCTGGGTCCCTGCGACCATGATTCCTGGTCATGCTCATCGAATAATGGGATGCCTCTAAAAATAACTCAAGTTGAAGGATGGGCCACTACGATACATGCCACAGTATTGTACGGTACTAGCAGGTGAAAATTGAAAGCCAGGCATGAATAATAAAAGGAAAAAGATGCGTCGCGGATTTCGTGGCAAGTAGGAGTTGATGCAGAGCAAGTGTCCGGGTAATGACTAAATTACTGGTTGGCGCACTGCACCCGTGGTTCACCACCGTCTTCATCCATGCCGTCGTCAGTGTCACCGTTCAGCCCTCGTCTGGCCTGCTCCTTTTGCTGCCGAGCATCTAAATCTGACAATTCGACTTCTTCAATGTGTTTGGCCTTAGGTGTTGGTTGAATAGGCCTTCGAGGGGGGAGAGCGGCTTCTAAATGGGGAATGGCTGCAGGTGGAATATGCTCCGGGAACGCGACTTTGAGGTTGACGTAGAGATCGCCCATCTCGTGGTGCCGATACGAAGGCATTCCCTGACCCCGAATAACTTTAACCACACCTGGAGAGACGTCGTGTGGGTGTCTGATAGTCTGTAAACGGACAAATTGAAACGTTGCTACTCACCGTGTTGTAACACCTCTCCAGGAGGGATGACAACTTGCAACGCATGATCATCCAAGTGCTGTACACTGAACGAACCGCCGGCAAGCGCCGTCAGCAGATCCACTTCAGCTTCAATAAACAAATCATTTCCGTCGCGTCGGAAAACATCGTGCGGTTTTTCTTCCACGACGATGACGACATCCCCGGTAATCGTTCCGGGCTGCTCATCTGCGGCCTGAGAGAATGTAATCGTTTGGCCATTCTTCATTCCCTTGTCAATATTGACCTCGAGGAACGTCCGCTCGTTCACGACTTTCTTGCCGTTGCACTGCTTGCACCGGTCCCTGGGGTTGATCACTTCGCCCTTCCCTTCACATTCATTGCAAGGTTGCTGGATCTGCTGGATCATAGGTCCCAGCTGTCTCATAATGATCTTGACGCCCCGACCATTGCATCCATTGCAAGTTTTGACTGCGCCTTCCTTCCCACCTTTGCCATTGCACTTGGTGCAAATGACAGTTTTATTGAGGGCTAACTTCGTAGTTTTCCCCTTGTACAGGTCTTCTAGAGACACTGCAATGCGGTGCACCAGATCTTTGCCTTTTCGTGGCCCTTGCGACCGGCCGCCGCCGCCAAAAAACCCACCCGCGCCGCCGCCGAAGAGTTGTGAGAACAGGTCCTGTGGATCCATTCCACTCATTCCACCCTGCTCTGAGAGGCCTGCCTCACCAAGCCGGTCGTAGCTGTTGGTGGTGGCCAGCGCATCGCGAAAGTAGACAAAAGCGGTAAAAACCAGTGTCAATGGTAGTTCTGGTGACAAAGGAAGGAGCACCTACATCCCGCGTTTTTGAGCATCGGACAGAACCTCATAGGCATGGGTCACTTCTTTAAAGAGTTCAGGATCACCACCTTTGTCGGGATGTAGTCGCAGTGCCCTAAAAGTTGGATGGGATTACCAATAATGAGTGATGGTTGCCGACACGATTGCTTCAACGGCTGACAACGCACTTTTTACGATAAGCTTTCTTGAGATCTGCGTCGGAGGCATCAGGGGAGCATTCTAGTAGGTCGTAATACTTGCTGTTGAATGATACGCATACAGGAGAGCACGGATTATTTCTTCAAATCCTTGCAGAGGTGACCGAACTTACGTTTCTTTAACCATATTGCTCGAAGATTAATATATGAGGTGTAGGAGATATGGGAGTCTGGTGGTAGTGGTGGTTTGGAGCGGAGGAGTGACGAGGCGCTGCCAATACTTATGTACGGGGCCAGGGGAACCAAGTAGAACAGTGTAGAAGAAAGTTTCGGAAGCAACCGTTCCGTTTTCGGGAACTGATTCACCAGCAGGCGCTTGGGCGCTTGTTCAAAGAGATAATATAAGTAATGGGTGTCTCAGTTGCGTCATGATCAAAGGGCTCAGGATGAATCTCAAGTTTGCGTTGTGCCATCTAACCCAAATGGGTTGTCTACATGAGTTTGTAAAGGGATTTGTGCTAGCTAACTTCCCAATACAATCGAGTCCTGCATGCACAAACTATCAGAGGAAGCGAAAGCTTCTCCAATGCGAAGATTGGTGGATGCACCAACTTGTGTTGTAGAAAAGGAAAATCCTACGCTGCAAGCATGCCTCTCCCTAGCTCACGTACCCTCATGGACGGAACGTGGTTAGTACTCTGTTGTGCATAATACGACGAATGTTAAGCACACTTCTGTGAGAATGATAAACAGCAATGACAAGTGCCTCAGAATCTAAGCCGCGTAATCACTCATCACTCACCGTTTCTGCAATTCCCCTCACCTTCGCTTCGCGCTGAGATCATACTTCCATCTGCCTTCTGCCATTTCCATGACAGATCTTGGACGGTTCCAAGCTCAAGAGCTGTCATCCCATTGGACTTCGCACACAACAAAGCGATCCATGACACCGAGTACAGTTTTGGCTTTTTGGACGCATTTGATCGTCAGGTTGAGTGTGTGACCCATAGGTTTGATGTTAGGACAAAGTTTAATCCCGATGAAGATGGGTGTCTACCTGGAGAAATAATCGCACCAGGAAGGAGAGTGTCTTTGCACTGAGGTGCAGTCTAGCGACCCTTAGCGTTTGGGTGGACCAAAATGCGGATCGCAGAGTCCATAGTATTTGCTTTCGTTAGTTGTAATGGCGATGTCCTTCCAAGTAAGGGTCCTGGTCAAAATAAAATAAAATAGTTGGTGTAGCCCATCGAACCTTCCATGAGAAAGGAATTAACCGCAAGGGCATCAGTGTGGAGAGCTAAGGTGCTAAACATTGCGCCCGACAGCAAGGTCTGGGTAACACCAGCTCCCACGCTAGTCTTGGCTTTTTTGCGTCTGTGAATTCTTCTTGCAGTTGCACCGCTTGCATGGAACCGCCGCTCATCCAATCCCGAAAGTATGAGGCCCGCTCTGGGGCGGTGGCTACGGCCTTACAAAGAATATATTTGCCCCTGTGGATACCATCCAACCGCTCGCCCTCGTAGATATACTCTCAGGACTCCTGCAAGACCCGCTTATGGGCGGATTCGGTTTGGAAAACTCCTGGTATGGGAAGCTCCATTACATATCTTGTCACCAGAAGGAGGTTATTCTGTATATGAACACGCGTGATATTTGATTGTTTAAATGGGAAACGTGCCAAGGACAGCAGAATTTCTGAACCAGGTGGCATGCCCATTGCAGAGTATTTACCGAGTGCGAGCATCTACACCAGCCTTGGTGCGTGAATTGGCAATGCAAGTCTCAAATTCATTGGTTCACAATCGTCTCCTGCCACACTCCTGGGTATAATATTGACCTGAAGACTTCGAGACCCCCCAGGACAGATACACGAATTTCTCAGGACGCGCTTTCTTTCGGTGCATTCCCGCCCGTCGGAGATGGTTTAGGAGACATATGCATTAGGCGCACAAAGGCGATAATAAATATCACAAGCAAGGACCAAAGAGAAAGCGCTATGCATTGTCGTAACGTTGCCTTGCCTAAACATAAAAACTTCATCAAGATTTGCCCATGACAGCTGATCCAAGAATGCTTGCCCACCGTTTCCTTGACAATAGTTGCGTAGTCCATGTCCATGGACTGCTCTATCGGTCTAGCTTTACTAGCACCGATTCCAGCTCCAGCAGAATACAGAGCAGTTTTGCTTCAAACAGTGGGTAAGTGCCTCGTGGATAGGAAACAGCGACGAGTTCGTACATAGGATCCACCCTTCCTTCGCCGCTGAGGCCCAGACCAGTCCCGGCAGACCATCCCATCTTTTTGAGAAGCTTATTACCTACATTGTTTTCATCCTCCCCCGGATTCAGTGCTGGTGGCGGCGTCGATGCTTTGGGAGGTGGTGATGGTCCTTCGGCCTGTCTTCTCTTGCCATTGGGTGCTGCTCCCGAGTCAGTTGGAGAAACCGGTACATCTGGTTGACCATATATAACACGTCTCTCCAACGCACGGTCACGGTACTTTGGCGTAGAGGTGTCCGCATTGGTCGCGCCGGGTACATCAGTCTGACGGCTAGCTACGGCTTTCTTCTTGGCAGATTCGACAAGTGAAGTGTCGGCCAGATTTTTCTGTTAGTTTTGGAGTGCGTCGTTTTGGAGAACATTATGCAGAAATATTCAATGTGGGAAAAGAATGAGCAACAATTACGCGATGATGGAACGAGATATGCGAGCCTTGTGCAGGCCTGATTCGGCGTTGTGTCTCTTGAGCTGATCGAGACTCTTGAATTGGCGACTGCAGAGAAAGCAAGCGAGTTTCTTCAAATCGGCATATTCGAGGTTATCAACCACGGGCGATTTTCCCCTTTGGTCATCGTTAGAAGAGTTCGGTGGTGGAGCCTGTGGATGGTTCGGGGAAAGAGCAACGGTAAGAAGCTACACTTTCAGGCCTTCAACGGCACTATGAATGATCGAGTGATCACCAATGACGAAGGATCTGTTTCCTGAGCAACTTCAATCTTTGCTGCGGCTTGAAATGCATTCCACTTTGATATATCCTTAGCCACCTATGAAACGATGGTCGTGAGGCTGATATTACCGAAAAATAAATAAACGGGCGAGCGACTAACCTTTACGCTGCTCGCCATGGGAGCCACTTTGGCATATGAATTAGCTGTCAAAGAAGACGTTATCCCACACGGTCATTTCGAGTGCAACGAAGGCCCCTGACCTCGGTTTGCTGATTGACTATTGCCGTTAGCATCCCCAGGATCACCCTCTTCAGTAGGATCCTCCGAAAAACCCAATGCGCTCGCTAGTATACAACAAGTGAAATCAGATCTCACGGGAAAGTACAAGACACATACTTTTGGCAACGATTCCTGGGGGCTTGTCACCTCCACCGCCAGCCTTCATGCTCTTAAAGCTCAAAGTGATCGGAGCGCCGGTGCCTTTGAGAGCTGTTGGAGCAGGTGCCAGCTGAATTCCGGGGACAAGGCCTTCTGAAGTGATATTACGTCATGTACCGCACGATCCACATATGGCCATACCTGATGCTGTGGGATCCCTCGGTTTCTCCTTTTTCTTCTCTTTGAGCCTTTTGGGTTGTTGACTTGTGGGCTCCTCCACCTTGAAGGTAAGCTCGCTGACGCAGGCATTATCATCCCAATACTTGGCGATGCCGCCTTCCTGTCCTCCCATGGAAAGGGAGGCTTCCACACAGTTTTCGTCGCGATAGCCGCCCGGCTGGAGCATAGTGAAGGAATGAGGGTGTGCAAAGGAAGCGGCCACCGGTTTGTCGGAAATACGAAAACCGCTGGGAAACAACGTTGGAGACATCGTATTCGCCAGGACAATGGAAGCAGACTACGGAAAGGGGAGTTGACCGTGTCCTAGGACCCAATGGAACGAACAGGCGCACCTGAACATCAACAAACTCTACAAAAGCAACTCCCCGACTGATCTTGGAAATACGATCTTTTATGAGAATGATTCGTCTCATGCCCTTGGCAGACTGCCGTCCGGGACCCTCGGAACCACGTAACGCCTCCGCAATGGTATCTAACGTGCTGCCTATATCCATGTTTCGGAGAAGGATAACGGGGACATGGGCGCTTCCAATATCTCTGGTTCCATCAGTCGCTCCTTCAATAAGGCGGGGGCCACTCCGCCTCGGTGGCGCATCAGGATTTGCGCTCTGTGAATAATCAATTTTTACGCGCCGGGTGCGTGAATCGTCCGCGTTCAGAGGAGTTGATGAGACATGAGAAGGTGGTGGAAGAGTGATATAAGGGAAGTTTGGCTCCAAGAAACGCTGGGCTTCGTTTAGACTCAGAAATTGCGCAAAACCGAAAGATTTGGACATCCCTTGGACAAAAAGCGGTGAAAGAAATTCATCAGTCAGTGGAAGAACAATCTTACCTGTTCCCCTATCCCGGATGATAGTGACATTGGCGATCCCAAAGCCTGATCCAGTTAAGTATGCATGGAGCTGGTGACCGAGAAATCCGTTAGAACAATTTATAGACATTGCAATAATCAGGGGTGATTCAGACATCAGATTCTGTGAAGTCTGGGTCGAGTCCAAGGAAGATGACATGTTCACTGGGTTCACTTGCTACCATACGGGGACGGCGGTGGCCATAGGAGTCACGGTCGCGATGGGTGTGATCCTCATATCGTTCGTCATAACTTTGTTGGTTGGAAACTGAATAATGCTGTGACCGAAATTAGAACACTTTTCATGGTGGAGCGTTTGTCGAGGGTTACTCACTCCGTCACCATCTGTTTTTCTTCTTTTCCAATCCCCTTCACTACGTTGGTGCTCATAGCTATTTTGGCGCCAATCCCGGTCAGAACCGCCTCCGCGAGAGTTGTGATACCCATTCCCATCGTAGTCATCATAGGTCTGTTGTTCGTAACCGTCATGACCCCACTGGCGGTCCGACATAGTCGCAAGAAACGAAATCGAGAAGTGATAGAGAAACGAAGTTGTGGAGGAACTGGATTGACGGGAGAGTCCGAACTAAAGTCCGTTTTTGTCCGTTTCTTAACGCCGCAACCCCCAATTTACACCATGGCTGCAGGGAACAGTCGTATGTCCTCTCCCTCTTTTGGGCCTAGCACAGATAGACCAAACCCTCATTACAGCCATGCTCAGAGTCCGTACTACGCAACGTCGTTCGTGCCGTTGAAGAAGCTTATGTGGTTTCGTTTGTAGACAGACCCAGCCATTGAGCGCTGGGTCTCAATGGTAAGCACCTGCAAACGGACGTGCTATCCGTGGGTCTCCTCGTTAATGGCATTACAGCGTGAAAATGTCTATCAACACTTTAGGTTCACCCCAGTCAAGACCCGTCAGGTCGTCGGTCTCATGGTTATTGTCCCCGCATTTTGTGGCCTTCTCGCGTATGCAACAGACGTATGTGCCTTCACAATCTTCGAGCGTGGGCGTCGTGCTCAGTATGATACACTGTTCCAGAACAAGTTTGATTGGGCGGGGAAAAAGAAGAACGATTCGCTACTGCGGACACCTGCATCCTCACAAGACTGACATTGTTACACTATTCAAGCATTATAGAGTGTTTGTACGACGATGTCTGCTTCTAATTCTATATTCGTTTGCAGAGTTGGATGGCAACGTTGCACCCAAGCTCGATAACCGCTGACATCAATGCGTGTGCAGGTGCTCGTTGAGAATTTTCTGCCACCGCCGTACCCAAATGCTCCAATTCATCATCCCTTAGCTCCTTTATGAGATCTTTCAGCTGGCTGATTCCCTCATTGTTTGGCGAAATGGTTTCAAGCTGCTGGAGCTGGCTGTTGGAAGTTGATTCGACGTCAGGTGTCGCCTGGGGACCGTGATACCCCAAAATTATAAACTCACTGTTCGTAGTGCTCGCCAATGGCAGTCTCAACGGCTTCCGTGCATGCCATGGCTGCTTCTTTTCCCATGAGCGCTGTAACGGCACCAAGTCCGAAACCCGTTATTTTCGCCACTTCCATGAGCAATGTTGGCCGGGCTTGATACTCGATCTGAAGTTTGTCCATAACCCGTAGGTGTTTCTTTTCCTGATCCCACATTTCCTACGATAAACATTAAGCACATATTATCTCTACGAATGGAGCTGATGAATTGCCGAACTTGTATTATTGGTCCCAAAACCTGATCCTTGCCAAGAACAGCCATCTGGCCACGATATATCCAGTTTGCGGCAACCTCTCCCGCCTGGTCAACGCGTATGACTTCAGAAACGACATTGCGCCCGGCTTGAGACAATGCTTCATATCGTGGGACAATCCTTTGAGCAAGGTACATCGAAGATAGTTTATGTACACTTGATGGTCCTTCTTTCAGAGTCCTGAGAGATGCATGGAGAGTGTGGGGTGGTCTGGCCAGCATTGCAGCTGACGTTGCCATCTTTTAGGATTGTCGCCACGCTACCTCACTGTTCCGGGTCGCACAAGCCCAACATTTAGGCGAAACCGGAGCAGGCGTGGGAAATGCCGAGTTCGAAGTGAACTAACATTATACAACGAAAATAGTTCATAGTACCAATATTACGAACTAGCCAAGTGAGCAGCACGCTCACTAAGCAAGAACGCAACAAAGTCAGTTACACGTCTCACTAAATCTCGATATACAGGAAGGCAACGTCCAGAATATATGCAGAGAAAGAAGGTATAGAGATTTATGTGGTTCTGTAAGATGGTAGTAAAGGAGAATGACGGTGAGCGTAAGGAGCGGAGCAGGATAGCGATGGAACGCGATCTTTAGTTTGGGAAATCGAGTTAGATAGGTGACTAGCTTAATGTCCAAACGGACTCAGCGCCAGCCCATACTCACCGGAGAAACCCTGAAGAGGTGAGCAGGGAAGAGGAAGGAGTGCCTGTGCCGAGGGGAAAATGATCTACTAGAACGTGTGAAACTTTCCATCCGGTGGAGGCAACAGAGCCTGGTCGCCCACCTATGGAGGAGGCTCATCAGTGCTTGTAGAGCCAAAGTGAAAAAAAGCAGCCCACAATTGCGTCAAGGCACATCAACAAATGATGCAGCCCAACGAGCCACGATAGCTACTCTCCTGGTCAACAGGAGTAGAGTCGATAAGGCCATCGGTGTCGACACCGCAAATGACGTCAGAAAGATTGGAGAGGGTATGAGCAAATGCATCCATAGTTGGTCGAGTGGCAGAGTATATTCCCAAAGGTCTTCTAGCAGAACGTCCAATCCTTTATATGGGGCCGGCAATGGAAAATCCGGAATGCAACAAGTCAAGGTAACAAGGCACAAAGCTGGGCGCTATTTGAGCGGAAGAAGTATCCATCGAATAGTGGTGCCACTCGTTGCACTCCAAACATGCCCCCGGCCGGTAGAAAAACAACACAAACAAAGCGGAGTTGTATACGGACAAGACAACGAAGATCTATCTCTTGAGATAGAGCGGTGTGCCAAAAGCCTTTTCCAGGGCGACCATAGGGCACCGTCTGATCTACAAATAGCATGTGAGCCTGCGAGCACTCTCCCCAGCTCTTTGCGTTTCTTGTGCTGGACTCCTGCCCTAGAGGTAGCTTTGTTTGTTGAGCCCGTGCCCATGGTTTGCTTCAACACTGGTGTGCTTCCTCGGCAAACAAAGCACATATAGTGCTATTCCTCAGCTTGTGCTTCCACATGGATAGGCAACTCCGCGCCTGGTTGTTACTGTACTTGTGACAAAGAAGATTCGGACGGAATGTGTTGAGCGTCGTTTTGCCTTCCCAATCGTTACTAACGTCGTTAGGACCCATGACTACCGTTCACGTGACGTCAAGACCCGGGTGATCTTGTTGTTTTGATGCATGCCCCACGTAGCCAGTCGAATATGCTGCCGCATGCCCGCAGTGGACCTTGTTGTTACCTGTGATGGTAACTGTCTCTGCCCGCGAAACCGTGGCCAAGGGCTGGCGGCGCATTCTAGGCTCCAGTACTCCAGTATGCATACTCTCGACCGTGACATGCGTCTGTTTTTGGGCCATTCATGGGCAATTTCTTTGTCACTTGGTGTACAAAGCCTATGCGATCCCCCGCTTCTTGGGAAATGGATACCATGTACTAAGGTCCAACTCTGAGACCGCTCTGCGACTGCTGCTTGCTGGCGCTTGCACACGTAATCACTTCACAGGCTGCTAATCGACATGGCTTCGCTCGAGGATGGCGCTCTCATCAATGTTTCGATGATCGAAGATCTCCAGCGTTCTCGACGGAATGCGATCACCAAAATCAGTGCGATCTGATCGCAGCGCCCGAAAAGAACTCCAGCGGCATTGGCGGGTTTAGGTTCAATGTTCGCGAAAGCGAAAAATGAAAGCAAAGTCCCACGAACGCTCCCATCGTGACGGCAAGGGATTTCTTTAAGCGTCGGAGGGTGTACAACCCTACATAGCGCTGCTCGAGCACGAAAGTGGTATTGGGGTTCAGGAGAACTTCAATTCCTGCATGGAGGGATGCGATGGCCTGGGCAAAGACGAAAGCGAAGGTCCAACGACACCCCCACGACACTGCCTGCTGCAACACGAACACACTTATGGCAGCGCAGAGAAGGAGCTCTACCGAGAGTCTGCCATTACGTGGAATGGTGGCTGAAACAGCCGAATGGACTCGCTGGTGCAGATCCTCACACATCCTCGCCTAAATCGCCGAACGTCTCGCGTCCTGGCAGCCATCGTTCCCTCCTGAGCTGCCCGGCGAGAGCGTCATGGGTGGTTTTGGCAAACCATATTTGCGCTTTCTCGATGCAAAATAGGTCACCGTTCCTGTCAAAGTTTGGGTCCCAGTATGATGTTTCAATAGGACAACCAGTCACATGTGTGTTTATTGCCGTCACTAGTACAGTGCGTGTTGCAATGTTAAAAGGCCTGTAGATTGTAAACCGCAACGCAGTGACTTCCCAGTAATGCAGCGGAAGAACGGAGGTAGCAGGTAGCAATAGCATCAAAATTAGAACGAAATGGGGATCCCAATGAAGACCCAAGCCCAAACACAAAGCTAATGCAGAAGAAGAAAAAAGCAAAGTTAAGCATTCACTGAAAGTTTGAAATCTTTGAACCACACATATTGGTCGACAGGGGAAGCCCACGATGGGTCATGACCACCAAAGAATGTGCTAAAGAATATGCCAGAGAAACCGAAAGCAGGTTCTGGCTGGGGTAAGTTACTGCTTGCCGATGGAGCAGCTAGGTAGTTCTCTTGCGGAGAAATTGTGGAAATTGCTAGCGGGCCAGCGGAAGGAGTGGGAGCTAGCGAAAGAGGGAGGCCTGGCGATGACAATGAGCTTGGTGTAATGGCGGTGTAGGTGTCCAAAGCTACCGGGGAGAGAGTAGCTGTGGGGACAGAAGGACGAGGTGTAAGGCCGTCCACTTGGTGAATAGAGGATAAGGGGTGCGACATTGTTATTGATGAGGCAGGGCCCAATGACAGTAGCGCATTTGCTACGTCACCATTAAATGCAGCTGTGTCGCCATTAATATCTGACACCTGCCCTACCAAAAGGTGCGGCTGGCCGTTCTTCGACATATCAGAACTCGACGAAACCACATGAGTGAGGGGAGCAACCAGTACAGTAGCCTCCCCTCGCGCGGCATCCCGCTTCTGAGGCTGGGCTGAAGAACGACGAAGAATACTCCCAAGCAGTGCTCCACCTGGTGGGTCATTGTCAGAGGGCCTGGAACCGAGGACACCGCCAAGTAAACCACCTAGGAGGCCGCCGAGCACGTCCGCTGAAGTCGTTGGTGTTGCCGTAGGAGCGGGCTGAGGCTTCTGAGAGGCGTCGGGTGGTATCGTCTCTCGGATTGGAGAGGGAAATGAGGACGGCTTTACCTCAGGGAGCGGAGGCTGTTCAATACTGCCCTTCACGCCTCGATAAAATATTCCGTCTAATGTCAAGACACGGACACCGTTAGCATCCAGCGTGAAGCCGCCATCCTGAACCCCAGGAGTGTTAAGTCGGACTGTCTGCTTCAGGTGAGTCCATGCACCAGGCGTAAAGTTGAAGGATCCCCGAGCAAGGGACAACCCGTACTGGGGGTTGCACTCCGAAGTGTAAGGGGTGCTAGTGCATAGGTTTGGTCGTTGCTTAGACTTATCCACATACTTGAGGAGGAGATGAGCAAAGACAGATATGGGACACAGAGAAGGGACTCACAAGATAAAGCTCGCCCATTCCGTTCGCCCTCCACATGATCCTTGTGCTGAAGCATGTGTCCGCAACATTCCCTCCACTGCATCCCGTATGGCCGCCGAATAATCCAGGGAGTTTCCCACCCTTCATCCATAGGAAGTCATTCGGAAAGAAGGTGCTATACTCGAAGGTAACATTTGTGGCATTCAGCATCCCAGGAAGGGGGCTGGCGTAGAATTCAGCACCACCCTGGGGAAAGTTAGCGGGGTTTATTGAGTTTCTGGGATAAAAGAGCTGAAGAATGTGTGTATCGTTTGACCGTGAGGGAGAAACATGATCGGGAGTGGAAGCGGCTGTGGAGGCAGGGGAAGAAGTTGTGGCGGAGGCACTGAAAGGAATACCCCGAACAACTTGGACTTTGTCTTTTCCATTTGGGAACTTTGTGACGTTCCAACAATCAAGATCCGAGGACTCCGCCGGGGGGGTCCAGGTAGCCAAAGGAGTGGCCTGAGGTGTGGACGATGGAGATGGCGTTAATGACATTAAAGGCTCGGAAATAGAGGATTCCACAGGCGGAGGCATGACAGGCATTACCACTTCAGTGGTTCTGGGGGCAGCGATGGTGGTGAACGCTGTTGTAACATCTGTAATTATCGTGGGAGGAACAGGACCAATGGAGGGGGATTCAGAGTCGGAAGTGTAGGTTGAAGACTGGTCAGCCACGATAAATGGAGGGCTAGAGGGAGCGAACAGTGGTGTGAAGGCTGGAAAAGGCATGACTCTGGTGAATGTCATCATAGGCGGCACGGTGGTAGTAACAGTCAAAATCTCCAGATCTAGTGCAATTTTCCCAGGGAGAGGTGCCGCACGAGAGAAGTAGCCATAACCGACAAGAAGGAAAGTGATGAGATGAACCTCCATATTAAGGCTCCAAATCGTTTGCCGTTGTGAGCCTATAGCGATTGAAAGAGGAAAACGGTAGATGGGCAATTAGCAGTACATTATAAACCTCAATGGATTCTGACTACACTGCGAATTGCTCTCCGGTCGGAACTGCAATCCGTCAAATCAAGATTCAACTCATATATGTCTTACCAGGCGTGCCCGGGACCGAACACAACTGTGTCTTGGGTGTGATTTCCCATGAATTCCACCAAAGTAGTCATCATTGTTGCCGCGCTTACTTCCACTCGGTGACCTCGTTGTTTGGCTGCGAAATTACCCTCATCAGTGCATGAAGTCCCACCCAGGCGTTGCAGAGTACCTGGGATCGATATCCGCCCTTTGGCACCATTAACGCTATTCTTCCACTGTTGGGGATCGGGGATACTGGTGCCAGCAGAGCATGAGAGAGAAGTCAGAATGAAATCTCGGCTCAAACCACCTTTATTTGCATCCGACAACATACAATACAGATTGACTATCTTATCAACACCAACCTTATGATATAGGTTGACACGCACATTGGGGCAGCAGGCGAACGAGAAGCTGGCTATCATACGGCCGAAGACTAGTCTAATAGCATTGTGCAAGAACAGAACGGACACGACGAGCAGAGCGGCGTTGAGGGGCAAGTGCTAATTATTCTGAGCTATGAGGGGCCAAGCAGACCAGAAGCAACTATCTGAGACATTAAAGGGCGGGTCGCACTTGCTGAACAGCAAGAGGCTAGCAGTTGCTCTAGGGGCTTATCGGACCAGGCCCAAGGGGCAACTTGGTGTTCGATTGCCTTCAAAACTTCAACGTCCCTTTTCAGCCAATGGTATGGTGGATGATCAAAGAGAATCTTCGAGATGCCACGGTAAGTTCCGATCGACCTAAGGCACTCCCACTCACTTGTACACACGTGCACCCAAAAGCGTAAACGTCGCTCTTTGTAGTAGGATGAGAATCTTCCTCAGAGCTCTCTAATAACTCTGGCGCCAGGAATCGGAGTGTTCCTCCTTGATCAGAAGTTGTTTGCCCTGTCGGAAGACCGTCAAGGATACGGGATAGTCCGAAATCACACAATTGGGCACGCCCCGTGTCGTTGATTAGGATATTGAGCTATTCAACTCTGATCAGGAGCGCTTGTCTGGACACTTTTCGGCTGGGACGTACTGGTTTGAGATCTGCGTGGACAATAATAGCATCGTGATTATGGAGGTACAGTAGCCCCCGAGCTACGTCGGATACCTGTGTTCGTGCACATGTGTCGACCAACGTGCAAAGTCGATTCTATACAGATACTCACTAGCATCTCACGATCGGCAGCAGGATTCTGTTCCAGGTACTTCACAACATTCCCGTTGGCGCACCATTGCGACACCAGAGCAGCAGTAACTCCACCAACTTCGTGCTCTATTGCATAACCAATAAACTCAACAATATTGGGGTGTTTGAGATCTTTCCAGACCTTCATTTCTCTTCTCAGGTGCTGGAAACCAGTGTCATGGATAACGTAACGGGCATTGATGGTGTAATTAGGCCTCACCTTGACAACTTTCCTGGTGTGCTCAATTGCTGTCGCCAGACCGCTAATAGGTGGACGAAGCACTTTATAACATACCTATGAGAAATCATGAACTGGGTCAGCCGGAAACAATCACAATGACCTACAGGAATCAGATCGGCTCCATTGGGACGCCTCCAGTAGCTGCGGAACACTTCTGAGTACCCCCCTCTAGCAACTGGGTTGTGCTCCCTTTGTGGGAATTGGCCGCTGAGATCCTGGACAATGTGTTCTTGCCTTAGTTCCTCGATGAGAACGGATGCAGTGTCTGCTTGTTGCATGGACGCGGGTTGCACTGCTGAGTCCGACGATTTAGGCTCTAGCATGGTCGATGTATGAGGATCGAGTGTTTGCGCAGGTGAGTCTATATGACCGTGATTGCTTGAGTCACCACTCGATGCAGATGTCGAACTTTTGACAGAGCTCTCTCTGTGCACTGCTTCAAGTTCGTTTGCGTTGAAGCGCCCTCCTGCCATGATTTTGGTGACCGCATTTCGCCATAAACGCTGGGGTTCGAAGTTCTGCCGAACACCAATGGGAGTAGCACGCTCAATCGAAACCGTGGAAAACTCGTGATCCTTCTGGCGGTTCAGGGGATCTCCTGCTATCAAAAGAGCGCCGTTAGAATTTGTGTTCGTGTTTGCTCGCCATGGCTATTTTTAAGCTCACCACTGGCAGTGTCGATATGGTGGCTCGAGTTGCCATTTGATGCAGACAGTGAAGTCCCGAAGCGATCAGCGACCATGAGCTCAGTAATTGTATTCCTCCATGAACGCTGGGAATCGTTCTCCGGATTACTGATAGGAGCATCATGCCCGATTGACTCGGAGGCCGTAGGAGACCCGTAATCCCTCTGGCGATTCACAAGATCTTCTGCCATCATGAGGGCGTCGGTGGAGATTTTACTTTCGTCTTTGCCTGTTTCTGAACTCACTATTATTGGTGCTGGTGTGACTCTGACTGCTCGAGGTGTCATTTGACCTAGATAGCGAACTTCCACCAGGGCTCCTCGGCAATACTGCTATCGCTTTCGCGCTGAACCGACCTACATCCATTATTTTGATTGTTCCATTCTGCCATAAACGCTGTGGACTGAAGTTCTCCTTGATGCCATTGGTAGTATCTTGCTCAATTGGCGCCATTTCGTTTCCCTGACGTCTCATGGGGTCTTTTTCCATCATAAGAGCGTTGTTGGGCTTTGCTTTCGTCATTGCTTTCATTATGCTATCCGTAAATCCACCAACGGCAGTAGTGATGTAGCTGTGGCTGCCTGAGCCATCATTTGATGCAGGTCTTGAACCTTCGGTGGGATCCCTTCTCTGCACCGTGGAAAGTGTGCTCGCCTTGATGCGACCTTCAGCCGTGACCCCCGCCATCGTATTCCGCCATGAGGATTGAGAATCAAAGTTCTCCCGGATTCCAATACGACTTTCGTGCTCGAGCGGTGCTGTGTAGGTGTTGCACTCGTTCCAGTGCTTGATAGAGTCTCCTACCGTCGCGAAAGCGTTCGTTGAACTTTGCTTTCGCCAACACTACAACTAAACTCACTAACGGTATCAGCAGTGTCTCCGAAGCCGCCATTTGGTGCAGATTGCAGACTGCCAGTAGGGCTCCTTTTCTGTGCTGCGATCAGTGTATTCGCCTTGAAGCGGCCTACGTCTCTAATCCTGGTGATCGCATTCATGAGAGTACTATCTTCGGTTGAGGCCATGTCGATCGGGAGTCTGTAACGATGTATGCAAACGCTGGAAAGCGGCAGCCTAGGAGTGATCTCAGAGTTGGACCTATACTATCCCTCCGTAGCTCCAACGTTAAATATACACGCGCGCGCACAAAGATCTCAGATCGTTGTTAGAATCGACAAAGGGCACTCTGTATCCATTTCCCAATAAATGGAGGTTGGCAACGTCGCTTAGTTTTTGTATTGCCACGGTGAGGCCGCGGGGTAATAAGACGGTCCTGCCACCACCACCACTACCATCACGATGGATGCAAAGGTCCTTTTGGTCCGGATTATGTAACCTTCTATCGGTTCAACTGTTGACATCCCGGGATATCCCGGTGGTGCGGACAACGGCGCAGAAATTCTGGATCAAGCACAAAGGTCAAGTCTGACAGTGATTCATAGAAAGTCATCGCTATATTTTGACGCGTATGATTCGAGAGTCATAACCGGATTCAGCTTTGTCAACAATAGGAAGATTCTTGGTTGCAATGCACCATCAGTCAATAATCTCAAGAGCTTCTAGTATAGATGGGATGCAACGGATTTGTCGTCGTGCCCAAATTTGCACCTTTACTCCCAACCCGGGGATGGTCGGACGCAAAACAAACGTTGCGATATTGGGTCAAGCGCTTGGAGCGCACCAAATCATTTCTGCTTATCAGACAACCTTGACACTTAACTCCCCATGGCCCGCTTCGCCCCATTAATGGTGCTTTGCATCAAAACCCTCGGACATGAATCTCCTCATAGAGACGCCTGTCCCTGCTACTAGCTCCAACCCAAATGCCATACTTTCCCCTTGGAACTCCCCACCGCTGCTCAACACTGTTCCAAACGGCAAAACTATACCGACTCAAACACATCTTCACGAGGGTTGATTCGCCTTTTCGAAGGAAGACACTGTCAAAGTTGCGAAGTTGTTTAGGTGGAGAGTTGGATGAAGGCGAGGGGCTATGTATAACTGAGGGATCTGCGACGACATTGAAACAGTATTAGATTGCTAAAATTGTAGTTTGGGGGTCGGAAGGTATGAACGACGGACCTCAGTGCCATCCACGAGTCCAGTGTTAGTGAGCTCAAACGTGACTGTGATCCAATCGTTGTGTAGCCTTATGCGAGTTGGAATAGCTTCAGGATTAAGGTTCGCTGAACTGTTGAGTAAAAACACACCACGATGATAAGGACCGCTCAAGGCCAATGGGGCCCTGAGATTTGTCACCCAAGCCCCCACGCAAGTATACGATCGCCAGAGCGGAATAAGAGAACGAAGTATAGCTGAGTCCATATCCAAACTCGAACCGTGGCGTAATATTGTTCTACGGATCAATTTGTTAAAAATATAGTCCATTGTGTCAAAGTGCTGAGAAATTCGGGCACGCAGGGGTCGTACCTGGTCAAACCATCGATAGTCGATATACAATCCCTCAGTGTAATCGACATTATATCCGCTAGATATGTCAGCACTGTAGTCGGATGGAGACTTTGCGATTGTGTAAGGCAGCCGACCGGAGGGTTAACATCCCCCCACAAGATGTCAACGAGGGAGTTTCCAGCTTCTTGACCTTGAAGTCCAGCATGTACACTGCATAGTTGAGCCGATTGAGCCGAAGCGGGAACAGGATATAGAAAAGTGACCTACACCGCGGTAACATTCGGATGATCAATCCATAATTCCATGTTGATCGCCTAATCAAAAAGCGGGGCTCGGTACATGTTGTCAGTAAACCTCAAAAGTCTCACACGACTCACCCCAACGGCATGAATGATCACAACAGTGTTCTTGTTCTCCCCCGCCACGGCCTTTACAAGCTCGTTCCCACCATGCCATGCGTTCAAATCGTTCCTGTCACCTAGATTCCCCTCGACGAGAATATGTCCCTCACTTGCTTCACCTGAATCAGCGGTAATGAACACAAATGCGACATCCTTCCCAGATGAAGCATTTTTCGCTGCAATCAGATCAGCATCGCTTAGGCTTGAAAACACAGTGGCATTGATAGAGTTTGCCTTTGCGGTTATGGCGGAGAGCGGGTCGATGAGGTATGTAAAGTCGGCGGTACCTAGCGTGTTGACGACGGCCCTAGCAGTGAGCGACGGAATTTACGGAAAGAGTCTAAAGCTCACCACTTCCCCATCCAAGAGCCAAGATGCCAACATTACAGCGGCGTCCTAGACAACCTATGACATTTCAAGTCAATCTCTCCATTTCTAGACCCCTAACACCGCCCAGCCCGAACTCACTGTTAGGTCCCTCTGGATTAGGCCCCGCATCACTCCCAACAACCGCAATACTTCTCACGCTATTCCCCAATGGCAATTGGCTTCCATCATTCTTCAACAACACGGTACTAGCAGCCCCCATGCTCCTGATCAGCTTCTTATGATCACCCTGAACATCCATATGCTTTCCCTCGAAGAATTCCAACTATCAAAATTCACGCTAGGATAATCTCCACTGTCCTGTCCTTGCACATAGTACGCCGCCAGTATACGGGTTGCCATATCGTCGAGACGGGAGGTGGGTACCTGCCCTGTCTTGACTGCATTTACCAGTGCGGTTCCAAAGTACGAGGATTTTCCGCCGCGGGAGACTTCGCCTGGCATGACCATCTATTTTTGGACAAATCCAAGTAGGTAGTTCACCAGGAACAAATCAGTACAACTGGGATCCATTCTGGATGGCGACTTACGTCGAGCCCTTTGTTCACAGCAAGTGTTCCAAATTCATCCAAACGTGCCCACCAATCCGTCATGACATCTAAACCGGCGTTCCGCTCAGGGGCCTCGGGAGGGAAATAAATCGCAAACAAATAGGAAACTCACAGCCTTGAAATCCAAGCTCTGTTTTGAGCAGGTCATTGAGGACATGCTCATTTTCGCATGCGTAGGTTCCATTCACTTGGTTATATGAACACATGAACGAAACTACACCAGCTTGAATGGCTTTGAAGAATGGGTGGAGATAGATCTCATGTGTCTATGGAAGGGAAATGTACCCGTGAGGCGAGAATGTCATCAACCGTAAAGGAAGGAACATACAGTGCGATCATCAACATTAGAAGAGGATGACGTGCGATTTGTCTCTTGTTCACTAGGAAAATCCCAGTTTCAGCCTCATCCCACGATAAAAAAAAAGTAGATCGTACTTATTAATGTAATGCTTCACACTGTATCGGAAATGTCTCAATACAAATCTAACCCGAATCTAAAGAAAATTCACCAAGCTTGAAGTCCGTTAGCCTGCAATCCTTTCACAGTCTCGAAGCTGGCTTCCCCAGTGAGATATGGATCAGCTGTACAGCCCAGTAAATTATAAATCATTAGGAAGATATTCTTATCATGAAGAGCAACATACCTCCAAACGTTTCCCAGTTCCTCCCTGCTCTGGGAGACCGAACGATGTTGATATCAGGACCCAATGCGACATTCACACCCTTCCCTTTGAACTCAGCGCCCTAAATGGCAAGAATGTCACAAAATGAACAAGGATCGCTCAGTTGCACGGTGTGAACATACCATTGCAAGGCCACGAGCCCGCATCATAGTCCTATTGAACGTTGCAGCAATGTTGATTCCTCTAGATACGCGTTGCGTAAACGCATCAGAATCCCTTAAGTTGACGTCATATGAGTACGATTCCGGAATAACTCACGCCGGGAAGACGCTAACAAAATCCGCAAGCCGGACCCCGGTTGGGGAATCTTGCAAGCAAAGACCCGGGTAGTCGATGGATGGGACAGCGGGGGTGTTACCAACACAAGGACTGGAAAACCCAACATGGTATTGAAATGATTAGCTTATGGATGCATTGGGGCGCAACGTCGAGCTTCTCACCCCTTTTCCCTACCTACACCAGTGGCTATCATATATGAAGGTACAAAAAAAACATCAACAGGCTGGCACATGCGTACAACACTTAGTAACGAGCATACCAAGCGCAACTTTATCCTTCACAGACATACTTGCCACGACAGCTTTCGCCTTCACAATGGCAGCAGGCCAATCCCCGACATGCTTAGTACCGATAGGCGTGGGTGTAGTTCCGCCAGTATTTTGATTCCGAGTAAGCGCATGATGGTAGCGACTATTATGTTGGCGACTCGCTGTCAATGGGCCCAAGGCGGTGCGCGTAGATATAAATAACGCCATGGAGCATAGTGGACAAAATGGCTTGAGATGCCTTGCATGTATGGACGTACTTACCTTTCAAGAGAACGGCTTCAATGGAAGAGAAAATGAAGACTCCCAAAGACAGAGCACAAGAGCAGAGCAACAAGACAAGCAACTTTGCCATGATGGTGCTAAGAACGTGAAGGGGCCCCTCGTTCAGCAAGATAAAGGGGGTGCGTGAACGAAGAAGAAGTTTGCGAGCTAGGGTGGCTTCAAACCTGGAGGAAAATAGAGGCTGGTATCCTGCTTAGAGACAGAGTGTAAATAGAGTCGAGCTCTGAACGAAGATGCAGGGTTGGGTGATCTATGCCATCAGCGGGGGTAGTTTAGGGTGGATGTTTACACAACCTGGTCACGCGGTCAAGTGACAAAGCCCCTGTCAGACGAAGGTCAACGGTCTCAGGGACTGTACTACCCCTTAGCGGCGTCATTGCCGCACGGCTATCAGACCCCTATGCCATGTGTCTCAAGTATCCATTTTTGACGCTCGAGAAGTGAGTCAGTGCCAAGAGCATGATGTCTTTTTTTGTACTAGTCTGATTTGTTACCCCCCCGGTCGCGTGACGACACAACACTGCGGCTCTAATCTACATCGAGTTTACATGTGACGGTCATCAAGACGGGAAAATAACAAGGGCGGGTGTCATTGTTGGCCGGGCTTGCGAGGCGTTTGTTTACAGTGGGAGGTCCGTGTGTTTGATCGACGCGCTACTTGCCGACTCGCGGGAACTCTTCTGCGTTTTCTGCTCAAGCACTCAATAATTGAATAAAGCAAGCAGGCAATCAGTGCTGTAGTCATTGTTGGGGGGGGGGGGGGGGGGGGTAATCCAGCTCAGGACTGGGATATCACCACGGTATAGGGATGAACCGGATTAGCGTGCATTGATGTTGCCTTTGGCCAAGGCGCGCTCCCATGCATGCGTACCACCGTGGCCAATTGATGCAAGATCGAACCGCCGATGCCAATATTCTTATTCCCTATTTGCAGGCATCAGGAAAGCTCTTCCCCCGGCCCTGGCCACAAACAAAACAGATCACAAGCGGAACCCCTAGGACACTTATATACTTTCCGCGGCCCACTCCACCAATGATCCTCAGACATCAATCTCTCCATAGAGTCGCCTATCCCTACTACTAGCTCCAACCCAGACACCATACTTTCCCCTTGGAACCTCCCACCGATGCTCAATGCTTTTCCAAACGGCAAAACTATACCGACTTAAATACATCTTGGCAAGGCTTGATTCACCTTTTTGGAGGAAGACACTGTCAAAGTTGCGGAGTTGTTTAGGAGGTGAATTCGCCGAAGGCGGGGGACGATGTATAACTGAGGAATCTGCAGGACATACAATAATAAATTAGATCGTTAAACTAAGATTGGGGTGGCGGTATGAATCACAGACCTCAACACCGTCCACAGATCCAGTGTTAGTGAGCTCGAATGTAACTGTCATCCAATCGTCATGCAACCTTGTGCGTGCATGGTAGACGGACATTAGAATTAGCTTTCGCTGAACTGTCGAGTGAAACGCACCACGAAGATAAGGATGATCCAGGGCCAGTGGGAGCCTGAGGTTCGTTACCCAAACCCCCACCCAAGTATACGATCGCTAGAGCGGAATAAGAGAACGAAGTATAGCTGAGTCCGTATCCGAACTCGAACCGTGGCGCAATGTTACTCTACGACTCGTCACAATACGGCGTGTCAAAGTGCCTCAAAATTTGAGCAAGCAGAATTGTACCTTGTCAAACCATCGATAATCGATATACAAACCCTCAGTGTAATCAACGTTATACCCATTGGAGATATCGGCACTGTGATCAGATGGAGACTTCGCGATCGTGTACGGTAGCCGACCTGAGGGGTTAATATCCCCCCACAAGATGTCGACAAGGGAGTTCCCAGCCTCCTGACCCTGAAGTCCAGCATAGATGCTACGCAATTGAGCTGATTAAACCGAGGCAAGAGCACGATATAGGAAAAAAGACCTACACCCCGGTGACATTCGGATGATCGATCCATGCTTCCATGATAATCGCCTGCTCAAAGCAGTGCACCGTGCATGTTGTCAATGAATCTCTTAAAACCTCACACAACTCACCCCAACGGCATGAATGACCACGACCGTGTTCTTATTCACCCCCGCAACGGCCTTCACAAGCTCATCCCCACTATGCCATGCATTCAAATCATTCCTGTCGCCCGGATTCCCTTCAACGGTAATATATCCTTCACCCGAATCAGCGGTAATGAACACGAATGCCACATCCTTCCCGGATGAAACATTCTTCGCTGCACCCAGATCAGTATCGTTTAGGCTCGAAAACACGGTGGCGTTGATCGAGTTTGCTTTGCCGTTATAGCAGAGAGTGGGTCGACGAGGTATGGGAAGTTGGCGGTACCTAGTGTGTCGACGATGAGCCACGGAATTAATGAAGAGTCCAAGGCTTACCGCTTCCCCATCCAACAGCCAGAATGCCAACATCGCAACCACGTCCTGGACAACCTACAATATTGTTAATGTCTCCATCTCCCGCATCCCAACACCGCCTGCCCGGACTCACTGTTTGGTCCTTTTGGATTAGGCCCCGCATCACTCCCAACAACCGCAACACTCCTTACGTTATCCCCCAATGGCAATTGACTTCCAGCATTCTTCAACAGCACGGTGCTAGCAGCCCCAATGCTCCTAATCAGCTTCTTATGGTCACTCTGAACATCCACATGCTTTCCCCTCGATGAAGTCCAACTATCAAAATTCACGCTGGGATAATCATTGCCGTCTTGTCCTTGTACGTAGTATGCTGCTAGTATACGAGTTGCCATATCATCGAGACGGGAGGTGGGTACCTGCCCTGTCTTGACTGCGTTCACCAGTGCGGGCCCGAAGTAGGAGTGGTTTGCACTGGGAGAAGCTTCGCCTGGCATAACCATCTATTCAGATAAACCCAAATAGGGATATCAGCACAGCTGGAATCCAGTTTGATGGCGACTTACATCGAGTCCTTTGTTCGCGGCAAGAGTCCCAAATGTATCTAAACTCGCCCACCAATCCGTCATGACATCTAAACCGGAATCATCCCTTCTGCTCAGTACCTCACGGGGGCGAATAGATACTAAGCAAACAAGGACTCACACCCTTGAAACCCAAGCTCCCCTTTGAGCAGGTCGTTGAGTACATGCTCATTTTCGCAGGAGTAGGTTCCATTCACTCGGTTATATGAACACATGAATGCAACTACACCGGCTTGAACGGCTTTGAGAAAGGGGTGGAGGTAGATTTCATGCGTCTATGGACGGGGGAGGCATGGGGCGAGAACGTCAAGGAATGAACATACAATGAACATACAGTTCGATCATCAACGTTAGAGGATGACGACGAGCGATTCGTCTCCTGTTCACTAGGAAGACGCCAGTTTCGGCCTTATTCCACAATTGAAGGAACATAGATCATACTTATTAATATAATGCTTCACGCTGTGTAGGAAGTGTCTCAGCACAAGTGCAACACGAACACAAAATAATCGACTTCACCAGGCTTGAAGTCCATTAGCCTGCAATCCCGTAACAGTCTCGAAGCTGGCTTCCCCACTGAGGTACGGATCAGCTTAACAGTGAAGTGCAATGGAATCAACAAGAAGATACTCCCATCACGAAGAAAGAACAACACACCTCCGAACGTCTCCCAGTTCCTCCCCGCACGAGGAGACCGAACGATGTTGATATCAGGACCCAAGGCAACATTCACACCCTTCCCCTTGAACTCGACGCCCTAAATATCCGAGAAAAAGGAGAATGTCACGAAAAATCGCGTCGTTCCATGGTATGAACGCACCATCGCAAGGCCACGAGCCGCATCATAGTCCGATTGAACGTTGCTGCAATATTGATTCCCCTGAATATAAGGGAATGCGTCAGAATACTTCAAGTTGATGACATACGAGCGGCGATTCCGAAATAACTTACGCAGGAAAGACGCTAACGAGATCGGCAAAGCGAACTCCAGTTGGAGAATCTTGCAAGCAAAGACCTGGATAATTGATGGATGGGACAGCGGGTGTATTACCAACGCAAGGACTAATGAAACCAACACGCCAAGCAAGGGGTTGAAATGATTAAGTTGAGGGACGCGTTGGGACGCCAGCATCATTGAGTCCCTCACCCTTTTTTCCAACCTATCCCAGTAGCTGTCAAATTAAAATCAACAGAAGCTTGACACACGCGTGGTTATGCTTCGGAATAGGACGTACCAAGTGCAACTTTATCCTCTACGGACATATTTGCCACAACAGCTTTCGCCCTCACAATAGCCACAGGCCAATCTCCCGCACGCTTCCCATGACGAATACTCACAGGCATCGACGCAGTCCTGCCGGTATTACGATTCCAAACGAGCCCACGACGGTGATGACCATGCTGTTGATAATTCGCTGTGTTCAAGTGATAATAAATAACGCCATGAAGCAAAAAAAAGAGAATGGTCAGCAAATTCCGTCGGTTTAAAGAGCACTGCATACTTTGAACACAGAACCAAACGGACGTACATTTCAAATGAACGGCTTCCACAAAAGAGTGTACGAAAATCTCTAAAGCCAGAGCACAAGAGTAGAGTAACAAAACGAGAGACTTCATCGGCGATGACGAGAATGTTTAACGAACGTATTGAGAGAGAGGACAGCAAATGTGAGTGAGCCTTGGGAAAGCTTTTCTGGCCGGATACCTCGTTCAACGACGCCGAGGCGTGAATGAGACAGCCCGAACGGCAAAAGCCTCAACGGGCTCAACTCCACTGACCGGGTAGATCAGTGTCAACTCGGACCCAACCCTATTCCGAAGAAAAGAATTGAACCCTATTATTCTCTGAACGAAGCTCAGGGTTGATGGGCCATCAGCATCATTATGTAATATCATCCCGTTCTCTGCGGGGATTTTGCGGAGAGCTAGACGGGGACTCGCGATGATGTGAGAGCCGAATGGCTTCCCACGGTTTGGCACCTGGGCGGAGAAGCAATTCCGCGACTGGGTAATGTGTACGAATTTACAATTGAGCATCTTGTGTCAATGTATGGCGAACAATTATAAGTTGCATTTAGCGTAACACGCGCCAAGTTATTTTGACTCAAGAAACATAGCTCAAGGACCTTGCCACATTATTCTCCTACAAGTACCCTAAATCTCGATCGATCCAGAAAGCTTCCCGTCCCTGCTACTGGCCCCAATCCAAACACCATACGTTCCCCTCGGGATCTCCCACCTCTGGTTTGCCGCATTCCACACAGCAAAGCTGTATCGACTCAAACACATCCTCACAGGGCTCGAGGCGTATCTTGGAATGAAGACGCTATCGAACCCACGGAGTTGTTTGGGTGGTGAGTTGGACGAGTCGGGCGGGGCCAGATAAAGTTGGGGGATCTAACGAAATTGAAAGGAGGTTTTATTAAAAATCGGAGTTGGATGGACAATGCAGGACGAACGAACCTCTGTCCCGTCCACGGGCCAATATTGTTTACAGCGAACGTTACTACGATCCAATCGTCATGCAACCTAACGTAACACCAAGAGAACCAACTTCAATCGCCAGTTTGAACACCGCAGGAAAAGCACGTACCACCCAGATAAAGATGAACCCGGACCTGTAGGAGCCTCGTAACCATCATCGCCTCCAAGCTTATTAATAGCTAGCCCAGAATAAGCGAACGTCGTATAACTGAGCCCATACCCAAATGGAAACCTCGGGGAGATATTTTGCTGTTGAAAGAAATCGTCCCCATCAATATCAGTGTACCCCAATATCCTCATCAACGAGAGGGTCGGAAAACAGCGCTTACCTTATCGAACCACCTGTAATCAAGATATAACCCCTCAGTGTAATCGACATCATGATTCGTGCCAATATCAGCACTATAATCAGATGGAGACTTTGCGATGGTGTAAGGCAATCGGCCGGATGGGTTGACATCCCCCAAAGGATGTCGACGAGGGAGTTCCCAGCTTCTTGACCTTGAAGGCCTGCATGAATGCTAACAGACGTGAGAGGTTTATAAAGATAACAAAGCGAATTACGAGGGAAGCTTACACCGCCGTGACGTTAGGATGATCAATCCAAGCTTCCATGATGATGGCCTAATGAAAGTCACACTCAGCAAGCTTGTCACTGTCTATCTTTTCATGACAACTCACTCCAACAGCATGCACAACCACGATCGTGTTATTATTCACCCCTGCAACAGTGTTCACAAGCGCATCCCCACCGTGCCAAGCATACAAGTTATTCCTATCCCCCGGGTTCCCCTCAACGGTGAGGTAGCCCTCTCCTGAATCGGACGTTATGAACACTAGTGCAGCATCCTTGCCCATTGATGCGTTTCTCGCAGCAACAAGATCATAATCACTTAAACTGGACGCAACATTGGCACCGATGGATCTGGCTTTGGCAGTAATAGCAGATAAAGGGTCGACGAGATACGTAAAGTTGGCTGTACCTGAACACGGACAGAATCAATGGGTCTGGAAGTCAATAAACCCCTGCCACGTACCACTGCCCCATCCTATACCAAGAATCCCGATATTGCACGAGCGATCCGCACAATCTTCAGAAAAAAACCAGTTTACTCGACCTGACAGACACAAAGGTTATAAACATACTATTAGGTCCATCAGGATTAGGCCCAGCATCGCTCCCCACAAGTGCTAAACTCTTCACTCCATCCCCAAGCGGCAAAGCCCCACGGGAATTCTTGAGAAGAACGGTACTAGCGGCTCCAATTTTCCTTATTAAATTTCCGTGGTCTCCTCGTACATCCACGTGCTGCCCATTCGCTGGATTCCAACTATCAAAATTCACTGCTGGGTAAGCCTGATCTTGACCTTGTACATAGAAAGCTGCGAGAATTCGGGTGGCCATGTCGTCCAGGCGGGAGCTGGGACTTGTCCTGAATTGACGGCGTCGATGAGAGCGGGGCCGAAATAAGAGACATTGCCGCCGTAGAAAGATGCACCGGGCATAACCATCTATAAACCACGCAGAACACGAGAAGTGAGCGTGTGGGTCAGGCGAGTAGACAAATGCTTACGTCAAGACCTTGATTTGCGGCTAGAGTTTTGTACTTTTCCATATTGACCCACCAATCAGTGGTAACATCTAGGATTATCGCAACACCAATGCTTCCAGATCGTGAGATTACAAGTGGGGGATACTTACAACCTTGGAACCCAAGTTCAGTCTTGAGCAGGCCATTCAAAATATGATCGTTCTCGCAAGCCCAAGTCTCATCGACTTGGTTATACGAGCACATGACCGAGACAACGCCAGCCTGGACTGCTTTCAAGAATGGATGAAGGTAGATCTCATGTGTCTAAACAGGAAGAAGCTGAGCGATGAGCTTGGCAACAATGCAACGTAGTGTGACACACAGTGCGATCATCCACATTTGAAGATGATGATTGACGATTGGTCTCCTGTTCGCTGGAAGGAAACATTAGCTCGAACATACCACTTAGTTCAAGAAGTTAGTACATACTTGTTGATGAAATGCTTAGCACTGCAAAAATACCAGCAACCGTCAAGGAGCGGTCACTCAACCCAAACTCATCACCGCACTTACCAAGCTTGAAGCCCATTGGCTTGCAAACCCATAACGGTCTCGAAGCTGCCCTCCCCAGCAAGATACGGATCCGTTCCGAACATTTCCCAGTTCCTCCCTGCTCGAGGAGACCTGACCATATTCATTCCAGGTGCAAGCGCAACATTTACACCTTTAGCCTTGAATTCAGCGCCCTATTTATGCGTAGAGGGACAAGTGCACGCCGGCTTAGTGGAAGGGAAAAGAGGAAAACAAAAAGATGAGAAACGTACCAGAGCAAGAGCGCGGTCACGGATGAGGTTTCGATTGAACGTCGCAGCAGCATTGATCCCTCTGATAATTAAAATATACATTCCTCTAATTTGAACTCAAGGCCTTGAGAAATTGCAACTCACGCAGGAAACACGCTAATCAGGTCTGCAAACCGAACACCACCAGGTCCGTCTTGCAAGCAGAGGCCTGGGAAGTTGATAGATGGAATGGCAGCAATATTTCCAACGCATGGCCTGAAAAAGCAGAAAGAGCAAGGGTCGAATGTTGAATGGTGGATGTATGAACATCACTACTGACCCTTCCTGCCACCCAATACCAGTGGCTACAACGACGAACAGACGGAGTGGAAAATGAGTTATATTTCGAACATGGGAAATGGCTAGACATACCAAGGGCAACCTTATCCTCAGTGGACAGGGTGCTCACGACGCCCTTCGCCCTGTTGGTGGCAGCAGCCCACTTCCCGGGCGGGTTCGTACTGTCAGTTCGAGGAGTATTCAGCCTAGCAGGGCCGTGATGGCCACGGCGATAGTAAGCTGTAAGGAACGGCAACCGGGGCATGGCGCGTCACGTTGGGACCACGATCATTATAAACAAGTGAGCCACGGCGAGGTGGAGAGCGAGATAGGGTATCAACGTACGCTTATGTAAAGCGAAAACTGAAGTTGAAAGAATGGCAAGCGCGACGGAAAGCGCGAAAAAGAACGTGTTCATGGTTTAGGATAGGAAAAGAGTGTGAAGAGGCAAATGAGAGAAGGAAAGCCTTCCTATCAGTTCTTGGGCCTTGCTCGGACAGAGACGGTCGAGTGCAAGGAACTGGGGGAGGGTACGAGAGAAGGAGAATTTCCAAAGATTTGAGCTGTATTTATGTGATGAGCATAACTGAATTCCCACTCGAAGAAGCTCGAAGTCGAAGGAGCTACTCAATTTGACACAGAAACAATTGATGATTGTCTAAAACCATTATGTAAGCAATATGAATGGAATTAGCTCACGTGTGCACCGGATATTCCATCACTGACTGAGTGTTTTCGGTGAAACATTCTCAGGCTTGACTTGTCCGGATCCGATATTATTCAACTCAGCTTCAAATGAGTATGTAAAGAACCTCATTTCAAATTGCATGACAGGATTCTGTTTTTCTCGCACTTTACACATCAGCAGGATACACTAATGGCCATGGCCTGCTCGATTGTTGAATTTCGTATTTCCACACAGGGCTCCAGTGCATAACTGGGAGAGGTGACATCCCCCAGCCAACCGCTCATTAATCGAGAGCGGAACAATAATGAAGGCCTTCGCGCTTGCTGTTCTTCCGATTGCATCTTCGCTTGGTCCGCGCTGGCCATTGGACCCTCTTTCTGGCTGGGACGGACAATGTCCCTGCGGCCACTCTCAGGCTCAACCTCGACATCACGGTGCGTGTGAACAATATTAACGGGGCTGTAAACGTACGGCCCAGGCCCAGCATCTACCTGGATGACATGGAATGGCGAGTCATCGTGGGGACTTCAAGCACGACACTTTCCGATTCGGGCAGTAATTCGAAGAAGTGGATGCTGCGAGACTTGTGGATTCTGCAAGTGTCAGGGTCATATGTTGTTATCAGCCGGTGGTGAGAGTCTGAGCTCGATACCAAGTCAATTGTTAGATATCGTGCTCTAGTCAAGTCGCAGTCCCTTATGTACCTATTTGGGTGGCCAGAATATTACAAGGGCTTTCGTAAGTGCTGTCACAATCTTGTGTATCCGTGTCTTGCACAATACCGATTGAATGTATTGTGGTTCACTATTAAAACAGCTGAACAGTTGGAGCTACCTAGCAGGCTCAGCTGGTACCGGGCCAACCCATTACCGTTTGCCGAAGCTATATACTTCCCACTGTGGTATCATTTGACATTCAATCTCTTGACCTACGCTATTCGCTCTGATCAAATTCTGCTCTCAGGGGTGTTCGCGTGAGGGCGGCAGGACATTAATGTAAATCGACAACAGGATGAGAAGGCAAATGTTTGTTGTGCTGATTCATAATTTGAGCCCAAATCGACTTTGCTTCCATCCAATAATCACTTCTCCGAGAATCCCAGGGAGCCATGAAGAACGACAATCCGTGTAATGCCAGTTTCAGAGAAGGCGTTTGTTGTATGGACGCACCCAGCCTACCATCTCCTACCATACGCATGCAGAAATATTTCCCTCATGTGTGGCCATAGCGACAGATAATCACAGTGGAAAGTAACCCCGGTATATGGTATTGAGTTGCCCTACCAGCCTGTTAGGTAGCTCCGTTACTAGTTGACGGGTTAGCGATCCCATCCCGATGCGAGACTGGGATCTCCTATCAGATATTCGCAGTCTGACGAGGTGGGTATATATATAGTGTATTGGCGGGCAAATGCGCCGATGAATTGAATTGAAACTTGGCCATTGACATGACGTGGCTTGTGCCAAGAGGCTGGTAACTTGCCCAGAGGCAACACCACTTTTTTCAAGTCCTCGTCTGTCTCCTGTGTGTTTTGAACGCTATGATTTTTGTTGGAAAGCGGCTCGCATGTTGGGATAAATATAATGGGCCTGCATTTGATCAGTATGGTAGTTGTGCGTGTAGCTCCGGTGGTTTTCATGTGTGTTGGTCTGTGCGGTGCTGACACCGCGGGCCCCGACGGACGAGCTACTATACACGGCTTCTCAAATGGTTTCCTCACCCTGTGATGTTTGCCTGATGGACTCACGCGTCATTGATATTTTTATGTTTCTGGGGAAAATCGTATTAGACGATCTGTGGGAGCCATACAGCGATGGTTTGCGGAGACGCGAGGATCGTGGGCACTGGGAGGCCGTTGCTTTGTTCACTCTGGGTGGCAACAACATCCAGAAATTGTTACATATGGCATCAATGACGCATGCATCAACCAGTGGACCTCTCGGAGTATTGGCTCTGCCAGTCATTTCCCAGTCCAGTCACATACTAGCGGAACCGGTTCTTGCTCTCTCCAATTTGGCTCCTGGGCCCAGCCGGTCTCTGCCGATTTGGGCGCGTTTCATCTCAACGTATGGGTCACCTCTCCAAGTTCAGAATGGGGCGATTATATAACAACAAAGCAGCGACGCAAAGGTAGTCGAGAATCGAAGAGCGTGTGAGATGAGCCGCCGTTGGGAGGCGAACGGAGACCGAGTGGAGTTGAAACGAGATAGATCGGAAATGAGGTGCGATTTGGGTTCAATGACGCAGCTGCGTCGGACTGTATCGTTATGTGGTCAGCTACCCAATGCGCACGACTTAGCACTGCGCTGGTGATGGTCGAAATGTAATGTCTTTGATATAGAATTAGCCGTACAGAAGGTTCGGAATTAGTGCTGCGCTTTGAGTATGGAAGGCGTGCTAGGCTAGATCCACCGATCACGATTCCGTTCTGGTGTCATCACTGGGGTTATAACAGGTGTGCAGAGTGGGCCCCTAATCGTCCCTTCCGGGCTCAGATTACCATCAGTCTCGACAGCTGGTTGATCACCTTCAGCAGCTGGTGCCATATCCACCAGCCCCATCGTCAAGGCTGCACCTTCCCCTCCTAAGGGACGCGAAGGCGGAGATTGCCACCCGCTCAGTGGAGGAGGACTAAGGGGACCGACCGATAGTTCAGGGGCCCAGGTTGTAGTCCCGTGTAAGTGGCGCATGATTTGAAGGAGCTCTTCAAGGTGCTTTACGACATCTTCCATTAAAGCGTTTTCGGCTGGGAGACGCGCAGGAGGCAACGAAAAGTCTTCAAGTTGTATCATCTCAAGAGTTGCAGGAATTTATCATACCCAGAGCGTACGATGCGGCAAGAGTTCTGCGCGGTCTGTTTCGTGCAGAGCCATGCCTGGGAGCGTCTCTCGAGATTGAAGCTGTCCCATCGCTACCACCTGGGGAAGTGGCCCATGCACCTACACCCGTCAGCTGATACATTTGCATCGCCAAGTGCTTCTCTCGAATCAGAGCATCAAGCGCGTGTTGGGGTGAGGGCAAAAATTGAGGGAGGCTCTCTGACGTTTCGAATGCCATTTCGGACGCGTAGAGAGATACACAAATGCATGACACCTAGTCAAGGGTGAGTATTCGATTCTCATGGGATAATCCGGAGCAATCTGACATACAAGATCTTTTCTGTACGAGAATACATCAGTCACTGTTTCCTTTTTGGGGATGTTTTCTCTTATGCGCCGTAAACCGATGAAAAGGTCCAATATTCTGTGGAGTATAAAAATAATTTTCCTATAGGTTCGTAGAGGTTTCTGTGCAATTCGATCCAGATTCTCCCTACTACCATCGAAGGGGGAGGTACTTACAGGCAGCAAACTGATTTCCATCCACATCATATCAATTAGCGAATTTGCACGGAAGAGCGAATCATGTATGTCAGTCTCCAATTCAACCCAAAGCCTCGACTGCGACGCGCTACCCGGATCCATGGACAGAGTCAGCCTGTGCGGGAGTACCAAGCCTAAGAGTCCCATCGTTCGACAAAACAGCACGGCGTACTTAGTCAGTAAAATATATAGTTGAGTAAACTTCCGAAGAGTCTTAGCGGTCTGAGATTCGAACATGCGTCGACAATGCCGTGGGAACACAAAATGATTCACTAAGCTGTGAAAATGGATTAGGAATGTCTGAATATGTACAGCACACCTCGAGAACTCACACTGCAACTATAATACCTAGTGCAATTGCCATGGCTCGATTGACAGATATGGCTTTGGAGGAATGCATCAACATCAAAACTTCACACTCTAACAAGGGCCTATTATTCACGTACGAAGAATTGATCCGTGTGTGGCCTTGTTCCGGGTTGTAAATATAATTGGAGGTATCGTGATGGATGCGACCACTCCAATGGGAGCTACAGATGTCCGTAAGATCAGCCAAGAAATCGGGACTTCCGCAAGCTACTCAAATATAGCTTCTATAAGCAGTAGTCTGGCTAAGATGAACCAAAAAAATCACCGTATATAGTAGTACGAATGTATATGGAGTGCGATGAGCAATCAGCCATATCTACCATTTGGTTCTTATCAGACAATATTGTGAATAAACTGGGACTGGGAGACGCTTACCAGGCATGCCATGACAGCCCCAAGCAACGTCCCTAGAAGACGAAGTCCCCCGACTTGAATCGTGGCACCAGTGTTTGTTTCAAGAACGAAGATGTATGTCGCAACCATCTCAGCATCGACATGAGCACACACACCATGAAATATATATGCCCAATAACCTCTTACCCATTGAAGGTGATATTTACGGAACAAATGACTCGCTAACTATCCATTTAATAAGTCCACAATGTGGATAAAATTCATCTGTTGCTTGCCTTGATTGCTACTCGGCAAGAATGCTGGAAGGCTGAGTAGGAGGACTCCAATGCCATTCTTAAGCGCATATCGGAGGTTGCTGGAATGCTTGACACCGCGGATGGCGCGAGACAATCGCACGCGCGAGCCCGAAAGAGATGACCATCTATGCAGCACGTAGACCGGCATGCGCGCCAGTCGGGAAAAAAGCGACCAGTACTCCTGCTCACTGCCAAGTGTTCGATTCCTTGGAAGCGCAAATCCTTGATACTCTCCTTCGACCTCCATTTCATCACTGCGAGGGCTCGGTGGTATTGAACTTACAGCTCTTGCTGAGTGGAAGTGAAAACTGTAACCGAATTTTGGACGGAGATTTAGGATGTTGCCTTACCGATAGAATCTACTTTGGCTCCAGCATCGCTCCACTCAGCCGAGAGTGACTCGTTAAACCATCGACGCGTCAGTTTCGGGAGCCATAAACGACGTCGTTTGTGTTCCTGAAGCTTAATAGAGATGCCTCGCCCAATTCGGAGGATCAAGTCCGTATCCTCCGCGATCTATGCCCGCCGGGACGGTCCCAGGAGAGCAAACGGTCAGATAGGGTTAGTTCCGATGATATAACGTCCTCACTTTTATAATGGAAACTGCCAGAAGAGACACCGAGAAGAGTCCCTTGGAGAAGGGTTCAAGCGCATAGAGGGCTGCCACAGGGGGACCGGATCCACTCTTTGGGCTCTCTACCGAAGCTTGTGCTGTCCCGAGGTTCAATTTGAGCAGTCGAGCGGCATCTGCCAGCTCCCGCATCTGGATTGCATAGTCCTCCGGAGTCGGGATGGAGAGGGATGAATTGTCTTTGGATTGTTTAATGTCGAAAGCGTCTTTGATTGTGCGCTCCACTAGTATGAAGGAGGCGTAAATCTTTTCTGTAGTCACCGTGGAGGGGCCATCAAAGGACTCGTGGATTTGGGATTTTTCTGACGTAGATAAACGCATAGTCAAAGAAATGGTCTCTCCCCCTAGTCGCAACTGCATCGGAAAAGGACATATTTGCCGGCTGAATTGCTTACAAGATAATTCCGTCCGAATCCTATCAACTATGTTTGGAAAAGCCTGCAACTCCTTTACGTGGAGTCGACCGTATCGAGGTTCGAGAAAGGCGTGCGCATATGATCTACGCAAGCGGGACCCCAAGTCCAAAGCGTTGCCGTATGAACGATCGGAGAGATTTGTGGAGCCTTGCGGCCGAAATGCTCTTTCTACTCGTTCGGAGAGCGTGCTGCGCGTTGACTCCATGGCGCGGAGCAGTCGATGCGTGTATGATCGAGAAGATCCCCTAAGGAAGATGAGGGTAGAAAGCAAAGATGAAGATGCTGCCAGAGATGATATGATAACGAAGGTCGTCCAACTTGATGCCGGGACCTGTTCTCACGTCGTGAACCCCCATCCCTTGCCATGAATCAAACAACGCACACTTGTTTCTCCAATCCCATCCGTAAGTGAAAACACGGCAGTAATGGCTGCCATACGGCATGCCTGGGCTAGTCTGGGATACGCACTCTTGATGACACCAGCTGATAAAAACGTGTTAGACGTCCTGAACCTTACGGCATTATGCCATCCGCACCAGCTGTTGCACAGAGGAATAGAAAAGTTATAGGGATGGTGCGGGCGGACGCCGAGTCAGGGCCTCGCCTTCTGCTGGCTACAGAGGCTAATGTCTTCCCAACATTGCAGTGGACCACTGATAGACATATCGCAGTGAAATTGATGACTTTGACAGAGGAAAAGTTCACTCAGTATCATGTCCGTAGCGTCAATTAGACAATACTAACGAGATCCTTCGATGTGAGTCCCGATATTGGGCCCTGGAGGAAAGGCCAGCTCCCGGAAAGTCAAAATCAGAAACGCGGAAGATGCAGCGAGTGGCCTGTTGTTCTCGTTCGAAGAAATGACTGTGACTATAATCACGCAAATAAATGTTGTCAAAAGTCGTGCAAAGCCGTGTCTGGCCCGCTCTCCAGAGATGGAAGAGAAGAAAGCTCGACAGTTTCGTTTATTGATTAATCTCAGTCTCATCAGTCACGACCTATACAGCCACCTTTGGCACCTTACCACGAGCGGTGGGGCTGATTTAGAACGCAGGATGTTCTAGGGCCTAGGCAGGACTCCAGCCTCTATGACTAGCTGGAGCCAGCAGATGACATCACTACCTAATTTGTCGTTGTTGTACTCTATTTTGTTACCCCCGTCATCACCCAACAAAGACTTCCACCAGTACTGTATATTGTTGGGCCCTTAGGTCTGAGCAGCAACCATTAAGTCTCTGGCACAGCAGGACACAGATTACGCCCGTACTGCACAACGTCCACGACACATGATGTAAGCAGGCTAATGATTAGGGTGGCATACATATAGGGTGTTTAAGCTTCCACTGATGAAGAAATTTCGCTGAGGAAGCACATGCGAGACTTTTGGTGTGCCCATTCTGCTCTGGTATACCCTTGACCGGTGGTGGTGGGGTCGCGGGAGTTCGCCTCTCGCTTGCAGCCCCACTTCGGCAGTGCCAATACACTCGCAGAGTCGCAGCCCTCGAAAGCACCCTTACCCAAGAAGGCAATCTACGGACGTTCTGGACGTCCTCGGAATGCCTCCATTCTCAAGACCCGTTGAGAATGAGATTTCTACGATGTCATTGCTGTGGCTCTTGGCCCTCCTCCGCGGTATAGCTGGGGTTGCTAGCCTCAGACAGTTTATTGAGGGTTCGTCCCATGCTCTGCGCTTTGGCGCGGATTGCCGTGATGGACAATGAGCCATTCGATGTCATGTTGACGAACTCCAACCTCTTACTGTTCCTGCCCCGAGGCAAGAGTCCCTTACGCGATCCCGAAATGTTTCAAGTAATTTCATTCGTTGGTTGGGGTTCAGCTTGTTTGGTGGCCTATCAACCAGTCATCTACCAAAAAGGATGTGTTAAAACTCTTCTCATCTGCCAAACTACCTCGTCAAACATCATTTCAAAGTTCAACGATAAGATCTCCGACAGTTCTTGCGAGCGAGCTATCGCCCTCCCCCTCAGCGGTCGTCGTGCGGGCTTCGTCCATCAGCGTGAAAGCTTCCTGGAGCACTTCAGGCAATTCCGTGTATCCGCCAACCAGCTTCTCGAGCGTCCCTGTGCTCTTTGACAGTCCATACACAGAAACGACATCCACTTTACCCGCTTCGGTACTAGGAATCTTGAGTTTGTGGATGGGAAAGTCCGTCCTCGGATGGAAAATCCTCCACTGATTATTGTATCCTCCAGCTAGAGGGATCTTGTCGGAAGTAGCACGACTGAGAATCTGGTAGATGGCCCCTTTTTCCTCTTCTGAGTTAAGTTGGAAAACGCGTCCTTCAGTGTCTACGACGAAATCGGGAACGAAAAAGGCGGCGACGAGTTGCCGCGGATAAAGATGAGTGGAGCGAATGACGCCAGCTATGAGTGTTTCGCTAGAGGGCGTAAAGGTTCCTCGGGACGGGTGGGGATGGGAACGAGTATGCCACCCTGACAACCCTGACATTGGGAATAAGATGTTTTCTCAGATGAGGCAGATCCGCTACAAGATCAGGAATGGCCCGCAATCAGCACCGCAGGGACGACAGGAACAAGTATGAGAGCAACAAGCCGTTTGACTGACAATATTTCCTCTGGGAGGGAGTGACGAAGTGGTGTTAGTCAAGAGAGGTTGTTGGACTCCGTCCTTTAACGTTCCCAGAGGGCTCAAGATCGATACCGCTGTGTGTTACTAGGAAAGGGGACTGTGCCCTCCTGTAACTTGCGCTACCTCACGCGCTGCGGCTGTTATGATCGCGGCATTGCAGCCCGATCCTCTGAGTACGATATCACAGTGTCATTAGATATATTGTCATCCAGCTCTACACATCGTACTTATATACAGTTCTCCAATAAACCGTTGCAATGTTTTGCACTTTTGACTTCATGACCTTATAGCATGATGATAATGTATTCTAAAATTTCAAAAAAATGATCGAAACATGTGATAGTATCCCATTTAAATATGTATCAATTATGTAAGCAATATGTCCATTTTTGGTAATGTTATGTAATTTACAAACCACCCAGGTCATTGCAACGGAGTACATTTTTGGGAAGGGAAAATGGCATTAATTAATACTTTGTATAGCCACCTTTTGCTCTAACCACTGCCTCAATCCTCCTAGGCATACTCTCAATCAGATTCTGGCAAAATACTTGGATCTATCCTATCCCACTCCTCCTGGAAGCGATCCCACAGCCCCTGAACACTACTTGGAGGTTCTTCATATTCCCCAAGCTTCCTCTTCACATGATTCCAGAGATGCTCGATTGGATTGAGGTTTGGAGACTGTGAGGGCCACTTCATGACCTCAATACAGTGGTTATTGAACCAGTTTTGGGCTTTTTTGCTGGTGTGTTTGGGGTCATTGTCCTGTTGGAAGAGGACATGGGCTGGGTTTTTGTGATAATATGATATGATTTCCTATAGTTCCTCATCCAGAATTTGGCAGTACAGGTCCCCATCCATCTTCCCATCAATCTTGCATGCCATTCCAACCCCATCCCAGGTCATACAACCCCATACCATGATGGAACCTCCACCAAACTTTTTTGTGCCTTGCACCAACCTGTCAGTGAGAGGTGTCAGAAACTGTATTTGAGGTATTCACAGGAAGCAGAGCGGAGTATGGCAGCGTGAGTGGACACTTAGCTAATGAGCTACTCCATTGCTGTCAGAGACCAGATTTGAGATGAGGGAGAGTCTCCGTAGCAGAGGGCTTTGGCCTCAGCGACTTCTGCCAAGAGCACTGTGCCTAGTGACACGTCCGTGCCCTAACTTACTGACTGGCAATCAGAACCAAAGGGGGGTAACTCTAGTTGATTTTATTACTGGAGTGTAACCTATGTACAAGTTGGATATATATATAGTTACAGCGAAGATGGGTCCGCAATTGGTGGAGCCGAACAGAGCAGAGCTAACAGGGTTAAACATTAGCTGACTGAATATTACCGATGAGTCGGGTCGCGGGGTTAGCGGAAAGGCAGGTGATAACCCAGAAACAGAAAGGAGGGATAGGCCCGAAGGTGGGCTCTGCAGGGCAGGCGAGTGTATTGCCCAGCGGAGGCGGGAGTGCGCTAGCGGACATCGGAGCTGTCCGGAAGTCTTCAGGGCTCTGTACTTAGGGAGGCATAGGTAATAAATTGAAATGGGGGGGTGGTGACTATCGAGGGGTACCGAGAGGGTTGCAGAATACGGGAGCTCCGAGGTTAGTGAGGAAGGAGCGGAGTTAGACCAGAGGGGTCGGAGGGACCGGAAGTCGATGGCCGGGGATGGATATGACAGTTGCAAGGCATCGTGGTGGTTGGGACTTCGGCTTCAACAACTTGGCTGGAGCATTGCACCATGTGTTCTAGGCTGTCCCGTATTTCATGTTAGCGGGGGGTACCTTGCGGCAACATTGACTTAAGCGGAGATGGAACTGAGAGGCGAACTTAAGATGAGAGTACTTGGGGGGAATTCTAGTCGATATTCGAACTGAGGTACATCGACAGTAAACTACAAGTATAAATAGGAAAGGAGAACAGAGAAGGGGCTGGTCGGTCCGGCATGGGACAGGAGCGGGATGGTAAGTACAACAGAACTAAAAGAGTGATGAGGACCAGGGAAATGGAACAGAAGAAATGAATGGAACAGAGGACGGCGAAGTTGGGAGGCAGAATGAATAGGCCGACAATCTAGGTGCCAATATGGTGGCAGATCAGAATGTCAATATATGAATAAATCAAATGTCAATAAAGGAATAACCAAGTGTCAATAAAGGAATAAACCAAATGTCAATAAGGAGCGGATCAGTGGCGACCATATCAACCGCTAGTTAGTTAAGCGAATGAATAAGAATAAAATGGTATTGGCCAAATGGCTGAGGAACTCAAGTGGTGGCGGGAGAACGAAGGAGGCGCTGCTATGGGGCCGTAGAACGGGAACCACTATCGGCGCCGCTAAGTGATGGGCAATGGTGTGATTAATGGGCATGAGTAATGGGCGCAAGAATGGGGGTGCAGAAAGTGGTAGAAGGGTGGGGACTTTGCAGGGCCATGACAAGAGGCTCCCCCACCCGCTTCCACACCCATTTCCTCCCATCTGAGCCCAGACAATTCACCTTAGTCTCATCAGACCATACAACTCTCTGTCAGGGCACACCCGCCTGACCCGGCTCCACCCGGCCCAACCTGACCCGGTACCCCGCTGGTCCACCCTTCCTTACCTCCTCCCCCTTTTCCTTCTTCCCCCCTCATCCTCCCCTCCTCAGTTTCTCCTTATCTTACTTCTTCTTTATTCTCCCTTTATTCCACATGGACGACTTTCTCTGTATCATTGTACAATTGACCCATCTGCAGCGCGCCCACCATGCACCTGGCCCAGGCACCTCAGGCGACCTCCCGCTGTGCCCAGCACGCGCGCCTGCACCGGATACCCTCGGGATCTCCCACGGAGACACCCGGGTGGTTACGGCTGTGTGCGAGGGTGACGTGGCACCCGTCATGTGATCCAAGCCGCATGTATATAAACGAACCTGAAGTGGGAACCGAAGAAGTAGCCTTCTTCTCAACCTTCCACTTCAGGTAAGCAGTACAATATCTCTCCTTTAATGATAATAACAACCTTCCACTTCAGTCTAAGTGGCCAGGGACCACTGTCCCACATCGGGCCTGTCAGTACGCACGCCCGATCTGCCCCCCGCCAGGCTCTCGGTCCCGGACGCTATACCCGGACCCCCTCGACCCCGGACGAGTCCCTGACACTCTCTTCCAGTCCTCTAGAGTCCACTCCTTGTGGCTGAGGGCAAAATCCATCCTGTCCTCTTGTGATGCCTGGTGAGCATAGGCCTTTTTTTCTTCACCACTGCTTTCCAACCAGCTTTTTTGAGCCCTTTACATACAGTCTCAATGGAGAGGGATGTGTCATTGATGTTTCAGAGTATTTGGGTGACTTGGGATGAGTTGTCAGCCTTCCCAGAGTTGATGAGATGACAAGCTGGCGAATATCAGTATCAGAAAGCTTGGCTGGATGACCACCACTGGGCTTGGGAACATCAGAATGGTGTTTAGACCATAGGTGAGTGACAGTGGAGTAATGGTGGCCAGTAAGAACTGAGATTTGGTGAGCACTATGGCCAGAATCAATGAGGGAAAGGATTTGTTCAACTTTTGAAGTGGCTAAAGGGTGCATTTCAGATTTGGGGCCTTATCATGTGAAGTCCTCTGGTATTTATGCTTTATTAATGTCATTTTGTTTACTAGTGTGTCCAGTAAACAATATCACATGACATGTCACATGATATTCCTATTTTCTGTTCAGCCTGGGGGTACTCCAATAAACCATTGCAATGACCTGGGTAGTTTATAAATTACATAACATTACCAAAAATAAAAATATTGCTTACATAATTGGCAGATCTTTAGATGAGATACTTTCCCATGTTCTGAATATTTTTTTGAAAATTTCAAATACATTTTCATTGTGCTATAAGGTCATGAGTTGAAAAGTGAAAAACATTGCAACGGTTTATTGGAGAACTGTACATTTCTGTGTGGCACAAATGAACAAAGGCTAAAGCATTATGACAACGAAACTTCCCATAAAAGGGAACAATAACTGTAACAACAAGGACACTGGAATGCCACTTCAACACTTCCCCTCATTCGGATGACCATACATTCCTCCAATTTTCTTGGCAGGACATGTCAAAATCTTCATGAGTGCAGAGGCAGAAGTCATGTCAGGAACAGATAAACAAAGCAATGGGGCACAGGGCAGTTACAGAGGCTCAATCCTCAAGTGCCCAACATTCCAGCAAAATTTTGCAAGCCCAATGGCAGGACACTGGGTGGTTACAGAGGCTTCATCCTCAAGCACCCAGCTTGCAGGCCAACAACAGGGCACAGGGTGGTTACAGAGCCTATCCTCAAGCACCCAACTTGCAAGCCCAACAACAGGGTGCAGGGTGGTTACAGAGCTTTATCCTCAAGTGCCCAACATTCCAGTGAGATTTTCCAAGCCCAATGACAGGGCACAGGGTGGTTACAGAGCTGTCAGGGCACACACCCTGACTAGCCTGGACCTGGACCCGCATCCGGACCCGCTTCCACCCACCACGCTTCCTGCACGCACGCATGCTCTGTGCGCCACATGCTCCGGGCCCGGTTCCTACCCCTTCATGTGACTTCCGGGTATCCCCGGAAGTTTTGCTGATATTGTGGCCACTGTGGGAAGATGAGAAGTTAGCTTCGTTCTCATCTCCTTACCCACAGTAGAGTTGTGCCCTGGACAGGGCTGGTTACACTACAGGCTGTGGACCATAGGGGAGGGTCATGGGGACCCAGGAGTCATCCCCTGACAAGAGCCTATCCTTGTCAAAAACCCTGAACGAAGGCAATGTGCATGAGTCTGAATGCAGGCAGGGCTCAACTAGAGGGGATCCAAGAGCTCTGGTAGTGAACCAAAGCTTCTCCAGGAAGCCCAAGTCTGCTGGGTGGTACAAGAGGCTCTAAGAAGGATGTGGCCTCAGCGACTCGGAGGGAGCGCTGTGCCTCCGTTATGTCTCAGTTAGTCCTTTCATTTCATGTGTCTGAGGTATCTTGTAGGGAGGAGGTCAGGATTCACTCATAGAGGGACTTGGGGTAACTTTTAGTTGAGATTAGAACTGAGGTACAAAGGGTTCTAATCTACAGGTATATATAGAGGGTGGAAGAGAAGGACTTTAGTCAAAGTCTGAGTGATACTGACAAACACCAAAAGGTGCTGAATGATACCGAAAGGTACCAAATGGTCCCAAACGATATCCTTAATGGGGAACCGAGGTGTTGGGTTGAGGAGGGCGGAGTAGAAGGCCAGAGGATGAAATGGGAACAAGAAATGGGTAAGGGAAAGTTAGCTG